TACATACATACATACATACATACATACATACATACATACATACATACATACATACATACATACATACATACATACATACATACATACATACATACTGTGCAATTATTAGTCGCCCCCAACACCATTCTTCCCGATCAGCTCAGGTCATTTCCGGGTGCTGGGCCAAACCGGGACGCGCACGCACATCTTGCACTCACTCACTTCGCGCTCACGCTCACGCTCACGCTCAGGCTTGGAAGCCCGTACTCCGTACTGTAGCAGTGCTACCCGCCGCTCAAGCTTAGCAGCCAGGCCCGCTGCTACTTCTGGGCCCAAGAGGCTAGGGGGGGGCTCCAGGCTCTACCCAGTTAGGCTCTAGCCCACCCCTTCTAGCCCCCTCTCGTAACTGTACTGTAGCACCTGTAGCACCTCTAGCACCCGGGACCTCTCCCCTTCTTTCAGGGCGCTTTCCAGGGCCACTTCCAAGCTTCCAGCACCCGTTTCGGCACTATCTCCTCGCGTACCTCCCGCTAGAACCTGTCCCTGGAGACTACTGCCCGCTGCCCGCTGTCCACCACCGCTGTCCACCACCCAACTGCCCACCACCCGGCAGCCTCCCCCTTCTTTCGCTTCTCTCCCTCGTCTCCTCCGATCCTCATCCTCCGCCTTCCACCCTCACCCTCTCTCCCTCACCTCCCACCTCCCACCTCCCGCCTCACCACCTCTCCTCACCCTCACCCCGTCGCCCATTTCGCCTTCGACTCGTGCAGCTTGCTTGCACGACCCTTTAAACCACCTGTCGATTCCGTCTGCGAGAGCCTCGGGAGGCCGTTGGAGAATGGTTGCGAGCCCTTCCAAGTGAACACCACACTCCCCACCAAAGTTGAAGTTGTGACGGGTTCTGGACACTCGAACCCGCCATCCTACCTCTTTTCTTCCCGACGACTTTTCGTCACGACACTCCTTTGACACTTCGCATTCTGATCTAGACCATCGCTTTTATAATCGAATACAGTGAGTCCATTGTTCCTACTTCGCGCGACCCGCAAAACGGAAAACGGCGGTTTGGTTTCTGGAGATCCGTGGCCGCGCCATGGGCCATGTGGAGGATCATTCATGCGAACGAACAATTCACTCGAGGCTGGGAAGACGCAGAACAATGAACAACACATGCTGACGAGAAAACAATTAGCCACCACGCTCGTTGACATCTCCGTCAAGTACACTCGTTAATCTATTTTCCCTGACAGTCAGTTGCGCTGACCCCGACCGACACCTGCGTCGTGTCGTCGCTGACTCCCCGTCCAGATCTACCAATCCTACAATCCTAATCCCACGCCATTACCACAGCCGTCGCAAGATATTGGATCCCCATAAACATTTGCCAGGATGCATTCATCTTCGATATTCGTGGCGGCCACGGTGCTGCTGTCGGCCGTGGCCGAAGCTCAGGGCGACCGCCCCAAGTATTACTTCCCGCGGCAGGTCAAACGCGCCTATACCAACTCGACCCCGGCCGGCCAGTCAGACAAGCAGGAGAGGACGGATGAGACAAGCGCGACCTCGTTTTCCCTGACATCGTTGCCCTTCGGCCGCTCGTTTTCGCCCTCAACCTCGGGTCGTTCGTTATCGGACTCGTTAGGGGCAGAAGACTCAGGTTCTGCTGGTACGACCCGGGATCTGCTAGGCAGCGTCATTAATCCTATTCAACCAACGCCGCCACAAGTAACTACAGTAATCGTCTCGGATACCACCGTCGTATCATACGCTTCGACCGCCGCTCCAGCAGCCAAAGATTCAGTTGGATCGACGGGCGTCCTTCCTCCAATTATAGTGTCCCCAACTGGAGCATCCGCTCCTGTAGTCGTCCCGGAAGTCGAGTCGAGACCGACGGGTGGACTACCGGCAGTTATAATTTCCCCAACGGCAGCTTCGGCCGGCGCGGGAACTTCAACCAGTGCCAAAGTGCCTTCGTCAACGTCGGGTGGAATTACATTTGGACCTGGAGGCGTACTGACATCCGAAAGCTCATCAGTGGAGCCGGCAGCTACGACACCTGAGGAATCCTCAGCAGGTGTGCCAATTGCGGGTACAGGAACAGCACCAGCGTCTGTTGCGAGAGGCACTGGTGGTATTCTTCCATCACTCCTCAACCCACTGACTTCGGGCTTGGACAATATCTTCCCAGGCACAGCAGGTACCACGGCTCCCGCCTCAACCGCCTCAGCCTCTCCTTCGCAGACGGGTACCGGCGTAACTCAAGGACCAAAAGACCCCGCCACTGTTCCAGGAGTTTTGCCAACAGGCAGCGGAGGGACGGACCCAGCTTCTCCTACGCCTACTGATCCTGGCATTCTGCCAATCTTCACGGCTCCCGCCTCCATTCTATCGTCAGTGCTTGGCGGTGTCGGGACGGCCGTTTCGTCAGTAGTGGATCCTATAGTTACGGTTCCAGCTCCGATAGTTACAGTTCCAACAGGGATTTTGCCCTCGACGACTGGCGCCGATACCAGTCTTCCCGTAGGAACTGGCACCGCACCCGCGCCGGTAGAGCCATCAACCGTGCCCGCCCCCGTGCCTACAACACCACCAGCGGATAGCACCGGGTTGGGCGGCCTCCTCTCCAGCATACTTTCACCTGAGACTACTGTGATTGGAAGCTTGAGCAGCGACCTGCCGATTACCGTTCCTGTTACCGTTCCCACTCCCACAGCAAACCCCCCAGAGCCCACAGATGTCCCAACTGTAATCCCGACGAACGGGAACAATAATACAACAGTTCCAGTGGAGACCGCACCACCGCCAATTGACACAACAGCTCCACCACCGGTCACCACAACTCCTCCTGGGGAAACTGCTAGCCCAACAGATGCTGGGACCACGCCGATTAGTACCCCTGATCCAACTCCATCTAGTATTCCTCCACAGGAGACCGGAACACCGTCAAATTCAACGGTGGTTCCTCCCACCAACATCCCGACTGGCAATGTAACTGTTCCAATCCCCACATCACCTTCCCCCTCGGCCCCCGAACCGACCTCGTTGCCACCTGTCACAGGCATCTCAAGCCTTACTACGGCTCCGCCGGCACCAACCCCAACAGGAGTGCCTGAGACTGTTCTTCCCGTTACAACGGACACCGACACATCCATGTGGCTACCTACCACCTTGATCGCAGCTTCGTCGTCGACTTTGGCGCCCGGCCAAGTCCCAAGCCCTAAGCCAACCGGTATCCCAGCAAATACGCCTAGAGTCATCTCCAACCCCGATAATGTTACGCCACCGGAAGGCTCTTCCAAGATTCAGATTGGATTTACATATGACTTGAATTACCCCTGGGTCATGTCTCAGCTCCAGACATCTAACCAGATCTTCAAGTATCTACCGATTGGTATCGCGTTCGGATTGGGCTTGGAAGTGGAACAGGTTTTGGTGTCGACTCTTTCGCCACTCGATACCACTGCCTCATTGGACTTCATCACTACCGTGGCCATGGTGCACATCCCATCCTCGCTAGTAGACAAGTTGAACGTCGATATCCACATTCCAGTAGCCCTGCTGTACAAGAATACCGACCCCACTGTCTCACAATTGATGAGCTACATTAACCCCGCCATTCCCATTCCTCCTGGAATGAATATTGGTGGCACTGCGACCGGTACCGGAGCCAGTGGCTCGCCAACTGCAAACCCGGCCGCTGGTAATGGAGTTTTCAACAGCGATTCCCAGAACCAGTCCTCATCTGTGAAAGGCACCACTGCAGGTATCGCGATGGCAGCCATTGGAGGGTCCGCCCTGTACGGCGCTGCTATGTTTGTGATTGCACGAAGGTACAAGAGACGCAAGCAGAGCCATCGCCGGTCCAGTTCAATCATCAGCCCGTCGGAGATGAGACAATCGGGAAGTCCAGCATTGATGGGTGGTGCCAATGCCTTCATGTCTGGAGGCCGCCAAACACCTGCGGGAACGACACATGATAGAAGCAGCAAGGGAAGCGGACGAAGTGCAGGTAACTCGGCGCGGACACAACAAATCTCCGCTCCAATGATGGCCGAGAACTCCCTGGGGTGGAACTGAATGTCTCGATCTACATTCGAAGTCTCGGGCATTTGTACCCGTGATAAGCCATCAATCTTGCTTCACCTTCCTGTACAATACTAGCTTGCATCAGCACTCGGTCCTGTTGCGACCATACACGGCTCACAAAGAATTTTTCTTGTCATCAAAACTTCATCTGGCGCTGGGGCCGCCATTAATACCCCCCTCCTGTATCACTTTGAGGTGTCCCTCGCCGCCCATTTTTGGCCAGGGAACCGGATCCGGAGGCTTCATATATTTTGCAGCGGAGGAATATAGAGATATTTGTGGATGCAGAGGAGGCGGAGTTGGGACGGGGGCGCATATAGGGAGGATAAAGAACGATGAAGTCAGCTGCAGCGTTGTGTGTGTACATTTATGATCCCATGAACGAGGATTTCCCTCCCTCTCCCCCACCTCTCTTTACTCGAACAGAGAGAAGCTCGACAATGTTACGTACGATGCAGCTGTGGATGAAGATAATCATGTGGAATGGGATACCTTTTTATTACTTCTCGTGAGCGGCTGGTGTTACGATGTGTTGTGTGTTGTCTATATTGATTAAAATATAACCTAATTTACAGCCTCCCTTTTTACCTTCGTAGTTTTATATCCTGTGGTAATCTAAGGGTTAAATTTGTGCGCTCAAAATGGCTATCATCTACAACTGGGCTTGCTGATCCCGGGATACCTTGTGCATGTGGAAATTCTTCAATATGAATTGCCGTTCATTAATCTTCGGAGGCAGGGGATCCGCTCTTAGGGCTCTTTGCCTCCCTTGGCGGCCGTTGTGAAATTTAAGGGGGCAGGGCTAGCTCGACCGTGTTACAGATCACGTGGAATGTGATCACGACGGGACTCTGCGCCGCATGCCATTCCGATGCCGAGAACGGTTCTGTTGCTATGACAACCGACCACCAACCAGAAGCACACGTCAGCCGCCAACCGCATCATCGCAATTCAATCTCAAATAATAGCATTGTCCAGCGCAACATTCGATATAGAACAGCCCGAACAACACCCCGGGACCGATTTAATTGCAGAACCTATATTTACTGGATTGCATTTCTGATTGCCATTGCCCAATCCACACCGCATCCCATTACATCAATCACATTCCGTACCCAACCACCCGACCATCTGGGAGATAAACAACATTCCCTCTCCAGCCAGAATTGGCGCAAACTCAACGCTAGGTCCCGCGGAAGAACCGCAGAGAACAAGGCAAAATGGATCGCCCAAACACCCCATCGCGGCCTCCTATGTACTCCGAAGCGCCATCATATGTCGAAGAAGAACACAGTCCTTCAAACGTTGGACAACCAACCTCAGATGGGTCGCAAATCCGTTTGTTGACTTCCCAAGACGATGTCAATAGCCGCCCGTATGTATCGCCGAATCCTATAAAACGTCCAGTTGCAGCACGCACAATGAAGAGGCCAGCGCTCTCGACTCCGCAATATCTCACAGCTCTCAGAGAAGTCGAAGAAGCTCTTGAAATCCCGTCCTGCAAGCTGCAGGGACAGCGGGCACTGGCAGTCGACTTACCGGTTCTCCCTCCTGGGCCTTCCCGCAGAAAATCGCTGAGAAGCCCAGTTAAACCTCCTCTTGCAGCGCTAGAATCGCAGTTGAATACTAAATCAAGCTTACACAAGAACCTGAATAGTGCATATACCCCCCGCAGACCCTACCAACCCTCCGTTATATCCTCCCATTCCCGAGCCCCGTCGATTATTGACACGGCGCCTCAAATGGCTCCTTCAGAGTCGCAATATCCCTCATATGCCTCGAGCGGTAGAATATCACCCACCCGCTCGTGGTCCCCCTCGAGGGGCTCCTCTGATTTTACCAGACCACCACCAGCAAATGGTCAATTCGAGCCCCCCGATATCAACGGTAGTCCGAGACCCGGGACACCTTCGTCTAGATATGGAGGGAGTCCTAGACGACCGTTACCACCTGCGCCCCTCTTCTCAGGACCTGGTGCATCAGCTCGAAACTCCGTCTTCGCAGACGATGCTACGATTTCAATTCCTCTAGAGAACGATATTGCGGATAGCGATGATGTTTTTGGACCGGAAAGCCCTCTCAAATCAAGCGGGAGGTCAGCCATGGGCATGGGCGCGAGAGAATCATATATGTCGAATGAAACGCTTACTGAAGACATGGAAAGCAATATGGACTTTGAACATTATGGCCCTGCCCCAGATGGGAAACAGGAACGGAGAGGAGCCAGACAGGCACAGATGGCTAAAAAGGAGGTCAGACTGATTAATGGAGAGCTGATTCTGGAGTGTAAAATCCCGACGATTCTCTATAGCTTCTTGCCAAGGAGGGACGAGATTGAGTTTACTCATATGCGATATACGGCTGTGACTTGTGACCCTGATGATTTCGTGTCGAAGGGGTACAAGCTGCGTCAAAATATTGGATCTACTGCGCGAGAGACGGAGCTTTTCATTTGCATTACTATGTACAATGAGAATGAGATCGACTTTACTAGGACTATGCATGCCGTCATGAAGAACGTCTCCCATTTCTGCTCTCGGTCGAAATCAAGGACATGGGGCGAGAATGGGTGGCAGAAAATTGTCGTTTGCATTGTTTCTGACGGGCGGCAAAAGGTTCATCCTCGGACGCTTGATGCTCTGGCTGCTATGGGGATATATCAAGACGGCATTGCTAAGAATCTGGTCAATGGCAAGGCGGTGCAGGCTCACGTTTACGAATACACCACGCAAGTCTCTCTTGACTCGGACCTCAAATTCAAGGGCGCGGAGAAAGGGATCGTTCCTTGCCAAATGATATTTTGCTTGAAGGAGCAGAATGCCAAGAAGTTAAACTCCCATCGCTGGTTCTTTAATGCCTTCGGCAGAGCGCTTACACCAAATATCTGTATCCTTCTCGATGTTGGGACAAAGCCTGGAGGGAATTCCCTTTACCATTTATGGAAAGCTTTCGACACCGACTCCAACGTCGCTGGTGCATGCGGTGAAATCAAAGCTATGAAAGGGAAATTTGGACAGCATCTCCTAAATCCGCTAGTCGCGTCACAGAATTTTGAGTACAAGATGTCTAATATCTTGGACAAGCCGTTGGAGAGTGTGTTTGGATATATCACCGTGCTTCCTGGTGCGCTGAGCGCGTATCGGTACCATGCTTTGCAGAATGATCATACGGGTCATGGACCTCTGAGCCAGTATTTCAAGGGAGAGACATTGCATGGTCAGAATGCAGATGTTTTTACCGCGAATATGTACCTGGCTGAAGATCGTATTCTCTGTTGGGAGCTAGTGGCGAAGAGGGATGAGAGGTGGGTGTTGAAGTATGTCAAGAGTTGTACGGGAGAGACAGATGTGCCTGGTAAGTCATTCGAAAAGAAGTATATGAATCCAGCTGATTTTTCCAGATACCGTCCCGGAATTTATCTCGCAGCGGAGGCGATGGCTGAATGGTGCCTTTTTCGCTGCTGTCTACTCGTTGGTCCATTTTAGACAGATCTGGCGGACGGACCATACAATTGGCCGGAAGATCCTTCTTCACATCGAATTCGTCTATCAGTTCATCAGTTTACTCTTTACATATTTCTCCCTGGCAAATTTCTACCTCACCTTCTACTTTATCGCTGGATCTCTGGCCGATCCCCATGTTGATCCTTTCGGTCACAGTATCGGTCTATACTTCTTCACGGTTCTTCGGTATACATGCGTTCTCCTCATCTGCACCCAATTCATCCTCTCGATGGGTAATCGACCACAAGGAGCGAAACGTCTCTACTTTGCATCCATGGTAATCTACGGTATAATCATGGCCTACAACACATTTGCCGCGTTCTTCATCGTGATACGCCAACTCAGGGCGAAAGACGCAAATCTCCACCTAGGGAACAACATGTTCACCAACCTCATCGTCTCTACCGCCTCCACGGTGGGGTTGTACTTCCTCATGTCCTTCCTCTACCTCGATCCTTGGCATATGATCACCTCCTCGGCGCAATACTTCATGCTCCTGCCGTCCTACATCTGCACCCTGCAAGTATATGCCTTCTGCAACACGCATGACATCTCCTGGGGCACCAAAGGCGACAATGTGATCCATACAGACCTCGGTGCCGCACGCGGCAAAGGTTCAACCGTTGAACTCGAAATGCCCTCTGAGCAACTCGACATCGACTCTGGTTATGACGAAGCGCTTCGCAACCTACGCGACCGCATCGAAGTCCCCAAGGCAGACGTCTCCGAAGCCCAACAACAAGAAGACTACTACAAATCCGTGCGCACATACATGGTCCTCTGCTGGATGATAGCCAACGCCATCCTCGCCATGGCCGTCTCCGAAGCCTATTCCAAAACCGGCGTCGGAGATAACTACTACCTAAGCTTCATCCTCTGGAGCGTCGCGACGCTCGCATTTTTCCGAGCCATAGGTTCCACTGCCTTTGGGATCATCAACGCGGTTGAGGCGGTCGTCGAGGGGAGAATCAAGATGAGAATGAAGCTGCCCAAGTGGGCGGGCGGAATGAATATCGGAGAGAAGTGGAGGGATGGTGTTAGTAGTTTTGGAAGCAGTGTTAAGAGCTGATCTTAAGTTTTGTGCGGGGTTTTCCCCCCCAAGAATGCTGCGTACAACCAGCTGGTGTTTTCGGGGTTCCGGTGCATTTTTGCTGGTTTGTGATGGGACATTATGGAATTTATTGGTAATGATGATGGGATGGAATGGGATAGCTTGGGATGGAGATATGATGTGTGTTTTTTGCGAATTTCGTGGGGATTTGGTGTTTTGTGTTTTAGGTACTATGGGTTGGGATGTATGATATGAAAAATTACATGAGAATGAGAATCAGTTACTTACCTATATGTTGGTTTGATTAATTGGTGATTTTTGAGGGATGTGTAGGGTAGATGGGGCGATATTTGAATATGGTGGATGGATGGATGGATGGATGGAGTTGGTGGAGTCGAGGTACTCGTACTAGGTAGTCTAGTGGGGGGGTGAGGTACCTGTACTTGAGTAGTTGCTAGTAGGTACGATACGATACGGCATAGTACAGTGCAATACGAGATTCCCAAGAGGCTGTCAAGTTAAGCAGTTAGTAAGGCGGTAAACCCGCCTAAAAATCCACTTTGACCAACAGCATGACTAGCAGGCGACTCTAAAGAGTGCAGAATTTGCTTCCTACGGGTCCAAAACATGGGGATAAACGTCTCCCATGACCCCATAAGGAGCAGGCAGCATCTCTTGACTCGTACAAGGAGGTACCAATGCGTTTCACGTAACTGGACAGACGATCCTCGACCCAGAAATTAACTTGCGATAATCCACAGCGAAAGTGGGATCCGCTGCACGGGAGCACCAATCCAGACAAAATATACGGGGATTAAGATATCGCCGAACGGAGCAGTCCCCGTCGCGCTCTCGGGAGGGAAGGTGCAGTGAGAAACACAAACAAGGAAACAACAAAACAAACGGGAGGAGAAAGCAGTGATTGGCAGACGTTTTAAAATCTTTACCCGGATAGGTAGGGATCCCGTGCTGACGCAGAATACGCCACTGATACCTTGGCTGAAAGCTTGAACAGGGAATGGCTCCTGGGCACAGATGCTTATCCCACGGTACTTGCATCCTGTCACTGGCGCGGTGGGGATAGGCCTCGGCCATCCCCGTTTCTCACGATGATCCACTGGCGCCGAGCATCTGGAGACGGAGGTGTTGACGATCAACAGAGGGGCAAGCTGCTTTGAGCAAGGGGTGACGTGGGTGATGCTGCTGCTGCTGGTCCTGTGACAATATTGCTGGTGGCTCTTGGGTAGCAAGAGGACGAGGGCAAGAGGCGGCATGAGCAGAGAAACGAGGACATAACCAGTCAAAACAGAGGCTATCAGGGTTCTGGTTGGATTAGGCAGGTTGGTCTCCAGGTCTGACGATATGTACATGTACATTCTATCCGTCTACGTACAGCACTTGTCTGTGCCATCCATGACACAGCTCGGGGAAGGGCGAAAGCCCTGAATAACTTTGTACAACACGAACCACTATTTTGTACCCCTCATGAGATGAGATCACTGCAAGAAAATTGATAAGTAGTCAAGGGTCCCCACATGTCCGCTCACTGAGTTTTATTTTTCTCCTCGATCGCAAAAGAGTCGACGGGAAGTGACAATCGCCTTGGAGACCGCCAATACCGAGGCGCATCCTCTAGAAAACGAAGCTCAGAGGAGATTTACCAATAGATATTTGATGTAAGGGAGATAGATCTGCGGAGTTTTTGTCTTCTCTAGTTGGCCCCCCCCCCCACCAACGGAACTGATTGTCATCCTACTCACTGCTATGCCCATTCTCTTGCCCCTCATCCATTATTCCATCTATATATATAGCTTACAATCTCCTAGTTAGAGGTTCATATTGACCGCTGCCGTGGCCCTCAGAAACCATGGCAGACAACCACACCACCGACCTGAAGGTCGCCGAGGCCTCCCCATCCCACGATCCTGCTCTCACAGAATCACACTCGCCTCAGCGCATGTCCGCCAGAGAATATGCGGCGACTCGTTTTTCGACCCTAAAGCCGCCTATGCATAAGGCTCCCAATCCAATCAGACTCCTTATGATGCTCACGAGCAAGCAATGGCTATTCTTCCTGGTTGGGTTTATCGCATGGGTTAGTAATCTCCTTATTCCACTACCACGTATCTGCTAACTTCTCTCCGGACGTGGGATGCATTTGACTTCTTCACCGTTAGTTTGACGGTTGAGGAGCTTGCTGAGGAATTTGGCAAGACAAATACCGATATTACCTGGGGCATGACGCTGGTGCTTATGTTCCGGTCCGTGGGATCGATTACTTTCGGTATTGCAGCCGATCGATACGGCAGAAAATGGCCTTTCGTCGTCAATAACTTCTTGTTCATCGTTTTGGAACTAGGAACCGGTTTTTGTACTACTTACAACCAATTCCTTGCCTGTCGAGCACTCTTCGGCATAGCCATGGGAGGCTTGTACGGAAACGCTGCAGCAACCGCTCTGGAGGATTGTCCTGAAGAGGCGCGTGGTCTGCTTTCCGGCATGCTGCAACAAGGTTATGCGTTTGGATATCTTCTAGCAACGGCATTTGCTCGTGGTCTCGTGGGTACTACTTCCCATGGATGGCGTCCACTATTCTGGTTCGGCGCTTGTCCACCTGTTTTGATCATCATCTTCCGACTGTGTCTCCCGGAAACGGACGCCTACAAGGAGCGTGAATTGGTACGAAATGAAAAGGGTAATATTGGAGCGACCTTTATTGCTGAAGGGAAAGTGGCGCTCAAGCGTCACTGGCTGTTGTTAATTTACTTGGTGCTCTTGATGGCTGGATTCAACTTCATGGTAAGACTCTTCCAACGAACCGCGAAATAAAACAAGCACTTAACGTTCTTTAGTCCCACGGCTCCCAAGATCTCTATCCCACAATGTTGAAGAACCAGTACAACTTTAGCGCCAACGCCGTAACCGTCACCCAAGTCGTTGCCAACCTCGGCGCCATGACTGGTGGAACTGTCGTTGGCTACTGCTCACAAATATTCGGCCGAAGATTCTCCATCATATTCATCAGCATCGTCGGTGGCGCCCTGATCTACCCTTACACATTTACCTCCAGCAAAGCCGTCATCGCAGCCGCCTTCTTCGAGCAATTCTGCGTCCAAGGCGCGTGGGGAGTAATCCCCATCCATCTCATGGAACTCTCCCCTGGCTCGTTCCGTACTTTCGTAGTTGGTACCTCTTACCAGCTAGGAAATCTCGTCTCCTCAGCCTCTTCAACCATCGAATCCACAATCGGTGCACGATTCCCGCTCCCGCCCAAGGGGAAGACGAATAGATATGAGTATGGCCTTGTCATGTGCATCTTCATGGGCTGCGTATATTTCTACGTCATTGTTTTGACATTCGTTGGACCAGAGTATTTGAGAAGGAGTTTTGAAGTGAAGGATGATGAAGATATTGCTGAGGCCGCCGGACATAATACTATCGAGGCGGCATTGGCGAAGATTCATCGGAGAGAGGCCGCTGGGGTGGCCGTGGACGCAGAGGACAGGAAGATTGTCGAGGATGCTGAAAAGGGCACGGTGAGGACGACGGAGCATGTGTAGGTTGATTTTACCTGCGATTGGCCTTTTGGGATTTTTGGGTCGTCTGGTATATATTATATATATTGTATGTCCATGTTAGCTTTTAATTGCAGCTGATCTGAGCTTTGATCTAATGCCCCTTAATCTGAACATAGTACATTTGTGCATATGTTGAACAACAGTTGCATCTCCCTCGCCGTCCGTAGAAGGTTTAGACGAACAACTGCTGTCAAGTACTTGTTGGTATCACTCGCCTCCTTACACTTTATCTAAACAGGACGAGGTGGCAAGGAGGAGAATATGAGCTTGCTTGTATATATCGATGGTTTCTTTTGACAATCTATCTATGTTGCCGACATAAACTGCCAACTAAGGTTGGCACTTAGATAACCCTCTCACCTACTTCCCCAACCGTCTCCCCTTATAGGCCGTTTCTTCCATACTTGGTGGGTCTCATGGCTCGAGATCCAAGTTACCTATTATGTGTCCTGCAAAAGCAATGCTATATTTAATGTGCGTTAGGAGTACGATGTTTGTTTCGCGCTCGTTCTCTAATCCACCATCGCATACTCCGTTCTTCATCTCACCTCTTCACCTTTCTTCCTTATCCTGCCCGCTTCCCTCACAAAGAATCCCATACCTGTTATCACCTATCGGATTATTTCCTCACATCCATTTTCGCCACTTTATTTCTTCACCACTTGAATGCTCTACTTACTTCAGGATTGAACTATGTGTCTGCTCCTATTAATGTATTGGGGGAAATATATAATTATGTCCGTTCTGTAACTCCTCTCGGTTTACTAACTGATGGATGGCAACTAACGTTGGGCCGAGGTAAGTACAGGGTTTGTTTTTAATTACGCTGGAGTGTTGATTAGAGGTGAGTAAGGAAGGGCGGAAGCAGTGGAAGTTAGTTTAACAGGTCGCTAACTTCCTTGAGAAGGCGAGAAGTCCGTGGATGGTGGATGCTTTACTTGGCAATAGTGTAATAATTTCAGAGATACAAGCAGTGTATGACCGCTCTCTTTCAGCCCTTTGCAATTGTTCTTCTCCCTTCAGGTGGATAATATACCACAGCTTCATATGCGCCGTCAGGTGCAAATGGTCCAGCCCAGTCTCTTCATATGAAAGCAATAATACCTTCGTACTTCCTATATTCATACCATTTTCTAGCTAGAACATTATGTTTGTGGGATGGGTATTGATGTAAATGTGCGACTCGCCGCTGGCAGAACAGCACTGTTTTTAGTTAGAAAGCCTCAGCGAGTTTGATTCAATACACAGTAATCCTGAAATAATTTCAAAAACAGCAATGGAAAGAATTAACAGATAGGAGATTCTCCTTCCACATAGGAGATAGTAACAAGCTGAACGACGAGGGAAGGTGGGGAGGGAATGAGTTAGAATGCTGATATGAAAGGGGGAAAGATGTGGATTTCCATCTCTAACAATTACTAGTAGTATCCTCGAACCGGAATTCCAACTTAAGCTCGGCCAGATCTTGTTGGTGTTTACGGCAAGAAGGCAATATCGTGGAGATATAGCAGCGGCAATGAACAGAAACCATTAGGTTGTATAACACACCTTGAAGTATAAGTAAAACCAAACAGTCAGCGTCTTCAAGCCGTTCTATTAGTATACGTAAACTCTGTGAAGTCTATACAGCACTGCCCGTTTACACCATCAATCCCCCCATATTGATTCAAATTACAATCCCCGCTAGCTATGCCCCTGAGTGGCTATCGATATCGATTGGTGGAGGGCTAAATTACAATCCAAAGTCTTACAGTGGGGAACAATATGGGTTTCAGTAGCATGCAGAGGTAGATAATATTAGGTGACGAGAAAATTTGCATTACGACTGTGATGTTCTCACTGTAGGAGACTGGAGGTTAAGGTGGAAGTCGGGGTCAGTTGGCAAAAGGATTAGGTCTAACATGACACTCTTCTCCCCTGGCGGGAGTTATCCATACTGAGAAGGAAATGAGAATGATGGGAACGACTGCTATACAGTGGGGAGACTGGGGAAATAGAATTTGACGGAGTACAATTCAATGGCGTAGAGGGTTATGGTCTAGTGAAGTAGCTATGTAAAGAACAGGTGGATATAAACAACTACTGTAGTGGTACCTCATAGCAAGCCTGTGTTTTGGCTCTTTAAGCGAAGGTTAGATACAGGTAGTCACCGCCAGCGAGGTCACCGCTTACAAATTGCCTGCCTATAACTCCCCAACACCCTCCATATAAAACCAAATACGCGTTTTTTGTTTCGAGGGGTACAAGGGCGGCCACTTGGTTGAGTGGTTCAGGACGAATTGTACTTTCGAGGTCGACAGGGATTTAGGGTACGTAGGCACAGGCCCCAGAAAAAAGGGGGACGTAAAAGAAAACGACAAAATACGAAAATTAAAAAAATACGACAAAATACGAAAATAACAAGAACGAATCGGATTCATTCGACAAGAGATGTAGGCATTCAACACCGGGCTGAACTCTTTTTGCTTCCGGATTATATAATAATAATATTTATTCATTTCTTTTACCGCCTTTTCCTGCCTTCGACTAATATTTAATTTTTTTATTTATATCGTCTATCTATGTCAAACCATGGGTGCAATTATAACAAATGTGTGAGGTGACATGGTCTCGAGGACAAGTTCAATTTGTATCCGCAATGTTGTTATTTGATATTGACACTATCGAGCAAATGAAACATTCCAATTCCTTGAACTGTCTAAGATATTCTCATCCGGGGATTGCAATATTGCAATATAGTCATTTTAGCAAGCTATTCAAGGAACCACTTTATGCTGTTGTACAACCATGGGCAAGTAATCCAGGCAGACACCATCTATTGCCCAAAAGCTCTATGATATTCAAGCGTCCGGCTGTGATGTCACTGATCTTCAATAAAAGGCTTCTTATTAAAGCTTTAATTCACATTCCAATTCTCAAGCAAGGAGCGAACATATTATTCGGGATCCCATCAATCGTTCCCCGATGTTCCACCTGTTGGGAAAAGAACAGCGGTATTATTGGTCCAACGTAACTGTGTCACTTTTGCGTAGGTATTTTGATGGAATTATATGGCTGAGACTTTTCACAATGACAGATGTAATTATAGATTGCTATCGGCATATTATTGGAACAAGAAATGCTGAGTTATATGAGGAGTACCTTGTGATTTCTAGAGGTTGTGTGATATTTGAAAATTTAAAACTGTCCTTTCTAATATTTTGACTGCCGAACACATGCGCCCAACCAGAGTGACGATGCAGAAATACGATTATTGCCCACTTGTGGAATGTTACACTAGCCACCAATTTTTGTTACCTGAAAGGCGATGCAGAATTATCCACGGCGGGAGATTTCCAGCCGTGCGGGCAACTTGGCCGACGGTTTCAAAAGTCGCAAGCACGGCCAACACAAAAACGAACGCGAGGACGGTAGGATGTTCGAGATGTTACGCAGCGACTCACCTGAGACTTGGAGAGGGAGACATTCAGCTTCCGGGTGTCAGGTAGCGAAGCGGCCACGTGCAGGAATCAATGTTCCGGCGCCGTGGTTTGATAGATTTGATAGATAAAGTACCGACCGGGATTCAGGCCACACACTTCGGTGCAAACAGCAGAGCAGACGGGGAGAGAAGATATCAGTTTGCAAAGGAGCAGACGAAGGTTGTTTGTGATATCCGGGCTCTCCGAAGCGGGGAGCGGTGGATATCTCAAATGCTCTTTATCTGAGGCCGTCGATGGACTCCCCTGCCACTCTACTCTGTGTTGATGCAGGCAAGTCCGCATGTCGCACTGACTGAGCAACTTTGTGTGATGGATAGTACGAAGTACGAAGTACGTAGTACTACGTAACGATCAACTGTAAGTGGTGATGAAGATTTATTGTTGGGCTGGAGCTGCGAAGCAAGGACATAACTCACCCCGTCTGGAGGAAGCATGAGGTTCATGTAGGTCTCAGCTATCGGATTCCGGAATCTGTCAACGATATGCGGCCGCGTCTACAATGGGAACGATGATGACCAGCCCATACTCCATGAGTCCATCGATCGGGCGATCATCAGTTCTTACGATCCTTTCTGCTGATCATCCGTCCGAATGGGGAAGAATGTCAGGTTGGAGGCCTTGATAGGAGCAAAGCCTGCATCTGTGATTCTGTACGCAGTAGCTGCTGCTTATGGGACATCCACATCCGCAACCACCAACCACCAGGCGCCCTGGCGTGACGAGCCTGCGATGCCACCACATACAGCAAGTATCCATCATATCTTGATTGCGGAGCATTGCGCCAGCGTCGATGTGAATTTAATCGAGGCATAGCGTGAGCAACGAGAAGCAGATCTCGACATCGAGGACCAGAAAAGGAATCACAGACGCTGGGGCCTCGATGGCTGGTCCCTGGTCTTGTTGATCTTGTTGATCGTCCTGATCTTCCTGATCTGCGACCTGCAACCCTGTGGCGCCAACAGGCTGCTCGATTCGCTCGATCTGCTTGGGGCCTGGGGGGCTTCGGCGACCTCGCGCTTTCATGGGGCATGTTCAGCTGACAGGAACCAGATGCAGCCGTGCAGCAGCCAGGAGGCCAGAAAGCTGGGTTACACGTTACACTTTCGAGAAATCATCGTCCCCGTCTGTACAAGAGTTGAGCGGTATGGTGCTATGGTTCTCAAGGGCTGCAGCAGCGGTGGGGGGGCGATGCTCGCTGATTGCTTGTCGCCCTTTCGAATTCTTCGAACCTTCGTATTTGGTCAAGCGCAACGTTCAGCTGGGCGCGGGGCTATTCATAGGCGCTCCCCCAACCGCACGGTGAGCGCTGCGATCAATACGAAGTAATAGTGAAGACTTTTTATGATACGCCGCCGTCGAGGACTAGAGCGGCCTGAGCCTTGAGGACTTCCACCTCCACCTCCACGCACCCGCCCAGGTGTACAAGGATCGAGCGGTATGCAATGCGATGCAAGATAGAAGCGCGGCCTTCTTCAGGGCCTAAGATTACACAACAGCAAATATGACAGCATGAGTCTATGACGATGATGATTCCCGGATGCTTTGGATCGGCTTCGTATCCCCCACAGCTTACTTCGCACAGCTTATTACTCTGTACAGCACAACGGAGAGGGTATCCCGGGCTGGCGTGCAGACTGCAGAGATCTTTATTGTCAATTTGTCGGCAGCGTCGCCGAGATGGCCTGTCCCTGACTCCCAAGACTCCCTGATCCCAGGCGGCGTTCCCATGCCCGGAACATCGTCTTCCTTGCTCGGTGATAAATATTTGACACTCCCGCGGGAGCCATCCAGGCGTCGATCTTCGGATGCTGCTTTCTGGCCCTGATTCGCCTGCTGCAACCCCCTATCAAGATGGCGCTCGAACATCCGCCCAAATATTGGTTGACAACGTCCAACTGCTGTGCCATTTGGGGTCTGTTTGGCTGATCCAAGTCGATCGCAATCAGTAGTTGGAAGTAGGCACCTCCTCCGAGGAAGGGAGGTCTATTGGATCAGAGTGGGAGGCTGTTGATGGCGTTGGTTCCCGCTCGCTCCATACGGAGGCAACTATGGAGTGTTGGTGAAGATGGAGCTTCCTAAGATCTATATCGCTGAGACCTTCCCGCGAGATCCATTCTCTATCGATATGCAGATCACTATCCACATCCATGCGCGCTTCCAGGCAGCTCCGGCTGGGCTGTGAGTCTGTGATTGGCATCCCGATCCGCCGGCGGGCTGTTTGTGAGACTCAAGTGCCGGCGCGTTCATTCTTCCCCCTCGCTCTCGGCTCTGGAATCTTGGTCTGGTACTGACGAGCGAGCCCACCGGGCTCTGGAGGCTGGCACTGCAATGCTGTATGCATGACTGGGCGGACACCGAGAGGCTGGATTTGTGCCTGTGGTGCTTCGTTAAGTTGGCCGGGATGGCTGCAGCAAGCAGGCCCTTGGCAGTGGTAACAGTGGGAGCGGTGCCTCCATACTTGGTACTTAGTGCTTGATACTTGGGTGGTACAGTACGGCAGTTCTGAGTTCATAGCTACTGTTAGTAGTGGAGCAGGGAGAAGAAGGAAATATGTTGATGATGCTGTTGGTATGACGAAGCTTGTAGCACTTTCATTAGCACGTAGTACTGCTATGTGCGTACAGAGTCCAGGTTGCTACGCAGCTCGTCCTCGGTCCTCCCGGAACCCTTTCCGTTCTCGAGTGCGACGGAGGACGGAGCACGAAACACGTATGAAAGAAAGTACAAAGGACAAAGCATAAAGTACAAAGGTACAAAGGGCAGCACATCACAGCACAGCATGCATACGAAGTACAAAGTACAAAGTACCAGTAGCATAGTGGGCACTGGCTGGTGCATAGCACACAGCATACCTAAGGTACCTAGTTACGGTACCTAGTTACAGCACCTCGGCCCACGCCTAAACACCCATAGGACGAGGAAGTACTTCGTAGTAGCAGTAGTCCAAGTAGCGTCCATATTAGCCTAGTAAACCAACAGGACGCTAGCAGTAGGCCAGCAGTAGACCAGTCGTAGACTAGCAGTACAGCCTAACAGCGCAGTTTCCCCTGTCCCTAGGGCCACTACGAGGGGACTACGGGACCACTAGCAGCCTACTCAGCGTGCACCGGGTTCAACAGCACGCCCAGGTCGCGCGCTAACCCGCACTCGGCTGCCCCTAACGTCACTAATCTCACTACCTCGTACCACAGGTACTGATTTCTCTCCATCACAACAATTCAAACCCATCCGCGCACGAGATGACCGGTGATCAGCCCACCAACCACCAACACTCGACCCAGGTATCCAACCACGCGGACGACATGTCCCGGCCCGCGATGCCAGCGGAGCGGGACGGGAGCCGGGGCGGGAACGGCAACAAAGTTCAAGTTCAGAGTCCGCAATGTCAATAATAACACTCCAGATGCTGCGTGCTGTACTTCGTACATGTACATGGCAAGACAGAGACCGGGTGTCTCTCAAATGCCGGACGTACAGTGCGGCACATTGCTACAAGTGCAAGTATAGCACGAAGTAGTTTCTGCATAGCGTGTACGAAGTACTTGGTTCGAGGACATGGCATGCGCCTTGCGTGAGGCTTGAGCCTCCTTTAAAGGGGGCCGCACTGCCACACGGAAACACGGAAACAGAACACGGCCACACTGCCATAGAGATCCAGCAGGTCGTAGTGGTGTCTGAAGTACTTCGGACCTCCTCCTACTACCCGGAGTACGCGGTGCTCGTACTCACTAAAGAGTCGGAGAGCAGACCAGACCAGAGGAGCCAAAACAAAAACGGCCGGGCTTCCCCCTTTTCACAACCACTCCCACCGATCCCACCACCACCACAGAGCTGCGGCTACTACAGTACGTACGCTATCACTCACTACCTAGGAAGAGGAAAGATGGCCATCCCGCCATCTGCAATACTTCGTGTGCTTGAGGACTCCAGCTCGAATGCTGGAGGATTCCTTCCGCCTTTGCCCCGGCCCCTTCCACCACCAGCCAGACCCGCCATTTCACTAATAGCTACATATGCTGCTCCACCACTAAGCTTAATGTCCTTCCACTGGAATGGCTTTGCATGGCCACAAACGCGGCGCGCGGGCTGCCTAGGCCTATTTGGCGCTCCCTGGACAGATCTTCCTCGACTGGGACGAGGACGGGACTGGGACGGACGCCCACCCTGGCAGCTCTGGGACCCTGACGCCGATTTGCTTTTTCCTCTGGCCAGCAACAACCGCAGCCGCGTCCAGAACCGCGTCCCTCTGATTATTGCCTCTATTGCTTTTGCCCCAGCCAGCCTTTCCGCTCTTTTCAAGGCTGCCCCTCAATTAGGACTAATCGTGATCTGTCCGTAGCCATCACTGCCCATCTGGCATCAGCTGTATCGTCGCTCCCTATCCCTGCCGCAGCAGCTGTTATGACCGTCACCCTGGCTGAGAGCTTAACAAGTCACTGACGCCATTGCTCCCCATCCCATCCCATCCTCCACTACTACTTCGACCGGAAAGCGTAGGCAAGGGCAGCCGTACCACTAGCCAGCGCGGGACCACCCCGTCGACTCGAAATATAAAGAGCCTACGATCGCTTGGGGAGCTGGAATCCCTCTCTGGCCCCTCCACCCCCCCGTTCGAGGCTTTTAGACCTGTTGCCGCTACGCCCACTTGTTTAGATCCAGATCGATTGTGTTCAGCCCTTTTTTTCCGATTTCGTATCGTGCTCCTAGTCTCTTGCGTATGCGCGGTTCCCATCTCAGACACCCATCTATTGCCGATCTCGACAAGAAGGGAGCTCGAGAAGAACCACGATACCGGTCATATCTGATAGAAAATCGTCGGACCGGAGTGACATCGACATCCCGCCGCGAGATCAACCTTCTCGGGAATCTGGTAGCAGTTGGCTCTAGGCCCCCACAACCGCGGCAAGCTTCGTTAACACATCCAGAGAGAGCATCAGCCATTTACTACTACGTGCCGCCGCATTTCATCCGCGACAAGATTTGAGTGGAGGAGACCTGGGCTTGGCTTCCAGCTGTTGTTGATATCTGGCTGCGCGTTTACGGAGCACTCCACGCTACTACTAGGAACTACTGAGAAGAAAGTTGTGCACTGCACTGCACTCACTACTCACTACGTACTACTGCCCACCCTTCACCTTCTCCTGTATGTTGAACCTTGCACCTTTTTCTATTATTCATCCCCCCCCTTGCATCCCTGCACATAAAGTCATCTGTGCGCATCGACTCCTTGGAGCTCTAGTCTAGAGGCAACTTGGCAGCCCACTACCCCGTGCCCCCCCTAGTCCCCCCAACGCTGGGCTCATCGAGCATGTGTACATATGCCTGGCTCTTTACACATCCATCAGACACCCCTAGCAACTCTTTTCCGTGCTGTTACCACCGGCACTTGTGAGCATGACCGTGACGACATCCATACACTGACTGACTCTAAATTCGAATGCGAACAGGTTCGCCTTCCGGGTGGCTGCATAACCTCTGGGGACCCGGCCTACTCCTGTCGAACGTCAAAAGCTTCAAGTCTTTGTCGACTCTCCGTACGTGTTTCCGGTTTCCCGTTTCCCGTGGCTACTCTCCAGCGCCAACTGAGCTTTGATTATCTCGGACCTGTCTAGCTTTCCAGCTGACCTATTGAAATATTTAGAATCTACCTACTTTTTGAGTACTTTTATTCTCGAGTTCCGGCTGCCGAGACTCGAACCTACTCAACCACGACTTCCTGCCTTCATTTCGGTATTTGCGGGAGCGGCAAGTTGCCAAACCAAACACCAAACACCCAACCCAATCGTTCCAATCCTGGCAACACGCGTCGCTTCATCGGCCGATAAAAATTCTAAAACGTCGACACGCGGAATTTGGGCATACCAGCCCGTCAACTTGGGATAATTTGCGCGGAACAGCTTGGGGTGTAATATTCATCTGCAGCCTCTGGACAGTGCTTGACCTAGAGTACCACCATTTTACCACCATCTCGACCTACTCGTTCCTCACTTGCGAGCTCATGGACCAGAGATCCCCGGAAACTACCCCCCGCCACCAACTGTAGGAAGTTGGTCTAGGGTTTAGTTTTCTATACCACCCAAGCTCAGTCGCTACTCGAATATCTCCACAGCTCTTCATAACCGCCAAACTGGCATACTCAACGTATAAACTGTTCGAAGTAAGTTATTATTTTTGTTCGCTGCCTAGGTGATCCCTGCGCGACTTGCACTGACTGATTTGCTGCAGCCTGAACGGCTTCCGACTCATAGACCCATTATACTGGACGAGTCATATCCATCGCCCGAGAGTGAAGCCTTTCACACCGAAGGGTACGAGGGAGCCCTTGTGGCAAGGGTGGATTCCCCCCAGGAACGCCTTCCCATGTCTACCTACGGGAAGCCATCTCCTTCTCAACTCCATGGTTAGTCTTTGCGTTTCGTTACTCGTCCAGGCCGTGGAGGTCATGACAGCTGTTAACCAATACACCAGGCTATGATACCGGTCGACCTTATCAAGAAGGGTCATTTCCATATTCGACCTCATCATATGGATCTCAGTCCGTTCCGTCTTCAGGCGCTGCGCCCGGGTTTCTACACGCTCCCCAGCTAACGCCGATGGCCTATCCTCCCCAAAGTCGCCCGCCATTCGACGTTCAATCGGGCCCTTATTTGAACGTTGGGTCCACGCCTATTCCTGAAGTGACTTCATATTCTCCTTCGAGCGGCTCTGCAAACACCAAAATCTGCGTCTCCATTACGTCTCTGTACGAGCTCATGACAAGCAGCACACCAATCTTCTTCTTGACCTTTGGACGCCGCAAATGCCCAGCTTCTTTGGCAAAAGTCAGCCAGCACGGTGGTGTGTGTCAATATACAGTATCGGCCGAGGTACCCGAACTTGCCGCAACCAGCTGGTCATCTTCGCAAGTACCAATAGATTTGTTCATGGAGAGCGGAGATGGGGACGTGATGGCGAAGGTCAACGTGGGTCATTTTACCTTCGTTGCAGCTCAGCATGGTAGCGGCTCGGCACAGGAACCCTCGAGAAAAAGGAAGCTGTCTACGGACTCAGGCGATCTCATGAAGAGTCCTCTGAAGCGGACCACGTCGCAGCTTTTGAGGCCAAAAGAAGAATACGGCAGCACATACGGATACGCGGCGGAGGAGGGCCCCTCCTACTCGTCCTATCTACAACCAGGCCAGCAGTACACCAGCATCATGCCCCAATACAACCGGTCGTTGGGAGGTTATCCAGGACAGCCATCCCCAAGGCTCCTTAACTACGGTTGCGCAAGCTCTACCACAACATCCCCACCAACGATAAAGGCACAGTCGCCACACGTCACAGGCTGGAACCCTGCATATGGAGCTATAGGCCACAATATGAGACGGAATTCTGTTCTTTCAGATGGAGGTGTCACTCGCACGTCCCTGTCATCGCTCCATTCCCCGGCCGGGGCGGCAAATCCACCGTTAATTAGGACGTCAACATTACAACAGAGTCCAAGTCCGGCCTCGACCCCTCATGGAGGACACCCTGGTCAGCACTTTAATGCATATGCACTTTATTCGAACAAAGCGAAACTCGAGATCAACGGCGATCTGGATGCGATGGCTCAAAACTGGTCAGGAGAAGAGTGGGACGCGAAGAGAAGGCTTGTGCAATTCCGTCGGTCACAATCGGGTAGTACGATTACAACCACATTCCAACCTGTTTCGGTCGACGAGCGGCCGCCGACCAGTGTATGCATCAGTTGTATCTATTGGGAAGAGAAGCAGGAAAGTTTTGTCACTAGTGTGGATACGATCTATCTCCTGGAACAGCTTGTTGCAGCTCGATTTACAGTGGAGGAGAAGAATCGGATACGGAGAAACCTGGAAGGGTTCCGGCCCCTGACGGTTTCCAAGGGCAAGCAGGATAGTGAAGAGTTCTTCAAGGTCATCATGGGATTTCCCGCGCCCAAGCCCCGCAACATCGAGAAGGATGTCAAGGTATTTCACTGGAAAGATCTGGCGTCTGCCCTGAAGAAGATTATCAGCAAATACGTAGGTCTAGAAGCTCCGTCGTTCTCCCAAACTGCTAACCTCCTCGTCTAGTCCGCTAGTCCTTCATCAACAATCCCACCTGCGCCGGCGCTTCTCACGCCAGTCAGCTCGACCGGTTATGGCACGGAAGGTTCTTCTGCCGGCATATCCTATGCAGCTGACCATCATGGCCATAGTCATGGTCAAGGTCATGGTCCGGTGTCTCCCCGCTCAATATCAGGTTCGACAACCTCAACGGCGTATGCGAGCAGCATACCGGCACGTGTGCTCTCCCCTCGCAGCCAGAAGTCCTTGGGGCTCACCGGTGGTCCTCCTGATCTCCGCGTCGCCCTTCCGCACAACCCCCACGAGTCAGCCGGTCAATGGGGCAGCGGAGGGGGAGGAGGCCAGCATCACATGCAAAGTTCGCCCCAGTTCGCGCCGCTAGGGAGCCAGAGCAGTCGCAGCTCGTGGGATATGTCGTCGTTCCTAGAGAACAGCCCTGCGACAGCCGGGCCTGGAAGTGCGTCGGCGCCGCCGCAGTCGCTGAACCAGTCCTTGAGTTATTCTCGAAGTATCGTGGATGTGGGTGTCGCGTTGCCCGGGGGAAACAACCGGCTCGCGCGAAGTCTCCCTTCGCAACAGCAGCAGCAGCAACAACATCAGCAACAGCAGAGTCACCAGATTCCTCCTCCTCCACGATCATGAGAAGGCGGCGGCCTCTGATTGGCGTGGGCTGGATTTGTCTATTGTTAGAGGGTGTCCTGTGCGAATCATTGGTCATGCGCACACTGCACACCGGCTAGCGCGCCCGAGGCCTGGTTTCATCTCTCGTATTCCCTCACATGCGCAGTCCTACACTGGTACAGTAAAGTTCCAAGCAACCTGCTGAACATCGTCGACATTGCTATTCGAAGTCAGTACTTTAGTACTTCGGCTGCTAGATTGATGCGATGCTATTAGCATGTCGCATCCCGATAGAATCTGGCTGCTGGGGCCGCCTCGACGGTCTGCTCGCTAATATCCTTGCGCACCGCCACAACCACACTATGTCGACTACTTCTGGCAGCCACCTCCTATGTCCGGGCACTCACATAAACCCACCCCCCTTTCGACGTCTACCATGTTCTTGACGGGGCTATTGTCGTCATTAATCAATTTCTTGTCCGACATGCTTCCTCCTTAGCATTAAATTTGCATTTCTCCGTTGCTTGCTGCCTTTTTAGTTTTCGCGGTCTATACCTTCCTGTTCTAGATATCCCTCATCGCATCTTTGGCCCGGCCTTTATTTTCAAGGCCTTGGCTCTAGGGAAACCCATCATATGTGGATGGGCACGGAGTCTGGTGGCGTTAATGTGCATGCACGCAGTATGTCGTGTGTAATGTGGCAGGCGTATTCAAAGTGCATTTTATACTACTTCTCTACATCATCAACCACGGTTTTACTCGCGCATCTTTTATGAGCAGAGATCACGCTTAGCTCTTGCATTTTATCAGTTGATAAGCTTTTGAGTATGGGACGTCTACCAACATTATGTACAGGAATACGTGGGATCTGCTTGTGCGTCGGATTGTTTTGACTTTTGGGGAATGCGGCCTTGTTTATGATTATGCCCAATTGGCTGGCGGGAATAACGAGGCCGTTGTACGATTGGTGCAGACTATGCATATTTTTTTTATTTTTTTTTATTAACGGGGACTTGCCGGGCTGGATGATGCTTTCATTTGAACTCTTGCTCGGAGCTCGTGCAGTTAGGGGTAGGGCATGGGCTAGGAGTTTAGGGCGGTTGCATACTGCACACATATATCTCCGGGGGTGCCGGTAGGATGGTTATTCATATCTTATTTTTTTGCGGATACCAATTTATTATTACTCGGGGTGGGCGCAATAAAAGTAGGATGGGCTCGGGAAGGGAGATTTTATAGATGTGTTGGGGATTACGTACGCATATGAGGATTATGTTCGTCATAGCAGACAGAGAGAGCGAGAGCGCGCAAGTAGTTATTAATGTAATACACAAGAAAATTGTTATCTTATCTATTCTGTCTTGCATGTATAGGACATGAATAGATCGATCGAACGATGCTTTTTATGTCAAAGATCTTGGTTAGTGACGAATATGAATACGCAAGTGAGCATGGTTCGGATCTTCGGAGAGCAATAATTGAAACACGCGAGGCATCGGAGACTAATGTACGGAGCGTAGGACAGTTCTCCGAGACGCGTCGCCCGCCACTTATCTTTTCCCCTACCTACATTACAAGCCTAGTAAATGCCACAGCCACCATCCTATCCTCTCCCTCCATAGCGCCCCTATTAACCAAATTATCAGTGTCCCACAATCTACAAACCCCTCTCTGTTACCCCCCCTTACTCTCCTAAGAACTTAAGAACCTAACCTCTACCCCGCGCCGCACTCCCTGCAACAAAGCCAATCCATCCGTCACTGATAACCAACTCAATCATCTGATAAGTGACAAGCCTTGCCCTGTCTTGCCTTGCCTAGATTTGCCTAGCCTGCAGCACGTATGTAATAACAGGCGATCATATAGCCTGGGGAAAGCCGGGTCACAGCATATGTAATGTATGAGCGCAGGTAATGCAGGTTTGTTATTTTAGCCTTAACGAGCGCTCGGGTCGGCTCGTTAGGCAGGTGGGTCCGTGCGGCCGGGCGTTTTGTTCGCTGCGGTCCTCGGTCCGAAACACCTCCGAAGAGGTAACTTTAAAAGTTTAACTTCAAGAAAGTCCTAAGTTTTAGAGAAACATCGTGTCGTGCAATCCTCTGCTGTTTCATGGGGTGATTTGCGGTTTCAGAACATGCGTGGACCTTGAGGTTTGTATGTGTAAGGTAGAGGTACCTAGGGGTGGAAATGCTTTTGAGCTGCACGCGCGTTTTAATGCCGTGATTTACTACCACCCTAAAACCCCTGCTGCTTGTGTATATGCATATATACCTCCTTGTTGCAGGTCGGGAGGCGATCGTATGCAAAGACAAGGCGAGGGCTCGGATTTTTCCGTGGTCGTGAAGAAGAGAGTGATGCTGTGGCGCTGGATGCCAATGTGATGGCTGTTCCAGGTCGACAGGTGGGGTGGGATGTTTGGATCATTGGATGTTTGGGAGATATTGAGAGGTCTGTGGTTGACGTATGCCGTGGTTTGATCAAGTGTTCAAGTGGAGTCTGTGTGTTGGCGTGTAGCTCACCAGAGCCGTGAAGTGCTCGGGTTTGGGTCATGATCGATGGCAGTCCGTCATGCTTGCCTGCTGTCTCTTAAGTTTTAGAGATTTGGGCATGCGTGATATCAAGCCCAATTTATGATGCTTTTTCTCCTTTGTGGCAGTTCTACTTTATATGCGAATCTCTCCTATTTGGCTGTTTCTGTCATTGTCGGTACGAGAATCATCTTGAGCTTTTTAGAGATTGTGTCACTTGTAGAGTTATTAAGATCCATGTTTCAAGTGAGCTATCTTGGATCAACATATCGTTTACCGTTAGTAGAGAATAACTTTCACTTAGAATATGAGTTTTATCGCTTACCTCGTAACTTACAGCGTAGTGACCAGTCAGTCTCCCATTATACCGTGGCCTTATCTACTGTATTGCATTCTCTTTCTTAGTTGTTCCGCGGTTGTCCTTCAACTAGAAGACGAGAACTCTCAGCCCCTTCCGCATTTTTACAGTTGAAATTGCCATTAATAAATTTCTATTATGTCGTTTTGTATGCGGAGTCGTAGAGTTATTATTGTGGATCGTGCCTTTGGCGTTATTATGGGAAATTAGACACCCCTGTTGTGATTCTTGTGATGCCTAGGACGCTTACTCTCTTGCTTTAGTTTGCTCTCAACGTTATTTCTAACTTACCTTGCTTGCTCTTCATTTATCACTAAGTCACTCAAGTCTTGTCACTTAGTCGGATCTCCCAAGTTGCCATTAGCGCTTTATCATGGGTGTATGACAACTTCACAAAGGGCTGCACATTCAAGAAACTCCTGTCCTTCAACCCGCCAGCAATATCGGGCGGGGTATTATTACGTAGGGCCAATATCCCGCTTTAATCTTTAAATCCAACATCATCACGCATGGAATGGCATACGGGTTTCAGAAGGAGGACCACGTTGAATATCTGAAGCTCTACGAGACACAGACTTCCAGGGCCAAGGGATACATGATCGAATTTGCTGATGGAAGAGAGTTGCCTGGGAAGACTTTCATCTGGAATGCTGACAAGGCGTTATTGAAGAATTTCCACCGTATTGATGGCAGTTGGTTTCCGCAGTCCATGAGTATCGTGCGTACTGTGCCTATCTCGGCTGCATCACTTACGAGCCTTCGGTATCATTCCTCACCCTTAATGGATATTTATCTTGGACGTGTAGGGCCACAAGGGTAAAAGACTCCCCGCACAGTGTAACAAGTCCAAAGTTTGTGGACGACTCAACTTTACGGCTTGTGTCCTCCCCCTTGACAATATCTCAAGGGCACTTTCCTACAATGTGCCATACATCGCACTTTTCAGTCCTGGTTGAATCGGATCTGCTTAGAGCATATAATATTCCTCCGTTGCAGACTTACAAGTCGTTCACGGATCTAGCAAATATTATAGCATCCTCGGACACTTCGCCAAGTACCGGCCTGTCGCTGAGATTGTGAAACCGATAAGTATTAAGAATCGCATATCATAAACGAACTAGTTTACTTGACTTAAAGATGCTAGCTAGAGTAGATCTCAAAGAGGCATAACATTTCTAGAGGTATATGGATTTCTCGAGAATTTAAAGACCTCGGCGAGCCGATAACATCCTTGACCGACTTCCTTCTATAATGTTATTGTCGTGAATCTTGACTGACCCGATTAAGACTATCAAACGGAATTTGACCTCTTTCATAAGTCTCTGCAAACTTTCACAGAGTCAAACTGTGCTGACTTCCCGGACGCATGGCAGCGTACCGACTTTCTTCGAAAGCCTTAGATCCTAGTCTCTTACTTTCGGGATATATAAGCCCATCACATTGAATGATAACGTAATAGGTGATCCTCTTATTGTAGTTGCGTAATATGTTGTTAGTTTGGAAGTGAGAGAGGATCTTGCAAGTCAGGCGACAAAGCATAAGCCTTTTTTAGACACCAGTTTATGACCCTATTTTCCTCCAAAATGTGTCAATTTGCTAGGCCCAACTAGCCATTATTATTGGACAAGGATTCTACAAGCTTGAATTTCCGTTATTTGCAGCCTTGTAAATATTGTCTCGTGTCAAACCTGCTCAAGTTGAGAATATCGCTATTTGCTATCCCCCCAAATAACATGACAAAGATGCACTCACATACACACTCTCCACAATACCATAAGCCTGAAAGGTTGGAAGAGGCGTAGATTAATATAATACCGCTTGCACCATTTTCTGATTAAAGGTGGAGGGGGGCTTTTATTCTCTATAACGTCACCCCAACCGGCGCCCTATGTTAATGATATAGAGTTAAGTAATGTCTTAGATATTGTACCTAATATTCCTTAGGCCATAGTTGCCTTGTATCTGGCCTTTATAATAGTATACTTATACTTTCCTAACGCCGCTTGACTCTCTCTAATGAAATATTCCCTCGTCTCAACTTTTCACTGGTGCTTCACGGTATCCTGTGATTCCTATCGAATCGCCCCCAAGGTTAATCATACCAAATAATATTAGCACAGCAGCCACCATCTGCAATATCAACCCTAGCAACTGCCGTTGCCGTAAAAGTCCCATTCCATTTCTTCCCTAACCTATCCTCCTTTCTCGCCAGCTCATTCCCATGATTCTCCTCATTAGTTCTCCCAAGCTTCCAAATCTGCACATACCCCTTCGGTACATCTGCCATAGCAACCCACTCGTCACCCCACGGCGCTGGCGCAACCGCATTCGCGATACCGCCTGTGGTCGTAGTAGGGACCCTCGCTAGTGGATCCTCCACTCTGCCATCACGACCGAGGGCGAAAACAGTGATGAAGCCAGTGTTGGTGGAATTTTGTCGAGCGCGGGCAGTTGCCCAGAGGTACCGGTGATTATGTGAATATTTTACTTCGGCGGACCAGTAGTCGGAGGTGTTTTTTGTAGCTGTGGCAGAGCGGTTCTATTAGGCTTAAGATAGAGGATATCTATTTGAGAATTCGAATGAAATTTCTTCCGTTGTAAATTTCAACGTAGAAGCAAGTGGAGAGTGGTGTCTCAAACCAGAGGTTAAGAAATCTTTAGAATGCATAGAAACCGAGGAAAGATGTTCAGACCAGAAACAAGAAGACAGAGCCATAGGCAGGCGACTCTGTCTTTCGACACAACGGCGTCTCAAGTTCGCCTTCCTGCATACTGCTCACCCAAGGATGGGAGGAAGACTTACTTGGTGGAATAAGTGACCAAGTCCCCGTCTCCTTCACTGGCACCCCTCGCCTGTCGACCTCCAATTCTACAATCTCATTCCCAGCCTCCATGACCACATGCAGGACCTCCCCGTTAGGATGAGCAACTAAATGTCTTGGGTGCTTCCCCTTCTTAGGCATATTGAACATCCCTTTAACGGCCATAGCCCTATCGTCGCCTCCCCATCTCGTACCAGCACCATGTGCCCAAACGGCATCCCCATTCAGATCCGCCGAATAAAGGATGCGATCTCCGGGCCCTAAGGCCAGTCCATGAATCCCCGAGTCATTTTTGTAAGTCCACGTTTGTATAACTTCTTTCAGTGTTCCATTTCTATATGTGGATAAGGCTTGGCCACACGCTTGGGGTCCAGGCCACGACCCCGTATACACGTGATAAGGTGGATGGGAGCTGGACTGGACATAGGCTGCGGTGCGATTATCACAATTGTCTGTCGAGTTGATTGATGCGTCAAGACGGAGGGTGGAATGATCGAGGACGGAGTAGCTGGCCACACTGGCATTGCTGAAGGATGCACCGTAGACGTTGGATTTAGTGCGCTATGCCCGGGGATTGGTTGGCGTCGTCAAGGGATCAATTAGGAAGGAGGAACTTACGTCAAATGTTATCCATGGATGAGTGCCGGCGGCTGGAAGAGTTTTTGTTTTCTTGAGCGTGACGGCCTGGTCATCAAATTCTAGGGCATGGATTGAGAATGGAGGTGAGAGATTCCCTACGAACAGGTGGTGCACAGCTGCAGTAGCGGAAACAATCAACGCAGAAAGCAATACCAAAATATAAGACAACATTATCATAGCGGCTCACTAGAGCGATATTTGACTACGGGATTTCTTGGGCCATCGATGGCTTGGAAAAACTTGGAATTGGCCGATCGCCAGATATAAGGTATTTATTGTTACATTGACTCGTCACTTGCGTCTGACAGCATATGCAAGGTCCCCCGACTTAGCTTGTATGAGGTCTAATCGCTATCAGGTATTTGGTACATAACCAGCCTGATAGGATAAATTGAAATCATAAACAAGAGTCCTGCAAGACATACATTTCAGTCGAAGCCAAGACTTCGCTGGACCACTATGCTTCACCAGATTCTCCTAGCCGCTGTAGAGGTTGCATGATGTTTTTCTGCCCTAGAAAAAGTCGGATTGCGGCATTGCCGATGGCATCTAGAACTACAAAGGGGCCCCATTCTGCAAGCACCCTGAAATCCAATCGCACCTGCTGATATGGATGAGCCCCACTTGTAAAACCCTCTGAAATGCAAATGTTTTGGCTGTTAGAAGAATAGATACAAAACACGGCACGTACTATCCCGCTGCATTTTATACGAGCAGGTTGCTATGAGATACGATCATATGAGTAATAGGCATCTTCTCGGATTTTTGTTGTGTAGCAACTTGAAACTCTCATTTGCAAAGCAACTGCATCAAGTACTTAGCTGATAGGTAGATATATAGTGAATATCTCACCTTTAAGTCACTCAGCTCGTTTACTTAGTAATATGCAAAATGAGGCTGTAGATCTCAGATATTTATCCATAGGGGTGGGAAAGGGACTCACTTGCAGCTCAATAACTTCGGATTGGAGCTGATGGGAGCTTAAAGGGTAATGCGTCCAGGATTCCGATCCTAACGAATGGAACATGTGATAACGAGCATCCTTCTAATTATCCTTTCTAGTACGTACAGGTAGGAAGGGTTGATCCGGGCCGTTCGGGCAGTCGAGATGGGGGCGGGCATTGTACCCAATAGCTCGTCTAATGCTTGCCTGCGAGATATGAGAATCTATGGGAAGAGAGCAGCGCCGTGGTAACATGTCAAGCAGACGTCTTAAGTGGTCATTCCCACATCCATTAGCATTTTTCCTGGTATACCTTCGCCATAATTCTCCGACTCGGCTGGAACCCACCATTATCCGCTATTTCGTAGAGCATTCGTTGGCAGTAAACCTCACTCTTTATTCCTGGCCTCGAGGCCTCGAAGACGACGGGGCCGGTAAATATTAATTCGAAATATTCAGCACTTTGGCGTAGCTGCATTAGTCCACACGATACCAATCGTGGGAACTCGAGTGTAGCTAAGTGGACTAACTAGACTAACTGGACGGTAAGTTGGTGACTCGAGGGTTCGTAGCCTGTATTATTGGAATGGAAATTTTTGGCGCGGTAGAGTAAAAGTCGGGTGCCATTAGGAAGCGTTCTATGCAATAGAGCCAGAGGAAACCATTACGGTATTGGATCATCTCTGCTCAAGCTATCACCATCTGATGCATGGGAGGCGTAGCGGACATTGAGGTCGCTTCTTGAAGCAGCATAGAAGCTGTCAACTTGTCGAGATATTCTGCATTCCCAGCTGTTAGCTAGATATGCTATCGGAGGTCAAGATGGGGGGGAGCAAAGATTTAGATGTATTGAGTGCTTTGGAGAGGTAAGCTTAGCTATGAGTGCAAAGCTACGTACAAAACGGGAGGAACTAAGCCCAAATAGGCTAAAGAGGGAAGACAGTGAATACCTTGCTTCTGGGATATACAGATCCTCAAGATGAGTCTTCGCGCAAATCCTGGACGTCGTTGACAAAACCTCCCCCCAATTTTCACGTAAGTTTTAATATATCCCCAAAGATTTGCCAAATATCTACAAGGACAGAACAACTCGTGATCGTTGTCTATGCACAATCTCAGGTTTCTGCACCATTGCCTTGTCCTATTAAGGCGAAAATCCTCCTCGGAATGCATCTGGCTACTTTTAGAGGTAAGGGACCAAAACCCGCCCCCCTTTTATAAACGATTTTATAAGTCAACTTAGTCAAGCCTTGACATAGTTTATAATAATAAAGAGCCAGAAACCTTGCGGTTATAAAAAGTTCCGTCAGAGATATTTAGTACGCCACTAGTTTTTGACCAGTTCCAGTTCAATCGAAAGCCAGAAGATGGAAGGACGGCTCTACAAGTTGGGCACCCACAGGTGAACGGTCTCAAAACAGCTTTAGCAAGTCACGATTTATACGCCCAAGACAAACATTTACACCCAGGCGCCACTATCCGCTTTTCGACATCCGCGCTCTATAGGCAGATAGGATACAACTCCACGTTTGCGGAGACATCTACGAGCTTCCGGCGGACCAAACTATCCGGTAGCTTCGTGGTACGATCGTGACATGCTCTCAACAGCGTACCAGCATCGAAGAGAATGCTATCTATTAAAAGAAGCATGACTGCTAACAATTCTGTGGCTAATGTTCTGCATCGCACGCCTGATCTGCTATTACCGTAGAACGATAGAAGTTGGAACACAGGGTTTCCCCGCAAGCTTGCATCCGGCCGATGTTAATACTTCACTTAGCCGCCTGCATTTGTAATCTTTTGTCTATTCCATCATTCTTGAATCTTGATTAATATGATAATATGGGTTATATAGTAGAATGTCTTACATGAAAAGTTAATATACAATTTCCACCTTCCAAAAGAGCCAACGGAGATGCCGGAGGAAGGAATATACCCTTCAAGCTAAGTTACACAAAAGTTATGTAGGTTATAACTTATAAGACACCATTTCGACCCTCAAAAAGTAGCTTATGCTAACCACAAAATCTCTCCTCTACTAACGATGAAGTCCCAAGTCATAGCCTGTTTTATCTCCCTGGCTGCGGTGGTATTATCTCACGGGGGTATATTTTTCTATATTATTGACGGCATCAGATATGCCGGGTGAGTTTCACTTATTATGTAGTCTAAAGATGGAAGCTAATATAAATAGAAACACATGGCTTCTCGATGCTTATGCGGGGGGTGTATATCCTACTCCCGATCCACCTCCTCCAAGTATCCAACGACGCTGGTATTACGCGCCGATTTTCGACCCAATGAGCAAAAACATGACCTGTAGTTATGATGGAGCCTCCACGCCAACCGCTCTCCATGCTACTATTAAGGCAGGCAGCAACATCTCTACAGATTACCAAAACCCCAATCGGGCTGACTCCTGGCCCAATGACTGGAACCACTCTGAAGGACCAATGCTTGCATATATGGCTGCATGCCCAGGCGAATCATGCGAAGGCTTTGACGGAAGTGGCAAGGTCTGGTTCAAAATTGACCAGACGGGGTTGGCGCCTAGCGCAGTAGATCTGCGAGGCCCATGGATACAGCTGTACACCATCTCTAGTTCTCTCCAAGGCCCGGGTTATACTGTAACAATTCCCAAAAACCTCAAGCCCGGTAATTATTTGATCAGACATGAGATTATCATGGTTCGGAGCAAGCCACCGCAGTTTTATCCAGACTGTGCACAGTTGACTGTAACTGGAGATGGAACTAAGTTTCCGGGAGATGAATATCTAGTCAGCTTTCCAGGAGCCTATTCACTCGAAGGTACTATGAATTTACTCGAAAGGACCTTTTGAAGAAAGTGGCTAACGCAATATATGATAACAGATCCAGGACTTGCTATGACAAATGATTGGGTATGTATTAGAGCGGCGAACCCATTTGATACAGGCATCTGAGATGCCGCATCTCACACTTTAGAGCGCATTTGAGCGGTATTGGCTGACTTTAAAACGTTATAGTTCGCCCCTGGTCGTAATCCTGTGTTACCTGAATGGGAAACTTTAGTCAGTCGGATAGCCCCCCATGCAGTTGTATCAATCGTACTGACACGAGTAGGATTATCCATTCCCGGGACCCCCTCTCTGGACCGGAGAGTAATCACGCACATTATCATTGATTTAGTCACTAGGTTGCTAACTTGCTGCATTTCTATGTTAATCTATATGCCAGCTAGTGTGATCACATCTTGTTTATGATTATGCCGGATTTATGTGGTGGGATTATAGGGGTTTTAAGAGTACAATTGTCTCCAGGAAAACCTAGTTTAGTCTAGTTGCGCCTGGAAGATTCGTTAAGCTTACGCAGAAACTTTTAAACCCCTTCAATGAGCCCTTGATATATGTTCCCACGGACTGATATGTTTTAACCTCCTTATCGACCCCAAACCTGATCTGAAAGCGCTAAAAAGACTCACTAGGAGCATGATGTTTCTTCGCATAAATGTATTCTAGCTATAGCAGAAAACGAACATCTGCTGCGTAGTATCTTACGATTTATAGTCGTAGCGAACTATAAGATCACTATGTTTGTGCATACTACTAGGCCAAGACCATAGTATTCCGCGTAGCCAAATATACACAAACACGCTTTAAGAACTATATATAAGAGCATGTTAGAATACAGATTGGTGTTACTAAGCCAGGCTGCGCGAAATCACGCCCTATATAACAGCATATGATACGGCCTATACTCTTATAAATTATAATTAGATTGATCGTCCTGATCTATTAGTTAGGTTACCCCTACTTCGACTATTTTGTACTTATACCACTTGGCTTATCCGTTGGCTTATAATCCCAACAACGATCAGCGCCGCTCCAATCGGTTGGTTGTTGGCGCTGTTTCTGGACAGGTCAGCACACGAAGTCAGCGATTGAACCAAGCAACGTCACAAGTAACTTGTCCATCGTGTGGCTCATGTCCACCACAAATATGCCATGGAATATATATCAGCGGCCAAAGTGCTGTTTCAATGCCCCTCATCTCAAACCTTTTTCCTGATAACGCTGATTAAAATCATTAGATGCTCTTGCTATCTCTATCTAAATGTAGCTCTAGGCAACTTCCACAAACCTTTACAACAAATTGTTTCGAAGACGTAGTGCCCAACCTTCGCTCAAATGTGTTCCTCGATTTGTTTTGCAACGAAAAGTATTGCTTCAGCCTTTGATAGACCTGTAACATGCTCTAGTCTCCGTTATCATCTAGCAATGGCGGGAACGATGTCATCATCCAGGGAAGCCCCCTCATCGGATCTCTAGCAAACTTCCAGAGGAGCCAAAGCCAACTACCCAACAGCGTTTTAAGGAATTTGATCCACGGGGAAAAGCATTTATAGTTACGGGAGGTGCCAGAGGCCTCGGACTGGCTATGGCGAAAGCTCTTGTTGAAGCCGCCGGAAAGGGTATCTTTAAAATGCTTAATTTGTCCCGACATCCTCAATGTTAACATAACATCTCATTTAGTTCACTGCTTGATCAATTAGAGGCGCCCGACGAAGAGTTTAATTTAGCAGAAGCTCGCGCATGTGGGGACTTTGGCGGTTAGCTGCACTACCGTCAGTTGGATATTCGTGACAATGGAGCACTCAATGATACCATATCACGCGTTGCTTCTGTAGACTCGAGAATAGACGGTTTGATCGCTGCTGCAGGTATGCAGCAGATCAAGGCTGCTGTGGAATATACAATGGATGAGATTCGAGAGGTGTTGGATATCAATTACTCCGGGGTCTTCCTTACGGCCACCGCGGTTGCTAGGGAAATGGCAAAGTATAAGTGTAAGGGCTCGATGGTACTGATCGCTAGTATGAGTGGTTTCGTGGCTAATAAAGGGTTAATATCACCGGTATACAATTCGTCAAAGGCCGCTGTAACCCAACTTGGCAGAAACCTAACGATGGAGTGGGGAAAGATCCGGGAAGATGGTTCGGGGGGCATCCGTGTCAACTCGTTGTGCCCCGGCCATATCGAGACGCCTATGGTCAAGAAAAATTTCGAGCAAGAACCTGGATTGAAAGAAATTTGGCTAAAAGAGAATATGCTTGAGAAGCTTTCTGCGCCTAAAGAATTTAGAGGCGCAAGTCTATTTCTATTAAGTGAAGCTAGTAGCTTTATGACAGAGGCAAGTTTAGTCACAGATGGTAAGCATACGGCTTAGTAAACAAGCCATATCACATATATGTATGATTACAAGGGCTAGTGACACGCAAGATGGCATCAAAGCCCGATATCTGGCGATGGACTCGTCATGATACCTAAATATTAATAAAGCAGTTAATTGACCCTTTTGTATCCGCCGCACTTGACCAAGCCCCGATGTTTTAACTTAGGGCGCCAGCTTGCTTGCCTTAATTAAGTTAGAAATGTTGACTTACGGGCCATCTAATTGACCAATCGGAAGAAGTACTAACAAGCTAGGCGTGACAAGCAAATTACTAGATATGACCAAAACTCCACTTTGTTCTGGAGCAGCAGGCACAAGAGGATATCGTCCAACACGCACCCCACAGCTGTATCTAGCCAACCCCCCATCAAGCTAGCCTTCTCTCCTCCCTAGACGCCACAATACAGACCTTTGCCCCCGTTCCAGTGCTATAGGAGGCCGTTGTAATGTAGGATAACTATAATTGACACGAAAATTAAGATTGATTATAGTTAAGGTTGACAGATGAAAATAACTGGAGTAGACTGCAAGGGCCGTGGGTTGGCTGACTATGGTATGGTCGGAAACTGTTGATTGTCTTAGAGGCAAACTTGAAATAAAACATATGAAGGAAGATATTTCGCAAAATTAAAGTTAAAGCCAACATTAGGACCCAAGGGATCCTTCACAAGAGAACGAAGCTGATGCCTCGGTGAGAATTTGGCATATTGCGCGGAATCTGTTTGAGAGGGACGGATGATGACTTTCGACGGTGCCTCTAGGCCACAACTCTTAAGGATAAATGAGGAGTGGGGTTTGCCTTGCAAAAATAACTAACTAGCCATGGTTCCGAGGCCAAGTTGGCTCGACTTGATTCCCATCTCGTGAGATTTGGATAACATCGTGGAATTTCATAACTGGTTTGAAGGACGAGATCACCGACACGAGTATCTCGAGTCCTTTCGAAGCACTTGCTAAGTTCCTGTTGTCAGCTTCTTCAAGGTATTTGGGTAGGCTGAAATTTTTGAGAAGGGGTTACAACCATTCGATATAATAACTACGAGGTGGTGGGAAGGGGGCTCCGTGAGTTAAACCACAAACTTTGAGGCTGTATAGAGCAGCAGTTTCCAAAAAGCATGGTACGTAGTATTTTCATCTAATCATCTCGAGCACCCAACAATGAGCAAAATCCCATTCTAGAAATCCCAAGTATACAATGCCTATAACATGACTAAATCTCCATTCGATCCATGAGCCGTCGTGGGGTGGTATATCTGGTTCGGCATATTTTGATTGACCACGTACTGCATTTCCCCTCTGTCAACAGTCGGGCTACCTCCGAACCCCTCTTCCTGCCCATTAATATTCATTTGTGCCATTTGCTGGCTTCCCACTCCTGCAAAGAATTCGTCCGCGGCGTCTACTGCAGCAGCGAGGTTATCGTTGCCGTTGCTTTGTGGTGGTCGGATCGTGGGTTGATCACCCATCCCAAGCGTTGAAAGAGCTTTCTGTTCAAAGTCGGTTGCAGTAGGTAGGGTGTGCTTTTGCAGTGCTGGGCTATCCACGAGCTTTCTTGGCCGTGCTGATCGGAAGACTTGTTGTACTGGTTTGAGGTATACGGTCGCAAGGGTTCCAACATTCAAACACATCTCCTCTAGAGTCACTGGATCAAGCTTCTCAGACTCGGCAGTGATGGCTGGTTTCTCGCCCATTACAATCTCCTTAGCGGTTGCCATGTCGGATGAGAGAAGTCGCCAGTACATGTAGCCCCTGTCTCTTAGATCTGGATTATCTGTATCCTCGGTTGCCCATTTTAGGACCTTGGGAACAAGCTCCTGTCCCTTTGTTGGCCTTTGAATGAACAGCTTGACAGTGGCTGTAAGCAATGCGAGTTGGACCTCCACAGGTTCATCCGCAAAAGAGTAGAGGAAGTCGTCTAGAAGGACGTCCGAGTTTTCAATACGAGAAGCGTATTGGCCAATGACCCAAATCATCGCCGACTTGGCTTCTGGTTCATCCAACGAGTCGAGATTCTCACAGAGTGTAGAAATAATCGACTCGTATTGATTGGGGTATTTTCGGAAGATATTGCGAATCACCACCGTTGCTTCTTGCACGATGTATGTGACTTTCGTGGCTACAAGCTCGAGCAGCGTATTAATGCACTGCCTAGCGGCTGGTTCAATCTTGATAGCCAGCTTTCCAATTGCACGGACAGATTTGCGGACAAAATGTACGTCAATCTCAGTAGCATATTCCCGTAATTCCGTCAATACTTCATCGATATTCTTTTCCGTCGCCAACATGAAGATCAGTTCTAATTTGGTGACCTTCACATAGATTGGGTCATTGTACTTGCAAAAAAACACGCGAATGTCGTTTCGAAGGACCTCGGGCCGCCGTTGCAAGATTAACAAGGCATTTCGCAAAGCGAGATATTGCACTTCTGGTCCTTTGGCTAGTAAGGTGACGAGTGGCGGTGAAAGCTTTCGACATAAGACAGATATCTGTTTTGGATCCGCGATATAGTTCATCAGGTAGAGAATGACTCGTATGCATGTGAGGACCACAGCCGAATTTGAGTGGGATAATCGTGGAGATATTCGCTCTGCAAGGAGCAAAGCTTCAGATGACTCTTGAGGAACGTAAGACATTAAAGCTTCGAGAATATACGTCTGGCCCCACCTGTTGAATGTATTTAGTATCTGCATAAAATATTGATTTGGGAACCAACATACTCTGAACAATCTGGCAAGATCTGAACCATTTTTGATGCATTGCCATAATCGATAGTGAGCTTGATTGCGTCACTCCTCTCCCAGATGTCCATGAGACTAGCAAGTGCACTTGCCACAACAGTTGGATTGTCATCTCTCAACATCGAGTTCAGTCTCTCAATAAGATCGGAGCTCTCCACAAGGTGCCTGTCGTGATCATATAACTTGGCAACACAGAACGCTGCTGTTTTCCGCACATATGGATCGGCATCTCGAAGGAGCTGCTTGGTAGGCGGCACAGTAGCTTCGACAAATTCCTTAACATGTATATAAGACATCGTCCGTAGAGCTAATGCTCTTACTAAGGGATTCGAATCGTGCATATCCTGTACTAGTCAGCAACATCCCGGTTGAATGCACGCTCTACTACATACCTCTTCGAGTGTCGGGAGCGCCTTCAATGCCACCTCCGGCTTCATGCGGGCATAGTTCACAAGGAATAGAAAACACCTGGTGCTAGTCAGCATCGGTACCACGGTCAACCAGACGTGCCCTACATCTTCTTGATCTCCAAGCTGGGTATTTGCATACATCCCACTATATCTGGGAACAAAGCCACCATATCATTATTGCTCATGGTCATGTTGGCCACGATCTTCTTTAGGGCGATCTTCTTCGCCGCATGGTTCTTGTCCTTCTTTCCGCCGCTGTTTAATTCCTGCCGTAGTTCTGCAACTTTGCCCTGTGGAGATTGAAAGTCTGGTGAGCGGAAGGGTCCATAGGCGGACACCGGAACATAGTAAGGAAGAAACATTGGGGGGGATAGTAGTAGCTGCTTTCATGCGTTGTACTGTACTGGTACTGTACGGCCAAGTCGAGCAAGCCTTCTCTGTTGCCCGTAAAAGGGAGATAACTCTCATAACCAGAGAGTTCCAGCAGATTCATGTCCAGGAAGCGTTCGCAGTAGTTGCTGGGACCAACACCTTGTGCTGCAACAAAGGCAGCAGAATAAGAAAGAACGTACTCGTGCAAAGAGCTTTGCGTCTCCCCCGCCTGAACTCATACTGTGCAAAGCCTGATCTCTGTTTCGTCTCGAGAGGCTTGTCTCGTCTTGTCTCGTCCAGTCCTTATGTGTGTTCTTATGTGTTACCCCTCCCCTCCAGTATTCAGCCAACGAGAGCGGTTCTTGGGGCTCTCCTTTGCTGCTCGGGAACGCGCAGATGCAGCACCGAATCTGTCACATGCGCCACTATCTCCGCCAGCAAAAGCTGCTATCGGGTCGCAGAGGAAGAGCCATGGATTCGGAGGGATTGAAGGTGTTGGCAAGACGATGTTGAAGGTTTAAGGAATTGTCGGCAGCACGCGGACTTGATCAGGGGTCTGGGCCTGGTTGTGGTTCTGGGGCTGCTATTATTGCAGTTAGTGCACGAGTAGCAGCGTCTAGGTAAGCTTACCGTGCAGCGCTGTCAGTAGCACTACGCACGCACGCCTGCATCTCCACGTCCGCCACCACGATTGTCTCCAGATATATCTACACCTCGTCCGAAATCCTCCTCTCAAACGCCGATTTATCGCGTCTCTCATCCTCCGGTGTACCTCCCAAATATAAGGTCCAGGCCACGCCGAAGATGGCTGCTCCTCCACCACCACCGCCGCAATGGGTTATCGATTTGAACACTCCACCCGCCGCAAGGCCAAAATCAGCTGGAATCGTTGACCCCCCAGGATACACGGCATCATCTACAGGAAGCAAAGCACGTTCTCCTGTGTTCCTCGTCCTATCTGCTACTAGCGCTAACCTACACCCAGAAGCAAGTATCCTCGAAGACCCCAGCTCGCGCACCTCCAACGACCGAAGAAATGGACGTCCTCAAGCTCAAAAAGGCATGGGAAGTCGCGCTCGCACCCGTCAAACAGCTCCCGATGACCGCGATCATGATGTACATGTCCGGAAACTCCCTCCAAATATTCAGTATCATGATGGTACTTATGGCGTTCAAGAACCCCTTCATGGGGCTGATGGCTACGAACCAAGCATTCGAGAGGTTTGAGAGCAAGGGGACCCGTGCGAAGTTGATAATGGTTAAGGGGGTTTATGTTGCGATGCAGATTTTGGCGCTGGCTTTGGGGATTTGGAAAGTTAATAAGATGGGACTTTTACCGTGAGTATTTGATTCGGACATAGGATTGAGTATGCGCTAATGAATATATAGGACTACACGATCGGATTGGCTGGCTTGGGAAACTGTGAGGGATCCAATGGAGATTGCGATACCTGCATTTTGATACCTCAATATAAGAATATATTCTTGAGCATCTGGATTGTCTCAATACCTTTCGGACGAGTGCGAGGCCTGAATATCGATTGATCGCGGGGGACTATATCCAAATCACGTCTGGAGCGGTACTAAGATGTGCTTGAAAGTAGGAAACTAGAGCCCATTATCGTAAACACCAGGGCAGGAAACGATACTTTGTATAACATGGAGGAAGCTAAGACGGATGCGCTCGGAACCGCTTCCATGTATTATCACTCATGAAGAGGCACAAGAAAATAGAGAGGAGATTGATCACTTCCATTTCTTTGCATCACCACGCACCCTCTACCCTAAGGCCTAGCTATGTCCCTAAATGCGAGAGCATGGACTTGCCCTCCCTAACCATGTGCAACAAGGCCCCCAATCGCATCATTACACGCTATGCTTGTTTTATTCCGCTAGTTTTAATACATGTGGTTATTATACATTGTCTTGGCTCTCATGACTGCGTCCGAACAGGGTGGATGAAGAGGTGATTTATTCGTTGATCTTCGCGAGAAGTCTACGGAAATGATAAGTCAGTGGTGGTTCGGTTGATACGGGGAGTGCTAGATAGACTTACTCATAGTCCCGGAAGAGAGAGTATTCTTGTTCTCCGACCTTGACGGGTGATCCTCCATACTAAATAACACCATCCGTTAGCAAACTGACCATATAACCGTGAAACCCTTGACATGCACGCTCCACATCCCAATTCAACTTCCCCAACGGCCCTCTCCCTCTCGTGCACGAAGATCCAAACTTACCTGAGGAATCAAAACCTTATCACCTGGCGCAACACTGCAAGCAACTCTCTTTCCATCCTTATCCAAACCTCCGGGGCCAACAGCAAGGACCTTTGCCTCGTTCAACTCCTTGACACTAGATTCTGGGAGGAAGATGCCGGATGCGGTCTTAGCCTCTGCCTTGATGCGCTGGACGAGGACACGGTCCAGGAGAGGGGCGAGAGACTTGATAGATTTGAGAGCTGTCGACTGCAATGCCATGTCAGTATCCGTATATTAAAGTTGCAACCTGGAAAAGAGCAAGGAGAGATGGGTTTTGCGACAAGGTGGTATCCTCATATTCATCCGTGAATAGATGGAGGACTTTTCCATGTGGGCAGATCAGATTGGGGAAACATACCATTCTGAGAGATGTTTGGAGATTGAGCTACTGGTTCTTAAAGGGAGTGATTGTCAGTGTTGGATTAGAAGAATGCGAGAGTCGGTTTGTCTGGTTGTCAAAAAGAAAGCGCAGATGTTCCGAGCTTCGAGGAGCTTCTACCGTTCTGGAGACTTTTTGCTAGCCGAGTGCCAGGGGTTTTGGCTCCGGGCGCCGTGTCACATGACGAGGTTTGTTTTGGCTCATACCATATTAGTTCGAGACTAGATCCCTTCGAAGTAATCAATAGGTAGACATAAGATATAAAGGATCTCGGATTAATTTTTTAGTAGAGTTGGTATATTATAATGCATTGCAAATGAGGTACAATTTCAAAACGCCTTATATAGAGCGGTTTGTGTTCCCAGCCTCTGGCCCCAAGTCCTGGACCTTCTTTATTCCTCGAATTTACAATATAACCCACCCTATGCCATTTTGCCAACATGTAATCTAAGCCAATGCAAACCCGGACAATCCAGAGCCCTCTAACACCGTCAGCCGCCCAATGGAAATATTCATCCAACTCGGGATATCAAAACTGGAAATAATCACTTCGCAGGCTGTGGAGGGGCCGCGGGAGGTTCTAAGGTATGCGTGTGTGTCGGGGAGGGATATACCGGACCAGCATAATCTTGTCTACAGATTGTGGTCCCGGAAATCCACGGATCAGCAAGAACTTCATCCATCGTCGCTCTCTTTTTAGGGTCGATTTCCAGCATACGCCCTATAATATGCCTACTCTCCCGAGGAAGCAGACGTAGGAGGCGCCATGGGCCCTTAATGACCTCTGGTTTCTTCTCTGGTTCCGTAGTGGTAGCTGTAGATGGGCGCCCATTGGCTGGTTGCTCGGCTTTCTCCGTCACCGATTTCGGTGCTGGGGTGGATTCTGGAACGACGTCTCTGTCTGGGGTGTCTAGACTTGTTCTCGATTTTGATGGAACTCCTGTGGATCTCATTTCTGTCCCAGGAGTTGGCGCTGAGGCGAAAAGTTTGTATGAATTGTCGGTAATTCGGGGCATCTTCCACGGAAATCGCCTCAAAGACATGCAGCAGAAGATGATGGCGAGAGACCAGATGTCGGTAGGCTGCGGGTCATATTTTCTCTCATCATAAACTTCGGGAGCGAGATAGGGATCCGAGCCAACAATTCCTAGGATCTATTAGCAAAGGTTACTAGATAGAAGGGTAATACCATGCTCACCAGAAGCCAGCATAATCCCATTCTCAAATGGGTACTTGAACACGCTTGCACTTCCAAAATCGATGATCTTCATGATCCCATACTCGTTCACCACGACGTTATCGAGTTTCATGTCTCTATGTGCCAGCCCCATACCATGCAAGTATGTGACACCACTAAGGATTTGCAAAAAGGAACAGGTGATCTCTTCCCTCGACATCTTCCCCGTCATCACAATCGCAAACAGGTCAAACGGCGCATACTCCATCACCACGTACCACCGTCCTTTCTCCTGTATAATATCTAATGTATCAATAATGTTACCATGATGTAGAGTTGATCCAATGCAGAACTCGGCAGTGACTTTCTTGGCATATTCCCTCTCGGTCTCGTAAGAATGTCTCGCTCTAAATTCCTTGACCGCAAACGTTGTGCCATCAGTCGCTCGCTTCATCAACCGCACAGAACCACCAGCTCCGGCACCTAGGACCTTTCCAAACTTGCCATATTTAGATGCCAACCCATGGGTATCATCGAACGGCAGCTGTTGGGGTGTCTTGTGGTGCGGTGGGGTTTGCGTCCCAGACCTATACGACGGGGCAGGTGAAGCTCCTCTCTTTGCCCTATGGCGGCTGCCGATTTTTAGGAATCGTTTAAGCTCTAACATCGATCCCGATGTTCGAAGGCGAGACGCAGAACTGTCGTCTTGCGTTATATGAGATTTTTGGCCCCCGCTGAATATACTGGGCGGCTTTCTATCCTCCTTATTCAGTTCGGCAGTACTTCTGGACGATCGAGGAAGGGGTGGGTTATTGTTCTGGCGATGCTTTGAGCCTAACGCCGTAAATTTAAACCTCTGATCAATCGCGTCGAGGTTCTTAGCCTGTGGCGGCCGTTTATGGGCCGCATATGGGTCGTTCGCGTCTCCTGCAGGAGTGAAAGGTCTACTGTAAACCGAACCGGTTGGTATTCGGGTCGGGCTGTGTTCTCTGGATGCTGGCATAGAAGCCCCGCGTGTGCTAGGACCGATGTAGAATGCACCGTGATGTTTCCTATGCGCATTCGATAAGTCTGCTGATATACTTGATCTATCGGTTACTTGGCTAGAGGTATTTGGCCGAGAATCGTCCAGATGTGTAGTAGACGGGGAGGCACTGGAGGTTCCAGGCGGTGAGATTTGAGGGGTGATGGCGCTGGGGTCTTCCTCAGCCTCCACTTTTTGAAGAGCCGCGCCCTTTCCCGTTCCCTCATTAGCATCCCGGGACCGTGTAGCAGCAGGAGTGATAGGCGGCGAGTCCATCAATTCTGGTCGAGGGCTTTGGTGAGGTGAGGGTCGACCAGACGAGCTTTGTGTGTTGAAACGACTAGGTTCGCGAGAGCCATCGTCAGTTGAGGAAGGAACCTGCCAGGCAAAAATATCAGCGACCAATTCAGCGAGCACGAGAAGATGAAGCTATGTAGAGATGGATATCAACGATCCCAAGGCAAGAATATCGGTCTCCTCTGGAGAAGCCTCCTCACCAATGGTGGGGGTTAACTCCGAGGATCATAGTTCGACAACCGCGCAAGGACAAATCATCGAAGAGTGCATTGGAGAGCCCAGCACAATTATACACCCTCCTGAGAATAAGTTGTCCCGTGATAAGTGAACTCAAAGCTCCAGTGCCCACATTCTCCTTGTTCATCGGTATATACGATCCATAGCATCAGTACTGAGAAAGCACACGTACCCTCGAAGCTGGAAGAGACACTGGTTCAAAGACAAATTGACTCGCTCGGCGTTCTTGTAGGTGTGGCAGCTGGAATGATCCCGCTATATCCGTGTACCTGTCATTCTCCGAGGCGGATAGAGTACGTGTTGGGAGGGTGACGTTAAGCCCTTCAAGAGTCTGGGGCTCGATATCCTCGGTGGTAGACGCGAACCGTACCGCTGGCGATGCTCCGTTTCCATGGTCTGGGTCAAGATTGGATGGAAGGGAACCGTCGGAGGAGCCTGTAATAGAGGGTTCTTCAGCAACTGCGTCCTGTGCACTCCAGAGCACTATGGCGTAATGGATTCGGACGCGGATGAATTGTAAGCAGACTTACCAGGCGGCGCTCCGGCGAGTTTGTCCTTGCCCTCCTGGGGAGCCATAACAGCACTCGTGGGAGGGGTCAAAATAAGGAGAGTGGCTTTGAAAGTGGCCCAAAGCCGCCGTTGTTGCGATGATGTTGGCGGGGAGCAACTGTCAAATCTATGGAGAGAAATTCGTAGTCAGTGGTGGGGCTAATCGCTGACGGCGCTGTCGGGAGGTGCTCGAGTTAAGCCGCCGCCGATAAAGAAATGCGCCAATCGACTGCACGCGGCGACCTGGATAGACTTTTTCTTGCCACCGACGGTGTGTTTTGAGGGACGGGGAGGCCCTCTCCAAGCCTGGGGAATCGCCGATGGACTACGAAAGTTCTTGTATATGTCGGCGGTGGGAAAGGGAAAGGGAAAGTGACTGTATTTCATCATATGGCCCATGGACTCGAACTGCACGCTCCACTGCCGGCCCACCCAAGCGAGCGCCTAGAAGCTACAAGTTGTATATGTACAGGTACTTTGCTTCGTACAGTCCGTACTCGGTGCTAGCTTGCGATCTACACCGTCCACCGAGCACGGAGGCAGGTAAATGGGCAGGGTACCTAGGTGCTTTGTTCCTACGACCTAGGCAGTGCCTCCAAGAACCATAAGAATAATTGAATTAAAACGCGGAGAATTAGCCGCCACGAGTAGATTGCAGCCGCATTCAAAGAGCCCATTGATCCTGACTTAATCTAACCCAACAAGTGTCAAAGATAATAGCGGCTTCAAGTTGGCGTTGCGGCCTCTACTCCGTGCTCTCTGAGTCTCTACTCTGTCGAGACCTAAAGGTACAGGTACATCCATGTGCTTATCCCTTCGTACCCCTCACCGTCCCTATCGAGGTACCTAAATGGGCCGCAAAGCCGGCTGCTTCGGACTGCCTTTATGCCGATTTCGACGTCTGCCAGATTCTACCTATCAACAATAACGTGTCCAGTGAACAGTACGGAGAACAAGTAGTGTCTAGGCACCATGCGTCGCCCATGCTTGCAGACAAACAGGCTTGCAGACAAACAGGCTTGACCATTTGCGAGCCATTTGGCCGCATATCCGGGCTCTATCCGGGCTCTATGGCTATGGCTATGGCTCGGCAAGCCTTCACGCCCTACTTGACACTTACCAGCAACGCTTGACGTGAAAGGGCGTCTCGGGGTTTCCATCGGCGCCGGTATATGCAAGCCAGTACGGAGTACTTCGTGTTCGTATATACTATGTACTGTGCACTATGTACTCCCTAATAATCACAAGGCTTTACCAACCGAGGTTCGCCAGACCTCGCTACAGTAGCTATAGGAGATTAGATCTAACAAACGTTTAGTCGAAGACGCCTCCTAGCGTAGCCAGAGACAGTCAATGTTGACCTACGGAGTAGGCGCGTTTGTAGAAACCAGGAAATGGCATAGCCCTGCATACCTAGGCCAGGCACATAGGGTAATCTTCGGCGCTTTATATACATACTAGGTGCCTATATATACATTTTACTCTGTAGCTACCTTATGTACGAAGTATGTGCATGGAAATCATTTCTTGAGGTAAACCACACAATGGAAGGAGGCCCGGAAAGAAAACCCATCGTTGATAGAGGGAAACAATGTATTGTTGGTTCGTCAGTCCCCAGCTACTCTACATTGTACTGTACAGTATTATACATGCAACAACATTGGCTCCTTTTCCGTGGCAGAGACCAATACCCAAACGCCGCCGCAATCGATGCACCCGATCCTAATTTGGAGGACCACAAAAATGTCGTCAAAAGGCGCCGACAAGATCTTTCTCCACACCCGTACCACGATGCGCAAATAGCCAAGTAGGCTTATACCTAAGCCGACTCCAATGGCTTAGGCCCGAAATCTAGATCCCGGCGCAAAGCACAATATCCCCCAGATACACCCTCCTTAAGGCTTAACCGCAACTCCAATAGTTTTCGCCTGCGCAATAACGCTTTTACAGAGCCCCTCCAAGCTCAACCCGCTCAACCTCATTTCACTCTGCTTAATCTTCGCAATTTCATAGACATGTTTGAGGCTGACCTCCCCAATAATCTGGTTTCCCGTCTTGCCCTTGAGCTTTCCTTTGACCGGCTCAACTTGCGCAGCGCTTAAGAGTAGATATGATGTTGCAGGTGTGCGGACTTCGAAATGAAAGCTTCGGTCAGGTCGGACGGTAACACGTACGGGAGTTGGTGTCCCTGTGACCATATGGGCTGTTCTCGCGTTGAACTCCTATTGTCGGACGTCAGCGGATGCCAATTGATAAACTCTGGGTTGTCTTCAAACTCGAGAGTCGGAAGGGGAGGCAGCAGAATAAATCTATTATGGCAGCTGCCAGGGGAGAGAGCTTACTTTGCAGAAATCCATAGATTTCACACCTTTGCTTCCCAGCGCAGGGCCAACAGGAGGACTTGGGCTCGCCTGCCCAGCGCCGACAATCAACTTCACAACCTGATCCGTAACCGCGCGTGCTTTCGACATTTTGATGTGGGTCGTTGTTGAATCCGGAGCTCGACTTCAAGATTCGCGAAAAATAACCACCCGATGACAGCCTTGCTTGAATGACTAAGCGATGTTTTGGTCACGTGTGTCACCCAACACAAATCCCCCCCTTTTCAAGACCTATTTCAAGAGAAAAATTAATTCAAAGGCATGATTGTCATTTATGGTAATAGTAGAATATAGACAGTTGGTTAGGAAGCCTATTAGGAAGCCTAAAGAGAGGTAATCCATGTATGATTCAAGACATAGATCACGATTGAATTGGCGCTGAGCAAGGAACACAGAGTTTTACCAGGTATACGAGGTTTTATTCCAGTTTATCTTCAGATGCTTACAGACCGGCATTAATCAAGTTAGGTAGTTGGTTCCATTGGCCATTAAAATTGCTGGTTAAATTCAAATTCGCACTCAAGCCCAGATTGTCGGGTTCACAAATCACCATGGCATTTTCTTGTGGTGAGATAGGTGGGTGACACAAGCGGTTTTGGTACTTCAGTTCTTGTTCATAGAAGTAGGAAGTCCTATCTTGGTAAACCGGTTGGCCGGAAGTAGATATCCGGGAAATATAAAAGTAATTGGTCGAGAGGCAACCTTAAATGTCCTTTTTGCGGCATACCAAAGTAAGCACGTTAGTATTAGGAGCGAAGACCTTTATTATTGACCGAATATGGACGGCATCTGGCTCCTATTCCAGCGAGTCGCCAAACGCCAGATTTGTCTTGCCGCTCTGGCTGAATGCGTAGTGGGAATTTCGAGAACTCGCGCTTATGAAAAGGAAACCACTGTTTCCGATGAATCCGGGTACGATCATCGGGCATCTGCCCTAAATAAATTGCGCTGGGCGTGGGCATGGACTCAAATCAAGATCCATAGAATCGGGAGTTACAGGATCACAGCATTCGATATAGAGGCCGAGAGTTGTTCTACTCCGTAGATTAGCATAATTTTTAGCGATGTTGAAGTGGTGGAGGTTGTGGAACACACTCCATGGCGGGGCAATGGTGGGGGTGGAGGCCGATCTGAGTTTACCCGGCCATTTAACGTGCAAGCCAAGCAGGCCATGATATTTAAGGGTATATATTGTCCTAAAAAGCCCTCTGCCCCAATCGGCATGCCAGCTCCAATCAGGCTGAATTCGACCTGTTGACGTCGGAGGTAGTGAGAATGGAGAGCTACACACACGAGGCGTGCCACTGCGTGGTGTACAAATACGAATACATTCCATCTTTAGTTTCCACTCCTCCCAAGAAAGTCGCAACTAATTTGGCCCTGAACACGCTGAACTCCTACGAACAAGGAAATACCATATCAATTATTCTCGGAACAAGCAAATTCCTCAAAAATGTCTAACGGATTCCTCCGCTGTGAGGGGGATAAGGTGGTTGATGGCAAGGGCAATCCTGTTGTGCTCCGTGGTGCTGCATTGGGAGGATGGATGAATATGGAAAACTTCATGTTAGTACTCCTCAGAAGTTCTATATTATTATCATTACTCACATTTCAAAGCACTGGGTATCCAGCTCATGAGTTCCAACATCGCGCAGCCATGCTCCAAGTATTAGGACAGGAGAAATACGAATTCTTTTTCGACAAGTTCCTAGAGTATTTTTTCATGGAGGCCGATGCCAAATTCTTTGCGAGTCTAGGGCTTAACTGCATACGTCTGCCATTCAACTATAAACATTTTGAAGACGACATGAACCCAAGGGTGTTGAAGGAATCAGGTTTCAAGCATTTGGACCGAGTCATTGACCTGGTAGGTAGTGCAAAATAAATTCCAAGTAAAAGCTAACAGGATTAGTGTGCAAAAGAAAACATTTATACCATCCTCGATATGCATACCGTTCCTGGCGCACAGAACCCCGATTGGCATTCTGATAATCCGTCGAATTATGCCGCTTTCTGGGATCATAAAGACCACCAAGATCGTACTATCTGGCTATGGGAGCAGATTGCTACACGATACAAAGACAACCAGTGGGTGGCGGGATACAATCCTATCAACGAACCTTGCGATCCAAAGCACTATCGTCTCCCTGCTTTCTATAACCGCCTAGAGCCAGCTATTCGGAAGATTGATCCCAACCACATTCTCTGGCTAGATGGAAACACGTTCGCCATAGAGTGGAAATTCTTCGAAAATGTGTTGCCAAACTGCGCCTATGCCCTTCACGATTATAGCCAACAAGGCTTCCCAGGTTTCGAGAGATTCAAAGGGACACCAGATCAATTGGACAAGCTTGAAAAACAATTTCTCAGAAAGGCCGAATTCCAACAGCAGCGCAAATGTGTTGCCTGGAATGGAGAATTTGGTCCGGTGTATTCAGATCCTCGCATGGATTCCGACGCGGACGAGATCAATCAAGAACGATACAATCTGTTAGGTGCTCAACTTTCAATATACGAAAAGCACCAGATCCCATGGAGTATTTGGCTATATAAGGATATTGGGGTTCAAGGAATGGTATATACTGATCCGGATGGATTCTGGAAAAAGACGATCCAGCCCTTCTTAGAAAAGAAACGCCAGTTGCAAATCGATGCGTGGGGAAGGTATCCAAGCAAACAAGTTGAGGAAGTTATAAGCCCGCTTGTGAAATGGATTGATAGTGTCTGTCCCGAGGCAAAGAACAATTATCCTACCAATTGGGCAACAGAGAGGCAAATAATTCGTTTGACGCTTCAGACTTTTGTGGCAAATTCGTTCTCGGTGGAGTTTGCAAGCTTATTCAAGGATATGTCGCTTGAGCAACTCGACGAGGCAGCGAAGAGCTTTAGGTTTGACAAGTGTCTGCAGAGAGAGGGACTAAATAAGATCATGAGCGAGCATGCTAAGGCTACCAAAAAGGCTGCGGCCGGGAATTAAAACGGGCGAATAAGGAAATATTCTCAGGGCTCCAGGGGAGATTTTGAACTTGTAAACTTTAATTTGGTCGGCGGCATCATCAGTCCACTGCTGGCTTCAACCTCATCACTCTTAATCTAGTTCAACTACGATATGGTTGTCATTTGGCCATTCGAAATACAGTGCAATATCTCTTATGAACGAACCAATGGAAAAGGCCCTTGTTACCTTCCGTTTCCCAGCTCTTTCTCCACCATGATTAAGGCTTATTCTCTCTTACAAGTGTGACATTCTATTTAACAGTACCATATACATTAATCGCGCTCTATTCAAGCCAACCCTCAAGATATCGGTGCAATTCTCAACAAGTCCTCGTCTACTGAATGCCATCTAAACAACAATATATTCCTAAAATCATCTAAAGAAATCCAAATTTAAAAAAAACAGGTAAATAATATATCATCTCTTAGACATAGAGCCACCCTAGAAATTGGCCAAACTCTCATTCTGGGCCCTTCCTTTGTTTAGTTATTGGCCCTAACTAGAGGCTTCTCAGAGCCCTCGTTCCTGTCAGGTCTTCGTCCCCTACCTCTTCCCCTTCCATCTCCTCTTCCACCTCTCGCCCTACCACTACCCCTCCTGCCTCTTCCATCATGCCTATTCACCCGGTGACCGTCTTTGCCACGAAACCTCTTTCTTCCCATCCCCTCGCTATCCTCGCCACTAAAAATATCGTGTTTCTCCGACTTTCTCTGCAGCTTGGCCTTCTCGGCCTTCTCGGCTCGCTTCCTCTTATTCTTTCCCCTTTCTTTCTCTTTCTCTTGTAGCCTCTTCAACTCTTCAATTGCTGCCCCTTCAGGCGTTGCAGCAAAAGCTATATGCTCCTCAAGAACCTTCTTTTTATTCTCCCATCTTGTGCTTTGCATTCCGAGAGCAAAGGTTTTCAGCTCAACGAGCATGCTCCGTCGGTGGAGTCCAGGATCATGGGTTCTAACTTCCGCTCCAGTTGAATATTGGGCGAGATCGTTCTGTTCAGTAATAATCTCTTGAGATTTTCGAAGCATGACTACTTTCTCGCGGTGAAGGGAAGCGAGTCGCTTTTTGTGGTATTTGCTGATATTTTCCTTGGGTTTGTCCTGATGCGTCGTGTCCTGCTGTTGGGTGTTAGTAGGGAAGTACGAGGGGTTCAATATACGGTCAGGGACATACCTGCTCAGCTTCGGCTTCGGTGGTATCCACCTCGCTAAAGACATTCTCCAAATCATCGAACGTAGCATCTGCTGGGATCTCTTTCTTCTCTTCCTTCGCAGAATGAGGATGGTCAAGTACAATTTCGTGCGCCTATTATTTTAGTATCATATTAGCATACGCCATGTTTTCAAACCCAATCAATTCTGACATACCGTCCAATCCCCGTCCTCTCCAAGACTGTGGCTCGTAATTATTGTGGCATTTTCTTCCTCGTTGACCATGATCAAAGTTTTTATAGGGTGGTTTTCAAGATGCTCTGCGTAACGAACTTCAAGATCTTCATCGGAGATATCGGCTGGGATGTTGTGGTTTACTCTGATAGGTGCTTCAAGTGCTTGAGTTTGGTTTTGGTCTTCGATATTAGAATTATTTTGTTCCATCTTGGTATTGGGTTTTCGGTGTACTTATTGGGAGTGAGCGTTATGAAGGTGTTTGATGGTATAATGCTCAATGTTATATACCTACAGTACATACCAAGGTAGGCAGTTAAGTATGATTTAAAGGAGAGCGAGAATGAAGCGGATTCTTTGTCTTTCTCTTCTCGACGCATTCATCAAATGGCAATGCCAATGCCGGCAACACCAGCCTTGAGCTTTATCATTTCTTTATTAGAAACCAAATACGCATATCTAGAAGTATTTACAATAAAGAAACCCTAAAGTGTAATAATAGTATGCCGTCGCCTAACTTTTAGACCTTTCATTACTATATTAATTATAGACAGAAATAGCACTCACAATATTTTAATTTGCCTTACCGAAATATGTACTCTCTCAAAGATAGCATTTCAAGATGTTTAATGCACTTTAACTTATCAAATGGACCCATAATGATAATACAGGTTTTATATGCATTCCACAGGATTTTGTGGTCCTATTTCTTTGTCCACCTCAGGAGACGGGGTGTCAAAAAGGGGTTTGGGGGGGGGGGCTAAGCGATTATTTCCGTGGCTAATCCTCGGCACTTGATCGAAATACACGTATAAATCGAAATAAGCATTTTCGTCAGAAACTGCTATCAAGATGGCTGCCAAAGTTCTTGGAAAACAAGAATTAAAAACTCGGGTGCTTGGCGCAATGGTAGCGCGCGGTCCTCCTACTGCTGAAAAGCTGTAAGACTGAGGTTGAGGGGTAAGCATTTGCCGCAAGCCTTTATACGGGAGCATAAAACTAACAGTCTCGTTCAGTTCGAGTCCCTTGGTGCTCGCAAATTGGTGCTCTGATTAAACTTTTTTATTTCTTTTTTTAAATTGATTTTCGCAATTAGGTAGGCTCTGTGGATTTCTTTTTTGTTCGTTAATCACGCGAGACTCGGGGTGGGGGTTCGGGGAACGGCGTGGTGGGGCAATGACAGTACAAGCAAGGTACAGCAAGTAATACGGGCATCGGGGTTATCATCAGAAGGACTACCGCTTACTTTTTATACAACTTACAATCTTTACTTCATTGATATACACCAGCAACAATGGCCTTCTCAATGCACTCCCACTCCGGGCAATTCTGTCCCGGACATGCGCAAGATCAGCTCGAGGACATCATCCTCGCTGCCATTGCACACGGCATGACAACCTACGCCGTAACTGAACACATGCCCCGTGACTCGAACGAAGACTTATACCCAGAAGAAGTCCAGCTCCCCCTCTAATTACACTTTCCTCATTTGCTTATCCCTATCCCTTGTCACATTGTTCCTATCATGCCAAATTATAAAACTTACTGTTATCAGATCGAGGGTGGCTACACCACCGAACCGCTGCTAGCTATGCACTACGCATTCCTCGCCGAAGCCGTTCGCCTCCGGCAAAAATACATATCTCAAATCCACATTCTCATCGGATTCGAAGCCGAGTGGATTCGGCCGTCCTACTCTAAGCTCATCTCCACCCTCTCTTCAGACCCCCGGGTTGACTTCTTCATCGGCAGCGTGCACCACGTGCACGGCATTCCCATCGACTACTCACCCACGTTCTACGCCCAAGCCGTAGAAAAGGCTACGACCGAAGAAAAATTATTTGCGGATTACTTCGATGCGCAGCATGCTATGTTAAATACCGTGAGGCCCAAGGTTGTAGGCCATTTTGATCTTATTCGCCTATTTAGCTCGGATCCTGATGGGGATTTGAAGGAGGGGAAATGGGGAAAGGATGTTTGGGAGAAGGTGGTTAGGAATTTGAGGCTTATCAAGGAGCAGGGTGGTTTGTTAGAGGTTAATAGCAGTGCATTGAGGAAGGGGAAGAAAGAGCCGTATCCTGGACGGAGTGTGTGTGAGGCATGGGGGGAGATGGGTGGGAGGTTTACTCTGAGTGACGATAGTCATGGAGTACCGCAAGTGGGAACGAATTATCAGAAGATGTTTAAGTATTTAGGGGAGCTGGGGGTAGAAGAGGTTTGGGTATTTGAGCGGAATGATAAAGAAGGGGAAGAGAGGTTGGTGATGAAAAGCGTAGACATGGCCGGTGTAAGGGCGAGTTTTAGAGAATGATTTGTTGATATATAAAGGTATAGATTAGATTCTAGGAAATTATTATCGTACGTGTCAATTTATCTAGGGATATTGAGTTTTCTAGATGGCGTAGACAAATATAGTACGGCACAGCTCCAGTGGTAGGAATTATGGACCCTGAGAGAGCCGGTGAGAATTGAATAGGCACTATAGTTACCGACCATCAAGGTTATGGAACCGAAACCAATAACTAGGACGCTACAAGTGACAGGGGAGGGCGCGAAATGCAACAAAATATCCTTTGAAGTGTCCGATGAAAAGCATGCGTCTCGGCTGTTAAGGGGCTGAAAATAGTGTACTCGTATGGCTACCGGCACAATGGGGCTACCAGATGAAAATAGTCTCTTCGGATCGTGTTCAATATGAACTAGCTGCTATGGTGTCCTCATTCATGTCTGCGGGAGGGTTCGCAGATAGCTTCGTTGTCATAACACCCCGATAAATCGTTGTTGAAGATCAACAGACACGGCCCGATCGAAATATTTACCATGGCATAGGTTCCATGTACCGGGCACGAATTTGGCAGATGCACTGATGGTCTTCGACCCCGCCATCACGTGAGCGATACTCGAGTACGAGTATGAACTTCTGCCTACTGCGTAAGCCAGCTTTCCAGCACTCCCTCAACCCTTTACACGAGTTTCAACCGAAAACCTCCACTCATAAATTGACCGATTAGAAAGTGTACTATTGCACTTTATCTCCTCAACTGAGTCTTCATTAGAGCGTAGCGCAACATGGCCGCCCAAACCGAGCCCGAGATTGTTTTGTACGACTCGGCCTGCACCAAGAACGTCTGCTTCTCTCCCATTGTCTGACGCATCCGCCTCATGCTTAACTACAAGCGTATCCCTTATAGGACTATCTTCCTCGAGTTTCTGGATATTGAGCCCACGCTAAAAGGGCTGTGAGTTACATTCGCCTTCTTTTGCTTTTCGTTCTTCACCTCTAGGCTCCAGCCCCTTCCGGACCTTTCCCCTCCCTTTTCTTCCTTTTTCATATCCCAATGTATAGTCTTAAAGCCCTCCGATCACGCGTGAAGAAGTCTTCTGAGTCCTGACCTTTCCCTTCCCTAGCGGCCTGGTCCCCGGCGAATCTGCTTCGGGATCTAAAAACAAATACACGGTCCCCGCCATCCAGCACGTGCCGACCAACACGTACCTGATGGACTCGTTCCCCATCGCGCAGTTCCTCGAGTCGATGTACCCGGACCCGCCGGTGCCGCTGACGTCGGAGCTGGGCCGCGAGATCGAGGCGAAAGCACGCGCTACGGTCGGCAAGGCCTTCTACGTGTCGGTGATGCCGCGCGAGATGGGGATCCTGTCATCGCGCGCGCAGGAGTACTTCCGACGCACGCGCGAGGCCGCGATCGGGCACCGGCTCGAGGACTTGCTCGACTCGGACAAGGAGGAGCAGACCTGGAATGCGGTCGCCGACGGCATGTGCGCCGTCGGCGAGCTGATGCAGACGCACAAGGCCGACGGGCCGTTTGTGCTGGGTGCCCGGCCGAGCTACACCGACTTCTTTATTGCGGGTTCCCTCCAGACGGCGAGGGTGGTGGATGAGGGCGTGTTCCAGAGGAATATCAAGTGCCCTGGGTATAAGGAGGTTTATGAGGCATGTCTGCCTTACATGGAAAAGAAGGATTAAGTGGGTGGAATCGCAGGGCAAGCCGCCACTTACTCGTAAGTCTTGTAGATGGAATCAAGGCCTCACTCGCTAGAATAAGGAGATAGGACTGAATAGTGGTGATCAAACAATGCGAAGCACTTTATTGATGTAGGAACAAGTTCCTATGAATTATCCGCTTCCCCAAAATCTATATATCCGGGGCAGGGCAAGGAGCTAGAATCGGCTCCTAGTCAGTCGAAAAGGTCAGCAAGATATTGACACAAGCTAGGACCTTTAATCCATAGGTAGAAGTTTATATTTAAGGAAGTAAGCTAATGCAGGTCATTAGCAATAATAATGCTAGCGCACCTATAAATATGGGGTAAACTTGATCTCACAGAGGGTTCTGAACTAAAGTCGATTTTGTATGGGCGTCTTAGCAAGTGCCAAAGACATGTCTCACCAGGGGAGCTTACCCCCCAGGGTAGCGAAATCCCGCCCTGTGAAACATTGCCCACTTACTTCTCAGATGGGGGTGAGACCAGGAATAAGATGGCTAGCAATATGAACAGCTTCTTAACAGAGGAGTAAAAATGCGAGAGACGTGTAACCACCCCTGGAATTAGAGGGAACAATCCATGAAGATAGCAAACTTGTACATGCTACGAGCAAACATTTTTTCAAGGAGATATAGCATCAGCAACATTGAACTGTGGTACCAAAAAGAAGCTCGCAACCTAGTCATACATGCGAAACACAGGCAATGAATATTTTGTGATCCCTGGTAGAGAGTGAGGGGACTCCTGCTTACGAAGGACTGTAGGTCTCAATGACGTGGGTATGATCAAGGGCCAGGGCCTTCCCGTACTGCGGGTCTGCCCGATTGTGGCCAAAATCTAGGGAACTGGCAGGGGGACAAGGTTGCGCGAATTGCAACAAGAACTTCAAAGACAAAATTGTACGAGGGTCAACAGTAGCAAAAGCCCCCTTGCAGGCCACTTGATAGCCTGGCTGTGCCCACAATCATGGATTGGCAGCCATAACCTGAGGCGACAGGGACGTGTAACATAGAGCATTCTGATCTGGGGGGATGGGATAGAGCTGGGGAGTCCATCGCTTTTAGGTAAGACAGAAATATTTTGTCTGGTCATCAAATGGCCGAGGAAGCTGGATTTCGGTGGAACGTTACCAGCTTGCAGTTGCAATGCACCAGGATCTCCAGAGAAACAAACTTTGTCCCATCAATAATGGAGGGCATAATCTTGGTGGCATGATAGCCACTGAAGCCTTGGGCACATAGGCCTCTCCCGCGCAGCTGGACAGGGCTCGGGCGCGGCTTGGGGCCTGGGGTTGGAGATACTGGGCTGGCTGGCATGGCGCGCAAGGCTAGCCGTGAGGGGCAGGCAAGGACGTGCCTGCTGTCTCAGTGTCCTGGTTCTCGGACTTGTCTTGGTGCTGTCGTCTGCAAATACCATCCAGAGGCTAGCTTGATATTATTGGGGTCTAGAGGAATGTTCCTTGACCGAGAATGTGGTTGACGGTACTATTACTATTGAATGCGGAAAACATTTCGGGATGTTCGTGTTGATGTTGTTTGTTGATAGGGGTTCAAAGTATCGGGCCAAGGAGTACAAAGTCCAAGATTTTAAAATCCTTAACGCCGACTAGCGTGCCTGAGTGACTGACCCTACACGTGATTCAATACTTGCGATAAATAACCTCTATCGAGAGAGTTTGGGGGCATCCTGCTTGGTTTAGGTTATACTGTTATAATTAGAACGGTATCTATTCAAAGGTCAAGTTTTATTTTAGTGGCTAAATGCTCAAAGCACGAATGATAGATGGAACTTGGCCCAACAACTTTATCCTCAGAAGAGTAGTATCCGCAAGATCTAGACCTACTAAAATTAGTTATTCCCTGGAAACCTCAATCGATTTTGATTATCTAGACTCTTCCCTACTATTCTGAACATCCACTCTCACCCACATCCCAACATGCCTTATCCCACCATCCCACCAATCCCCCATTCCCTCGTCAACCTTAAACCCATTCTTCTGCCAAGTCGTAATTGCGCCTTCCTGAGCAAGAGCACATACCAATCCATTCCATTTCCTCTCTTGAGCCACATATTCTTCTGCATTGTTTTGACAAGTAAACCCCGGATTCTCGCTTATCCACCTCAATGCCTCTTGAATCAACATGGAGGCGCATCCTTTCCCCCTCCACTCCTTTACAACGCATAGTCTTCCGATCTTAACATATGGCTCTAACCCATCATGGAAACTTGTTGCACGATCAGGGGTGTATGTCGGAGCAGGTGCGAAGAATACTTCTGAGGCGGGGAGTGGAGGGTTGGGTAGTTGGTGCAAGTCAGGGTTGAGGCGCGACCCGGGTAAGGGGTGGCGGGAGTAGTGTGGAGAGGGTATAAGGCGTATGGTGCCTATTGGTTTTGCATGTTGCTCATCCGTTTCATTTTCCACTTTCTGTTCCAGCTTATGTTCTGGTGGCTGGACTTGTGCCTTTGAGCTGGGATTTGCCCGCGGGCTCAATTCATTTGAACCAGGAGAACGATTGAATAGGACCCAGTGACAAGACCTAGCATCATCGGTGTCAAGATGGTGTTCCAGGGGGACAGCACCTAGTTCATGCACGAACACGTTTTCACGAACGGTAAGAGCGGAGAGAAATGTAGGTGGTATTTCCGGGGATTGGGACGACGCTGGGAGAAGCCTGTCATATTTATGGAGGAAAGGGCGCGGTGGTGACTGGAAATCAATCCTGAATTTAGGTCTATTGCTCGACATGCTTAGTAAGTAGCAGATTTTAGAATAATAGTAAAAATTATGGGTATAATAGACTAATTGATGTAAAAATAACGTTTTATCAGAAATAGCACATATTGTAAACAATTAAATCTTCTTCAAGAATCTAATTGAGAATGAGAATGAGCTATAGTCATCAGCTCAGCTATCGATGAGTCAATCTGAAAGGAAATGTTCGAATCGGGAAGGCCACGCGTGCTTACGCTAGTACCTATCGCGCAATACTATTGGTATCCTTGTCCAAACCAGACAACATCCAACTAGGTAAAAAAAATTTCCTATCTGCTTTCGAGTTATAAATTGTTCAAAACACCTAATGAAAGTAAGGCAACCAACTCTTAGATGTCTAGCTAACTCCTAAACGCAATCTCAGAACAGTGAAAAGCAAAAGCAAAAACATACAACAGCAGGTATTCGCTGGTGGTCACCCACCCAACTACTAATCTGCCGATCTGAGGCTTGTGTATGGCAGAGCGGACGGGATGCCCATTTCTCCTCAGTCTATGGTCGTATGTGACAGGAAATTGCTTAAATTGCTACGTATACTGTACTATAATGTTGCTCTAACGGACATGAATCTATAACTGTATGCCCCCCTGAGAAAAGAGAGTAAAACCAAGAGGAATAGATCCTTATTAGCACATACCACCAAACACAAATTTCATAAACGCGCCCGCTAGGGTGTGGTGTGGTGGGTAATTGAATAAGTATTGACTAGCTTTAAAATTGAGATTCAAATATAGCTGTGGAAACCACTAGCTAGGACTACTTGGGTGCTTCCATGAGATGCGTGAAATAAGTTTCATAAAATAACTGAAGGACAATAGACGATTGACGAGCAGTAAAGAAGCATGTAAAATCTCGATTCATAATTCGTGACGCTGATGCTATGCCACTTGAACAGCTTGCTCAATCCCTAACGCCGATGCCATGCAATAATGCAAGCAAGTAACAAACCCATCATCCAGCTATCCAATCAAAGCCACCTTCTAAAACTTGAAAGAAGCAAACTCAAGCTTCAATTAGATTCGGAATAGCGGGCCCAACTCCTCTGAGCAACACAACCCTATTACCACTGACCAAAGCATCCCCAACTTTCTCATTGAACTCCAAAAGCCTCCCACCTTCCACATGAAATACTCTCAGCTTCGACGCTTCGTCCATGCCTTGGTTGTTTATATTCTGAACTTGCAGACTCTTAGCTGCGGCATCCAACACTCGTCCAATAACCCAATCCTTCGAATAGTAGAACTCTCCGCTCGGCAATTTTGAAGTTGTAGTCGCAGCTTCAGCCTCCACATATATATAGACCCTTTTCTCGGGTGGTATCTTGGCCTCGCCCTTCGCCGTCTTCTTGAGATTATTAACCGCCACCAGCCTTGCAGCAGCGGACGTAGGCTTCGGCTTCGGAAGTACTCGTTGAGACATGTTCGCCTTCTGCGATATGCCCCAGGCTTTCAACTTCCCAAGCGCTGTCTTCGCATAGTCTGGGTGTTTACCGAATTTGCTGGGGCGCGCGCCGATGGGAACAAGGTTTTTACAGTCGTGGTCTTCATTCAAGCGGTGTTTCAGGCAGTAGTCCCTATTGCACGACGAACAATGGACCGCCGTAGATAAGCTTGTGCCGATTGTCGTCTTACATGTAGGGGATGCACATGGCCTTTCAACATCAACCATGCTCTTTCCTGCGCCGAGGGAAGGTGTTGCCAAGTTTGCTCTTCGACGCCTCGCGGCCCATTCCCCAGCTTTCGGACATTTGTGCCCAGATTCAGAGCGGTGATCAAGACAGAAAGTCCCCCTGCATGACTCGCAGCGAAAGGGGAGAAAATCGAGTTGGTTGCAGTATGCGTATTGGCAGTGCGTACCGATTAATGTTGGATCCTTCTCGTCCATGGTGGTGAAGGTAGTTGTAGTTTCATCTGCAGGATCAGAACGGGATGACGAGGCCATGGCAGCGAAGGGATGGGCTTTATAGCCCTAGTTGTTAGCTAAATAAAGAGAGTAATTGGACACTTCGAGGCGATAGCCGACGTTGGAGTTGTAGGTAGATGGCGAAGTCGTAACGGTGGACGCGAGGCTGAGTACTGAGTGTTTGGTAAGCGGTGTCCGGCGTTGCTGGAGGCTTCTCGAATGATCATCAGCCTTGGCTCGCTTAGATCGCCACGGAACGGGTACCTGGCTTATTCAACGGGAGGGTTATTTGCGGCTGGTAGCCTCGTCATTCATCCCCTTAGCTCCGAGGCAGGACAGTTACGCTTGCCACCAAAGATAGGGCAAAATCGGTGCAATCTGAAGCTACGGGTACTTTGGGTGGAAATAGGACAGCACTGATAAAATCGCTAGGCGAAATGTAATTGGTGGCTCAAAGGTCAGAGTACATCCAAAGCAGGATAGACTAGATAGTTCATATCTCATCAGGGGAGAGAAGAGTAAGTGGAATGGAGTAGTATTCTGTTCAGTCATCCATCCCAATAAGTTGAGTTTCACCCCAAACGCCATGCTTCCGTATACGACATAAATCAGCTACACTTGTGATGTTCTTACAGTTCCTTCTCTTTGTTTGCAGCCTTCTGATTATGCCTTTGCAGTGACTTTTCTCGTCCAGTTTCTGGCGAACCCTTAACAGCGTCGGGTCCTTCGAAAACCTTGACTCCCTTGTGGAATACCCATTCGACAGCTTGTTCAACCGGCTCATCAAAAATGTATGGTAGAGCAGGTACAATAGCGAGCCCTAGGCCTATAGGACCATATCCCCTAATCTTCGAACTCTTGACGTTCTTCAAAGCGCGTCCGGAATAGCGGACAATGGAGTGGATAGTAAATGCCGGCTATTGATAGGTTAGAAACTGCAACAGCAAACTGAGAATTTGATCATACCAGACCCATCGATGCGAGCGACTGAAAAACAGCCCTCTGAGCCATGACAGTCCTCCAATCATCCAAAGGTGCTACCTTCTTCGGAGCTGCCGCAATCTGGGCATCGAGAGACGCACTGCTTGGATCTAGCATAGCGTCATTGTAGTGCTTAGCATCAGCTTCCCGAGGTAGCTCAGGATGTAATATTCGCTGGTTGTTGCAGTATGCCTTGTATCCTTCATGTGCAACATCTCCGGCAAGGTATGCCCAGGAAATGCCATAGGCAGTTCGAACGAGATTGGGATGGGCTATAGGACGAAACGATTCTCCAATATCTGAGGTGTAGGCTACATATCTTTGAGCAGAAATGAGAGCAGTTCTTATGCGGCTTGCATATGCAGCATATCGGATGTTGCTTTCTGTTGACGGAGGGGAGCTGTGGAGGCACATATAATTAGCACATGTTGTTCTGAGATGGGAGGAATTAGATTTTGAGCACTTACGTTCCCTCATAGAGCTCATCATAGAAATTGTCCTCCTTATCGGCCTTGTCTACAATCTTTTGAAGAGCTGGCGGAAGCTCGTGCGGATGAGGTTGCGTTTTTGGCTGAGGATTTCGGGATTTGTCGTGTTCCGAATCGTTCTTTGCCATGTCGATTGATGTTGTTTCGTTCTTAAATATAACGATTTTGGCTCGTCCACAAGATCAGTCAGGAATGCTTTCTTTGCAAGTGCGGGTTCTCCTTGCTCTATGGAATGGGAACATATCTTCGGATTGTTCCGGAGGCCATGACGATGCCGACGACGCCGAATGCGTACCTCCGTACCTCGTTCCGGGAACCTTAATGGCAGCGACACCTCAGGCTAAGATTGCTTAGTCACCAGGTACCGCCAAGATACGAAGCTCGACAGTAAACCGAACGACCATCAACGACCTGACGCAGAAGCTCAATTCATCCCCGAATCTCCTCTTCATCTTCTCGATACCTCTCATATCTAAAGCATCCTACCGCCAAGATGGTCCAAATGTACACGATTGCCGGCCGCCAAATTGGCTCTCACTATGTAAGTGGCCCCTTCCTCGGCATCAAAGAATCTTCTGAAAACTTTGACTCTGGCGGGATCAATTGAGCCAACCCAGGGCGCATATTGAGAAACTGAAGACTGTGGCTAATTAATTGGAAACCGTAGCTTGCTATCGCCGTTCTCGGTACGATTGGTGGACTGACCATGATGGCAACTGGCGGATCGGCTGCGAAGAAAACCCAAGGACCACCTATCAATGCGTCCGGTCCCGATGAGGAGAAGTTCATCAAGTATGTTCATCCGCCGAAGCGATTTTGAACCCTGCGTCATTTACGAAGTTAATGGGACGGTGGGCTGACTCGTTTTAGGGAATTCCTGGCTCAGGCCGAGTCGGGCGGAAAGCCAGCCACCGCGGATGCGGCGAAAAAGTGATGCAGGCCGATAGATGGACCATATTAGAGAACGGGGGCGCTGAGCAGAAACCATACGAACGCAAAAACATTGGTTGCGGTGTATATATATTCAGGGCTAGAGAACGCATGTGTTGATGACATTTCAATTCGTCTTGGGTGTCCGCGATTGGGATTCAAAGTCGACTATTTACGATCTTACATGATAATCGTACCGCACACTCGTCCCGTGCATGCGGCACTACTACATGCTTTCGTGCTTTGCGACGCTAAACTTGTTCTGTATTCCTGTATTTTGAGATATTCCAAGCGGGAGATACAAGTCTGAAAGCCATCCCGTCACAGTTGTCGCGAGGTCAAATTTACCACCTTTTCTATTATTAGCCCTTGAGATTCATGAAATTGTTTCTTATTCTTGTGGGTTTAATGTACACAGATGTGTGCTTTCTGGATATCCTCAGCTTGCAAATCTAGTAGCGGGCAGTGGCTACCATATCCTCAACGAGAATACTAAAGCTCAGCAATGTTATCACCAATTATCCTTTGCTTGGCCGACACATATGAAGATTTTAATTATTTTCATTCCTCTTCAAATATGACCTAATATGTTCTCGGGAGACCCTGACACTAGCGTGTATATTGGCAAAGTGAATGAGATCTTGGAACCCACGTGATAAAACCACCATCGTCAAGCAGCACTGCTAAGATACCCTAAAATCCCCGTTTGGGCGAATGGCATGATTGAAAGTTGTGGCGCAATGGTGATTGTAGTATGAGGATCGTCTAAAATTACGGTGGGAGTGGTGGAAAAAGCTTTGGTTATTTTAACGGGTAGAGTCTCGAGGGCCATCTCTCTCGTCCTAGTTTTTACTAGTTTGGAACCAAATACATTAAAATAGACACTAGCTAGCACAAGAGCTCTCACCTCGTCGAACTTCAAGTTGAATCAGATGACGAAGGAGGAACGATCGCGTGTTTCTGTGTTTAGCAGGTGGCCCAGTCGTGGACTTATACATAAAAATAAGCAAATTTCTCGCAAGGAAGACAACGGCGGTCAATTGGCTAAGTGGCTCAGGTCAAATTGTCCGGCCCGAGGGGTTTGATAGGGATAAAACGACAAAATCGGCAGAGATATAAGCGTTCGATACCGGGCCTAACTCTTTTGCTCTCCGGAGCTGTATCGTAGTTTTCCCTCCGAATAATATACTTTTATTCTATAATTTTTATACAATTACTTCTATTATATAATATCTTATAGTAGTATATATTATAATATACCTTAGTAATACTACGATATATATAATCTAAACTGATAAAAGTTATTATATAACTGTCTCGAAAACCTCCTATCCGACTATAACGTGCCTATATACTATTATATAGTACAGGCGCTAGTTACCTACTTATAAGCTACTAGCCCTTGATTATACTGATGATAATGATGATAATGATATTTATTTACGTCGTTAAGCTAGAGCCGAACCTCCCAGGGAGTATGAAGACGTGCTAAGCTAAGGATTTGTATAGAGCCTAACTTATATAACCTATAGAAAGTATTTCAAGCCGAAGCGTGAGTCAAGTGCGGTCCTCCACAGCTAGTTGGGAGTCTATTATTTAACTGATACGTCCTCTGCACGCTCGGCACCAAATCCGCCAACCAAGTAATAGCCTCTTTCCCAAATTCCTAAATCGACCGAGTAAAGCCCCTTCTTACTCTTTCCTCCGTTGTATTAACCGATAGTTGTAAAGCTGTCCTTAGGTTGCGTCTGCAAAGGATCCTCCGCGCTGTCGATTATCCCGAGAGTTGTAGAGAGCCAGTCCAAACAGCCACGTCCCCTTATCCCTCTGCCTTCTCGTATCACCCTCGTCAACTTCGGTCTCTTGCTCGCAGGATTGTCGGTCGTCGAGAAAGGTATTCTTGTTCGAAAGGTGTTCGTCGTTGCCTCGTAAAGCCCGAGTTATATACAAAAGGGGTGTTGAAAACTCGTTTTATCTCGCAGCTACACCTGTAGGAGTTGAGGTACAGCTTTAGCTCAGCTGAATTAGCAGACAAGGCCTATAGCTAGCCACCTCAGTGACTGCGTTCTCTGTTCAGCTCAGACTAATACTTGTTGTAAGTATCGCCAGTTCGTAGCCAGCGCCCCGGTACAGGCACAGAGATCCGTCTTCGCTGGCCACCCTTGATTATACTAAGCACGTGTAGGAACACAAGGGAACGCTCTAGCTAGAGAAAGCCTACGGGTATTAGCTTTCGCACAGCTATTCTGCCTTACCAGAACACAGCTGCCAAGGGGCCTACCATCAGGGGAGAGTATATGGTGCAAATCTGTTTCTCCTTGGCAAGTTAACAATCGCCTAGTACGTCCTTCGGCGCTGGCCGATGTAGTTCTATGATGTGCGTGTCCACTGTAAGCAGCACATGTTAAAGCAAAGTTGGGGTTCTCTTCCTTACTCCTGAAAGTCTGCAGAGCTAGGGTGTTGTAAGGGCCATATGTTAAATGCTGGGCAAACATCTTGGCGGATGTACGCTATGTTCCAAATTGCCCAGTTTTGACAGCAAGTGCCTGCATTGCTTCGGCTTGCAAGCCATGCCGCGGAGGTTTGCAATCGTGTTGTCACGCCCCCACCATAATTCATCCTTCCGGAACCATCCTCTCTAGCTGTTGCACGGTTTTAGACTCTTGCTAGCACATGTCAATGTTGGCTGCTTATTTCTAGCCCGGTTTAGCCATCCAGAGTACTTCGTAACTGTAAGCCCGCCATTGGAGGCTATATTTCATAATTTAGGTATGTATTAGGATGCTCTATCGAGACACAGCATTATTCCCTTCCTCCACATCCAGCCCTACACTCTTGACCGCAGACCCTGGCAGCTCATACGCTACTGACCTCACCAAATCCTCGTTTGTCTCAGCAGCCCTACGAGGCATTTGTTCCGAGTGTAGCTGGTAGATCTGGCTATCATTACTCAACTCCCCATCGGTGGCCTTTAAACTCGATAGCTTATGATATTCTGGTGATTCCAAGCCCTCCAAGCCCACGACGCCTTTGTGCGAGTCCGAAGACTCGATAATCTGCGACAAGGTCTGTTTCTCTTTCCATCGTTTAAGAAAGAAATATCCAGCGAGGGCGAGTAGGATGGCGAAAATGGCGCAGCCGACAACTATGCCGATAATAGCACCAGTGTCGATGCCATTCTTGGGCGACGTCGGGTTCGGTTCTGCATCTCCTGGTGCGATTATCAATGGCGTAGTGTTGTTTCCAACTTTGGAGTCCTTCGAGCTTATTGCGACAATATTCTGCGCTGCGCCTTCAACCCACGAGCACGGGGACACCGAGAAATTACCGCGCTCGTAGTCGACAGTCAGATAACTAGCTCCATCAGTATTACACTGTGTAAATGAATGCGAGAAACTTACGCTTCTTGTAGAAACGTTCGTCCCAGGGTGTACTGCGTGTTATTCGCCGCCTTCTTCAGAGGAAAATAGAAGCTCGCATTGTTGACCATCGGATACTCTGCTTTCAGGTCAAAGGCAGAGTATGGGAGAACAATATTGACGGTTCCTCCGCCGCCAATGGTATCAGAGAGTTTAAAGCTGACTTCTGCATTCTCAGATAGTAACGCCTCGTGGTGCGAGTTATTAACAAGGTACAGCCCAGTGGCATCATCTAAGGTGAGGCCGAAAGCCTCTTCGAAGAGCTGACAAGCAGCTTCAGGGAGCCACAGGTTGGGATCGGTGGAATCAATGAAAACCAAGATTGGGGAGGCGAGGAGGGAGGTTTGGACGGTGCCGCTGTAGGTGATGGATTGAAGTGAGACGACTATATCGCGGGTAAGGTCTTTGGCGATAGTGAAAGAGATAGGACTGGAAGTGAAGCGGGAGGTGTCGTAGCCACTGAAGATTAGTTGGCCATAGACCTGTTTGAGTCCTAATTTAGAGAGCGTGAGGATTCGAATGAGGAAAAGGGAAACGCGGATTAGCTTACGGTACTTTGCCCCGGCGGTGTAGCTCCAACTTAGGCTAGGGATGAGATTTTGATCCCTCAAAGACGTGAAGTAGGAAGGCGCCGAGTAATTACCCAGCGAACTGAAGTTGACTGGCTGTGTACCGAGACCGAAAATTCCTCTATCCAAGTCAGTATGACTTGACCGCGATCGCCTCTATTCGGGTGAATATACAAGTAAAATGGTGAAGCGGAAGGAATGCCCGCGATGGTCTGGTTTTTGAGAGTAGGGCCATTCGCACCAGCTACCATGCCCAAACCAAGTGTGTCCAATCCAAAATTTGCAGCCTGGGTATAACCAAGATTGGCTTCGAGGCCAACGCCGTCTTGATTGATCCCAAAGAAGCCTTTGTCACTCCACGTCGACGACGAGTTTGGACTGAACATCAGGCCTCGAGAGCTTGCACAGCGCTCCGGGACAGTTTTGAAGACGATGGTTGAGCAGCCGTACTCGGACAGCACCACCATGGTCTCGGGCGATGCGGTGGAGATAGTGACACGAACATCTTGCCCTGGTGTCCCGACTCGGAGGTTGAACGTACTCCATGGTCCGTCATTTCCCTCGCTGGAAGGGATGTCAGCACATCAAGATACCATTGAAGGGTCAGAATATATCTACAAGTATTGACTTGGCGGTATCACGAGGGGAGGTACCGGTCCAGTCCCACGAACCACAACACTGTCCAGCACAGCATTACATATTCCTATCAGATACTGTGTGAGAAGCACTATTCGCAGGACAGGATACATATCGTTTGGATTTCTCCGCAACGCGAAGAAATGGAGATAACAATGAGACAGGAGTGAGATGGGATGGCTATTACGAGTATCCTAGCCGCCCCGACTCACAACACAGGGCGAGAAAAAAAGTCAAAGAAAGCCTCCGAGGAACACCGGGAGGCATGATGAGATAATTTGGTTCGCAGCAGCTGGATAGGGAGTATCAATCTGGGATGGGTTAACCTTGCGGTTCGGTTTGGTGGCTTACAGCGCTTGCTGGGTCTGAAGGGCCGCGGTAAGGCTGCTATCTACAGAAGTACGGAAATACCAGGACTTTGTAAATCGGCATCCTAGTCATTTGCCAATACAGAGTAGTATCCTTTACACACGACAAGTACGGCACGGTCCGTAGGGTGGTTAAGGCGACACGATGGGCTGAGCTCCTGTCGTTGCTCAATGGTCGACTTAGCATTCGGAGACGAGTCCGCCCCTATTTGGCGCTGGCAGGCTTGCAGCAGGGGATGGAGGCAGGGCAGCCGCCCTAGGTGCACCGAAAAAGACAGGCGGCACAGCCTTCTTGGAAGTTGAAACAAGGCACCCATCGATGGATACTGTCCGAAGGTTGTATGGCTACCAGGTACCAGGTACGGTGTCAAATCCTACGATGCGACCCTTTTAAGGAGTATGTAAGCTGCCAAGGGCTATACAGCCAACAAGAGCCCTGGTCTTCCCTTAGTCATGCCGCAACCCTACTAGCAACAATTGAATACTTAGGTACTTACTCATACAACTTTCGTACCTTCGTATACTGATCATACAGCGGCATGGTAATTTGGGTAGCGTGCTATGCAAACATGCCGCATTTTTCACACTATTGGCAAGGAAAGACCGAGTAAAACACCCATCATGCGGCTGGCACGTGCTACAGGGTGAGACGGTGAGCCTGTAAGTTTGACGCCGCATGTTGACGCCAGGAGTGTCTAGCTCTAGACCCATCTACAACGTACTTTGATAGGGACAGAGGCTCTCGGCGGAGGAATTGCTAGGGAGAGAGGGAGCGGGCGAATACACCGTGGATTTATTCGAAAGATACAAATACCACCTCCGTACACCAATAGCGATTTCCGCTCCTGTTTCTGTTTCCCACCCTCTTAACCGTCTGTATGCATTTGTATACGTCCCGTCTTTAGTTTCTTTTGGACTCTCTGTTTTGAATAATGTTTATGCCATCCGCTAGAGCGTCCTCGGGGTCGCTTGCGGTGCTCTTGTGCTGGCTAGAGACTGTTCACGGAAATGGTATGAATCTTTTCCCATGCCTTGCCCAAAGATCAAGGTCATACTACGCCTCTACTGACAACTCGCAGCTATTCCTGTTCCTGTTAATACCAGCATGGCTTCTGCCACATCTAGCCACCTGCCGTCGACCATCACTCCTGCCCCAAACCTGCCAATTTCAGAGCAGATAATTCCCATCAACACATGCTCTTACTATAATTCCACAATCAGCCAATACCAATGGAATGACCCATGGTGCAGCATGTAAGTTCGAACAGCCCAGTCTCACATGTCCAAGATGCATCTTCAAGTCTACAACTGACTCGACCAACAGCCAAGCCGGCACCGTTCAGCTCTCTTTCTGGCCAACGAATGACAACTACTCTTATCCAGCAACTATCTATGATTCTAAGCTGGATTACACTTTGTAAGAGACGCTATTGGAGACCGTTGGCTTCATCAAAGCAGTCAGCTCACACCTCTACAGCTCATCGCCTTCCGTGTACATGATAGTCAACACCATCTTCGGTTGGAATCGATGCGGAGCCCTCGGGCCCACGACTGCTAACGCGATTTTCCCCTTCGACCTCACCGATGTTTCGACACTCGTTCCCTACACCGATGACGCTACCACTCGCCGTAGCACACGACAACTCTATCTCAGTGATCTCGGCAAAAACTGTCCCGCCTCCGTAGACACGTCCTCCCTCGCAACCAACACCCACCCGATGAAGGACGACGATGTTCGCTGCAACCCATCTCTCATTATACCACCGGCTATCAAGGCATTGGGACTGCCGTACTGGCGCCATTGTGGCAATGTGGGAAACAAGTTCGGGCTTTTTGATCCTCCATATGCGATACCAGCACTAGAAGGGCTGTTCCCAGTGTCGACGACTTCAGTTATTGATAACCCAGTAGTGACGCAGCCGTCTGCTGTTGCAGGGCCAACTACCGTACCTGATCTGCCTTCAAACACCGCTGCGGTCCCGGATTTGCCTTCAAACACCGCTGCAGTCCCGGACCAGCCTTCAAACAATGTTGCGGTCCCGGATCAGCCTTCGGGCAACGCTGCGGCCCCTAATCCGCCTTCAAACAATGCTGCGGTCCCGGATCAGCCTTCGGGCAACGCTGCGGCCCCTAATCCGCCTTCAAACAATGCTGCGGTCCCGGATCANAATCCGCCTTCAAACAATGCTGCGGTCCCGGATCAGCCTTCGGGCAACGCTGCGGCCCCTAATCCGCCTTCAAACAATGCTGCGGTCCCGGATCAACCTTCGGGCAACGCTGCAGCCCCTAATCCGCCTCCCAGAATCGGTGCTGGAGCTGAAGCGGCTGAGACAGCAGTTGCCAGCGAGGCAACTCCAATCGTACCTCTTAATGTCGTCCCTTCCGTACTCCCTATTCCCGAATCGCCATTTGTATCCGGCATAGTTGATGTTTCTTCTGCCGTTGCAGTGACAGTGTCAGAACAAATCGTGAGCCTCGGCCCTGCTGGATTCGAAGTTCATACTGAAGGGGGGGCCACATCAACGTACGCGGCCCCTGCGGTTGGCGCAACAGAGCCCGGGGTAGGTGTAGGACCTGCTTCGACCGTCGTCTACCAGGGCCACACCTTGACGCTCTCTGGTGCTGCTGTGACGGTGACGGGGGCTGTGGTCTTGGTACCTAGTGGGGATGCTGTGGGAACTGGGCTCAAAGGAGGGGAGAGTGCTACAAATGCGCCGGCAGTAGCATCCTCTGCTGGCTCTGCAGACAAAGCTCTTGGTTGTAGTGTTTACATAGGTTTGAGCCTTTTAGTTGCAATCTGGATGCTTTAAAGTAATCACCCACTAGGTAGGTAGTAATGCTGCAAGCCTAGAACGAGAGTGGGAGAGACTTACGGCGTGCTATTCGCTGGTCGCCATGTTCTGACAAGTACTGATTGTTGGATATAAGTCTCTGGGTGCTCGCCAGAATCATGTGGGAACGTTTAGTTGCTCATCATCTTTGTAGCCCTAATACTCCCTGACAGGGAAAACGAGTACACCAGGCCATAATATGCAGGGGGTCGGCTTGTCGCGGACAACTGATGAAGAGCAGCTACTTCCGTTCCACTTCCTCGTTCATTGCTACTGCTTAAAGCAGCTGTTTTGTACCGTGAATGTCTTCGCCTCTATCAAGTAAGAGAGCAACCATCTCCTCATCAGATTTCTCTATAATTACCTTAAAATTTCCCTTGGTGGTAAAAGCCCAGTGGGTAGTTGCTATTGCATTCCCCTCTGCCTGTTACTCGATAAGGAATTTGACCACCTCGACATGGCATTTATATGACTAGAGATAGCAAAAGTTACTTTTGAAGTCGACCTTAAAGCCAAGGGAATACTTGCACGTGATCTCGTGATCCTTGCAACGGATCACCAACAGGGATGCATTCACAACAACGGGTACGGAATCTCATTCGGTCGCTCCCGCTGATAACTTTATAACTCTACGGAGCACCCCTTAAACGCTCAACGACCTGCATGACGGATTCTATTTACATTTAACCACCATGTCTAACCTCGGGAAGCGTAGCGTCCCCTGGGTTATTGATTTAACTGGCGATGAAAACCTTCGGCCCCAAGCAAAACAGGCACGTCTCAATCGAACTTCGGCCACTCAACCGCGACCAAGTCAATCTTTCGGCTCGTCTCAATCAAGCCAATCTTTAAATTCACCAAGCCAGACCGTACGAGGATCATGGTAAGAGACTAGCGAAGAATATGACATAATCGATCTCAGTCAAGAAGATAATGAAGTGTCTCAATGGTTATATATGGGAGCCATTCATGACAAGATTGTCGGTATTCGATACTATGATGGTGTCGCCACGACAGGAGAGCAGGTTATGGTCAAGCGGGAGCCCACAAATATTTATGATCGGAATGCCATCAGGGTTAACAATGTGGAAGGCACTCAGATTGGCCATATTCCTCGAGTATTAGCCACGAAACTTGCTCCGCTCATGGTTAGTTGCTTGTCCCGTCACGAGATATAGGCTCATTAATAGCAAAGGACTCGAGAACTATCGTTATCGAAGCCATCCTGGCTGGGCGGAAAACTGGATATGACTGCCCTATACTATTGAAAATATACGGGCCTGCTGACCCTACATCCCGTCAACAGTTAGAAGCTATGTTGAGAGCTAGCCGGCTGTATATCGGCAGAGAATATATTACCGTACCTAAATCAGCAAATATTCCTCTGCCACCAAGGAAACAATCCAAGTCTCAAGGATCTTCACAGCCCTCAAGCAGTCAGAGGGCACCTGTTCCCGAGCTTGGGATTCAGCACTTCGTCAAGAATAGTGAACGCTTTAAACCTCGAGACGTGGAAAAACTTGTCGAGGAATGGGGAGTTGGTGAAGATGCGTTATCTAAAATGCCGATGGCTGAGCAGCCCACAAAATTAAAAGCCACTTTACTTCCGTATCAGCGTCAGGGGTTGGCCTGGATGCTGGAGAAAGAAAACCCTGTCCTTCCGGCAGTAGGCTCAAAAGATATTGTGCAACTATGGAAGCGCTCACAAGAGAGGGGATGCGGGTCTACTTTCCAAAACATCGCGACTCAATTCAGTACTACAACCGCTCCAGTTTTGGCGCGAGGCGGCATCCTTGCTGATGATATGGGATTGGGAAAGACTCTTCAAGTGATCAGCGTTATTCTAGAAGGAGGTTCAGGAACAACTCTGATCGTTGCGCCTGTCAGTGTAATGTCGAACTGGGCTCAGCAGATGGAACGACACGTCAAGAAGGAGAACGCGTTGAAAGTCTTGACATATCATGGAAGTAGCCACAAACAAATGACTTGCGAAAATTTCAAGGAGTACGATGTCGTTATTACCACGTATGGAATGCTGTCCTCCGAATGCTTTCCCCGAGGTACCAAGACTCCGAGAGAAATTCCAACCAAGAAAGGCCTCTTCTCTATGAACTGGGCAAGAGTCGTTCTTGATGAGGGGCATACCATCCGCAACCCTTCTACCAAAGCGGCCGTCGCAGCCACTGGTCTATTGTCCAGGTCCAAATGGGTCCTCACAGGAACCCCAATCGTCAACACTATCAAGGATCTATACTCTATGCTCAAGTACCTGGGTATATCAGGGGGTCTCGAACGATTGGAAATTTTCAATGCCATTCTTACGCGACCATTGGCTCAGGGTGATCCGAAAGCTGAACTCATCTTGCAATCCGTCATGCGCACGATGTGTCTTAGAAGAAAAAAGGATATGAAGTTCGTGGATTTAAAATTACCAGAACTGTCTGAGTATGTCCACCGCATAGCCTTCCGTAGAGACGAGAAAGAGAAATATGACGCGTTAGAGTAAGCTCGGACATCATATTCTCTATATTGAACGTTGTTAACTGTGTGTAGAACCGAGGCAAAAGGCCTGGTCGAGAAATATACCAATGAGAAAGCTAAGAACGGATTTGATGCCTACCGTCACCTTGAAATTCTGTTACGACTTCGCCAAGTATGTTGCCACTGGAAACTCTGCGAATCTCGAGTCACGAATCTCCTGGCACTCCTAGAGTCAGAAGGGGCTGTGGCCCTCACCAAAGAGAACTGTGCAGCTCTTCAAACATTGCTGCAGCTCAGCATCGACAGCCGAGACGAATGCGCCATTTGTCTCGAGGAATTGCATAACCCTGTCATCACGGCTTGCAAACACGTCTTCGGTCGAGACTGCATCGAGCGCACTATCGACCTGCAGCACAAATGCCCCATGTGCCGCGCCGAGCTCGTCGACAACGAATGTCTCATAATGCCTATTGAAGAAAGCCATGTAGAAGATTTAGAAATCGACACTGAGACAAAAAGCAGCAAGACTGAAGCATTAATGAGTATTCTCGCGGCTAGTCGCAAAGATCCATTATCCAAAGTCGTCATCTTCTCCCAGTGGACGAGTTTTCTAGATATTATCCAACACCAGCTGAAGGAGGGTGACATGAAATACACTCGTATTGACGGCAGCATGCCGGCTCACGTCCGCGATGCCGGTATGGCAGCACTGGAATCCGACCCCGACTGCCGGATTTTACTAGCCAGTTTGTCCGTCTGCAGCGTGGGTCTCAACCTCGTTGCCGCAGATACTGTTATACTTGCAGATTCCTGGTGGGCTCCAGCGATTGAAGACCAAGCGGTCGATCGTGTGCATAGATTGGGGCAGAAGCGGCCTTGTACGGTGTGGAGATTAGTAATGGAAGATAGTATTGAGGAGCGTGTTCTGGAAATCCAAGCTGAAAAGAGGAAGCTAGTAGGCAAGGCGTTTCAGGAGAAGGCTAAGGATGGAAAGGCAAAGACTACGAGGATGGGCGATATCTTGCAGTTGTTGAAGTAGAATAGAGGAGTCGGGGATTTGACCTACACTTGGCATAAAAGTTCGAGGTGGTGCATCCGAGATTTTCATTTGGCGATTGGACTTTGCCTGTAAAAGTACTAGGTATGTAGCACTAGTTCGCTTGTATTATTGATGTTGAAAATGGCCAAGATATATATTGTACCAATAGCCATGTTGCTCTTGAGATTGGAGAGTTCGAAATTATCGTTAGGTTTACTTGGGAAATTCAGAAATGCAAGCCACAACTTTTCAAAATTATACCTTAAGCCGCTTAGTCTATCTTTGCTTCGTTGCCCGAAAATATCATTGTTTGCAACTACACTGCCTAGGCCTACTTTTCCTTTGTGGTATTCTTCGTGCCGAACCATCTACACCTCTCTGTAATATACCTACCTCATCATTCTTTTTCCATCTCTAAACCTCAGAGCGAAAGGAATTTAATATCATCCTTAAGTAAGACATAGCTAGATTTCTCGTGCAATCAAGGTGAGATTGTATAGGACGCCAGCGAACAGAGCCGTATGCGCAGGAAGTCAGGGCTGAGTGAAGAGGCACAAGAGAATAGTCCAACAGACCTGTGCCAACAATCACACCTTCACTTGCTACTCCCCTTTGAGTCACCTATAAACACACAAGCACGTGCAGGAGAGCGGGTGAGTTGGCGGTATCTATTGATGCTCGCTTGACTCAACCTGATATAGGTAATAGGACGGCAGTTTTTGCTATATCTTCAACCCCAGAATTTCGACGACTCTCTTTCAACTCTTCCTTCCTTCAACCGCTCCTACAACCGCGTGTTCAACCGCGCCCACAACACGTTCTCATCGCGACTTTCCTGAAAATACTCTTCCGCCGTAACGCCGATCGCAACCATGTAAGTACACTCTAATCACTGTTGTTCCCTATTATTCCCTGATAGCCTACGCGTGTACGCTCCTTCGCCCGACCGTGGCACTGTGACCTCAGCTTCCTAAGAGATCTTTGGTCGTTCAGTTAAACTGAACATACAATCGCACTGCTACCACGGCAGTCCCCAGTCACTTTTGACGAGCTTGGACCAGTGGAAAGATGAAAACAAAGAAAGGAGGTAGCCATAATCCGTCCTAAGCTAATAACGAGGCAGGTCCCTCTGGGATAAAGTACAACAGCTGTGGGGAAAATGGGGCAAAGGTGACAAGAAGCGTGGCAGCTTCAACTTGAAGGCGAAGAATGGCGAGGACAACCGAAAGATCAAAGGCAGTGTCCATCCTACCCTCTGGCACTGCGTAAGCAATTAGCCCTCTACGTTCTATTCATACTGCAATTAACTCATACATGTTGTAGTGCCGATGCCCAAGCCGTCCATGCTGGACTATCGGACACAACTGTCAGTGGTGCAGACACTCTGAGTGTGACAACTGCAAGAAAGCTGGCTTTGTCACTATTAAGTTCTAGTGGTCGCCCCGCACCCTACAACTGAAGTCGCTGTTACATGGTCGTTGGTCGTCAATGGGGAATGGAAAGGTCTCGGTTAAGGAAGGATAGGGGCAACGATGCAGGGTCTCGCAACGTTGATCGCGCTTGAACTAGCAAACAATACACAGGCTCATCTCCCCTTGCGCATATGTCCAAATATACCCGGCTGTGACCGCGAGCATATCCTTGTCCGGTAATTCCCCACATCATGTAGTATTCCTCCCTGAACAGTGCCTCGTGACTACAACTCTACGGCCACGGCTCGTGTTACTCCTCGTTGTAGTGTATTGCAATCCTTCTGTTCCAAGTGCTACAGAGGACTGCCAAGAGACTACAATAGCGGTATTGGAGAACAATACTTGAGACAGCCCTATTACAAGACGTATATACCTTTTATTATCTAATCCAAGACCAGATCTACGAGTCAACTCCACCATTCCCAACACACGCTGTAGAAACAAACACCAGCCGCCAAAAAAGGATATTCATCAATTCATCGCTACCGTTTCTACTTCCCCTCTATAACGCCTTCTAGCATCCTCGCTGCCTTAACCTCCCTCTTCCTAAACCCCCTATTAAACATCTCCGGCAAGACCATCTGCGAATTTACATGTTCCTTCGCAAAGCCAATCTCCGGATTGCCCCCAAAACTCTCCCGTGTAACCCTTACAGCCTCCTCAAGCAATTCAGTTCCCACTCCATTCCCGCGATACCTGATACGCACAGTCCAGGCACGGATGATGCCATTTCCACGATTCTTGCTGTTCTTCCCGCCCTTCTTTTTCGAACTCGAGGACCCTGGCGATGACGGACTGCGCTCAAGACGGAGGACGGCGGCACCGATCAGTTCGGAACCGTACCGACTCCCTATCACTATATCCTCCTCCCCATCCGCATCGTCGTTCTGCAGGAACTTCCACGTCACGTTCTCGGCGAAATTTAGATACCCGCCTGCTACTCCGCGAATCGCGACTAAGCCGGCCATGGTTATGCCAGCACATGTTGTGGCTAAGAGCCCGACGTCCGAGCGGGATTTGTAGAGTGTTTGGGAAGTGAGAGCGAGTATTAAGATGTACACGGCTATGGTGAGCGGGTGGAAGATTACGGCTCGGGAGGCTTGTTGCCGCTGTTGTGCGACGGAGTCGGCGATGAGTTTGAGGGCCGCGATTTTGTCCTCGCTGGTTGTCAGAGTGGTGGTGACCAGCGGTGGGATATCAACGAGTGGGTCGCTACGTTGAGGAGAGGCTGTCTCGAGAGAGGATCTGGAGGCCGAGACGGATGTCATGGTTGCGAGGGAGGAGCTGGGCAGTGACTGGAGTGGCGGTAGAGTTTGTGAGGAGCAAGCGCTTAGGAGGGGGGTGGAGGTGTTGGAATTCAGAGTCGATGAGGGGAGGATCAGATTTGCGCGCAGGAAGGTGAAAAAGGCTGGAGGGAAAAAAAATCAGCAGGGTCAAATGACATGATGTTTGCGAGAATATTAGAGCTATGTGCGCTCTGTGGTTGAGGTCTTTGAACCGTTGCCTGTGCAGTATTTCCTATCTGCTAGGAGAGTAGGATATGATATGCCTTTACCTTGTTGACCCAACGCTGTGGATATAGTCCGTGTACTGACCGTGGTGCGATAGCGACACAAAACCCACTCGATCTGCCTCGCCAAGAAAACAATTGATGGTCGTCCAAGAACAAAGAGCCAAGAGCAGAGAAATAAGGTGCCAGTGGCGATGTATTGAAAAATTCTGCCCGGTCCCAGATAACAGGAAACGAAAGAAGTCACGCTACTACTTACTGGTACTGGTCCTAAAGCCAGGGACGGTATTCATCCTGTCCGCAATAGTGATAGTGATAGTGGCCATCACCGCCGAGGGAGGGATGACGGGATTGGTGGGAGCCCAGCGGACTAGCCCCCGTGCAGTGGGCTGGCCGCAGGATTGGGTTGTGTAGCTGTGTAGCTGGGTACCCCAAGGGAGGCAATCTTACTAAACGACGTCTAGAGACTCCAGCAAAGGGGTGCAGGCTGTTGGGTTACTTGGGGTAGCATCGCAATGGGTGTGAGGCGACGCTGGGCTATTGCAAATGCTTTATACCTGATCGCCACAGCGGTTCCAGGCGTATCGTCTTTGCACGTGTGTGGCATTGACTGGTGTGTGCGCTGCGATACCAGACGCCTTGACGCCTCGACTGCCTTGGCGAAGCTTATCAAGTGCAGCGAGTTCCAGAGCAACCAGAAGTTGGGTTGGCGACATTGTTTGGCCGTTGCGGCTACGTCACCGGTTGGCGTGAGGTTGGTATTGATGAGCATGCTGCTGGAACGAAACCGTGGTGGTCTCAGGTAGATATTGGTCTAGATGCGAGTCCAAGGGGGTTCAGGTTGGCCGAGGCTGGTTAATAAGGCAGTGAGTGGTAACAGGTTGTTTAAGCCTTAAGGCTCTGTTCCAGGATATGTTTGTTCGTTCCACTTGCCCTTGTCCTTAAGACTCCCTACTCCGAATCTGGCCAGTATTGCGTTTGCTACATGCGCAGTCTCGCGCTGTTCAAGGCTTCGCTTCCTGACGCCGCAGCCAGGCATCGCCTGTACGGTACAGCTGACTGGACATATGGCCTTGGGGTTGGCCCTTGGGTTGGTGGTCAGCCAGCCATGATTATATCTATCATATGTATCCCATATCGACCCCATCTTATGGGGAGTGCTCCCCTCCAGATTCCCGATTCCAGACTGGCCAAGTCGGCAACCCAGGCCATGGCGTTCTGATACGAGCTCAGTACATCCACATCCACATCCACAGAAACCAGGATTATCCATTTGTCCGGCTTGGGAGCCACAGAGTTACGTCCTCGGGGCTGTCGATCTGGCGATCCCTGTCTACTTCAAACATCCAAACAGTCAAAAATCAGCCTCAAACAACCGCATTATTAAGACCCAAAGACGATACCAGAGAAAACATCACGTTCAATCTAATCATGCGGCCGATCGTTGACCTCCCAGTTCACAGTTCACACCCCGCTTGCAGATCGACGGCGGAGCTGACACGGCCCTCCTGTTTGGGTCTCCGACGTTTTAAAAGTCCACATTATGCCAAGACATGACATGGAGAGAACATTTAAATATTATCCCAGAGATTAATACTACGTGCGTTGAGCAATCACTAGGGCGAATGCCCTATTAACGAAACCTGGGAAACAAAATGCATTTTAGTAATAGCATCGAGCAATTGCAGTTGCCTCAGTTGAGCAAGTTGGCCACTTGCTTGCCACCAAAACTCTCACTGTGAGCCCAAGTGTTACTCTACATCATGCGACGTGTAGACCTCGGCAGGTAGAGTGGTACTCGAGTTGCGCATTGACTATTATTCGGCCTGGGGGCTACGCGCAACTGCCACTGCAACTGCTGATGCAACAATGCACGAGTGGACTTCTAACAACTTTATAACCATCAATATAGGGGCCCAAATAGGGGTACCGAGGAGTTAAGGAGAGGGAGGGAGTGGGCGAACTCGGGTAGGCAACTGGGGAACGAAGCGAACTCGTGCACATATAACCGAGCCACAACCCCCTTTCCATTCCACCGGCGCCCTCTCCCCAACTCCTGAGGTGAGAGTTGGGATACCAAGAGATGGCCGCAGAGCTTGGCTTCTTCCCTTTGCGTAACAGGTATCTGGATATCTATCGAGAGTCCCAATTATCCTCCATTGATAGCGTAGATGCCACGCGGAACTTGTCCGCAGCGTCGCCCAGGGAAAAACGATGTGTCAAACCCAAGACCAACCCCGCCCCGCCAACAGAGATAAGCCTTTCTATAACGTTGACCCCGCCATGAAGTTCGCCGATATCTCGGGACGAATGGTGATGTCAGCCAATTCGAGATAGCGATAACTTCGCGGAGGTCAAGTATATATACTATATAAACCTTCTCCTTTCCGTCGTTATTCTAATCCTCATGCCGATAACCCATTGTCAATTGATTCTGTATCTATAACCGATTCCCGCAACTTTCAAACTCCTATCTATTCCAAGCTACACAAAAAGCACCGTTGAAATCTGAAAAGATGACTTGGGAAGACGTAGTCGCTGATAAGTTAAAGCGCCTAGAGGCAACCATTCCCCAAGAATGGCGCCTCCAGGCGCCGCCAACGGAGGACTCGGTGATGGACTATCCTAAGAAAAGCGGAATCATGACTCCTGAGGAGATTGCGATTACCGAGTCTTCTGCTACGGATTTAGTCGCAAAGATGGCAGCGGGCCAATTGACCTCGGTCGCCGTGACGACTGCTTTCTGCAAGAGAGCAGCTCTCGCCCATCAACTGGTGAGAATCAAGTTTCCGCACTAGTTCTTTAGAGCGAATATTAACCCCTTATTTTCATAGACCAACTGCTCTCTCGAGTTCTTCCCCGAGATGGCCCTGGCACGTGCCAAGGAGCTCGACGCTCACTTAAAGTCCACCGGGAAGACCGTTGGGCCCCTTCACGGCCTTCCAATCTCGCTCAAGGATCAATTTAGAATCAAGGTAAGCATTGAGCACCGATTAAAAAGAAAGGCACAAAACTGATCCCATATAGGGCCTAGAAACCTCCATGGCATATGTCGCCTGGATTGGAAAATTTGAGGAGGGAAACTCCGTTCTCGTGGATCTCCTTCTCAAGGCCGGTGCGGTCTTTTACGTCAAGACCAGTGTTCCACAAAGTTTGATGGTTTGTGAGACTATCAATAATGTTACTGGCCGCACCGTCAACCCAAGAAACAAGAACTGGTCTTGCGGTGGATCATCTGGGGGCGAAGGAGCCATGGTTGGATTCCGCGGAGGCATCATTGGTGTTGGAACTGATATCGGTGGATCTATCCGAGTCCCCGCAGCGTTTAACTTCCTATACGGAATCAGACCTAGCCATGGCCGGTTGCCATACGCAAAAATGGCAAACAGCATGGTAGGCCAGGAGACGGTCCACAGCGTCTGTGGGCCCATGACACATTCCGTCGCAGGTAAGATTTGCCAGAGTAACCAAGAGAGCCAAACTAACGACGGTTAGACATGCGCCTTTTCATGAAGTCCGTTCTGGCCCAAGAGCCATGGCAATATGACTCCAAAGTCGTGCCAATGCCATGGAGACAATCTGAGGAAGATGCCATCAAACCGAAGCTATCGTCAGGAGGCTTGACTGTTGGATACTTCAACTGCGATGGAAATGTGAGTCCTCCTATATATCAATTTCCTCTTTAGGGGGGGCGATTTTCAGGCATAAGCCACCAAATTACCCCTTTACCCTCAACTGACACTCCTAGGTCCTCCCTCATCCACCCATCCTCCGCGGTGTCGCGACCGTCGCCGAGGCACTCAAGAAAGCCGGCCATACTGTCTTCGAATGGGCGCCCTACAAGCACCCCTTCGCCGTAGACCTCACCAACAAAATCTATGCCGGAGACGGCGGAACCGACATTTTCAACACCCTTAAGGCGTCCGGCGAGCCCCCTATCCCCAACTTTAAGGAGCTGATCAATCCCTCACTTCCTAAGGTCGACATGAACGAGCTATGGGATGTGCAACTCCAGAAATGGAATTACCAGATGGAGTATCTCGAGCAAATCCGCCTCGTGGAGAAGAAATTAGGAAGAGAGGTTGATGCTATCATTGCGCCGATCACACCCACTGCGGCTGTCAGACACAACCAATTCAAGTACTATGGTTATGCCACCGCGATCAACTTACTTGATTTCACCAGTGTCGTTGTCCCTGTTACCTGGGCGGATAAGAATATCGATAAAAAGAACGAGGCATACAAGCCAATCACCGAGATCGATGGTGTTGTCCAAGCTGAATGTAAGTCCATATCTTGTTATTCTGCTGCATATTTTAGGGATTTGTTTTCGCTGATATGTTTCCGTTATAGATGACGCTGAGGCATACCACGGAGCTCCTGTTGCTGTTCAGATTATCGGCAGGCGCTTGACTGAGGAGAGAATTATGGCTATTTCGGAAGAAATTGGCAGATTGCTTGGAAATGAAATCACCCCATGAGGAGTATAGTTTTTATACCCGGTATAATAGTTTATATGTAGTTTTTGAATACCCTTACTGTTAGAAGGGAAGTGATCATAACAAAAATGAAAGGGCACACCTCAAGAAGGAATACTATGATTTTTTTTACTGCTCGTTAAGCTTAATGGATTCGTTGTGACCTGCCATAAAATAATAGAATTTGGAAATCGGTCTCTACAAATGAGGAGTAAACATCTGGCAGAGAAAAGACATCGGCCTACTCTCTTAGTTGCAAACTTTGCCGTGTTATTATATGAAGCATTATCCTGAAAAGAAGCAGTGCAATACTTGAACTTCACCTTAGAAAACTTGAAACTACAAATCATCAAGATCACTCCTCACCCTTCCCATCAACAACGCTTCAATCTTCGTCCCCTGGGCTAAAGTGCCCTCCCCAGCAGGCAAGCACACCAATGCATTAGCGCTTTTCAAACTACCTACCCTCGAGCTTCGTTGCCCGCCCGTACTAGATGCATGCAAAACCCCATTTTTATCCATTGTGACAACAGCCCGATGATACTCAGCTCTTTGCGGATCAAGGCGGAAACCATGATCCAGCGTAACCAGTATTTTCGGCAAGCCAGCTGGAGAAACGCCGGAGAGGCGATGTAGAGAAGGTAGAACAAAGAGATGGAGTGTCACGATGGCTGAGACGGGATTTCCCGGCAGAGAGAAGATGACCTTCTCGACCCGTTCTCCGGCATTGTTCTTTACCGGCACAGTTGCGAATGTTGTGGGTTTTCCGGGCTTCATCGAGACACGGCCAAAATGGATGGTTCCGCCGAGTGAGCGCTCGATGGTTGGTTTTAGCAGGTCGAGTTCGCCCATGGACACCCCGCCTGAGGTGACTATTAGGTCGACCTTGCGAAGGGCATCACGGAGGGTCCCTTCTAGAGCTCCAGGCTTATCTCGCGCGATTCCGAGATCGATTACTTCGTAGCCCCAGCCTCGTACGACGGACATGATAGTTGGCCGGTTGCAGTCGCGAACTTCTCCAAGTCGCAGGTCACCCGGTCGGTTGTGCTCCACGATCTCATCACCGGTAGATAATACACCGATGATGGGTTTTCTATAGATAGATACTTCGGCTCTGCCAACAGATGCCAGAAGGCCCAATTCTCCGCCTGTAGCAGAGATCTCTTCCCCTTTTCTTAAGATAATTTCGCCTTGTCTGGTATCGCTCCCGACTTCTCGGACATTCTCTCCTGGCTTGACATTTCCCGCTAATATCTCCACATCTTTTTCTTCCTGGCCGTCTTCAGTCATGGTTTTCAAGACCGTATCCTCGACCATGACAACTGAAGTAGCCCCAGGAGGAAGAGGTGCTCCGGTGGTAATACGCGTAATTTGCCCAGCTTTTAATGGGGGAATTTCCCCGGGTGTAGCGTGAGATATCGAGACAACGGGAAACGTGCCCTTGCTTGAACTGCTACCTTCTGGAGCAATAACAGCATAGCCGTCCACGATGCTCGCTCGATATGCCGGTACTGCTTCTGTGGCTGTAACATCATCAGCAAGGACAGAGCCTACCAGCGCCCCATCGACCTTGACCTGTACCACGAGCGGCGGTGGAGTGTGCTCTTTGATAAGCTTGAGAGCTTCATCAACTGACAGCATCGGGTACGGGGAGGAGCGATTCCGTCGAGATGGTCCTAAGCTCGGGTCATTGGAACGGGGATTCTCGTCAGGATTTGTATGTCTGACAGGCATCGCATGCCCATGGTGGCTGTGACCATGCCCATGGGAGTGTCCATGGGAGTGTCCATGAGAATGGCCATGGGAATGCGTGTGTTGGCTTGACGGAGCGGCAACCCCTGCCTGTTTCTCTAGCTGCTTGACGCCCCCGGCATGTAGACTTCTTGAGTCTGCCCCGGCTGCCTGAAGGCAAGCATGAGGGAGCAGCTTTAGCACGGATTGAAGATTCTCTTTGGCTCCTTTGGGAGAGCCAGGAAGAGTAATAATGATCGTCTTGTTTCGTACTCCAGCCACTGGCCGCGACATCATGGCAACTATTATAGGTCAGCTGACTAGTATACAATGGCCCCTTTTTAAGAGAATTAGGCATTTGAAAGACTTACAAGGAGTGACAGCTAAAGAAGCAGTCAGCATGCCATGGACCAGCCCAGGTGCATGTTTATGCAAAAGAGGAGCAACAGCCTCAAAAACAACGTCAGAGTATATCCTGTTTTAGAAGCTCACTAGAATTCTTATACCTCTGGGGTGCTATCATGAACCGCAAACCCGGTCCCACCTGTTGATACAATCAAATTAACGGCATCATCCCGATCCGTCCAAGCCGTGATGCTCCTTTGAATATCCAATACCTCATCCCCTACAATCTTTGTATCAACAAGCTCCCATTTCCCCGCACCCTCTTTGTCAAAGACTTCGGCCAGTATCTTGCTAGACGTATCCGTTGAAGGGTCTTTCGATGCTGTCGTAGAAACTACAAGAATTGCTGCTCTTAACAGGGTTTCGGGATTGGACATTTTGATTATTGTATGAAGTTTGGTTTGAGTTACTCACTCGTCGTTTGTCTGTGAGTCCACGGAAACACTTCGGCAGTTGTTGTCGCGTCACCCCAAATTATTTTCCTCGTCCAGCCATATCACGTCCTCTCCCCTACGTCAAGAATGCGATTGTTGCAGCAATAAAAATCACGGCTCAATCATGGTGCGGCTTAAGAATCGCTATTTGCTGGTCAATATCCTATATCCCGAATTGGAGAAGACTACGACACCAAAATCGAATGCGGTATCTGATGTCGTCGCCATCAACCAGCCGACCACGAACGCATTAACACAGCATGCATTGCTAAAGGGCATTCGGTCGCAAATCCTAGAGCTATTTGGCGATTATGGATCGGGCGCTGTGTCAGAAAGCCTCTGTGGTAATAATACAAAACATCCCGTTCTAACTTTGACTGAGCAATATACTGATTAGTACTTTAGTCAAATACCTGTCACCGGCCACCTCGACCTTCATATTACGAGTATCTCGAGCGCATTATCGAATCGCATGGGCAGCTCTGTCATTTATGAGGCGTGTCCCGGTAAAAGATGGAAAGGATTGCGTGTTTAGGGTTGTGAGAGTTAGTGGCACGATCAGAAAAGCGGAGGAGGAAGCAATTCGCAGAGCAAAAGAGATCATTGTCAAGGCCAAACGGGAGCTTGGGGAACAGGGCGAATCAACCTTGGATAATATATTTGGCAAAGCGGCGGAAGCCGATTCCGCTAAAGATGTCCTGATGGTGGATAGAAGCGACAGTGAGGAAGACGATGGTGTCAATAGTGATGATGGAGACGGATGAGGGTATCATTGGTTCCTTCTAACTACTTTCATGCCACTTCCTCCAGGCGGCAAAGACATTTGCTCGAGATCACCATCCTCATCCCGAGCAAGCTCAGCCTCTTTCGCCCGCTCAGCTTCATCACGAACCTTAGCTTGTTCCTCCCACTCCCTCCGCTCTTTCTCGTCATACTCGTCCTTCGCATCAAGCCACCGTTCCTGAACATCCTTGACATCCATGGTTGTCGTACCTTCCCTCATTGCGACTTGCCAGACGGTGTCATTGGCCCCCTCCGCACCCCCAAATGCGTAACCACCAGCTCGGTCGATGACTTGGAGCAAATGCATCATACTCCTCTTATCTTCTACCGCCAGGGTCTCGAATCCCACCAAACCAAAACTATCAACGACTTCAATTATGGCTTTGTTGAGCCCTTGGAATTTCGGACCGACTGAGGATTCTGCTTCAAGGATTGGTAGGAGATATGATAGGTCTTGAACCTCGGTATAGAAGTCGATGTTAAATGGCAGGGGCGGGTATGATGCGAGTTTGTCTATCTTTGTCAGGACATTGAGGTGTGGAAGGTCCATCTGCAGCATAGCTCGCAGAGAAAGAATCAAATGGGAGATGTAGAGCGAAGGGAGGGTGAGGCAGTATGAGTCGGAAAGGTGTAGTGCTACAAGCTACCCAGAAGTTAGCACATGCCATCCTAGGATGGAATTTGGAGCGGCTGCGCACTCTATAACCAAGCTTCTGTAACCTGAAGAAGATATTTCGTAATGACGAATGGTGCGTATAGAGCTCAACCTGCCCAGGACAATCAAAAAGTACATAGTCCTCGCCTAGCTCACTCAATCCTTTCTCCAACCATTCTATATTATGCTCCAGTTCTTCGAGCGCATAAAGCACGCCACCGTTTGGTCCTAGGTCGTGCTCCTCCATAACCTCCTCCAGCTTTACAAGATCCCGTACGTCTATCGCGCAGTCGTAGCCCATATTCTCATTTGCGGGATCTAGGTTGACCACTGAACATTTTCGCCCTATCGCCGACATGAACTGTTGCACTAGAGGACAAAGTTAGGTAGGATCCTTGAGCTGCTCATGGAGGGGTAAATATCATACTGCCATTGCAATATGTGCTTTTGCCAGCTCCCGGGCTGCCTAGCACAAGCTGTGCAAACGGCATTTTGATGGTGATAGAATATCCTCGTCCAAGCCCAAAGCTGTACCAGATCTTGAGCTTATACAGCAATAGCGGAAAGCGGATGGCGGGGTAGAATGTCGGCCCAGGCTGGTTCAGATGTGCGATATAACGTGCTTTCCTAACGTTCTTGTTTTAAAGATGCTCGATTCGTAGTATACTACGTATTAAGTGTGTCGGAATCGTTCGGGTTACTGGTAGTTTTTAACATTTCTGGAGTGCTTATGTAAATCGCATGTGAGGTCAATATGAATGCGGGAGTGATCGAGAATTCCCTTTCTGGCAATTGAGGGCGGTGGCGACGGCAGAATTTCGCGCTCGAAGTCAACATCCAAGAGCTTTCGCGCCTGCTAAAGAACAGCAATAAAACTCTCCTCGAGCAATTTGAAAGATGGCACCCAGTAAATTACCCCCCCTTTCAATTTATTTCCTTCAATTTATAGGGAATGATAGCTGACAACCTCTAGCAATCCAATACGAGCTTTCGGAACCTCCATCCGACGCGGTCTCCTCAGTCACATTTGCGCCCAGCTCTCCAACAAGATTGTTGGTATCTTCTTGGGATAGACATGTCTATTTGTATGATATATCTAGTGGAGAAGAGGGCGGCAAGCTGATTCAGAAGTATGAGCACCGAGCGCCAGTACTCGATGTATGCTTCGGAGCAGACGACAACGAAGCTTTCAGTGCGGGGATGGACTGGCAGGTGAAGAGGTAAGGGAGCCTGAGATATGTTGTATGAATCTGCTTCTAATATCTGATAGGATAAATCTGGAGACAGGCGAGCAGACCGTTCTAAGTAACCATGGTGCACCAGTCAAGTCAGTTGTTTACAGTAGGGAACACTGTGAGTACACCCTCTCCCCTCTACTATCCTGTATCTGACATCTGCTCCTCCAGCATTACTCGTCTCGGCATCGTGGGACTCCACGCTGCATTTCCATGACCTCAAAAACGAAGGAAAAGAACCAACGACCGTCAAACTCCCCGCGAAACCTCACTCACTCTCAATCTCCGCCTCCAAATTAGTCGTAGCTATGGCATCCCGCTTAGTCTACATTTATGACCTCAAAAGCACCCTGCTCATCGCATCAGAAGGCGCCGGCGACATCGCTGATCCACAACCATGGCAGCAGCGCGAGTCTTCTCTGAAGTTCATGACTAGAGCGGTGGCTTGCATGCCTAACGATGATGGATATGCAAGCAGTAGTATCGAGGGCCGCGTGGCAGTAGAATGGTTTGATCCCTCTTCCGAGTCACAAACCCGAAAATATGCGTTTAAATGCCATCGACAGCCGGATCCAGAGAGTGAGGGTGCAGATATCGTATACCCGGTCAACGCCTTGGCCTTCCATCCTGTCCACGGAACGTTTGCATCGGGCGGTGGAGACGGTGTTGTTGCACTTTGGGATGCGAATGCGAAGAGGAGGATTAGGCAGTATCAGAAATATCCGCAAAGTGTAGCGGCGCTGGCGTTCTCCTGTGATGGAAACTATCTGGCTATTGGTGTCTGCCCAGGGTTTGAAAATGGACAGGAAGATTATACTGGAGAGGGAGTTACGAAGGTCTATGTCAGAGAACTGGGTGAGACTGAGGCGAAGGGCAAGGGCGCGAAGTAACGTTCTATTTTGGCTTTGGGGGTGAGGATGGTCCATTTAGCATGGCGTTTTGCGGATGTGAAAATAGGAAACCAATTGAACTTATTGCTGACGAAGCCGGGACGTTGGAGGCTGATTTCTTGGTTGAATATGTGACCGCAGACATTGACCTAGATTCTACTAACCCCAAAATGCCTTTCTCCCCTGTATTCGAATTACAATCTAGCCATTCTGGCTCCGGATCAGGCACTAGCTCAGGCCATGTTATCGCGTATTCTTCTATTGATCATAACGCTTGCGCCTCTAGCTAAAGATCAGGCTCGGCCCCGCCGAAAATTGAGATATTCAAGTTCTACGAATATCTCACTAGAATTGACGTATTCAAGTTATACGAATATCTGACCGAAATTGAGATATTTGTACTACTTGAAATCTCAATTTCGGTTAGATATGGAGGATATAGTACGGTAGGCGGACAAAGCTTAATGGATATCTAAAAATAGCTTGACTTTGTAGCCGGCTAGATATTCGAACAATAGAGTATAGTGGTATACGCCGACTAGATTATATAGAAATAGTATATAGAAGCTCGATATCGGAGATATATATACCTACCTACCTAGGTACCTTAGGTAGATTTCTACTAGGACTTTAGGGAACAGCTAAAACTGGAGGAGGGCGTTTTGTCGAGAATATAAGGCGAGGGCTTTTTAACCTCTAAGCAATGGTGCCTCTTGGCCTAGCATCTACTTTCCTGACACTTCGATGCCGCTCATCATTTCGCAATCATTATGTAGGACTTCTAGGATGTTTACTAGCTAAACATAAATACACTTTTTGATGGTCCCATTTCCCTTCCCTTCAACGTCTCATGGTACACATTTTTCAAGACTTTTCAAGCCTTGGGATAATATGAATTACCTATGTAGTTATAGTAGATCAAAATGTGAAGATTATTCGAGTTCAAATATAACTGCATATACTAACATCTAGCCTAATGACGAAAGTGCTATATAGGCTTCCGCGAGCCGTTGATAAGAGGTGTCCTTTCGCTCGATTCGTCTTCAACCACGGCACTTGTTTCGTTATCCGTCTGGACCACCTCGCGTCGGTCTTGAAAATATCCGAAGATACCCCGAGAATCAGTCTACTCAAAGTTAGTATACTATAGCCTATCGAGGGAAAATTCGAGACGGCACTTACCCCTTCTCCCTCATCAAGAGCCGTCTCTCTTCTAGCCTTAACCTCAAAGCAGATCCCCATGACAAGCAGACAACCCTGCAAACAGCCAGTAACCAAAAACACACCCCAATTACTCCAACCCCCAAGTCCGAGTCTTGCCGCTAGACTTGCCGACAATACAAAGCTCCCGGGCGTTTGTATCAACATCATCGGGATACTCAAGCTCCCGACATGACCAAGACACCACGTCATCCAGATCTGAGGTAGGTATTGTATAAGCGCGAGTGTGACAGCCATTAGGCCTAGGGAATGCGCCCATATTTCAAGGTAGTTTGGGCGCACAAGAGCGAAGAATGTGCTGATAATTATCACAGCAAACCCATGCAGGAGACATACGAAAGCCACTGTAAGTGCCGTGCGCCAGGTGTATTTGTCTTCGATATCTTTATTTGGGAGCGTCGGTCCTCGTGGGAAGAATATCATGAACAGAAGTAATCTACCAAATTGCCGCTTGTTAGCAAGTGCCGTTCCACTTCATGTTATGTAGTGGGTATGTGAGTCCTTACATCACGGTGAAGCAGAACCACTGTACGCCTATTTGGGCAATGCCCAGAAGCCCCGCAACACATTCAAATGTACTGATAGTTTTACAGCATGCTACATCTGCCCGGGACTCGGGAAGAAACAATATGTTTGCGAAGGCGCATGTTCCCGACGTCGTACCAAGGAGGATAAAATACGGCGATATCCCTTCGGAGGTCCGGCGCGCGATGATTCGATAGTGCTGAGGGAGGTATGATACTAGGATGCCAAAGACAATAAAGCTGTAATTTGAATAGACGTTAGACATGGAGATGGGACACAGTCGGGAATGACAGATGCTTTGCTCTTGAGAGTGTGCTACGCTTACATAGAAACTGACAGGTTCAGGTAACCCGGCTCTTTAAGCTCCTCGCAGTGCTGTTTCGTGAAATCAGACGCCAAGTTGAACGAGGAGGAGTCCATAGAGGAGGCGGTTAGGTCTAGCTATAGCTTACAGCTATAGCTCGATCCGCGTTTAGATGAGGATGCAGTATATCATAGACGCAAGTAGCGATATGGTGAAGCCGAAGCGAGTATCTACGTAGATGGAGAGTAGTAGGTAGATGACTGCGTTAGGAGGACTAGAGTACCAGTACGACGATAAGCTCGTGCCATACGAAGTACCCAGGTAGGTAAGGTACGTACTACGGTCAAGGGTTAATACAGCGGGTTGGCGGGGAAGCGCTAAGCCACTATTCTCCGATGCCAGATGCCTGGAGTTCAAGGCGGAAGCCGATTTCGCTACTCGTAGCGACTGTAAACAGACCATGGAAAAAGGGATAAGTGCGCTCATGATAATATTCATTATAAAGATTTGAATTGTTCCTATATTACGCGCTGAAAGAATTTCGCTGCATCATTGCTCGTTGCGCTGGGTCCTCAACGCCGACGCCACAGCAACGCGAAAGCACGTGATGGTGACGTTGGGCCAAGGCGGTCTTCCGTCGGCAATATTCTCGATTTCACCTGAACCCTGTTACTACCAGTCCAAATCTAAAATCACCATTGATAATGGAGCATTCTGCATTTGCCTGTGGAAAGCCCCGTTCATGCTCTCTCCATTTTCTCGCTTGAATTAATGCAAAGTAGATGTTCAATATGAGACGTCTGATTCAAATATGGAACCCGATCGAAAGCTTCCCAAGCTGGTAGCCTCAACGGGCAGTACATACAACTGCACTGTCGCGGAGTCAAGAGTCCGCGAAGGCAAGCTTTTGAATTCAGAATCCCAAGACCGCGAAGCCTCTATAGGGATCTTTGATGATGATCTGGAAGTCAATTACTTTAAAAGCGCGCAATGGTAAACTTCCGAGAGCCTCTTATCACAGCACCCACTTACACTCCTATCCCAGGACTCCAGATGGGACAAGTCTCCTCACCAGCAATGCAGATAACACGGTCAGAACCTTCATCGTCCCGCCAGACCTCCTCGATAACCCCGCCTGCCCGATATCTCTTACCCCCTACACAGTTCACACGTACCCAACCCCAATAAACTGCCTCACGCCCTACCCGTATTTCGCCCTCTCAGACCCAGCAACGACCCTCTACCTCTCTACACAAACCGACCTCCCTATCCGTCTTGCCAATGCCCTCTCTCCGTCCCCATCACCAACTGCTACGTACCCACTCGTGTCCCCGACAACAGAAGCGTACTATGCGCCCTCATCCCTTCTCTGGAGCGCGGGAGGTACTTCTTTCCTAGCAGGCACAGACTGCCTAATCGCTCTATTCGATGTATCCCGCAGTGGTGAAGGGCCCATGACACGGCTACCCACCATTCCGTCCAAGCGACATAAGATGAAAGGCGGTGGGGTAGGGATGCGCGGTATTGTCTCTGCTCTTTCGCTGCAGCCTTCAGCCGCGGGCGAAGATAGTATACTAGCAGCGGGGACTTGGACAAGATGGGTAGGCTTGTATGACGCAGCCGGCATGGGCGGCACGGTCGCAACGTGGAGTGTGGCTGAGGCGGCGGATACGCATGCGGGCATTGGAGGCCTGGGAGTTACTCAGACGCTGTGGAGTGCTTGTGGGAGGTACTTGTATGTGGTTGAGAGAAAGAGTAGGGGGGTTCTGGTTTATGATGTTAGGGGGGCTAAGAAGATGCTTGCGTGGTTGGAGGGGAGGATGGCGGAAACAAACCAGAGGTTGGGGGTTGATTGTTTTGAGAGTGAAGGAGGAACTGAAGTTTGGGCTGCGGGTACGGATGGGATTGTGAGGGTTTGGGAGGGGGTGGGGAAGACGGAGGGTGCGGTGGGGAGAGACTGGGAATGGAAGGCTCATGATGGTAATTGTGCTTCCCTTTTGCAGAAGAATGTGACTGACAATCCCTCCAGATCCGGTGACTTCAACTGCTGTTCATAGTTCCGGCACAGTTGTGGCGACTTGTTCCGGACAGAAGACTCTACCATCCGTAGATGGTAGTGATAGTGGCAGTGACGATGAGAGCAGCGGTTCAGACTCAGATGATGATTCTGAAGAGAGCGAAAACTCAAGTTGCTCGGCGCACCCGACTTTTAAAACGCCAGATAATAGCATAAAAGTATGGAGTTTATAACACTCGCCATATCACATATGAAGCACGTGTGTCTCTAGCATAAAATCCAGCCAGCGAAATTACCCCAGCAAATCAGCCATCATATCACCACCATATCGCACCATAAATCCTGCCCAGAAACGAAAACAGCCCAACATAGCAACTTACTCCCAGCTCCTATCAATAACATCACTAACCCTCTCCACTAAACCCCTCCCACAGAGACCGCCAAACATCTTTAACCTCCGTTCCCTACCCATCTCCACAAACGCAGCCATACCAAACTGGCTAGCCTCGGTAGGGCTCCTCTCATCAACACCCTCCGGCGACTTCAAACCTGCCACAATGACTTGAGCGGCAAAAGCATTCATACCAGCTCTTCTCAGAAATAACTCCCAGTGCGTTTCCTCTGTCAAGAGATCAGCTTCTGCTTTCCCGAGACGGTGCCGCATAATCGTACAAGCCAGCCATTTTGCCAACGTCTCTTCACCCCCTACCACGAGATGCACGATAACCGTTGTTGTGAGGCCTGAGGCAAAACCGATGAATTCGCTCAAGGCAATGCAATCATTCTCATCCAGGCCATTGGTTGTCTCGTCATTGCGGCCTTCGGTCACCAATACGATAAGGTCTTCGTACCGCACGCTAGCCTTCTCTAGTCTGTCACGGATGGCGGTTTTAGTTTTTGAACCCGGGAGGGGAACTTGCTTGACTTTTTGAAGGGTAGTGAGTATGACGCCCGTAGATGGCGAAACGATTAGGTCCGCTTCTGAATCTAACGGCGAGCTTTTTGGTGACCGCGTGACAGATCCTGGCATCCAAGCTGTTGTGTTATGGGCTGTAAAGTCTCGCTCTATAATCGTGAGCGAGGGAAGGAGGCTCTCAAGGTTTCTAATTAGAGCGCGGTGTTTTAGAAGCGTTGATGACACTAATATGTTTATTGGTGTTGTTGAGGCTTTCAGAGGCGGCGCTGGAAACTGGCGTGGTTGTTGAATTGGCGAATGGTTGATAGGCAATTGTAACTCATCCTGTGGAGCAGCTGAAATAGCTTGTGCTGGCTCTGGCTGGGCAGCGGATTCTTTGCGGACTTTGCTCGAGAAATATGAACTGTCTGCGAGCTTCAACTTCTTGACTCCATGAAGCTGTCTATAGTTTTCGAGCAAATTTCCTGCTGAAAATTCGCCGCCGAGCAATAAGGTCGGACTTGGTTCAATGTTGCATTGCCCCTTCGCCAGCGATGGCATGGGACCTGCTAGGTGTAACGTGCTTCTCTTGGCTTGCAAGGTCACTTGCGGCTCCTTATTTTGTGGCTGCAATTGTGTTTGGAATTGGCTCCTCTTGGGATTCTCCTGATCCAGATCCTCTTGTTCTAGTTCCTTCTTTCGTTTTCTTACAAGAAAACTCATATCTTGCTGCTGATCACTGGCAAATTCCCCTAGCTCGATATCCTCATCATCCTCGTCGTTGATTTTCACAATTCTTAGACCTGGGGGCTTCCATGTCAAATCCGAACTGTCTGTTTCTTGCTTATCCTTGGGAGAGACAAAGACATCCCATACATGGTTGTCAACTTCATGACTTTCCTCCAAGGCTACTTTGGCTAAGTCATGAGGGAAAGGATTCCACCGTAACTCAAGCTGTTTCCGACCAGGCCTTTTCCAAACCTCTTGTTTTGGCCCGATGACTGATTTGATCATCTCCTTTTGTAGAGACAATAAATGGACTGGGCCATTGGCCTCTTGAAACTTCTTCCAGGGAGGGTCTGGAGCTGAAAAGTTCATAATCCGTTCTTTAACCCGGGCCGTCGTGTCCGCTTCAATTAACTTCTCCTGTTCGACCTGCTGCATTGCATATTCATAATATTTACTGAATGTTGCTTCGATAAAGAATTTATCATATTGTTCGGAGTCGTCAGTGGGCATAGGATTAAGAAGCATTTGCTCGACTCCCTCACTGAATCTCACATTTTTCTCAACAACCGTAGTTGGTTTCAGTGGGGTCAAGAGCTCGTCGACCTTTAAATCTTCCCGCTTTGCTCTTTCTGATTTGACGGACGGTGGTGTGCTATGATCCATAAACCCAGCAGGCGGATAGATATCTGCAAGCTTCACAGTAGCAACTGCCGAGTATGGGTCAGCCGACGAGTTATTTTGCTGGTCACTTTGCATAAACAGTCGAATCGGAGTAGGAATGTCCTGTTCGAATATATAATCCTCGATGTTTTTCAGGTCTTCCTTAGAAAGAGATTCCGGATCAGAGAGAACCGGAAGCTGGTACGTGGGAGACGACGATGACGGCTCGCATGGTTGAGATGCGGAAGAAACTGGTGAAAGCGGTGGCGTCACAGGTTCCAAAGCCTTCGTCTATGCAGGTTTAGTGAAGCTTCCTCATCAGTCGAGGCCGGAGCTTAATATGGATGTCTACGTACCCGTTTGCAAGTTTGTTCCCTGTCCAACAGTTCCGCCTCATCCGCCTGTGTCCACAAATCCTTGATAGTAGTCTGAAGATACGCCACAGCATCTTTGGAGACTTCTATCTTTTCCATTTCTAGATCGTGCCTGAAATGTTGCTCTAATTGCCAATACTTGCTGGGAAATGACAGACCCTCGCCATTTTCCTCATCCACAATCTCCAAAGGCAGTCTCACGTCCTTGAACCTGATCTCGAAATCTTCTCGCCGAGCGAATTCCTTGAAGTCTGTTTTATGATCGCTCTTAAGTAGTGGCAGTTCGATTTTCGAACTTTTCACGTCTCGATTACCGAGCAGTGGTAAAACCAGAGAATCTATCACTTCGAAACTCTCTTCCTGCTTGACTAGTTGGAGGAAGCGGGCCCCATCTTGAGACAGCACCAGCCGCTCATTTACGCAAGGGCTAAGGCCTAGATCTAGTTGAGGAAGATGGGGATCGTCAGTGAGATGACGGCCGACTCTTGCTTGAAGTTCACCGGTGTGCACAACCGCCATAGAATCCGTGAGATAATCGCGACATAGGCCTTTACTGCGTGCGTAGTCAAGCGGTGGGAGGTCATAACCTTCATCATCGGAGCATTCTGACCTGTTGACAGCGCCGGCACCACCGATGGGCATGGAGCTGGTCATTTGGATGCCCAAAGCAAGGACTCGATGACAGCCGAGTATTTGGCAATCGAACTTTGGTTGAACAGACGCAGCACCAAAGTTGCCCCGATTTTAGGAGTTTACATGTGATGACGAAAGATTCAAGGTGTGGAGATGGAATATTGATACTTGGGGCCCTCGACGAGAGCTAAAAGAGGCATGTATTTACACGTGACTGGGAAGCATACAGCTCCAGCTCGAGCTTCGGGCGGGAAATGAGCAAAGAAAATATCTTTAGCGATAGACAAACCAAGTCAGCAGTTTAAATATTTATCTGTCAAGTTATACAGATCGCGTCCAGGGCCCTTGGGCATGTTTAGTGTGAGGCTAGCCAATACAGATACCATCGCCAAATGTGCCGGTTGGGCAGCCCCGATAATGACAACTCATTGACCCCATGGATTAAGTTTAGATTTTGGCTTAAACTGTTATGGGTTATTCTATTTGGAGATAGAATTAATCAAGGCTAAGCGTAAAGAAAACCTCGACAGTGTTGATTGACGATATGTAACTCGAATAAAACGAGAAGTAGGATCGAGTGCTTTGGGGCTAACTACTGGTAGGTATGTTTTCAAGATATCATACAGCGGTTCACTTGACGCTTCTAGTAGACGGATAAGCCAACTATTTGGGAACCCCGTGTGAGCAGCTCTGCTGCGGAAAAGAAATGATACCGGGTTTCTGAACTCGAAGAAAGCAACGTAAACCACTAGTTTGGCGCATTATAGGAAAAATCGGTGTTTTTCGGGACTAACGCCCTACGAAGGGCATAATTCCCAGAGAGTGTCAAAATTCATGGAACATTCGAATATTCAGCCGTCGCAAAGTGATGCTATTCGCAGATCCGTAGTAGGCTTAGAGCCGGAGCGTATAGACCAAATACAGCCAGCGTGACTCGACAACCTGTTTCGGGGCTAGATGTAGAGGATATAGCGGTGTTATTGCCGAAAAACATCGCTTTGTTCCTATAATGCGCCATACATTAGGCCCTTGGGCTGGCTATGTGGCCGGTTTTCGACAGTTCCTGCCACTGACCATCGTGCTGTTTAGGAAAAAGGACGACGCATCAATATGACCGCTTACAATGTAATACCATGTCCATTTCCTGACACGTGCGGTATCCTCATACAATTCTCCTCGGCAGCGCCCCAATCTCTACTTTAAGACCATGGCCCGCTCGAAATTCGCTCTATTGGTATCCTCTGCAGATGCTAACCATCCTACACTATCGTAATCGTCTAGCCTATGAACCAATACTCCAGACGCCATCCCTATCCTCGTAGTACATCAATGGGAGGAAAAAGGCGGAATGAACTTTAGTATACACCGTTCCTCCTACTGCTTGCTCCCATTCCAGTCGCAGGTGCTGTGAATCCGCCAAGCTGCAGGCTTTGAACTCCTTCCCTCGTACTGCCAACCTTACTCGCAACACCTAGAATGCTATGCTCAAACTCCCGCAATGCACCTGCCAACTCCATCACCGGGTCTTCATGCGCCGAAGAGCTCCCATTCTTTTTGGCGACAAACGCATTGATCTGCTGGACGCTGCCAGCTTCGACACTTTGTAAATGTTGCTCAATTTCGGCGAGATTATTTTGGTATTTGTTTAGCGTCGCAGCAAGCTCATCTGCCGTTGCAGAGAAGAACCCAACAATATCTTGTGCTTCATCTTCCCCATCTTCTGGCGATCGATTACCTGATGATTTCGATGTCCAAATTGCCGCACTATGGTATTGTTGTGGCAACTTCAGGTTGTCAATGGCTCTGAAGCTCAATTTTGCGTTCTTAGCATCCGTCTTCACAGACTCTCGTACTAGGGCGATTGTCTTAACGTCAGATACCAAGGCACTTTCGACACCGGTCAGCTTCCGACTGCAAAAGTTAACATCATTTGGGATTTGCGAAAGTTGTTGGTCGTGGGCAGGCATTATGGACTCGCAATCATTTTTCAGCTTTATTTGGCCCTGGATAACTTGATCCATCTGAGCAATTGCTTTGGCAAGGTCATCGTGAAGATCGTTGAACCGCGTGGTACCTCGGAGGTTCGTCACATCTATCCGTACTCCAGGAACCGTCTGTTGGCTCTGCGAGGTAGACTGGCCAAGGGTTAAGCCACCCCCAAGTGCGCTTCCTCCAAAGGGTCCCAAGCTCGAGGGCTGGGTCTGCGCTTGAGATGAAAACATAGAGTTTTGTTGGGCTTGAGGTGGTTGATTTTGTGCGCTTCCTAGACCACCACTAATCTCTATTAGCCTATGTGTTGAAATGAAACAAGGGAGGAGAGCTTACAATAACGACGTAGCTGGCTTATTTTGATTTTGATTGCTTTGGCCACCAAAAAGCGACGAGCCCCCTTGTCCGGCTGAGCCAAATAATCCACCCGTCTGAGGCTGAGATATTGCAGTTGATGAACCAAAGAGACCTCCTGTTTGTGGTTGGCTCGTCGCTGTCGACCCGAACAGTCCTCCAGCCTGCGGTTGAGAAGCGGCGGTCGTTGAGCCAAATAGACCACCAGTTTGCGGTTGGGAAGCAGCGGGTGTTGAACCAAATAGGCCTCCAGTCTGTGGCTGAGTGGTAGTAGCTGTTGAGCCAAATAGTCCTCCTGTCTGTGGTTGAGAGGTAGCGGCTGTCGAGCCAAACAATCCGCCGGTCTGAGGAGCTGATGTCCCGGTCGTCGATGCGCCGAAGAGCCCGCCAGGCTTGCTGGCTCCCGTGCTTCCGAACATGCCTCCTGCAGATGAAGTGGTGGTCGGCCCACTAGAATAAATGTTAGTGTCGATGTCTTTCTCACCTGCAAGGGACCGCTACCTCGACGTGTGTCTGGGGGTGTTGTTTTGGGAGCGTGGAATGCGCACTCACAATAAAGAATTAGCCGAATTTGTATTGATACTCAATCCACCGGGGCCACTGGCAGATCTAGCAAGTGCCATGCCCTTCGAGCAAGACCTCCGCGTAAATTGCTAGCGAAACGCAATACGTGCTATTTGTGAAGTGAGATGCGTCGAGGTTGACAGCCGCGCCAAAATACTGCATCACCAAAACCCGAGCTAGGGTTACGTAAGCGAGGGAGCTTTGCGACAAAGCTCCAGCCTCACATACGTCGACTGGAAGCTAGGCCACCACATCAACACCAACTTTCAAAATGGACGTTGATGAGGATGACGATTTCTATGCGCCGGAAGATAGCGCGCAAGCAACCGAGCAGCAACACGCTGAGACAGCTCCACAATCAGAGGCCAAACCGAAGCAGGAGGATGAAGACCTAGAAGAAGGCGAGGAGGAAGATGGAGCGGCGTCTGAGGGGAGTGATGATTCGGTAGGTTGAATGCCAAGATGGTAGGTAGCAGCCGCTGATTATATTTAGGATATAGACATTATCACGGAGAGGAAGGATGGCAGCAAACCTCCACCTACGTCGTATGTACCGCACGCTACAAACCCTTCAGTTAATTAACTTCTCTCAGTCAACCAAGATACAACGAGATCCGAAATATCCCCCAGAGAAACACCGCCAATGATACAACAGTCAAAGCACCCTCGGTCAAAAAGGAGGCAAAGGATACCGCCTCGGGTTCCGGCACGGACTTACCAGGGATCTCGACCTCCAAAATCGATGTGGATGCGAAGCCCGTCTATGAACCTGTCGGGAAGCCGATCACACAAGTCAACATTGATGAAGGTGTGTTCTTTAAGTTTCACAGCTTAATTAATTACTCTAACATCGTACAGATTTAGCTGAAAACGACAAACCATGGCGAAGACCAGGAACGGATGTTAGCGACTACTTCAACTACGGATTCGATGAGTTCACATGGGCATTATATGCAAGCAAGCAGGAAACCTTGAGGTCAGAATATAACCAGGACAAGATAGCACAGAATAACAAAAAGATGTTCGAGGATATGAACATGATGATGGCGATGGGAGGCTTCCCCGGAATGCCAAACATGCCCGCTACGGCGGGAGGAGCTCAGATGCCTACAATGGAGGGTATGCCGCCTGAAATGCAGGCTATGATGCAGCAGATGATGGCATCAGGAATGGATCCGAGTCAAATGGATCCAGCAATGTTTGCTGGCATGCAGGCCAATCAAAGCAATGCGGGCGGAGCTGGAGGAACTCAGGGAGGCAACCAAGGCCAAGGGTTTGGCGGAGGACAAGGAGGTTTTGGACAGGGACAAAACCCAGCCATGGGCTACGGCTTTGAGCAGGGCAGTAATCGGGGAGGAGGGAACTTTGGCAGAGGACGAGGTGGCCGAAGGAACTGGTAAAGCTGCTAATCAATCATCGGACTTTCACCATAGTTGGGATACTTCCGGGCCGCCAATTAATCCGTGCAGTCTCGTGATCTGGGGAAATTATGGATGGCGTTAGGGAGTTGGTCCGAGCGTCACTGGAAGTAGATCGCTACCAAATATCAGACACATTTTGACACGTTCGTCGTCCCTTCTTCATCTACATGCTCTGTCGTGATCTTCACAAGTTTCTATTATATTCCCTCCCTCTGTCAGATTAACCATGAGCTGTGGAAGTACCTATAAGCCTTTGTTTTAGTCCAGCAGTTCGTACAAAGCTGGAAATGCCAAGTGGTCCCAGCTCACGTTTGACTAGTAGTCAAATCCGAAAGTCCTTTTCCGCCGTTAAATAGGCACTGCAAGGTCAGGCACAAGATCTACTCTAGAAAAGCAGCAACGCATATTGCCCCTTAATGAATCGATGTCATTTGCCCCAGTGGCACTATACCTATAGCTGAAGAAACCGAGCGGTCGTGTAAATTATCATAGGCCATGTGTCCCTTCAAATCCCAAACAGGAGGTATGTGCAGCCTGCAGCCTGCATTCTGTTATTTTGTTATTTTTAGTCGATACACATGCCATGGAAGGGTCTCTTACTAATGTTATGTTGTCTCTTTTGTTGTATTCACACGCTTCTCTTGTGCTGTGTGGCACTCCTGTTGTAATGCCACATACACTGCTCTGAACAGATTCAACCTGTATAAATAAGTGGAGGATGCCTCACCACCTAGCGCCAGTGCCATAATTAATATGTGAATTCCTGCTCTAGCTAATACTACCCCGCGGGGTGGAAGTAGACGTGTTTTGTTTTGTTGTGATGGCATCGTCGCCGAGACTTGCGATTACCTTCTTAGGACCTTCTTGACCCCGTCCCCTCTTGATCCTGTCTTCACCCTTGACCTATCTGTCGTCTTCTCCAGGGTTCAAAAACACGTCAATCCGTGCGTTCTTCCTTGTTGAGAAGGGAATTCACACTCTAAAACAGGCCTCTAGGAACAAGAACAGCTCTAGTAAGATCTCCTTTTGAGTCTTGCAGGCTAGTGCAACAACTTCTCAAGGGTCTACCAATTCGGTCCAACGGGGTGAGTCCTCAGTTTCTAACCTATCTATACTGGTTTGACGTGATGGATTGCCTTGCGGGCCCATGGGAATTTGCAAAAGCGCCTTACTGACATGTGTTCCCTCGAATCAGCTCCTAACCACTGTGAAGAAGCCCCTATCTATCCAGACCCCGTTTCCTGATCTCAAAAGTGGCAAGTCCTCCAGCTATATTGGCGCATTGGCCGCGCTAGTCATCTGAAAATAGTCCGCCTCATTCCCCTCAGCTGTTTCTGTAAAAGTAGTCGGAGAGGATGATGGCTTTGCCGTATCTGATCAGCAGGTTTGTCATTTCCATCCAGATCTGTACTTTGCTAACTGGTCTCTTCAATAGGACGTTTTAAGCACGCACCTCTCATCCTGGGAACGTGGAATATCATCACACGTTTATCTACGGAACTTCTATCTATCGCCTTCATCAACGTTGAATGATACCTTGGACGATGGATGTGGCTTGATGTCACCTCGAATTTTACCTGTAAGCTACTTTTGTGCATATCTGAGTCTAAGGAGGTGAGATTATTTGAGTCCCAACTGTGGCTGTGGTCCTCAACGTGAAATGCTACCTCGGACGTTTCTATATGACGCTGACATGACATATGGATCCACAAGATGGACTTCCCTATATTGCGAATATGACTGCTGCCTTAGGACACGCTTGGGCAGCGCCCCCACAGCAGAGGCTATTGGCCGCCTGTGAACGGTCTCGATCTTTGATTCGAATTTTTTCCTGTGCTCCAAAGGTACGTAGCTCCAAGTCCTGGGTAATTGCTTGACCAAATCAAGTGTTAATATAGCACCGGTTAACATGTTCGTTAGGCAGCTTCCTGTCCTAGTACACTGCGACATACACAAGAACTAAGTCTCAGCACTCCCTGATCCATCGACATCTACAAGTTCGATCACTTGCCACTGGTTCTTCTCACGATAGATGTGCCTGGATGTTCGATACGATTACTTGGTGTTCAGATCAATTGTTCTGTACAATCATCTACTCAGCCCGCTCAGATATCTCTACCAATAACGACAATGCAAAGGGATTACGAAGGATAAAACCAATAAGGATTCGGCACAGTTGGATCGGAAAATCGCACCATTCTATGAACATGTTGTAATTGCCCTCACGCACTTCAAGTCAAATGTTGCCTAGCGTCTGAGCTGGGTAATACCTCAAGAATACGGTGTTTGTCTCTTCTTTAAAAGGTCCACAGCTGAGTCTTTTTGCTACCCCTTTTTACCTTTAGAGATCGAAATGCAGACTGTGGACTAATAGTTGTGGCTTTCGCAAGCACAACTGCTCAGGATATCGATACCCTCGCTGCTTCCATTTATACGGGCGAATATCTCTTCTTTGCAGGTATGTAACCGCCCCATCATTCCGATAACTCAAGGATGTTGCTTTATCCTAACGATTAAAAAAGTCATTATCACTGACCGTGTACTTTATAAAGGCACATGGACATTTCCTCTGACCGCACAGAGATGTATGTTTATTGACAAGCGCCTTTGCGGTTTCTAAAAAAAAACAGTGGGCTCTGCCACAGGGAGGCTCCCTGGCCTCCTTTGGAAGGTAAATTATTACTCTTTCTTTCTAAAGTTTCTTGACCTCGCCTTACCACTGGCTCTACATTTGCTCCGTTACAAGGTAATTTGTCATTTTTTGTGTTATTATCATTTTTCAAGTGGTTGTCAGGCTATCCGACAGTTTCGGGGCAAAGTCAACTATGCTTTTGTTTATGGGGATATGAGTGGTTAAGCAAGTTGCCAGGCGGTCATACTTTAGATTCTGGCTGGTTTAAGTACGAATAACCTCCTGCGAAGTCGAGGTGGCTGTCCATTATCGGATGGGAAAAGCACTACTTAACAGAACAATCAGTTGGGATCAAGGACACCTCCACTTATCTCTCCACGAACTGGAAAGTGTAGACAAGCCGATGCCTCTGAGGTGGTTGCAAAAGCGTTGCTGGTTCACATAAGTCCTTTACACTATCTCCTGTTTATTGCAAATGTAAAGCTTGAGGAGAGCCAATCATAGCCGCAAATGAAGTATTTGATGTTGGAAACCGGGCAGGGGCCCTCTTCATAGCTTTTCATACTTGCCTGCACAAGTAGTAAAGCCGCACCTCGAGTCTTTGAGCAGCAGTATGGCCAAGAAATCGGTGCAACGCTTGATCCCTCAGCAGTCGAAGTCGGGTGTCTAAGTATTGGGGTATTGCAACTTTAAGCTCTGGCTTACAAGAGCTAAAAGGTTACCTATCGTCATCCTTTACATAAGTGTGTTTTGTATCCTTTGCCTTGTTCAGCCACTCGAGGTCGAAACGAGCTTAATCCTTTGGCTGGAATCTTTTGGCTGGAAGCTTTTGGTCATCCACCCTAAGCGCTACTCGAGGAATACCGAGAAGGAACCTAGACGAGTGTCAATATGCCTCTTAGCCTGCTGTGGGCCTTACCTACCTTGGCTTTGAACTACCACTGTAGTGATGCTCAATAGTGCTCCTTTGGGTCAAAACTTGACGTCGGCTCTTGATAAGTTATTTCAAAGCTTCCGGCGGTGTAAGTATGTCGGCTGGATTGGTGAACCTCGCGAAGCGAGCTTCAAAAATATTTGTCCTCTCTTTGTTTTGACTCTCTTTCCTAAACACCACAACGTCTCAAACAACACACGCCAACCCACCCACTAGACACTCCTGCTTCTACTCTTTGCACTGATATTCTTCTTTTGCTCTGTGTCATTCGATCTAGCAAGATCGGCTGCACCTCCGAAAATTACGTTCGATCTACCCTCTCTCGTTCAGTCTCGATCATCCTCCTTCACCTTCGCGTAGCGAGGGTTATCTCACCGTCCTCTTCCCCTTCCGCTTCCTTTCCGATACCACAACGCAACACAACACAACAGAAGTCCGTAGAGTCGTCGCCTTGCACAAGCGTAGCTGATTCTATACAAGACAGCTGTGCGTCCTGGTATTTTGTTCCACAGACAGCCATCCAACACTACCTAAGTCATTACCCCATTTCATTTGGTCATCGGTTCACCTTTGAGGATAGTCGTTCTTATTAGGAACCGTTACTCACACTTGGGGACTGCGCTTGCCTTTCCCAATAACTGTCTGCCTTTTAGGGCAGAAGCCTCCCCTCAAGTGATAAGTTTTTTTTTGTTTTTCGCATAGCATTCACTTTCCAGAACAGGGGATCGTTAGGCCAGTTACAAGACCGGCCGCACCACCCTCGACAACCATATTATTCCTTGAGATACAAAACAACTCCTCCCACACAAGAGCCAAAGCTAATACTTTTGTGCCAATAGTCTCTTCAATAGAGACCTCCAAGGGAGGTCAAGGGGAGGTAAGCTTTTTGACATCCCTTAAATTTCATCTGCTAACTTGGTTATAGCCGACCTAAGGCACCCCGAGTCCGATCCATAATGGATCAGACGTGGGCTGCGGCGTTGGGCGACCGAGCCCCGGTCCTGCAATCGAGGCAGGTGGCCGAGGAGGCTGGCTGGGTGGAATGGGGCGAATACGCTCCTCCCCCGGCCGGCCTCCAAGGTCTTGACGGCGGGCCTTTCTATATCGACGAAGATGGAAGCGCCCACTACGCAGGGCAATACCCTCTTCCTCCGGCCGACCATACGGCCTACGATCAGGAAGGTTACAAGGGATACCAGCCATATCCGACCCATGCCAACGCTTTGGATCCCGCACTGGGCGGCGATCTCGAGGATGTCCTTTCCCATGTCGATGGTAACGATGACCATCACACAATGGAAGGTGGCTCCGAAGATGGCTCCGAATATTCTCCGTCTGCGGCCGATAATGATGGATATGGAGAGGGACATAGCCCGTCCCGTCGGGAATCTGAAACTGGCAACAATTCTTCCCCAACTGTTTACCGAGGCATTATTCAAGATGCGACTCATTATTACATCCAGCGAAGTGCGCGACGCAACAGAGAGGAGCAGAAATTATTAGATCAGGGAGTTGAGAGCGATTGCCCCGAAGATCCAGCCGAACAACGAGTATGGATTGGCAAATTGTTTGACGCGATTAAGAACATCGATGGAGTTATCGACAAGCCTTGCAAGAATGGCACACTAGCTCAGTCTGTTCAACGTATCAAGGACAATTATTACAGCGATGAGGCTATCGAGATTGCGTGTTGGAATATTTTCGTGAGTTCACTCTTAATATTTTACTTTATTATTCCTCTCCCCGAAGCAACTTGCGCTGACTTAGCCCCATAGCTCGAATGTCGTCAGGCAGCCTTAGGTGTCGAGATGGTTGATCCTCATCACCAGACTAAACGAGAGCCCAAGAACGCATACCCCAATTTCGCCGCGAGAATGGAGAAAGTTATCCAGGTTTGCAAGGTATGTTGTAACTCTATTTTATTGACCTGAAAGCTAATATCTCATCCGCCCTTAGACATCTAAGGCCACATGCAAGCAGGTTCTTGATCCAAGCTTTATACATAGATTGGTTGATGCTCCTACCAAGGCTCTCAAGGTAAGAGCGACTGTGCAAAGTAGACCCTACCCCCTAGAACGTCCTGCTAACCGCTCCCTTATAGATGAAGGAGTCGAACCTTAAAATCAACACGCAACGCAACATACAAAATGAGATCGGCCGCGAAACAATCAAGAAAGAGGGGATCGTGCGCCCTGGACTCAATCCTGTCAAAACGCCATCTAAAGCGAAGAGAGGCAAGGCTAGACGCGCCCGGAGTCCTGCAACACCTATTGGTTCCGGCAAGGGATCAACCTCTCTTACTCCTGGGATGAGCAAATTGAAAACCTCTTCTAATAAACGCCGTGCTAAGGACGATGAAGAAGGCGATGAAGGAGACCACGAGGAAGATAACGGTGGCTCGTCTGACGAATATTCTCCACCAAAGCGACGAGCAACCAGAAAGCGAGTTCAATCAACCAGTACTCCTAGCAAGGGTCAAAGAAAGCGAGCTCAATCAACCGGTACTCCTAGCAAGGGTCAATCGCCCATCTAGCGAATTGCCCTTTTCAGCAACATCACAACCCCACAACCTGTCTCTCCAAGGACACTTTCCATTCTCAATATTTCTCGTTCGATAAACAGTCACAGCGTCGATACCCACCCTGCATCTGCGGCATTCCGGCGGCGTCTCGGCGTTATTTTGCTTATACTTTACTTTGGCTGGTCTAGTTTACAGCAAGACAGAACCGGGCAGGGTCGTTATTAAAGTTCATTCCAGTCTGAGAGCTGAGATAGCATAGTTTATTTCGCGATGCCTCTAGTTAACGAAATTGAAACTGATCCACAAAGCTACCATCCAAATATAGTGATATAGTGACTCATGACTGTAACTCTTTGCTGCCTATAAATTTAAATCAGGAAACAAAGTAAAATGTGTCAAGCCGCGCTTTTGTTGATGGGATGAGAAATCCACGAGCTTTGCTCATACCATCAGACACGGAGGCGGACCGAAACCCCTGACTGAGCCCCTTTTCTCCGTAGTCTCGCTTCGTTCCCTGTCGCATCCGTGGTAGCGGCGATCTCTACGGAGTAGATTTCTCCCCGCCACCTTCGAGATCAGAGCGAAAGCAGCCCTCGACTCGTATCATCCGCATCAACCTTGCGCCAACCATGGCATCGAATGCTTCCTCCGGAGCCTCCACTCCCAATCCGCGCTTCACATCACAAACAAAAACTGCAGAAGATCTCCTCAGCACCCAAACTGTGGGTCTTGTCAACCTCTCCGACTTCCGAAAGCGACGCGCCGAAGCTATCGAGCAAAAAGAGCGTGATGCGCAAGATGCTTTTGCTAGTGGAGGAGGTAGCGGCCGTGGGTCTGCGACGCCAGACGGGTGAGTAGTACATTTTTACATACAGCTCAATCGGGCATATCTACTGTTAGGAAAGGACAGGGCTGATGTTTATAGTACAGTGCGTCTACACCCAGAGAGCCACCCTTGAAGAAGAAGAAACGGAAGATTGGAACACCTAAACTATCCTTTGGAATAGATGACGAGGAGGATGGGGGCGAGAGCTCGACGCCGTTATCCGGTTCTGCTTCTCCCATGGGCGCAACACAAACCACATCTGCCTCGAAAGACGACAGTGTTGTAGCAAGGAAGAAAATAACAGCCAACTCGTCTTTACAAGTTACTCCTAAGCCCCTCACGAAGGCTGCGTTATTGCGCGATGCACAGACAAGGGAGAGCCTGAGGAAGGAATTTTTGACGCTGCAGGAGGCGGTTAAGAATACCGAGATCAATATCCCGTTTGTATTTTACGACGGTACGAACATACCAGGTGGCGTGTGCAAAGTGAAGAAAGGGGATTATGTATGGCTATTTTTGGATAAGAGTCGGAAGGTTGGGGCGGAGCTAGGAGTAGGAGAAAAAGCGAATAGTAGGCGGGAATGGGCGAGAGTTGGGGTGGATGATCTGATGATGGTAAGAGGCGGGATTATTATCCCTCATGTAAGTCCTCACCGCACAAACTCCTGGTTGCTCGTGTACTAATTACTTCAATAGCATTACGACTTCTACTATTTCATCATAAACAACACCAAGGGGCCTGGTAACCGTCTCCTCTTCGAATATGGCTCCGAACCTCCTGCAACAGCCTCCAGTTCCAACTCCTCCGAGCCTGTCAATCTGGATAACTATAACCCTCTATCCCTCCCTTCGGCGAGGCCGAAGCCCAGGGAGTCTGAGGAGAACAACGACCTTGAAGGGACAAATGATGACCCAACATATACCAAAGTTGTCGACCGTCGCTGGTACGAACGGAATAAACACATCTTCCCAGCCAGCGTATGGCAAGAGTTCGATCCCGAGAAAGACTACCAGACGGAAGTCAAGAGGGATGCCGGCGGCAATGCCTTTTTCTTCTCATAGATTCGAGCTGCCCATGTATTTTCATGGGAGGTGTTCTGGTTAGGGCTTGCTTCACAAATGGAAACGGCGCTACACGAAAGGAATTAGCTAAATACCCAAAAGATCAAACCAGGAAGGAACTTGGATATACCTCTGGTTCACATTTTATGCATCTTCACGGATCACCAGTAGACTACCTTTACCCCAAGCCACAACATCCCACCGATCACAATCCAGCCCGGCCAGAACATCAAAAGAAGCACCCCGTTTCCCGAAGATCCCAACATAAAAACCGCCAGCTCATAGAATAATTTTTTCCTCAATCCCTCCGTACCCTTCCATCCCCTTCTCGTGGCTATGCTGCTCAGCCAATACGTCTGCCTTGCCAACAGAAGAGATCCATAATATCCTTGCCGTGAAAGGATCAAGGAGGTGTAGTAACTCTGCCGCAGGAGCAGCGTTGATGCGTACAAGGACTGCTGGAGCAGGAGTACGAAGAGAAAGAGAGTTGTGCTGCTCAGGGTGCGGGTAACAAGGTAGAGATGGGTTGCAAGGGGCATGGAGGAGAAGGCGAAGAGCGACTTAGGGATATTCTTGGTAGTTGTAGTCAGTCTCGATATCCCGGGGGTGGAGGGGGAGTCTACGGCCCCCATGCTGGAATATATGGCCAAACGGAGTTTTCAGCAAGATCTTCGTGCTGGAGAAAGTCGTTGAAGGTTAGCAGTTGTAACGTTGGGATAGCGGTACTAAAGTACTTGGGAGGATAATAAAACACTTGACAATTTACATCCCGCTCCCATTAGCAATCGAGGGTGGGGGCTGCCCAGTCCCACCTTACCGTAACCAACAGCAATTCTTATTTATTATATTCTAGCACGGCCATACATACGCGAGGTTGTGGGGCACGCCGGCATTCGATCACAATTACAGCATCCTGAGCAAACTAGAGTAAAGCGTGTATATGATTCGACTATGATGTCGCAAATCACCATTATCCGCTGCAGGCGTCTCAACTTGTAGACAACAGCACATTGCATTTGTGTATCACAGTTGTCAAGCCAAGCGAACGGAAACCGTAAACGTGGCTATGATCAATGGCCAAATTTCTTTGCGGCTAACTCGGTTAGTGCCCGATAAAGTCGGTTTGAATTAGCACTAGGCTGGCAAATAGCCCAATTCTTTGCCTTTGCCCAGGGACTGGCCGTGTGGTGGTAACTGGTAACTATAGCTACAGCAATACGACAATGTTATTGTTATGAAAGGCTGAGAGCCGAGTGTTACGGTTCGTGGGGTGGTGGTGGGAGGGGATTGGCGGGGGCGTCTATGACGGTGGAGGGTGCAAGGGGCGAAGCTGCCATGGCTTATTACATGTACTCGGTATTATTAGCGCGGGGTCCCTCGCATTGATTATCGCGGGTGGATGGAGGGGCAAAGTGGGCAATGATGATAAAGTTGGCAGGCTGGCAGGTCCGACGTAGGAGTAACAATGATAGCGATGTTCGGGTTCTAGGACTGAATGCAGATCAATATGAATATAAACATGTGGCAGGGAACAAGTCGCCTGAGAGGACCTTTGCTGTTGTTCTGTCGAAGCAATTGGTGGTCCTAAGTGCATCACGTGATACGGCGGTGCCAACATGTGATCATGTTCCAGGCTGTGTCCAATCTTGCTGCAGGAGTCATGGAGTTGAAGGTGGTTTCAGTACACCGGGCACCGATAGTAATGGATAAAGGTCCGGCTTCTCTATTTCTCTGCCGGGGCACCCCCCTGGTTGAAGTTCATGCTGTACCCGCCTGTCTTCTCATCCTTGACCATCTGGAAATTATTTGTTGAAAGGCCGAAGGGTTTCAGAATCCCGTTGCCCAACTATTATTGGGTGAAAATTAGCTCGGGAGCAAACAGAGAGACATATAACAAAAGAGCAAACGAGATACTAACCTGCTTCAACTTGTCCATCATATCTCCCATTTCTCTCTCCTGGGCGGCTTTTGTCCGTGGCGGCAGTAGTACCAGCTGTCGCTGTACGATCTTCCTATCCGCAGCCGATAAATTCTTCATCTTTGAGAGGGTTTGATAGTCTTGAAACAAGTCAGTCTGGCACATGACGGATAGTGGTAATAGAAGCAACGGTACCTTCTTCGGCGCCTTGCAAAGTCGACCAACCACCCAACTCACTCCTACCCCTAGCCCTTCGCATCAACGACTTCGCCCGTATCCTCTCAATATCAGACTCTCTCTTGCCCTTCTCGGAGGTATCCTCTGCATTTGCGGCACCCTCACTAACAATCTCCTCGACTGATGCATCTTCTTCCTTGGACTTCAAATCCTCGTCCTCTCCCTCCGGCTTCTTCCCCCCATCACCCTTGCCTTGCAAGTTATCCAACTTATCCAAAGCCGCCGTGGCAGCATTCACAGCTTCCTTCCAATCCTCGAGCTTGAGATGACACGCCGCAACATTGCTCTTCAGCACCGCGATTTCATAATCTAAGTAATTCGGGCAGGTGGCCAACGCCTGGTCGTACGTTTCTATGGCATCTGTAAATGACGCTTTCGCAAAGAGCTCGTTCGCAGAGGCTTTTCGGGCATTGGATTCATTAAGTAGAGACTATACATGCCGTTTATTAGCATTGAGCAAATTGGCTGTGATATGAGGATGCGAGCTTACATACAGCTTCTTCTTCCGGAGAGAAACGTATTATCTCCTCGGGCTCTTCCTGTACCTCATTCTCCTTTTCTTTCTTAGAGTTGGGCTTGCGCTCAAACTTCTCCGTACGTGATGCCATTTCGTCGAGATTGGTGTTTTGTCGTGTTGTGACGGTGTTTGGACTAGATACTGTAGACCAGCTGGACCCCTGTAGTCCCATCAAAATATTTCCTGGGCTACGCTACGAGTACGATAACCCCTCCTCCTTTATCTCCACCGTGCCCCTCATTATACTGTTCGAGTTAAACATCCCAAAACCGCAACACACAAGTCTATAACCACAATCATGCCGCCTCCCAAAACTGAGTAATTGCTTTCCATTAAATTCTATCAAAGTAGACCAGTAACTAACATTCAATTCCAGTTTTCCACCAGTCCGAGCATGTCTATTCGATATGGATGGCCTCCTCCTTGACTCAGAAGACAAATACACCATCTGCACCAACGCCATCTTGAAAAAGTACGGAAAACCATCTTTGCCATGGTCCATTAAAGCACAACTTCAAGGACGGCCTGGGACAGCAGCATCAGAAATCTTCCATTCCGTAAGCACCACGTGCCTAGCCCCCATTTCTCTCGCTTCATCCGTAAAAGGATATTTATATCGTTCTTCTTCTGTTGCTCTCCTATCCCTTAGGCCATCTAAGGCTGTCAGGTCACAATAAATTATATACCAAAATACCTGTCAACTCAGCTAAATCACCACTAACGCCTCTATACAGTGGGCACAACTTCCAATCAGCCACGATGAATACCTAATCGAGCAATCGGCTCTCCAACGCGAGCACTTCCCCACCGTACAACCACTCCCAGGCGTAGCAAAACTCCTCAGCGATCTAGGCTGCGCTCATGTCCCGCTATCCTCCCCAGCTACTACATCCACATCTACCCCCGAATCAAAACCCACCGAAGGGAAAGTCCACATCGCCCTCGCAACCTCTAGCCACGCTGGGAATTTCAAGCTAAAAACAGACCACCTAGAAGAACTATTCAGCATCTTCCCCACACACCGCCGTGTCCTAGGCGATGATCCCCGCATCCCCCACGGCCGCGGTAAACCTAATCCAGATATTTATCACCTCGCCTTGGAGGTTGTAAATTCTAGTCTGGAAGAAGGTGAGAGGCCAATAGTGCCAGAAGAGTGCTTAGTGTTTGAGGATAGTGTTCCTGGGGTGGAGGCTGGGAGGAGAGCTGGAATGAGAGTTGCTTGGGTGCCGCATGTGGAGTTGAAGAAGGAGTATAATGGAAGGGAGAAAGAGGTTCTAGCTGGACTGACAGGGCAGGCTGGGGATAATGAGATGCATCTTGTTGGTGAGGTGGATGATGGATGGGCGGATTGTTATGGTAGTTTAGAGGGATTTCCGTATGAGAGATATGGGATTATTGTTTAGAAATGATAGTTCTGGTGGTATGAGTACGATGATAGAGCCTAGAACGACACATATATATATTATGAATATCAATATTTTAGAGGGAAATCGTGTGCCAATTCCATCTTCGTAGCTTCGTATGCTGAATTAGTTCGTAAAATTACACGATGTATGCATTCACAACTGCGCCCTGGCCTGCATCTTTGAACCACTCTTCTGCTTTCTCTTCAGAGGCGCCTTATCATCCTCGTCCATGTTCGCATCATCCATAGCCTCCAGGTATAAAGTCTCCCCAATCGTATCCGTTAATCGCAAAACTCTAGTAGAGACCGTAGCTCCATCTCTCCTATTTTTCCCTTCGATCCTTGACTGCGCTATTTTCTCTGTAAAATCCCACAACCTACCTTTCGGAACGATGTGCGAAGTTGCATTATCTCGTCGTGGTGCCCAATCTTCGGATAGTTTCATTTTCGGCGGGATCTTTCCGTTTTGGCTTTTGGAGATCACGATCATGCCCTCTGCTTCGAAGCGCGACCAGGAATTCTTCAGTGTCTCCTTGTTGACGGCTTCGAAATATGATAAATCACCCTGATGGTATAAAGTTTTTCCAAGCTGGAAATTTGTTAGTATCCACCCTGCCAAAAGGAGGAATTGGGAAGCTTACTAGTTGCGCGCTATCTTGGCATTTCTTAACATCAAGCCAAGTATCGCCTTGATAGCCGGTAGGAGGCGTGAAACCGATCAAAGCTACAGCACCGAGCCAGAAGGCCTCAACGAAAGGCCATATTAAGAAACAGTAGAAATCAAAATTCTCCCGGCCAGCAGCTCGCTCTGCGTCTGACAGATCCACGGCGGTGATATTTCCCTCGCTATCGCGGACAAGGTCAAGGATCCTATCCGCTTCAAATCTTCGAAGGGTGTTGTCCAAGTTAACCTCCAGACCTTCGGTGGGATAGATGAATTCGCCTCGGAATAATTGCGACAAGAATTGCACTTGGTGGCGGAGCTCTTCGTACGATATCCTTTGATTGTCTCGCCCACCACCACGCTTAACCCGGGTGTATATACTGGCACATACCAATGCCTCGGAGATGAATAGATGTATAGTCATATTTCGGTAAAATGATAATTGAAACCTGTCGACTGCGTAGTAGCACGGTTCCGGTAGGCCTTCGACCGTTCCGACAAGATCTTTACCTAGGACTTCTAGGCCTCGTTCGATGACAACTGATGTTGGGGAATTTCCGAAATGGGCGACTCGTCCACCTTTCGCTCGTACGCGTTCGCTGAGCCATTCAACTCTGCGTATCAGTTCGGCCATACCGACACCTCGTCCTCTCAGCGTCAGGAGAACCGTCCCGATCAAAGCCGTCGGCATCACCACTGATACAGCATTTATGTCAGAGAGTACCTTATAGCCTAAAGTACGGAGAAGCTTGTGCCTCATGGTCCGATCATCGACCTCTTTCGTGTCAATATTCGCCGGTACGCCAGTAGCCCGAAGTTGTTGTTCTTGCACAAACTGTTTTAGACTCCAAGGTTCATGAAACCGGACATCAATTCGCCCAAGTTTTAACGAAAGCACTGATGATGCTGAAAGGAAATCTGCCAGGTTCTCTTTCCTTTTTGGCGTTCCAAGCAACTCCGTAACATAACCCTCAGTCTCGATAACCTTGTCGTATTGCGTGCTCACTGGGCAGATAATAGCATCATCAACACGACCAGATAAAATACTGTCTAGAACAAAGCTCAGGATGCCGAATTTGGGGGACAAAAGCTTCCCCGTCCTCGAACGTCCTCCTTCAATGAAACATTCGAAGTTGTAGCCGCCTTGCAGCAGGGTATCTATATATGATTGTACCAGTGTCGTGTAAAGCATGTCGCCACCAAAGCTTCGTCGAATCCACATTGCGCCTGATTAATGAGCTTGGAATCAGTGAAAATAGACTCGGGGAACGTACCAGCATGTTGCAAAAAGCTACCAACTACAGGGAAGTTTAGATTATCTCCAGCTACCACAGTAGGAAGTGCTAAGCCCAGGCGGTAGCAAATCAATTGCATGGAGACGTAGTCTACGTGTGAACGATGGCAGGGCAAGAAAATGATGCTCTGCTTCTTCTCGGCCGCCTTCTTAGCCACCGCTCTCAACCGGAGTACCTCTTCGCTGGATACATGGATTCCTATATACTGTCAGCATGGAACCCAGCTCCAAGAATCTACCAATACAGACCTTGGTGGTAGGCTCGCGTCAAAAGCTGAGTGATGAAGTAGTATGCCCCTCTAATAAACGGTTTGCTCTCCATTTTGCAAATCATATCCCCCGTCATTCTTTCGCAGAGCTCATGCAGACTGTACTCAAGGGCGGCTTTCCTCTGCGTCCGTTTAGCGTCGAATAAAGGATCATTGATATCCAGCAACCCCTCCTTCTGCTCGACAGCAATCCGTTTCGTTGCTAACTCGGTGATTCGCTTCTGCAATATGGGCGCCGAGAGCACCGCCGCAATCATTTGCTCCGAAAATCCGGGGTAGAATATGGGCTGGCCGATGAAGTCATCGTAGGCGCGCCAGCCCGTCCCAGAGACATGAAGGGATACTTCTCGAAGGAACCTGGTGTGATCTTAGCATTGGTCCTCAAAGCAAGAGATCTAATATTTGACGGGGAATTCCACATACTCTAGCGGGCTCGACCGGAACCTGGCCATACTTCCCATCAAAGTACGCTCTCTATCTCCATCCTGAGGCTTCTCCGGGGGCTCGATGTATCCGCTTGGATGCAGCGTCACTCGATCCCCCAGAATCTCCAAATCCGGAGCCGCCGGCCTGACCAGCGACGAGCCCTTTCGATTGGTCATGGTGCTGGGTAGTAATTCCTCTTATAGTTTGGGTAACGGGCGCATAGCAAGCTTATATCTGAGAAGCTCCATGGTGTTGTGTAACCAGGATCGGGCATTCCTACCTGGGGACAGGCCGAGGATGTCGGAGGCTAACTGTTGGCGCGCCGAAGTCTGGGGCAGTCTAGTACAGTACAACCCTGGTGTACTTGGTACTCGTATCCTCGTACTTTCTTGAGCATGTGAAAGTCTAGGTACCTAAGGTACCTAGCTACTTCGTACAGACCCTCAAGCTCCAACATCGTCACAATCGTCACAATTCCAATCCACATCCACATCCACAACATGGCGCCCCAAACACCGCGCTCCAAGCAGACGGAGCCCAATTCCAATGCCTCCAGAAGCGACAATAACATCGCCGTCTCCCTCCTCTCACGCGCACATTCCCCTACCACAGCCAGCACAATCTTCACCGAAAAGATAAAAACAAGACCCCTCTACCTCAAACCCAGCGACCCAGACTCCAACACCGCCAACGCGCAACAAGCCCGCCGCCGCTCCCGCCAACGTGCTATTGAATCACGCAAGAAAAAGCTCAAACCGCAACCTCTCTCATCGAGGCAAAAGCGTGCCCTCTGCCTCTATGATATCCCCAAATCTGCGCAGAAGTACAGCATTTATGAACCTCTACATAAAATGTGGATAGGTTACATCCAGGAGGTTTTGGGCGAGAAATGCACACCGGTAACTGCAGCGACGGCGGCGAAGCTATGTAGTGCTGATTTCCACGGGGCGGAGGTGGAGGTTGTGAGGAGTCGGTGCGTGGGGAGGGTGGGGACGAAAGGGATTGTGGTCAAGGATTCGAAATTCGTTTTTGAAATTGTCACCAAGAAGGATCAGGTTAAGGTGTTGCCAAAGGAACATACGATGTTTAGGTTTACAGTACCACCGCCAGGGAGTGCAGCTGAAGAAGAGAAGGTAGTGGATCTGGTCTTTGAGTTGCATGGTGATCAATTCATTTATCGGGCCGCGGATAGGGCGAATAGGAAGTTCAAGTCTCATTTTCAACCAGATCTTTGAGGATGGGTTGGCGTTAAAGCTTGCACATATATACTGGATCTGAAAAGGGGGAGGGGAATGTTATTTTCCTATCCCATAAGCAATGAGGCCTACCTCCGCCCAGTTCCAGCCTCCTGCTCGTATCGCAGGTTTGGAGGTTCGGAAGAGGATGGATTTGGTCTTTCTGATGGCGACATGCCAGGGAAAATTCAACCTGCACAAGACAGATCAGACTAGGAGGCATGACAGCCGCGAAAAGCCGTCGATCTAAAGCCAGGCGATAACTACATAGAATTTCAGAAGAGGAAATACAGCGCTGGGAATGGAAATAGGAAATGAGGATGATGGTACAATTTGATAATGCAAGACGCTTCTAGTAGACCGCCGCATTGGACATCTAGTGCACTTACTGCCCAGGGGAAGCATTTATGAGTAGGTTATCATTGGCAAATCGCCACATATATCATATTGGAGTCTATACACGCTAGCAAGAAGCCACTCCAAATAGAACCATAATTTCCACATATGCCCCTATCCTAAACTCCATGCTGTCATAACAAGTCGTGCCTCCGTGTAATATAACCAACCATGACCCATGATTCCTGTACTCATCTATCATGATATATCCTACCAAACACCTCTAATAGATCCCACTCCGTTATAACACCACCAATTTTTCAGTCCAGGCCGCCAAGTGTACTGTGGTGTGTACCATGTTCCATCATCTGTGGGTGAAAACCTGATGCAAACCTCACTCCTATTCTGGGAAGAGAAAGTAAATTTCATAAAATAAAACAACATCGAAAGCAAAATGATGAGCCAGCCCTTTTTTTTGCAAGGTCATACATAGGTATGAGCAAACTGGTTGTGCTGGTTGGGAGGCTGATAATACTGCTGGTATGGATGATTCGGCAATGAAAAATCTGCAGTCTTTAACAGCGGGTTTAGAATACCGCTGGGGGTAGGCCTGGGGGGCGGCGGCGCAGGTGGCAGGCTCACGGAAGTTGCCTGGGTTGCTGGGAAGAATTGAGCCAAGGAAGCCTGAGGTGCTGCCATCTGTTCCTGGGCTGTATCTTCAGGCTGCCAACCCCATTTGGTCTTCAGCTCCTTGTTGAGAAACCCCACTTTCCATCCAGTCTCAGTACGAATCTTCTCAAAGATCTCGAGAATCTCTTCTTGTTCCCGGCGGTCCACAAGGCACTCTGCAGCAATTGCTAAGGAGCGCAGTGCAACACTGGCAACACCTCTATCTTTGACGTGTGCAACTATCCCACAAATTTGATGAGCGTGATGTAATTGCATTGTGTGCATCTCTTCGACGTCTTTGGACATCAGAGGATGGATTTGTGCTAGGAGGCATCCCGCCGTATGGTAGAATAGTCGGCCAACAATTGTAGCACGTTTAATTAACCTAAATTTAAATCAGCATGTACAAACAAACGTAACAAAATTATGCTTACCAGACTTCCGGGAAAGCGGATTTGGAGCTATTTTGGGAAGGGTATAGATAACCCATCGGCTGCATCGTTCGAGGTATATTCTCATTCCAGCTGTCACACAAATCCTTTAACCTCTGCCATTCCGCGTATCTGGCCTGGAGACGAACTTGTTCGTCATGTGGCGATGCCTTCTGGAATCGCGGTATTGATGCCCGAAAGTTTGCAACCTTTCCAACAATGTATACCATCCGATGAACCCAAATCTCCTCGTTTCCGAATTCCGTCTCTCGCTGAAAGTCCATGTCAACGCCCCACTGGTCTGGCTCCCACGCCAATTTCCAGTTGAAATGGAGGCAGCTTAAAAGTTCCATCCCCACATTCAACCAGAAACATGCTGCTCCTATTCCTGTACTCCTAGCACTCCAGCCACACTCTTTAATCAAAGCACGAGCTCCCGCGATATGGTTCATACGCTGCCTCGCTCGCTCGGACATAACTTCATAAACATTCAATATGACGGCTGTCGTAGCGCAAACTATGGTATCCCTGTCTGGGTTTTGTAAAGACCTGAGTAGCTGAGTAGTTGCGGTATCGTAGTAATATAGTGCCCTATCCTCGTGGTACATAGGATTGACCAGCGTCAAATGTCGAGCTCCGCAGGCGAGAAATGCGTTGAGCAGCATTGGCTCACCTAAGGAGTGAAAGGGCAAGAGCCTCGAAAAGTGTTTCATGGAATCCATGCTATCCATCCATAAACCGACTTCCTCAACAAACACTTGCATGAAGAGGACCTCCTCTGGTGAATCTAGATAACGTCGAGGATCGTTAGGGGGTGGGGTAAGTGTCTGTTCAGTACTTATACTGAAAGCTAACGAAGGTGGCGCCAGAAGGGAAGCATCACTAGGAGCGTGGGAATGATGGCGGCTATTCTGTCTCGAATGAGCTTGGTCCTTAAGTGACACGCTGCCGTCCGAGTATGGGCCATTGAACTGGTGTGTTGGAGGCAGTGCATTACTGTTTTCGCGTGACCGGGGGTTGACTACAGGCCTGACTGGATATTCAACATTTTCTCGGGGAGGCGTTATAATCTGTTGATCGAGATGTGCATAACGGCTTAGACCGCCTTTATATTCAGACGCGATCTCGCGAGATTCATCTTGAAAATTGACTTGCAAATCCATTAGCATCACGGAATTGGCTAGGGCCAGGGCAAAATTGACATACCATTCCAATCCGCCGTCGGTGGGATAAGAGGTGGGGATTTGACCGTCGTATCAATGAAATTCAGCCGCACACCCCTCTTGCAAACACGGTTTGACTTCCGGCAGTTTTGGCAGTTGGGAAGAGCTTCGTCGCATTTCAAATGGCGTTCTCTGCACGTCAAACATCCTGTCCGTACCCGCTTTGGCTTGTTCACAGGAGCGATTTGACCTTCCGCAGCATCAGCGACCACCGCTTCAGGTGTCGGCATCGGCATCTGCATCTGCTTCTTCTTCTTGTTGCCCCCTCCTCCCTTGACCGGTATCTCTGGCCCGTCCGCCCTCGGCCGTTTCAAGTGTGGAGTGCTATTATCGCTGGGGCGGTATCTTGGTGGGATGAACTGCTGGTCTCCCACCAGCGTCAGGTCCGATGCAATCGACGCCGTGTATAATGGCGACGTTTGGTATGGATAATCGAGATCGAATCCAGCCCCAAGGTAGTCCTGACTATCGTATGCCGCCAGGATGAAGACTCTGCGATTTCTCGCAGTGGTGGCCCGCTTGATTCGGTGGTACTTCCAGTGACATTGGCGTGCAACCCAACCAATACCTTCAATGACGTACCAACGCTCCTGCGGTTTTCTTTGCTGTCTTGTCTACCTGTTCTCTCTATTTTCGCCCTGTTCTTTTCTGCCCCCGAAGATATGGGTTCGCAATGGGCAGGGGATCTCGAATTGAGTATTGGATTCCAAATCCAAGGAAGGGACGAGGCTGCGGAGAGGGAACGATCCGATCTGCTCGGTAGAGTTTTGCGGGAGGGGCGCGTGTGTCTGGACTCTGGAGACTGAAACCCGGATTGACCCAAGCATGAGGGACTCGGATTGAGGCCAGGAACAATGCGACCGTTGATATGATATGCTGGGCTTGGCTAGGAGCGGGGGAGGGGTGTTAAACCATGACATTGAGCACAAGTTTTGCGGGCTCTGTAGCGATGCTTACCTTTTTGCAACGCGATATAAAATGTTCAGCGTGGAATTCTTTCTTCTCCTGCGGCCAGCGAGGATCCCCAGCCTTGGCTTGCCAGCAAGACGGCGACGCAGGGTGGTGGTCCAACGGCTGCTTTTAGCAGCTGGCGAGGATCTGTCTGAGGGAGGGTTGAGGGTTGACTGGGTTGACTGGGTTGACTGGGCTGACTGGGCTGACTGGGTGTGGAGAGAATCCTACTCCTTCCTGTGCTTCGTAAGACTCAGGAGCAAGGCGATATTGGTGATGTTGGAGCCGGCGCTGGTGCTGTGGAACGCGACACAAAATCAAATGCAACTGTACCGATTTCAGTGTTCTTGGCCCCTCCTTTTGTCGTCGACCAATACTCCGTACTTCGTAATATGCGACACAAAGGGACAGGCACCCTGGGTGTCTCATACAGGTTGATACACACTTTATTAGTGTCAGCCCTCAGGCGTCCTTGGCGCGAGAGGAGAGGGACAGTGTGAGTTACGGGTTGCGAGCCCTGAGGCCTCGTGTCTTATTTGCTCTGTAGGTGCGTATAATATATTGTATATAGTACTGTACATAGAGAGGTAGTATAGATGGTATGGAGTATGGAGTACTGTTCTTGTGTGTAGGTACAATTCGAAGCACTCGGTGTCCGGCATTGCGGGAATAGCATCAGCTTGTTGTTCATTTTCCCAGCGCTGGACGTGCCCAGTGCCCACTCTTCCGACCTCTCGTCACATGAACTCGGACAGCTTCTGTCTCCCACTTGGCTCTCTTCTATACATACCTTACATACCGAGGTACCGGTATATATATAAGGTATATATATATATAGATAGATAAGGTAGATATATATATTACACAGGGCATCCGATCAACGCATCTCAGATCTCGGACGCACCACTAATCACCATTGCTAATAATCCCAGATCTCCTACTGTAGCACACACACGCAAGGGATGTGCAGGTGCAGTCAGAGGCGCCTATAGGTTCCAGCGCAGCACCGTTCTGGGGTTCGATAGCATCCAGAATCCAGAGACTCGGGCTTGTCCAGAGCGCTCTATTGGCTTGGAAGGCAAACATGCCCGAGGAGTGCGACAACAGCCAAGGTGGGCGCTGTCCGTATGGGAAGTCAAGTATCTGCTTCGTAAGAGGAACTCCAATGCGTATTTTAAGAGACATGGAGACATGGAGACATGGGGAGTGGCGGCTTTCCAGGAAGTACTTGATTACTACTGGTAGGTGTACTTACTTCCGAGAACCAGTGCAGTAGTGAGGAAGGGAAGAGAAGAGACGAAAGCCACGCCAGGTTGTGTGTTCCCTGTGCCTCTGTAGCCCAACTGCAACCACACGCAGCACCTACATTGCATCAGAACCCAGCCGGCAATTCTCAGGTCGACCAGGTAACAAAGACTCTCATTAATCTATATTGGTGGCCGTTTCTATTATCGGTGGGGAAACCCCATCGCGACTTTAATTATAGCCCCACGTGATTTGGTGGCAGTCTTCCCGACGGGTTCAGTTACCGTACTTGGCTTCTGTGGTGTTTTGGTGGTCGTCCCTCAACCTTGCATCGAAATATTTACGACACCCTCCCTCTAGCTCTGAAAGTCGAAGGTGCTTGGATACCTACTCGACTCCGTCGCGCATCGTAAAACAATGCGGGCAGGTTTGGGAACAGAATCAGGAGTTTAGCCCAGTCAGGGCCGCGTTTCGACGTTGGGTCAAAGTTATTTGCATTTCGCAACTTCGAGCCGATCAACGAGATTCGGGGTAGCCAACCGACATCTCAACGGCTGCTAGTGCTACCCTATTAAGCTTTCAGTACAAGTAGTAGTCCGGGAGATCCGCATCGTCACGAATTGCCTCGTCCAGCATCCTGATCATTCCGATAGTTCCAGATACGGCCTTGGCCATGGCCGTGCAGCAGCAGCCGCAACCTCAGCCGTCGTACGTCCTTCGCGGACATGGCGCTCATATCCATTCCACCTCGTTCATCCGATCCAACAGTCGGCTGGTAACAGGGGACGCAGATGGTTGGATTGTGATCTGGAGTCTTGCAACGAAGAGGCCAGTAGCGGTGTGGAGAGCGCATCAGGGTACTATTCTGGGAGCTGATGCATGGGAGGGGGATAAAATAATCACGTGCGTTGTGTTCTTGTTTTTCCACGTTGTTTTCTATATTTAAACGTGGGTGGCTCTGGGTATCACTTTGTAATTCGCGGAGCGTGACCTTTCTCTATTTTTGCTCTCGAGAGAGGGTGTCCATTTTCCCCAAAGACGTTTCACATGAGCTTGTTGTTCCTGCGCGCTTATCCACTATTGCTGATTTGTCAATTAAGGCACGGCAAAGACAATAAGCTGATAGTATGGAAGCTATCAGAGGATGATGAGGATGGACTGAGTGTGGTGCTCCCAGTTGATCCTTCTCCTGAGCCAAGAAAGCAGCCATGGGCGCTCCACATCCTCGATGTCAACACGATGAACTTCTGCTCGTTTGCTCAAACATCCCCGCCTCTGGATGATGGGCCATCCAAAGAGCTTTTGGTGGCCGTACCAAACATAATGAGTTCCGAGACTGTTAGTTCCTTACTCGAGTCTGCTTGAAAGTTTTATGCTAACCCGCTTCAAAGGTTGACATCTTCCATATTCCATCGTCCAAGCGGATTTATACCCTCCCAAATGACCCTACATTTAAAGGCGGTATGGTAATGACCATTTCCATCTTTCATCATCCCCAGACAAGCCGCCTCACAGTTATAGCTGGTTATGAAAGCGGCCATACCACGGTGTCCCAGCTATCGGCCGATTCCACTTGGCAGACACTCTATACAGCACAATCGCATACGCAGCCTATCCTCTCCCTCGATACCAACCCCTCAAAGGACTTTTATATTACATCTTCTGCCGATGCCATCCTTGCTAAACACCCCATTCCGTCGTCCGCAGAAAATGTCATGCTGCCCACTGGAAGCAAGCCCTTGAAGACAATTCAAACAAAACATTCTGGGCAACAGGGTCTAAGGATACGAAATGACGGCAAATTATTTGCTACGGCGGGATGGGATTCTAAAGTTAGAGTCTACTCCGCCAAGAGTATGAAGGAGCTAGCTGTCTTGAAATGGCACAAGGAGGGCTGTTTTGCGGTAGCTTTCGCTGATCTTCAAAATGAATCAGAGGCGGAACATGAGAGTGAAGGCGGGGATCCAAATCAGCAAGCATTAACCAAGAGGCTAGGCACTCTGACTGTTAAAGAGGAGAGAATTTGGAAGGCGAAAATGACGCATTGGGTTGCTGTTGGGAGTAAGGATGGGAAGGTGAGTTTGTGGGATGTTTATTAATAATTTTAAATATACCTAGGCTACTAATACTGTCCGTGTAAACTATCCCAAACGCTCTTGCACGCTATGAATGATGACGATCACAGTTACACGCCCCATCCGAATAATAAACCATACACATAACTTCCGGCTATCAATGATCTAATTAGTCGCAATCTTTACTTCGCTTGCCACTCAATAAGTGCATCGTCTTACAACAGCTACCAAACGTGACAAAGTATTACATGTATGTGAACATGGCATCTGAGATGCGGACATAGAGGATGGCACGTTCTGGCTTCTGGTTTACTTTCGACCGAGCTACATACATCGCCGCAAAGGCAAAAGCCGGTGATATTATACAGCTTTAAGCAGGGAGGATTACAAACTAGGACATAGGACACTCCCCTTTATAGTACGACGATGTCCGAATAAAACAGCGAATTCACTATTCATCCTCACAGTCGAACTTTTAAATGTTCTATGCCGGACTATAAATACATCCCATTCTCCCTCTACAAGCACAAGTCAAATACTTCCAATGTTATGGAAATGGTGCCTTGAAAGCCCTACTCGACCACCAGCAGAAGAACTCCGATGGTGCATTCAGCGGTCCGGCGGCATTACAGGATATTAGCAGACCCCCAAATTCAGAGTAAGAAATATCCTATATCCTGTCCACTAAGTCCTCTATTCTTTATGCTGTTATTCTTTTAATATGTTGTCAATCAGCGACACACTGTCATCAAATAAACAGTTATCTAATATCCGGTTTTCAATACTTTAAATATTATAAAAAAGTACAAATATACTTACTAATTTAATAGATGGAATTAAGACAGGCATTGGACAGAGACGAGACATTATAAGATTTGCAGGAAATGGAAATTCAAAATTGAGTTTGCTATATCGTACAATGACACACAATGAGCAAAGGTTATCTATGCACCATAACGAGCCCATCGTTAGTTCATGGCGTCCATATCATCTGTTCTTCCTACCCCAAAGTGACAAAATACATGTTTTAGGAGCGAGAGCCATGTAGGCGGGTTTCGAGCAACGTGTTGAGGGATGGTAGAGTCGTAATAGAAGGGCCGGCAGTTTTATGAGATAAAACGTTCCCTTATTTGAGAAGTCTTTCGTTGACTATTCCAGATTTTGACCAGGAATGTCGATTAGACTTGTTCCGCACCCCAGCCTCCATCGGCTTCCCTATTTTTGCGAAAAGCATATTAGTTTATGTGTTCTTTGCTTGCTAGAGAACCCCCCGAGCAAGGATCTCCAGACGACTAGGCAGGGGAATAACATACCTCATGTTTTGAGGTGGCTCAATCGAAGGAATGAATTCTAGAACGACATAGGCAACGCCTACAAGTCCAATTGCGGCACCGAAAATATTGTTTGTAGTATGCGAATCGAGAAGGATGGATCCGACGAAGATGTAAACTTATAGGGGTATCAGCGCAATGCGAAGTAAAAGCATCAAGGAAGCTTATAACATACAGATTCCTCGGCCAATGAAGGAGAACAGGAAAGAGGCATATCTCGAGAGTTGAGGAGGAATTTGGAATTCTATAGTCGAGTATTAGTATCGCAAATCCCGTGTTCGCCAGGGCATCGCCGAAGGATGTAGGCAAGGGAACTGACCAAGAAGCGCGGTAGCTGTAAACGCGAAAAGTTAGCAAGATACGAACTAGAAGGATACACAAGGTGGTTTACCTAGCCCAAAGACTGCCACATAGATACCAACCATCAGGTCAGAACTTCCACGAGGTTAGCTAGAAGCTTCAAACCCAGCCACAGGACAAAACCTACAAGTGGAAAGGAAAGATGTGCCATATCCCACTAAACACCATGAGCGCGCCCACGCCGAGATTGACGAGCCGACTATACCAAAGCTTTTGTTAGCAGAGAACGGAGGGGTAGAGTCTTGCGCAATGGCACCGGCCGTTGAGGATGCGCGTTGTTTTGTAGGGGGCTGGAAGGAACTCACAAAGCGTCTGAGAAGTCCATGGCGATTGATTAGGAGGATGGGAAAATATCGGACTGGAAATGGCAATCCAAACAGGAGGCGTAGCTGCAGAGGGGAGACGTGAGATGTGGTTGATCCAAGTTGAGGATATTCAATGGTTCTTGTTGGAGTTGTGGCTGTTTGTGGTTTTGCGCAACACTCAAAAACCGCTACGTAGCAGACGCGGCGCGGCGCAGACGTGGAACAGCCCTGCCCTGGATGCTGGGCTGGGGGCAAGCTCTGCGCCAAGGCACATGCGGTCAAGCGTAATAAGCGTTGACGTTCGTGAAACCAGGGTCATCGTATATGGTACTACGTACAATCTATTACACAGTATTCCTCACCATCGGAGAGCCGGATCCAATTTCAATCATCACCTGGCCATGCTATCCTATGGAACTCAAGGCACCGTCATGTCGACCGCTGCCGCGCCTGTTGAGGTCTGGGAAATTCCGTTGCCTGCTGGAGTGCCTGTAGAGACGCGTGGCGTCATTAGGGACTCGGTCAGCACTCAGGAAGCAACACATTACCACTTGTTGCGGGTAACTGCATCTGACTCGAGAAGGCGCTGTAGCCTAGTAGTTCTACATTAAGCACGTACTTGATATGATGAGGGTAGGTGTTATCATTGCTGTATCCCATCTTATCGAGTTCATATTGCAATACAACCCCGTAGGGTTCCCTGTCCCACTTGAAGTTGGTGACTTAGGACATCAAAGGAAACGAGGTCTAAGATGCTTGAATATTCTGAGCTATCTAACATATTGAGGTTATCTACTGTAATGCGATGTTATTCCCAACAGGCAAAGCTTTGTAGGGATTTATATTCCGCCCTACAACTTGAAATTTTGGGTTCTTTACCTGTAGATAAATTATATTGACTACACTATTTGCCATTCATATGACCGAGAAAAACCAGTGGAGAGAAGGTGAGGGAAGGCCCTATTACACATAGATCTATTCAAAATTATAATATACGGCAGATAAGGACATTTTCAGCACAGAACTGTGAATGTTTAGTTCAAGGGCAAAGACATTTGGCAAGAACAACATCATAACACCATAATATTTGAATTAGACAATACAGCAGCACATCTCAGAGTAATTGCAAAAACCCAGAAATGTGCCAATGACTCCCCACGGAAACCCTTTAAACTCCAAGAAGTCAATTTGATTTCATCAACCACAGTTATGAACGGATCCCAGCTCCGAGCACTGCGCTGCTATTCCCGCTGCCTCCTATCCTTCGGATATCCTTGATTTGACAACTCCAGACTTGGCATGCTCTGCATCTGGCATGATTGCACTCGGTGCAAGTCGAATATCGGAGATCGATCGTCTTGCCGCACTTGAAATCAGGCTTAGTAAAATGATAGTATACTTTAGGCGGGCCAGACAATCTTACTGAACTCTTGGAGACTCTCCTGCCGTTCTGGAGATGGAGAACCTTACAACAGACCCAGAATTCGTCTGGTTCTGCCATGATTGTTTTGCAGGTTCCGGCTAGCTGGGTTTATTGTGCTACAAAAGCCAGTTCTTCGATGTTTATGGGATGCCTCTCTGGTCGACAGTGGATTTGAGCATCTGGCGATTTGGAAGGAAAAGGAGAGAACGCCCGACAATGGAGGGTGGAGCAGAAGTATCAAAATACTTCGAGTCTAGGGCACCATATCTATCATTCAGACATACATATTCAAGAGGGGTCGATGAAACACGTTTGCAACTGTGATTGGACGCCCGTGATAGCCGTGTCACAGAACGACATGCAATAATTGAAAGACACAAGAGGCTTGATGCCCGACTGGAAGGTCGCGACCATCTGCTGGTCACCTGGTTGATAGATTTTTGGTTTATACTACGCTGTATTCATGGTCCCCGATGGGGACTGGCTGTCATCGATCCAGTTCTCCCAGAACTTGAGACCTTCGATACCTTCCTCCCTGCAGAGAGCGCCCTTCTCCTCTGCCATCTCTAATTCCTCTTCCGCAACACCAATACTCCAGCCAAAGCGTTCCGCTGCATCCTGGGCTGTGACACCTCTGCCGAAGAGCTGCCAATCCCACGTTAGCTCCTTATCAGGGGGAAACGAATGCAGGTCGTTCAACCAGTCGAGAAGTGCTTTGATCGTCTTGTCGTCAGTGCGATCGCTAGCTTGAACTACAAGGACGCCGCTCTTAAATTGCCTCAATCGTACTGGGAGCTTCAACTTCTCCCAGAGCTTTGCAGCTTTTTCGAAATCTAAAGGACTGACTAGTTCAACCCCACCGCGGGCACGGTTGAACATAGCCCAGAGGTCTACAAGACTGATGATCCCTCCAGCCTTCCGGAGGACACCCCTAGCATCATCCGTCAAAAACTCAGCCAGGTTTCTGGAGAGCTCGGATATGTATAAAGATTCGGAATTGCTTCCTCCACCGAGCATATCTTTTGTCGTAACTAACCCAAGAGCATTCGCCACTGCGTTAGACTCTGAGCTCCCATTCCCACCATTTGCAGCTGCGAATGATTCAGCAAGAGCTACAATCTCTTTGGCTGATGCCATCAACGCCTCTAAATCCTCAAAGGCATTTCCTATGACCAATTCATTGTTCTTTTGGACCTCCAGCCGTCTTTGCTCCAGACCTGCGATGCCTACTGTTTTCACCTTGTCTGCCGAATATTCTGATACTCCTGCTATAGATAACCCATTTTCGGGAGTGCTTAACCGATTAGGCTTTGGAACTGGGGGAGCTCCTTGTAGGAGCCACTTCCGCTGCGTCATGCAGCCTTTGAGGCGCTCATGAAATAGCTTCTCGCCTCCTGCACGGAAAGATAATTTGATGCTCTCGTTGTTTTCCATACCAGGTCCAGGTAGATGATTCAACACCGGGCCAGGCGACTCTGCCCGTAATACGGGTTTCACTAATTCGCTCGGAATATCTTGAGAGACTAAAGAAGCGCCGCAGAGCTCACAAGAGAGAAGCGATGGATGGTTCAAAAATGTGCACCTAGGACATGGGAACGACGCTCCGCCAGTGGCGTTGGCTGTATGTCCTTGGGAATCATCTGCAGGTTGAGTTGCAGATGGACCATCCCATATCTCAGATTGTGGTCGAGGGGCATCATGATTTCTGCGAATGGGAAGAGGAGTCCGAGTCGGGGCAGGAGATTGTGTTGGTCGATTGGTAGCATTTGCAATCGCAGCCTTTAAAACGTGAGCGAGAGGCGGTTTGATGCCACACGCCAAACATGGAGGAAGTGGAGTCCGCAAGCTTGCCGTCGCAGGGTCGAAATTTGAGGGAACTGGGTTTGAGAATGTACATATAGGGCATATCCAAGTGGCTGTGCTTGCTGGGACTGGGTCAGATACAGGTGGGTGGAAAGGGCTGTCTGATCTAGATAGGGGCGACGTAGTAGCGCTTCTCGACGGGCTATTGGCTTTCGCGGCCACTCGACTTTGTACTGAAGATCGCTTGGGTGGTTTCGGAACCAAGGTTATCTTTGCAGATGATTTCAAAAAGCCAGCCTAGCAACCGTTAGAGAAATATGGCAACACATAATCCTTCACCGCCTTACGTAGAATTCATATCGATCGACCTCTTTTAAATCGATGGCCACAGAGTTCGTCCTCGGGTCCTCATTGTCGACATAGCAGATTCGGTGAGAGGTCAGATAGATATGTCCATTTTGATAATGGGGAATCTTGTACTTCCTAGAATGCCTTTGTCAGTAATCTCCTGGAGCAGTATGCCGTCTACATTGTACTCACCCCTCGTAGAGCCCCACATGGTCCTGGACGAACAAGAGGACTTCATCTGGCAAATAAGCCGGCCTCAGCGCAGTAGTGAGGTCGATATGTTTTAGAAACATCCGGCCTTGCCATGTGCTGCTGTGGCTTTGGCGTTGGCGTTCACGGCAAGAAAGCCAGACCTCATGAGGCGAACAGGTAAGGCATTTGTTACCTCGAGCTTCTTCTGGTTGTCGCTATCGTCGCAAGTAAGGGAAGGTACCTAGGTACCTGCCCTTATCGCCGATCGGGTTAGTGACTGTATGTACGCGCAATCCCTCCGCACGCCCGAATAACTCAGCACGCCATTACCCGAGTACTTCGTTCTTATTTCCCTCCGTGACCAACAGACTGTCCTGGCCTTTCTTTGTCTTCATCAACTCAACTATCTCTCTCTTTGAACCGCGACCTTACCTTTGTTCTCTACTGTTTGCAGCCGTGTCCCCGTACCACTAACATCATCTGCCTGCAAGCAAATATCGAGGTGACCATGATGAATTCGACATGGCCCGTCCCGCCGCCACCTGGCTCGCATAATCAGCATGTATACGCACCAAGTGAGTTGACCGATTCCATCACCTCCAAACGCCTCATCATCCCCAAGATGCCTTCTAAACGTCAGACAGGTCCCGCATACCATCCCGTGCAAGTACGACAGTCATTTAACCCAGCCCCTCTCCCATATTCCGCGGTCCCTCCACAGCCGGCTCCAGCTCCTGCCCAAAAGAAAAAGATCGACTGGCCACAACCCGTTCGCGACTATGTGCAACGATCCTTTGATCCACAAAATGTTCTCCCAGATATCCCAAGGACCGAGATGGAAGCCAAACTCAAAGAGACCATCTCCGCGACTACTGATGCCAACGCTCTATACTCCACTGACTGGGCCAATCTGCCACTCCCACAACATATGATCCGCCAGGAGCGAGCACTTGCTGCCCAAGCCTGGCGTCAAGAGTCTGTAAATTTACAGCTAGATGGCAGGAGCTATGGCGATAGTCCGAAGGGCACTGCGAAGAAGAGAAAATCTCAAGAGATCGCTGGTGGAAATGATGAGGATTCAGTTTCAACCCCACCCTGGCGTACCACTAACATTCGCAATGGATTCGAAGACCGTATCACTTATCCCGCCGACCGGTTCGACAAGCGACAACAACCCCATCAGGACGACAATCTCAAAGGTACAAGTAAGTTTCAAAAGAACCTCGAGAAGCGGCAACGTCGGTTTGATGGAGGATATAAATCTGCCTACAAATCTCCATCCCCAGAACCAGCATCAGGACCGGTGGTTGGAACTTCGGAAGTCCTCGAGAAGCAATACCTTCGTCTCACAGCACCCCCCATTCCCTCCGCAGTCCGCCCCGAACGAATTTTAAGGCAAACCCTAGATCTATTGAAGAAGAAATGGAAAAAGGAAGGCAACTATTCCTATATCTGCGACCAGTTTAAATCCATGCGTCAGGATCTTACCGTTCAACGCATCAAGAACGATTTTACCGTGACTGTTTATGAAATTCATGGTCGGATCGCCCTCGAGAAGGGTGATCTTGGTGAGTATAATCAATGCCAAACCCAGCTCCGTGCGCTCTACGCACAAAAGCTGGGAGGCAATCCAGTGGAGTTCAAGGCGTATCGTATCTTGTATTTCATTCATACTTCTAACCGCACTGCGTTGAATGACGTTTTGGCGGATCTAACCCCAGCAGAAAAGAGAGAGAAGCCTATCAAGCATGCTCTTGATGTACGTTCGGCATTAGCGTTGGGCAACTATCACAGGTTTTTCAGGCTCTATCTCGACACCCCTAATATGGGCGCTTACCTTATGGATATGTTTGTTGTCCGAGAACGCCTTGGTGCCCTGTCAAACCTATGCAAAGCGTAAGTTTTAGTCTACTCCAATATATGAGGAAATTATACTAACTTATGCCAGATACAAACCAGACGTGAAGTTGCGATTTATAACCGAGGAGCTCGGGTTTGAATCTGATGGCGATGCCGCGCAGTTTATTTGCGACCACAATGGCCAGACTTTCCTTGAAGAAAAGGATGATGGTCTTCATTTCCTTACTGGCAAGGCCGGCCAGACTTTCGACGCGGCCAAGAACGCGGCGTTTCAGAAAATCGATATAAAAGGCCAGATCTAACCCGTCTTTTGTACACATCGAGCCTTAACCCCCAGCATCCCATCTGCGTACCGAGTTTTTTCGGATCTTTTTCATCGTATTTCTTCTCACCTTCGGATCATATCGCACCTTCGAGTTTGCTCAAACTAGTCTCGCGGTACCTTCGACCCACTGGTTGTTCCAATGGTTGTTGGTGACGAAGTTAATGCGTTGGATTATGGATTGTCGATATAGCTATTCTTGCATTCGCTGTTTGTAGCATTAGGAATTGGATAGGCGGATGCACAGGCCTGCTTTTCTTCTTTTGCTCTGGGATCTCGACTGGATTCGTTTTATATACCCCCTTCCTAGTAACCGGCGAGACATGTGCATTGCATTAGGTCATAATTGATCTTGATTGAGGGCTGCCTCGAAAAACAAGTCTCTGTTACTGTGTGCTGAGTGATTTATCCCTCGTCCCTCTAATGGCTACGGATTTGTTTGATTCGGAGCATGTCTATCTGTCACACTAACCAGCGCTTTCAACCCGCCCCCCTCTGCCAATATGATGGTCATTAACCACCATGTCCATCAGTTGCCTTGGTGTCCCAATTACATAATAAAGTATAAAAGCTAATTCTAACACTCCATGTCTTCATGCATCAGTTTATCCACCCATTGCCCGTATTATTTGTTTATCAATTTATTAATTTAATGCTCAACGGGCTATTATAATACATGAGATTCAAAAGTTATAAGGTCCATTAACGAAAATCTATATGACCGGTATATTACCAAGACTGGACTTTTATAACCTCGCTATGTAAAGCCCTCCGCCCCTCTGTTGGACGGCAAGTCCAGACAATATGTTCGGTATGTGTTATTGCTATCTTTTGACTAGGACTAGAAAAGGCACCGCTTTTTTTTAAAAAGCCCAAACCACGCAAAAGGCAAAAACAACGAGTTTTATTCTGAGCAAGCACTTTCCCTGGCAGACGGTCCACTTTATTGCTTTTTGGCTGCCAACTTATGATGTCGTGAGGGATTTAGCAAAGTAACATAAAAGAGTGCATAGAGAAAGAAAAGCAACGATTCTCCTTACTGGCTCCAAGATTCTCGAGGACTGAACAGTCCCGGTTTCAGCTATCTCCTCCATAGCCCATTTGCACGAGGGAAATACTTGTTTTTTTTTTAAAACTATATATTTACTGTACGCAGTAAGACAATGCCTCAACGAAGGCAAATTTGCGGGGTGAGGGATTTTACAGGGCATTACGTCGTACGGAGTACGACGTTTACGTTCGGAAGCAGTCCCCGCGCAGGCTGCTCCGCGGAATGGACTCTGGACTGTGGAGGCGGGTGTTCGTGGTTCTTTCGGGAGGCACTGGATCCGCGATGCATGATGTTACAGAGTGCCGATGCTTGCGATGCCGCGGTCTCTCCCCTTTTCAAGAGGGTTTTGTGCGGAAAGGGGTCTGTGTCATCCTGATCCATGTGGCTGTGGGGATTTGGGCTGCGTGGGTTTTGCTTATCGGCGACCTGTTGGGCGGCGGGCTGACGGGGTGGAAGAAAGACGATAATGCTTCTGGAAGGGCTGTGAAGAGTCTGAAGCCGGAGATGATTGTGGTAGGTGGACGGTGAACGGGAACGGGGGGTTTAGTAACTATGCATTGCATTGGATTGAGACTCGTGATGACGAAGGGTGCCGGGGGCGATGGAGGTGTGTAAGACCAAATACTACGTCCTACGAATGATATCAGCATTCCTTGGGTCTCGTCTCGTCCTGCATACTTCGTACCTTCTTCCAAATTGGGGTGCTGAGGAGAAGAATAAGGCTAGCTTCTTGGGAGTTAACTGGTATGCTGTGCTGTTGTAGCTGGTGATCGTCGTAGATCTGGGAATGCCTTGCCTGGAGGGGCATTATTTCCCGGGACATCCTGTGGGAGTCTGGGAGAGAGCATTGAAAACCAAGAACTGATTTCCGCAGGGGGAGGATATAAGGGGGGTGATTGTCGGCGAGCTGCTCCGTCGATGGTAAATGCTGCTGCAGTGCCGTCGCCAGACGGTCGGACTTGATACTACTGAGTCGACGGGCCCGGAACCAGTCGTTTGAGTTCCATCTCTCTGTTGCCTTGAATACTCCGTCGTGCTTCTGCAACTGGTGGTGCCCTGTGGCTGTGGCAAAAGCTGGCGCTGCTGTTGGCGCTGGACCTGCAACGGGGGCTTCGTCACATCACAAGCAATCAACTGGCAGCCAAGCATCGGCGATGTTGGGTCGTCTTGGGCGCTGGCGATCGATGCCCACTACTAGTGCAGTACTTACTCGTACGGAGCACGCCGAAGTGTATGGCCAGTTCCAGGCGCTCGCGTGTTGGAGGCGCGAATGGAACTGGGGCATATTATCATGTTTTTCCCTTCATTTTCGCGTGAACCTGGCAATCCGAGGAAATTGGACGCAGGAAAGGCCACTGGGGCTTGGGAGGGACCTGCAGTGTGCAGCGAGGGTGCAGCGCAGAGTTTGGCCTGTCATGGCTCGTTCCAGTGCTCTACTCTAATAAGTTGAGTAACCTGAGTTGCAGAGGTGGTGGTTGGTGGGAAAGCAATCATAGCTGGTAGAATACTCCGTAAGCTACCACGATCCACGATCCACGATCCACGATCTGTAGAAGCACTTAATTTCACGATCTAATGCGAAAAACGGCCCCTCTGGAAGCACTGGGCTGTGGTTGGCGAGTTCCACGTCATGTACGGCACCAAGTCCTGTCATGCAAAACGACGATAACTGATAAACCTGCGACATGAGGAAAACGTGGCCCAGGGACGAGGTTTATCGATAAGGGCGTCTCGGCCGCCCTTGGGGCCCTGGAGGCGCCTGGGGGAATACGTAAGTACGACGTGCTGGGGAGGGAATTGTGGTCGATGGGGACCTGGTAGGTGATGGATGATGGGTGGTGGATGTAGATAATGGGATCCTACTATAGATGCCATATCATATCATCACCTTCCTGTACCTATATCCTACCTACAGTATCTTTCCCCAGGGTCCTGCTCGGCTTCGGGGCGGGACGAGCAGTGAACCGTCACTGTAACTGCACTAATGATCACCGTTCTGTAGGGGATTCGTCCTCGCTGGCTTCGACTATGGGCGCTGTATATCCCGATGACGAACAAAGAGAGCCATTATTACAGAGGGGCAGCTATTTCTTGGATGGTATGTAGTAATAGTTAGTTATATTGCAGTCACAGCCCCTACGAAGTACCTTACCGAGTACTGCCTCGATACCCAATGCCACACCCACGGCACCACCCACTAATCACCCGCTGCCACCCACTAAACCCCCCCCGACGAACCCCTACGAACCCCCAGCAACCCCTATCAGCCCCTATAATCCGCCTATAATCGCCTGCAAACCACCGCTACCACCACCCCCTCCGCCCTCCATGCTTCCCAAATTCCAGTCCAAATCCACAAAGACCTAACGGGACCCCGTGCCGCCGTTCTAGTGTCCAATCTCCATCTTCCGTCTCCTCCTCACCACCACCACCAAGGAAAGATTACCACTCTCCCTCCTCTCCCTCCCTTCGCCTTCAAGCGTGTCCACCGATCGAACGCGTAGGAAAGAGGAGATTCTCGCCAAGTCGAAGCAGCAGGACCAGAAGCAGCGCAGCGGCTGGTGTTGTATCGGGTTTTCGTCGTCTCATTGTCGCGAACAGTTTTCTATCCCTACCTTCGTCGCACATCGCCTGCCTTCACCACCCCCTCGTCCTCGTTCTCGTCCTCGTCCTCGTCCACGCCCTCTTCCTCGATATCTCTCTCTCGCGCGCCCACGTCTCCGCCCTCCCGATATCCTTCATTTTTACCATACCACGGCCTCGATCCTCCGGATTGAAGCCGAACGATCCCACCCCGCCTGTATCGGTGTCGAACCTGCCCACCCCAGTTCAATCGAGGAGCTAGTCAGTCGAGGAGGAAAATAAACCCATCCCTTGATCCACCCCACAACCGGTCGGTGCCGTGAAGTTAAAAAAAAGCCATTCACAATATGAAGGTTAGTGCTTGTCACCGTCAATGGAGGGGTATGAGTTGCGGCGAGGCTCTCCGCTGACCACATTCACCGTTCTAGGCTCTCAGGCGTAGCATAAAGGGGGAGAAGGACTCTAAACCTCAACATCTATCGCTAGCCCCGAAAGCAGCGGTTTCCATAGTTCCCCCTAAGAAGGTACGTCGCACTCTACGAGGCCGGGGAGCGCGCCACACTGACGCGTGCTGTTGTGCTAGGTAATTCGCGCACTTTACGACTACGAGGCCCAATCGGGCCAGGAGCTATCTTTTTCAAAGGGGGATTTTTTCCACGTCATCGGGCGAGAAAATGATACGGATTGGTATGAAGCATGCAATCCCGCTTTGCCAGACGCCCGCGGGTTGGTACCGGTTGCGTTCTTTCAGGCCTTGGGGAAGACCGAGCGGGATAGTGGACAATCAGAGACATCTCCTCAACCCGTGAGGATGCCCGATCATGACTCGGGATACTCAGATACATCGGGTTCCGGGACTCTGGTGGGTACAGAGGCGCAGCGCCAGTCTAGGACAAGCGGTAAAGGTTCCGGTGCCATGGTTTATGGCATTGTGATGTATGACTTCGCCGCGGAACGACCAGATGAGCTGGATGCAAAGGCAGGAGAAGCGATTATTGTTATCGCGCAATCCAACCCGGAATGGTTTGTTGCTAAGCCAATTGGGAGACTCGGCGGCCCTGGATTGATACCGGTTTCCTTCATCGAAATACGAGATATGACCTCGGGTCAAGCTGTACCAGACGCGCAAGATGCGGTTCAAAGAGCAGGGGTACCAAAGGTGGAAGAGTGGAAGAAGATGGCGGCGGATTACAAGAACAGCAGCATTACTCTGGGAAAGTTTGAAGTCCCGAATTCACAACAGCAGCAGCAACAGCAGGGGTTGGAACAAAGTATGGGCCGGATGAGCCTCCAGCAGAATGGTCGCCAAAGCCAGGGGAACAGCCAGGCCTTCGTAAGTATCCCCTCGTTTGTATGCCCAGAACCAGGGACTAATTCGCCGCAGCAACAACAAAGCAGGCAATCTCAGCAAGCCAGAACTATGCAACAAAACCAACAACCGCAGCAGAATCCTTACACATCACAACTCTATGCTCCCATCTCAGCCCGGATCCCTCGTTACTGTTTTGCAGAAGACAAGTATTGGTTTGTCATCGAAGCTGCTTTGGAAGACGGGCGACACTGGGAGTTGTCTCGGTATTACGAGGATTTTTACGACTTTCAGATTGCCCTCTTAACTGAGTTTCCCTCGGAGGCTGGAAATACAGGTACCCAGAAGAGGACGCTACCATATATGCCAGGCCCAGTCAACTATATCACGGATGCGATTACCGAAGGCAGACAGCATAATCTGGACGCCTATGTCAAGAACCTTCTCACACAACCACCTTACATTTCCCGGTGTGTGCTGGTGAAACAATTCTTTGCACCTCGTGAAGGCGATTATGAAATCGACCCAAACACTGTGAGTGATGAATATCGATTGTCAGGCGGGTCGCAACAGTCATCGAGTGATTCGCCCTCGAATGGGGCATCTCGACAATCCTCGCGTGGCAACCTAAATGGAGCAGGCTATTCAGGACTTACAGCAGCACCAGCAAGAAACTCACCCCATCAACGAAATCAACCTTCGATCTCCACAAATGGAAATGGCCAGCAATCATCGGCCCCCCAAAACCCTGGTAACTCTTCTTCTCCGGCTCTCAATGGACAACAACAACCGTCCGCGATGAAGGTCAAAATTTATTTTGGGGACGATCTTATTGCCATCCGGGTGCCGACCGACATTCAATATCAACAGCTTTACCAGAAGATTCGGGATCGTCTAAAGATCCCCCAAGGCGACGAGATCGCCATGTATTACAAAGATGAGCCCAGTGGAGAGCGACCAAACCTGTTGAGTAACAACGATCTCGACATTGCACTTGGGAGAAACGATAAACTCATCATTTACGTCGAATATAACTGATTATAAACTTAACGTGCCAACTGGTCCCGAAGTCCACAAGACTTCTGACCACCACCACGCTAGAGGACATGTGGCGACGCGCATGATGAATTAATCGCCCATGTCGCTCCCTCCAAGCTGGGTCCGAATACTTTATTTTACACTTACACCTTCTTAATCTGCTTCAGATGTACAGACCATTGCGCGCGTTAATAGTTGCCCATTATTTCACAACACTGGCCAACGAAACCACATTCACTGAGTCTTGATCCGGCAGATATCACCATTTTTGCTTTTGAAGAGAAAATGACTTTTTTTGGGAGGATGCGATAGTACATCGGCGGAATACTGGCGTTCAATGGGCGTTTTTACGTGTTTGAGAAAATTGATTCTCTTATTATTTGCAAGAACTGCTGAAAGACGAGTTGCATATGTTTGGATGAAGCGGGACATACCATGATTTTCTATTTTATGAACTTACGTATAGGAGGTGATAGGATGGGAGGGCGGTCTGGGCGGTTGAGGATAAGGGATGGGCTATCATCCACGGCGGTGATGACGGGAAGCAATTGCGCGTACCTATGCTATGATATGTGATGGCGGTTCAAAAGCAAATGATCAATACCCATATCTTGTCATGTCAACAGACGATCTCCTTGCTGGGCGATATATGTATACAGCTATCTCAAATCCTATCTGTTTCGAAGTCATGGGCAAATGAGATGCGTACAAGAAACCCCCTCACGTTCTTCTTGATGCCCCAAAAATAGAATTTGTAAGGCCACGCTAGAGCTCGTGCCACACCCTCGTAGACCCCAAAACCTCACCATAATACCACCGTCGCCCACCTCTCGCACCTCCTCACTACCCTCCCAGGCTCCCCATCTCACAACTACCCTCACCAACCTCGCGAGACATTCGATATCTATATCGCAGCCTTCTCCCCACCACATCTCCCGTTTTCTTCCAGTGACCCATCACTAGGTGTCGCTGGCTTCCACTGGCTATCGCGGCGCACCGCCTGGCACAACAACATCGTATACAATGCCACCACTCCAGCTCCGAGATCAATTCCCCACACTAAAGGCGTTCAAAGAAGCGCTTCACGCGTGGGCCATCGAAGCGCATTTCGAGCCGCGAATCCTGAAATCGGACACCGGCCGTGTGCGCGTGGGCTGCAAACGCGACCCGAACTGTCCGTTCGTCATCCGATGCAACTGGGAAAGGAAAAATGGGAAGGAGCCCGTAGCCAGAGTTACGGTGCTGAGGGATCGGCATACGTGCTTGAATGGCATCGAGTGGACGGCGGCTCAGCTCCAGGGCGCCATGGGCCATGAGATGAATGGCGTTGGCAATGCTATGAATGGGGGCATGAATGGTGTTAATAATGGCTTGGGTATGAATGGGATGGGTGGTCCGCCCCAGGTCGAGATAAGACAGGATGGGGAGGGGAATATTGTGGGTGGTGCGAGGGTTTTGGGTCCTCGGAATCCGGGCGACGTATCGGGACCTCCTATTGTTCCTGTGCTGCCGAAAGTACAAAGGAATAGTGCCTCTAGGCTGCCGTTCTTGATGGAGATTCTGCCGCGCTTGATGAATATCCAAAAAGAGACAACGCCTATAGAGATCCGAGAATGCCTATTAAGGGAATACGGCGCCGAGGTCCATTTACAACAATGCCGGCGGGCGAAGACGGAGATCCTGAAGAAGAGGCGGGTGGGAGCCGGTGGGGAGGGAGAGAATGCACAGCAGGGGAATCAAGAGGTGCAAGACCCTTCACGTCAGGCTCAGAGCGTGGATGGGATGGGTGATAGCGAGAGCGCAAATGAGGCCAGTCAACAATTATTCGGCGATATCAACGCCAATGGCACAGGTGCGACGCAGAACCAGCAGCAGAGCCCGCATGCCTTTGCGCTCCACACCGCAACAGGTGTTGTCGCGCCTGTTGTGCCTGATAGGGGTGCGGCTGCTCTTAGAGCGGTTGGTGAGACGCCTATCAAATGCCCGTATTGTATTAACCTCCGCTGGATGAAGAGCATCCAGGATGCTGTCGAGCATATGAGTATGCATGTTACCGTGTGAAACAAGAGCTGGGCAACACGAAATGGAATTCAAATACCCGGAAACGCCACCGGCAACCCCTGAAATGGGTCGGGGCTTTGTTCCGTGGTCAAATCAGACTTATATATGAGCTATAACTGGTGGGTTTGGGGACGTCGAGTTCTGATACTCGAAGGAAGGAAGGACATGAGAAACCCCTCCGTGCAGAACCAGTGCGAAAAACACGAACGCATGGATATGCAAGGTAAGCCTGTCTTCAATACCTCCGTCCGACATCAATAAGTCAAGTATAACTAACACTTTCCGTCTAGTTTGCCACTATATACTTATATGCAACAACTGGATTATGAGGGCGCCAGGACTCTGTATCAATTACGCTCATCTCCTATTTATGGAATGGTTTTGGGTATTTTGTTGTTTAGAGTAGGGGTATATAGTTATCACTCCCGTCGTATGCCGAATCAATAAACTATTGAGCAAAACGCAAAGGCCATTTTTATTGCCTCTTATTTTTTTACCTGATCAATGATTCTGCTACGCGAACTATATCACAATGGCTTTCTCCCGAAGTACGAATTTCCACTGGTGAGGGACCATAAGAGGTGTTTGATTAGTTTGGAAATGAAATGATCCATGAACGATCTATACCAGTATTCTACCTTTATAAGGTATAACAATCTAAACTTCCACCTCTAACCGCTAAATAGGTATCCCATTATAAACATTCTACGCCGCATTATTCCTAATCTCGGCATCCGCAACGGCCTTCCTCCAATCCGTCCTCCACAAATACAAACCCTCCGCAACCGTTACCAACCCTAGGGCAAAAACAACACCACTCCACAGACCCTGCAACTCCCAGCCCAGCCCAAACGCCGTCCCAAAACTGATCGGCATCGCAATAACATAGTAGCAGAACAGGTTTACATACCCCCCAATTTCCTGCTGGCCTAGGCCGCGGAGGACGCCGTTGCAGGTGCATGCTAGGGCGTCGAAGAGTTGCATGGCGGCGCAGACGGGGAGGACTGCGGACACGAGTGCGATGACGGCGGGGTCGTTGGTGAAGAGTTGGGCGATGTGGTGGCGGAGGGTGGAGAGGAGGATGATGTTGAGGATACCAACGATGGTGGCTATTATTACTGCCTAGAGTTTCCCGTGTAAGTAACATTTATGGTATGGTTCGTAGCATGGGGGTTATGGGAAACGCACCACTTTTGCACTCGTCTTTGCGGCATCAGAGAGCGTTGCACCGATGAGATTGGCAACGCGAGTTGATGTAACTATAGAGATAGGGAAGGGGATTTGGAATGTCAGAGCTGATATGGTCTGTAGGACGCTCTGTGCTGCTAGATGGGTAGTGGAGAAATAGCTTGATGCCAAGGTAAGTATCTCGAATGCCAGAAATTCGGTTTCTACCATGAGAAGTCCTGGAAGAGCAAGTTTAATCATGGGTCCTAGAGGAACGTTTAGCACAGCTAGTTTTTCTGGGGGTTGGCTTTGGTAACGAACCCCAATTATGGAAGGCTTTCGTTGTGAAGCCATTCCAGCACTGATGGCCGTCAATGAGCCAAACATAGAGGAAGAGGAATAGGGGTAAAAGATTATCGGTAACAGCTACAGCGATTGGGGCCCCGATGAACCCCCATTTGAAATGCCACACGAATAGCCAATTCATGAAGGCATTCAATGGAGCACAGATAAGAAGGACGTAAGTGGTTGCAGAAAATAGTCCCTGGGATTGCACAAAACGCTTCCCTGCTTCGAAACAGGCATAGCCAGGAGCTCCAATCAGCAAAACACGCAGATAGAGTCCCGCAAGCTGTGCAGATTGCCGTTCGGGCACGATCTTCTCCAAGATCTTTTCAGCACCAAGCCAGCAAATCCCAATGGGGATTGTCACAAGCATGAGGAAGTACACCATACGTTGCAATTGGAGCCCAACCAGCTGCCTCTTTCCCGAGCCGTAAGCTTGCGCACATAGAGTATCCAGACTCGTCGCAAGGCCCTGGTATATAGCATATCCGGTGATATTCGCCGTCATGCTGGCCAGACTAACGGCGCCCAGCTCGATGGTGCCCAGATGCCCGACGGTAAATATACTCGCAACTGTGAGAGAATACTGCAATATAAATGTCACCACTAGGGGACATGAGTATTTGATGATCGTCTTCGCTTCTCGCTGCCATGTGGTCTTGATCTTGCCTGCGGCCACAGCAGCCTCCCATTGTTGGTTTAATCGTTCGTCGCGAGTTCTATGGGACTCTTGAGCTATTGGCTGAGGAAGTAAAGATGATGTTTCGGAGGGTTCTGCCGCGAACAGAGGTGTTGTCGGGCTACTTTCTGGATCTGTCTTCTTTTCTGGCACTTTTGTGCTAAACACTCGTCTATATGCCCGATTCAATGCGCTTCTTTCACTCGGCGGTTCTGGGTTTTTGGGCGGCGCAAGATGATTGTCCCTCAATAGACTTCGCTCCTCGTTTATTAGGTCCTTCGACTCGCTTTTGGTCAGATACTGCGTTTCCGCAGCGTGGGGCGCGGCGATGGTTGGTCTCGTTCCACCAAACGCCACAAAACTCGATCGGCGGTACGAGCTGGCCATTGCATGTTGGGTAGCACCTGGTAGCAGAGTTGAGGCGTCAGAGGGTTCCTCTTTTGAGCTACGATCTTCCGAAGACTCAGGACTTCCGGTTTCGACTTCGTCTTCGACATCGGAGCACTCTGCAAGATCCCGCTCTATAGACTGGTGTGCTATTGGCGAACTTGGGATATAAGAGTTGCTACGGGGTGATCGAGCGACAGAGCGGCTCCTCTGGGACCGGCCTCCTATTGGAATCGGTGGAGTGGACATGATCGAGTACCTATTGATAAATACTTCGTAGGCTGCCCAGGACTTCAATGCGGGCCGATAATTGATATTGATAATAACACGCTGCCAACGGCCAATTTCCACTCAGCCAGACAGACCAAACACAGCGTGTATGTCATACATCTAGTACTGGAGACTTTTGGGGATTTATACTCCAAGGGAAGAAGCAGAGTGTAGGAGTACATATGTACCTGGGTATTTCAGAGAGAGGGAGTCAGAGAAAAAACATTAGTAGTGACTGTGACCCAAAAAAATTAAATCGATAGATCCCTACAAGACCCCTCGGCTCCCTTCCCTGACCACCACAAGCATTTTCTCCGCCCCGCGGTGTTTACGAGACCCTGTTTACCCCGCCGCGCCCGCCACCTGCCAAATCAGGCCAATGGCTGCCGAGTACGGAGCGCCAGTGCGCCCCCAGTACGACTCTATGGCGGACCGGGCCCGCCATCGGCGCTGCAGGATACCTGGGTACATTGGTACATTGACTACTGAACTGAGACTAAGGGCACCAACGTCGTGCTCGCGTGGATCGTTCGCATCATTCCCCGCAGCTCTCCAACTCCAACAGCAGTGGGAGGCTATTGATTTCCCTTCAGAGCTCTCTGCTCTCTGCTGTCTACTCTACTCTTGTTAGCATTTGACCTGCACCTGCACCTACAGCTACAGTTACAGCTACAGCTACAGCATGCCCCGAGCAGGCGACATAGAAGAGGCCATTTCACCGCATGGTAATTCCCGTTCTCGAGAGCCCTCGTCTCATTCCCAGTACGTCTACTCCCTAGTCTCCCCTTGGGCCTCCTCCGCCCTTTCCTTGCTTCTTTGTCCCAGCCCCAGCTCAATAGTTGAAATGAAACGAAACGAAACAAAACAACGGCTTTCTAAGTTATCTTCCCACTCTCCATGTTGTCTGATAAGTATGCTCAAACTTAAACCCCCACAGACGTCGCCGCCAGCCACCCCCCTCCTCCTGTCTCCCGCCATTCTTCAAAAGCCCACAATATGGGTCTCAACCTCCTCACAATGCTCAGCCAGCAGCAACGGATATCGAGCCGGCCGATGAGCGGCCCTACATGATACTTCTTGGTATGAAGGTGCCGTTCGGGTGGTGGGCGGTTCCACTAGTCGACAATAATCATAGCGACGCCCGCGACCACTGCGCCAACGAGCGTACCTTTCTCTCATACCTGCGCCTCAGCATGTACATGTGCATCGTAGCCGTCGCCATCGTCGTCTCCTTCCACCTGAAAGTCCAGCCGACAGACCTCGAGCTGCGTATGGCCCGGCCTCTAGGCATCGCGTTCTGGTGTTTGAGCGTCGTGTGCCTGGTTATGGGTATGGGTAATTATATGAAGACGGTCAAGAAGTATTCTCAACGGGTGGCGATCGTGCAATCAGGATGGAAGACTCAATCGGTTTGTACCCCGCATATGATTCCCCCCTCGTTTCCCTTCCCACCTTTCTATCTAGATTGAAGGATCTAGAAGTAGATTCTCTCACCAGCCCGGTCCCATCCTTGTGGAGGAAAAACATGCTGACCATATCCCGTGTCGTCCAATAGGTCTTCATATTAATAGCATTCTCTATTGTAGGAGTCTGCATCCTCTTCCTTGCTACAAATTCGAAACGAACCTGAAGTTACAAACATCGTATATTGCCATTATGTCTTTCTAGAGTTGTCAGGAACGGTATTGAAAAGTTTACATAAAAACACTAATAAGTACAATATCGATACCGTGGTGCCGTTAATTTGGACGCATGACATAGCGAAGGGAGTTGTCTGGAATCTTTTGCATGTATTTAAAGGCGCTTTTGCTTTTTGATGGATGCCCTCTGAATATCCCGCAAATGAAACCTCGTTCCGGTCACTTTGACTTCGAATCGTGTAAATTTGAGTTTCTATGTTTCCCCCCTTTCTATTTCGCGAAAGGGCCATTAAACGTATCATAAGTCTCTCCATTATTGGCTCGGAACATAGGAGTATAAGTCATTTACGGTGAACTGCGATGTTATTAGTATCTTAAAGCTCCAGCCCATTCACCTTTGATATTTGGTATCTGGTATAAATATATATCAAAATAAGCAGAATCCCCTTAACAACTGGGGGCAGGCGACCAGGAAGCGTTGGTGTAGTGGCCCTGGACGCTCCGCCAGAGATAACAAGAGGCTAGGGGGCAGTTGGTTCAACGTTTCTCGGTATCCAACGCGCCGCGAAGATATTTCTTTTGCTATTTTATTCTTTAATAGCTTCCTTTTATTTTTGCAGTCTCGGTTGGCTCTTGTGCTGGGACAAGCGACAGTAAGGTTGGCGGCATATAAAAGGTCATAGACTTATTAAGCTGTGCTATTTTGGAAATTTACGTCCAATCCGCCTCAAAAAGCGTTGCACAGCAGAAGTTCCCTAGCGCGAGGCTGAAGCTCTGACCATCTGAGCACCTTAATGCCTATGAAGTTAGGCTGCATTATTGATGCCTCAGGTTGTCAGCGAAATTAGGGCTCCCTCGCTAAAAACATTCCCGACTCGCACGCATGCATTTCAAGATTTTGCAACGGAAGTCGACAACATCACCAAGTACGTTATTTCAACAGCGCAACGCAGTCCGAGTCGTCAAGCTAACAGTCCACTGTAGAATACTCAAAATGGGAGACGCAGAAATCACAGCATCCGCTTGGCGGTTAGTGGAGGTTGGCCGGGTCGTCCTCGTCTCATCAGAGGCCAAGCTTGCCGCCATCGTGGAGATTATCGACCATAAACGTGCGTTACAGCAAGATCTGAGAATTTGGAATTGGAGAAGGGAATACTGACGAAAACAGGTGTCCTAATCGACTCACCATCTGTTTCCCGCCAAGCCATCTCCCTCGCAAATGTCATCTTGACACCCATCGTCCTCACTATTCCTCGATCTGCGCGTTCGGGCGTCGTCCACGCTGCATGGGAGAAGGGCTCGATCGATTCCAAATGGGCTGAGAGTTCTTGGGCGAAGAAGCGGGCACAACGGGAAAGACGACGGGCGTTGACAGATTTCGAGAGATTCAAGGTATGGGGATTTTCCTCGTGATGAGGAATGCCACCGCGCCAGGAGCTAACAGAGGTTTAGGTTATGCGATTAAAGAAGCAAGCACGCTTCGCCGTCCGGACATCCCTCGCAAAGGTCAAGGCTGCAAACTGAAATGGGTTCTATCAGGGAGTTGGGGCTGCGCGCATGGGCTGCATGGCTACATAGGGTTGCTGGATTCCTTGGCTTCTTCAGAGAGCTTGACTAAAGTCAGCCATAGAGGATGGATGGATGTCTGTTAGTCGCCAAGTGAAACGGCAAGAAATGATATACCCTACCTGATTCGTTTCGCTGTCTCGGAACATACGTGTCTGGAATTCCGTTTGATTGTGATACGGACTGTAGGTTTCTTGTCGGAGAACCTCTACGGCGCTGTAAGGGCTTTATTCGGGCCACCATTGACAACAAAACCGGACACAATAGCCACAATAGCGATGGCAATAAAGCGGGGATTCTTTGTCGTCGAACACAGTGGCTACAATCTGAGGTCCTACAGCTTTGATCTGAACAAAACCTTTCTTAATTTCTGTTTTTTGTACGGCTTTGTTTAGCTTCTTGCCAGCGCAACAGAAGCATGCACAAATACCGCCCGGTTTTCCTCCCCTTTCACTCCCAAACCATCAGAATCAGTCTAGTCGCAGCAACCATAGCAATTCCGGCAACGACCCACTCCTCACTACAGCCTTTTCCACCACGGCGAAGTTTGAAATATCGATTGACGTGACCTCTGAGGATATCATATCTGAGTCACTCGGCTCATACACGACACTATGGCAGGTGTGTGTGTACTTCTGGCTATAGGTGTGTGGCTATTGGTAAGCCTCTTCGTCATATGCAGTTTTATCGTGCTGGCGACGGCTTTCCCCTATTTGGTCCTGGGGCTGGTATCCCATGTATCGACAGTCATTGAGCTTGACAAATGGATGGATCAGATGGTTCAGACCGATGAAGGCAGAGCCAGTCTCGAGTCATGTTCTCCTGAGACTCGTAGCCCCCTCGAAGCTGATCGCAAGATCAATGCCCAGTAGTTGATAGTAGGTATAGTAGATACAGTATTTATTCATTTGAATATTTTGCAAAATTTGTTTTCTAACGCGTGCCACAACAGTGCAAGTTACTTGGGAATTGCAATAGGAAGTTACCTACGACGTGAAATGGCTAGAGTCTTGCAAGTGTAGGCCCAGCTCGAGCTACAGTAGGTACTTGCCTGGTGCGAATGAGGAATTTATTAATTTACTAGTCACTGTATCACATCCTTTGATAATTATGCTGCGTATATCTAGACTACTTGTAAGCTATCGTCTCTTTACAAATTAAAACTGAAAGCAGTACTTTTTTCCTAGGGGATTGGAAACAAGGCTGAAAACCCCTCCAAACACGTGATAACAGCCTCGGCCGAACCACGTTTTTAACCTCCGCATTGTTCGCCTCTGATTGGATGAGAGCTTCAGGGCTCGTGCCAAGCCTGTCGTGTTTTCACCGCGCATCAGTGGTGGAGTTCCACTGCTTACATATTTCGTACGGCGTCCGACATCCACAGCCCTGACCACGACCTACAACGCCCTGGCCCTGGCAATGTCACAATCTTCCTAACTTAGTGCACCAATTTCCCCAGGTAGCTTTACTCAAAGAACTCCGACTTCAATTACGACTTTGCAACTCTCCGAAAGCTCCATGCAGGGGACTAATTCTTCCGTATTTATGCCTCGCCCAAAAAGATAAACGATAAAGCTCAGGGCTTCTCTAGTCCAACATGTCTTCTCGAAGACCTGCCTCGGCTGATTCGACGGAATCCGGTCGAACAGGATTGCCCTCGTTCAACCAAGCTGCCCAGCAACATGCCCCGACGACCCCGAGCGGGCTGCGCGAGGCACATACAATATCCCCAACAGAAGATGCAGGATATGAAGATGGCTTAGTTGCTGGCGGGGCAGGAAGCAGTTCGAATCCGTATTTTGCAGAGGTGCCTACGGATCCTGTTGGAGACGACACCGCTGCCGTGGGGATGTCTGGCTCTAGTGATATTGGGAAACGAGCGGTGACGGAAAATACGTCCCTGTTGCGGAAACCGTATGAGCTAGTTCCAGGGACACCGCACGCTGGGCCTTGTAATCATGGTACTTTCAGTCCTGGGTTGGGAAGCCGCACTGGCAGTGTGAGAAGTGGCCACAGCGGCTATGGTTTTGGGGGACCAGTGTCCAGGAGTGAATTGGAGAGCGTCGAGAGCAGCAGCATATTCGGGGGTGTCTTTGAGCGGTTCGGGTTGAAGAATGGATCTACCACGACCAAGAAAAAGAAGAGCACAACTAGGCACTTGGCGGAGCAACATGGTATTAACAATACAACTACAATGTACGTCCTCTTACTTTCTCCATATAATACCCTTTTCGTAGTTGGTTGCTGATGTGTTATACCGTGTCAGGTACTTGTCATATTATGTGCCCTTCTTCGCCTGGATCCCACAATATAGATGGTCGCATTTTCGAGGTGATCTGGTGGCCGCCCTCACGGTATCATCCATATATATACCGATGGCCCTTTCGCTTGCCTCAAATCTAGCGCACCTTCCGCCTATCAATGGACTATATTCCTTCGTCTTCAGCCCACTTATCTATGCGATATTGGGTAGCTGCCCTCAAATGATCGTTGGCCCCGAAGCGGCCGGAAGTCTATTAGTGGGCAGCGTAGTTAGGTCGACCGTAGACCATGGGGAGTCGCCAGAAGGTGATGAATTGACACATGCTAGAGTCGCAGGTATTGTGTCGGGTATAGCTGGAGCAGTGATATTCATTGCTGGTATAACGCGCCTGGGATTTCTGGATAGCGTTCTCAGCAGGCCCTTCCTGAGAGGGTTCATATCTGCCATTGGTTTTGTCATTTTTGTGGACCAGCTAATACCGGAATTGGGTCTTGCAGATCTGGCTACTGAGGTTGGAGGAGTCAACCATGGAAGCAGTGTGGATAAAATAGGCTTCCTAATTGGTAACGCGCATCGAGCGTCGAAAGTAACTGCTGCCGTCGCTGGAGTAAGTTTCGCCGTCATTATGGTCTGCAGGTGAGTTTTGTGTCTTCCAGTTGGCCCAACCTCTAACCGTCTGATAGAGAGATCAAGAGGCGTCTTCTGCCTAGATATCCTTCTGTTGCATATTTTCCAGACCGATTTCTCGTTGTTATACTGTCTGTCATTTTGAACTGGCAGTTCCGCTGGGACAAGCATGGTCTTGAAATTCTCGGCGAAATAAAACCGGCCTCAGGGAATCCTTTTACCTTCCACTGGCCATTCCAACTCCAGCATATGAAATATATCCGGGAGGCAATGGGAACTTCCTTCGTGATTGCACTACTTGGCTTCTTTGAGTCATCTGTAGCTGCCAAAAGTCTCGGTACTGGGGAGAACATAGGTGGAATCCAGGGCATCCAACTCAGTGCAAACCGGGAACTCGTAGCCCTCGGTGTAGCCAATCTGGTTAGCGGATGTTTCAGTGCCCTGCCTGCATTTGGAGGCTACGGACGGAGCAAGGTGAATGCCAGTACCGGAGGTAAAACTCCGATGAGTAGTATCTTTCTGAGCATCATTACTCTTACCAGTATCTTGTTTCTTTTGCCGTCCCTGTATTATCTTCCTGTAAGTCGGACCGCCGTTACCCCGCACTCCCATAACCGTCTAACATTTACCAGAAAGCGGTTCTATCCTCAATGATCAGTGCGGTGGCATGGTCTCTCATCGAGGAAGCTCCACACGACATCTTGTTCTTTATCAAGATAAGAGGATATACAGAATTGGGGCTGATGGGCATCATATTTGCTGCGACAATATTCTACTCGCTCACCCTCGGGATCGCCATTGGTATAGGCCTATCCCTCATTTCAGTCATTAAGCATAGCACTCGTCCGCGTATCCAGATTCTGGGAAGAATACCAGGCACAAACAGGTTCGAGAATGCAGAGGCGAATCCGGATAAGATAGAATTCATTGACGGATGTTTAATCGTCAAGATTCCGGAACCATTGACGTTCGCAAATACGGGGGATCTGAAAAACCGACTGAGAAGACTCGAGCTGTATGGTACGACAAACGTCCACCCTGCATTGCCCAGAGTCCGGTCACCGGAACACAACAAAAACATCATTTTCGATATCCATGGGGTGACTGGCTTGGATGGGTCTGGAACGCAGGTACTGTATGAGATCGTTCGCGGATACAGAGACCGTGGGGTTACAGTATTTTTCTCGAGGGGGCCGGCTGAGGATAGCCCAATCTATGAACTCTTCCGCCGCAGTGGTATCATCGAAGCCTGTGGAGGCCAGGATCACTGGGTTTCCGACGTGGGAGAGGCATTGCGACTTACTGAGGTGGAAGATGCCCTGGAGGGTGACTGGATATGAAGACAGCACCTAGCGGCGGTTAGCTGTATGCATTCCTGTGGCGTTGGAAAAAGGAGCTTGGATGGATAAGATTCGTATTTATGCCTGCCCTATAATGCTGTGTAAAGTTAGCCGGAAAGCGTCTGGTTGTATTCGCATGTTGGTGGGAAATTATTACCGCGCGGTGTTGAGAGGGGATAGCAAATGAATGCCACGATATCTTCCGGTTAATAAATAAGAAGGCAAGTTCCGTTCGGGCGACACTTCCGGGAGTTAGATCCGGCATAGCTAGCTATTTATGGCCGCGGACTTGGAGGAAGAATAGGATTATGATGTACACGCAACCAGCCAAGAAGCCACGACTTAAGGGAGGGATCTGCATAGCCGAAGAAGCCCGGTGCTTGTATCAACGTCCAACCTTCCGGCATACTTCCACCATTGGAAAACCGACATGCACATCTGCCATGTCCACTCCACGCCAGCATTGGTATTGGCACCACTCGGTGCTGGTATTCCGTTGACCTCTTTATCTAACGACGCAGGGCGAGCGATCAACTGACGAGCCTCAAGACGTACATGTACTGTACAGTACATGCGGTCTGATTGCCCCTGCGAAGTGGACGTGACATATACTAGGACGCGCGGTCTGCACAATCTATTGCACCATGATCATGGATATGGGGTCGGTGAAGCAATCTTATCTTCCACGGTTATCGACCAGCCTTAGCCAGTGTTCACGCCGGGCCCATCGGATCCTGCAATTATGAAGCGTTGCGTACAACTCGCGATTGCCAGCATTTAAACTTTGGCAGACGGGGTACCACATGGCATTCAATATGAGAAACTTTCGATTTCTAGATCCACCAATCATGATCCCAAGCCAGGATCGAGGAATAGCGGTTCAAGTTGCCGCCGCTCCTGTTCAGGTACGATCACCAAAGTACTGATCTATGAAACACCGCATATACTTCCGGCTACGGTGTAGCTTCCAATCTTGTTACATTCCCCGGGTCCTGATGGTAACATATACACTGATCATCGCGCAACTCTAGCCCAATTTCTCACCCCGAGAAGTTCTTTCAGCCTCGGAGTCTTTCTTTGCGACTTTCCATGGGATGTCATGCAGTCTTCTTGTCCTCGGTGCCCAACAGGCTAAGTGGCTAAGCGATTTAGCATGATTATCTTTTGTAACAACAGGCCTCTCACATTTTCAGTCGACTTGAGTATGTATGTGCACTATGACGAGGCTGGACTCCATTTCCCCATGTTCGATAGCTGGGGTCTCCGCTAGTGCGAGGATGATGGGATCCCTTGTTGGGGATATATCAAGAGGGGATCGTAGGACGTGTATAGCGCACATATCCGCTGGTTCTTCTCCCTGTCGCACCATTGCGCAAATTTAAGATAACCGGATTCTGGCAGATCAACACATCCTTAATGAACCACTGCCAGGTTCGCCGAAGTCTATGGCAGCCTAGACTCACCCTAGGTTAAATTACAAGGGCAACGCTCCCCATTGGAGTAGTATCGGCCGGGCTGTAGAGTTCCAAGCCATTGGAAACTCTTGTTTTTATTTCTCACTATATACCTGCAACAGCTGCATAAACGATTGTTGAGTGCCGGAAAGGTCCACACCAATTTTGGTAAAAGCCGCGACCAGGCTGGGCCCGGATCATCGCCCTCATTGACAAGGTCCGAGATTGACCCTCATCCTGTCTCCGGCTTGAATATTAAGTTCTGTCAAACAAGCTTTGCAGGCATGCAATTCACTTAACCGATTCATATTAGATTATGATCAGGTGGGAATGGTTTGAAAACACCCCCACCACTATCAATCTCTTCATACCCCCGGCGTCAACGTTACGACGATCGCAAGATGGTGTCATGTACTATTTGTTCTTTGCGCGGAGTTTGCCGGATGAGTGTCCGTTGGACCGTTATCCAGTCACCACACTCTACAGCACGAATTTCTATCAAGGGAAGAGGAGCTATATATATGCTTTGCCTCGCTCTTTATATATGAGATTTAGAGCCAGACTTCTGCTTCCATCCTAAACAAAGCATCCGCCAACTAAGACTTCTCACCATGACTATCCGCGCCTTTCTTATCGCGGCTCTCCTCTCGGCCAAGTAGGTTCGAAAAGCCTCTATACCAAACAAGACTAACACAGCACTTAGTGGACTTGTAGATTCCGCCCCCGTTGCTCAGGAGTCTGCATCTTCGGTTCCTCACCCACACCCGTCCTTCACTGGTTCCTTCCCTGAACCAACTGGAAGCCATTCCCACCACTCTTTCACGGGGACTTTCTCTGTGCCGACTGGTGGCTTCCCACATCCTTCGCACACTGGGACTTTCTCTGTACCGACTGGTGGCTTCCCGCATCCCACGCACACCGGGACTTTCCCCCAACCAACTGGAACCCACCCGCATCCAACCCACACTGGGTCGTTCACTCACCCAGTGCCTCCACCTCCAGCGACTCTTGAGCAAAGGGAGCCTCAAGATTCTCTACCGACAGGCACCCACCCACACCCCTCCTTTACTGGCACATTTCCCATTCCTACTGAGAGCTTCCCACACCCTTCCTTCACGGGTTCGTTCCCTAAACCAACTGGAAGCCACTCCCACCACTCCTTCACTGGAACTTTCCCTATCCCTACTGAGAGCTTCCCACACCCTTCCTTCACGGGTTCCTTCCCCGAGCCAACTGGGAGCCACTCCCATCACTCATTCACTGGTACTTTCCCATCTTTCACTCGCCCCACAGGTAGCTTCACCGGTATCCCGTCGTTCACAAAGCCAACTGGGGTTCCGAGCTTTACGGGATCGTGGAGTACAAGACCAAGACCAACCCATACTTCCAAAGTCCCACCACCACCACCACCAGCAGAAACTACGTATTAAGAGTTTAATGGTCGTCTAGTGAGGCGCATGAGCGGGAGAGTAGAAGAGACGGTTACGTACGTTGTGGAAACTTGAAAGTGTAGGAAAATACATTCTTCCATTCGCTATATACATACTTCTGAAAGGGCGGTTTGGTGGCGGAGTGATGATGAGGTTGTCGCGATTGTATATAGCTGGGATTTTGAGGCGCGTGTTCGTTTAGGTACCTAGGTATATAGTGATATTGTTGACAACTCCTTCAAGATCGTACTTAGCTCAAGTGTAATATTCCCTACGTGTTGAACAAACGGACTTTACCCCTGAATTTTGAGCTACTTTGCATTTCGGTTCTAGGTTGAATTGCAGCCTGAGCCTTGCTATTCATATATGATGAGCCTCCCTAGTTACTTTATTCCAGGCTTATCAGAAGAGTGAAGCGACCTAATTACTCTTCGCCAAAGTATAGCTCTTCCTCTCTCTCGCTTAGCCATAGCCTTCGAGGCGGTGAATATCAAGATCCACAGCAAAAGAGTAAAAACAAAAGGCAAAAGCAGAATTATATTAATTAAATTAGATTTACAATAAACTTTGATATAAAGCTAGCTATCAACCCTCAAAATGGCAAAAGAGTTCGGCCCGGTGTCGAATGCCTACATCTCTTGTCGCGTTTTGTTGCTTTGTTTGTTCTTTTGTTGTTTCCCAATTTCTATCGTCCCTGGCGACCCCGTAAGTACAATTTGACCCGAACCACTTGACCAAATGTCACGCCCTTGTACTTCGGTAGCGGATATTTGTTTATTTTGTCTTATATATCAAAGGACGCGGTCGGTGGGATTAATAGAACAGGCAACTCCCACCGCATATAAATGACGTAATCAGCTCCCTCCACTCAACCCCGCCAGCTCCTCGGTTGACAAATTGATCGCCGAGATGTCAGAATTGTTAAAATTCATCACTGCTTTCCTCCATAGCTCTAAAGACCTCCTACGTACCTCTGAGGCTTTGATTAGGCCTCCCCCTTACTGCGACGACCCAGGTATGTACTGTTTAACAGAGTTTGTTTTTAATTACGTGAATATAGGCTAACTTCCGGCCGCAGTGCCGTACGACGTTCTTATCATTCCTTTACCTAGACCTCACGATTAAAGGCGCTAAATATATGCTTAAAAGGTGAGAAGCTGGGCGACGTGAAGACTTATAATATGCTAGTCCTGTCTAACACCTTTGACGAGCGGATAGAGCGGTGTAGGCCCATCTCTTAAAACCAGGCAGCGTACAGGCATACTCGAGAACTAGTATACGGCATTACACTACAAAATTCTGTCCTGAGGAAATTCCGTGCTGTCCATCCTCATAACTTGATAAGTTGTGACCTTCGACGATTTCATTTTCAATTTCGAACTCTGTATTTCTTCACGACGTATATCTTTCCTTGTTCGAACTCCTAACACCCTTCTCACATCAAGCGGCCGAGTCAAGCTACCCCGCCTGACTGCTACTGTCCCTTCGCGAATTGTTTATTGATAACTGATCTAACAACCTTTCGCTAAACTCACACTCACATTAACGGTCTCGGATAGGTACTAGTGGCATCAGAGCTCTCCTTTTCTCCTCCTGTATTTACCACGTTGGTTGCTTTAGATGACTCGATTGGGCGAGAATATTCCAACTTCCCTGGGCATTAGAAACACTATCGTCGATGGCTTTGCAGTTGCGAAGACAACGTTGAACGGCATACGCTGTGGATTTTATGGCCCAAGGAGAAGTGATCAGGGAGGCTCTTAACCATGTCTGGTTCACTATCTTCATACCTATTAGTCTGTTGTAGCTTGAGTGCTGGTGGGAAAATACTCACGAGGCTCATAAACACGACATATATTATACACCAAGATAATTGACCGTACCCCTCAGGTCTTGTTACGCTGGCCCCATTGCGCGCTCCATCCCTCGAATTTTTCCGTTGGTTTGCAACCAGAGCAGTCGAACTTTGAGTTGCAGTGGTCTTTGTGGTCTTAGTGGGCTTAAATCAAACGAAATTTTAGTTTCCTTCAAGTTGTGAGGCCATGCTGACTGTACTGGGCGGTTTCTGCACCAAGATCACCCGATTGATTGTGTTTCTACGTATCTGAAACTGCGAATCGCAGTCATTGCTCGGGGAGACCGCGCCGATGACGTTGGAAAGTTGAAAATGAGAGACGCTGGTTGTATGATGCTGCTACTGGTTCTCAAGGTATCGTTTGTTGGTGGTTGAATGATAGTGTCCCTCGTGGCTTAAGGACGCCGAGTCGACGAGAGGCTGAGTCAGTCGTGCCCTTCGAAAACTTCTCCACAGGAGGGGGTAGAGGATAGGTTGGTTAGGCCCTTCGCAGGAGGTATGGGATATAGGAGCAAAAGGGAGCACTGCGGCCAGAGTTATCCTATTGTGCTTTATGATTCAACAGGAGACAGAAAACGATGAGTCGGTTATGCCCTTCGCGGCTCAGATTTGCAGGAGGCAGGAAACGGAAAACTGAGTTGGTTGTGCCCTTTGCGGCTCGGCTTTGCAAGAGGCATGAGGCAGGAGACGGAAAGATGAGTTGGTTGTGTCCTTCGAAACCCCTCTCCAGGAGATGGGAGACGATGAGCTGTGTTGGGCCTTTGAAAATCTTCGGCTGTGTATAAGACAGGAGAGGCTAAATTGGTTGTGGGACTTGTGCCTCTCGACTCTCTGGTCAATGTGGCCATCTGTGCCGTTCTAGCCGTTAGATTGTGCGGTGATGGAATTGCATTATCTGACTTATTGGCGCTGTCTTGGATGGCAGAGAGTCGTCGAGAGTGCTGGGTTCGGCGTCTGCTGATCGAGGAGCGTCCTTGTGTATGAGTTGGTTGTGCCCTTCGGGAAGGCGGAGTACGGGGTACTCGACGCCTCGAGGATTGACACTTGATGGTCTTACAGGCAGCACCATGGGGCTACTGCCATGCCTCAGCATTCCGGCTACTTCGATTGTGTTCTTTCAGCAGAGGTTGTGGAATTTTCAATATTCTTGATCAGCATGCTCATTTGGAACCAGTTCCAAATGAGAATGCCGGAGGTGATTGTCGAATAGTGAAAATTGAGTTTTTCACCAGACCTCTTGAAAGAGCGAGCGCAATGTCGGTAGTAGCTGAAGGGATTGAAGCCTCGCATTTTTAACGATAAGTATGTTGGCGCTGGGGATAAGTATGTTGTCGCTGGAGATAAGTATGTTTTCACTTGTTAGAAAATTGAGGTGAAGAGGAAAGAAGAGCAAAGAGAGGGCCGGAGATTATATACATTGATGGTTTGTTTATTGCACTTTCCTTCGATAGGCCCTAAGATACAGCTGTATATGGAAGCCGCGTTCAAGCACATTTTAGTATGAGAATATCACAACCGCGAATTTTGAAATTACTCGATTTGTTTGTTATCTTCTAAACATCAGGAATTACCTGCCCGGTACAATCAATGCAGCTCTTAGTTGGAGAATCTGAGTAAATTTTAGCATCGTTACTAGCCAAAGGATTGGGCATGCTTACCATCGTTCCCATTCTAACGTTGGGTCTGCAGCTTGGCCAGTTTATCTCGTAAGTCGTCGATTTCGCGATCCTTCGACTTTGATTGTATTCTCTGAATGATAGGGATCCCACAGATAAACTTTACCCACGATTAACCCGTTCGACACGCTCAAAAATACGAAAAGCGGTTTCTGTGGTCCTTTCCACTAGGGTCGTAATCGTCCTCGTCATCCTCGTCTTGGATGGTCTGCCCTCCGGTGTGGGCCCGGCGTGCTTGTACAGTACATCCCACAAGCTGTATGGGAGTTTCTGGCGCGGAAGGGTGGAATTTCTTGCGAAAATCTGCATTTGATAGAGGCGCGGATTCGGGACTTGGCTTGATCTTCGGATAATTCTGGGAATGGAGAGCATATTGAATCAGCTGGCGTTGTGAGTAGTGATTATGGGTGCGAGCGTTGAATAGGTTGTGAGACGTATTTGGGGAATAGTCTACAAAGAGGGGAGTAATATGGATAATGGATAGTTAAAGAAGAGCTTCTGCAGATTTTGGCGCTTAGGTCAGAAGCACAAGGGGCATACGGGCTGGAAATCTATTAACTCTAGAAGCTATTTTCCTATAATGGTTAGTTGTAGCAGGTGAGTGGCATGTAGCCGCCTGCTCGAGTAGATAATAGTGAGAATGGGTACCGTGAATCCTTAACCCCGATGGGTAGGCTGGTTCTAAGAAAGTAATACCATGGTAGGTACGTACTTATACTAGTAGTGTTTACTAGTTTAGACAGTACTACAGCGAGGTTCGTAAGCTCGCGGGTCGTAAGCGTGCAATTACCTGTATTTGTAATTGACGCCAAGAACAGGTCAACTTGCTTAATAATTCTCATTCCAAGGTCCCTCCTATTTCTGCAGACGAATCCTCGTCTTCTTTCGTTTCCTGGGAGATCTACAAACTATCGTACCTGAATCCTCACATATCTGTGATCTCAAAATGTTAGCACTTACCTCCTCAACGGGCAAGCTGGGCAGTGCAGTCCTTCGCTCACTCTTAGAGCACAAACTGGTTGACCCCCAAAACCTTATCCTCCTCACATCCTCTTCCATTGATGCTCCTTCTCTCGCCCCTTATAAATCTGCCGGGACCCAAGCCCGTTCCATCAACTACGAGTCCCCTACACCAGAGACGTTTGCCGGGGCTACGAGTATCCTCGTAGTCTCCACACCCCGCATATCTATGGATTTCAACAACGCCCCATTAGGCAGCGGACGAGAAAAACACCACATCGCAGTCATAAATGCTGCAGTTGCGGGAGGGGTCAAACATATTTTCTATACATCCCTCGCGTTCGGTCCTCATTCGGAGGCGGGCGTCATGCGTGCACATCTCCGCACTGAGGCCTATCTCTCTTCCCTTCGCGAGAAGGGGAAAGTAAGAGTTACAGTTTTGAGAGAGGGCTTGTATAATGAGAGTTGGCCTCTCTACCTGGGCTATTACGATCTGAAGAAAGATCGGGAGAGGGGAGAAATAGTGCTTGGCGGGGATGGGAAGATTTGTTGGACGAGTATTCCGGATTTGGGACTTGCTACAGCGTTAGTTATTTCGGATGACAAGGCAGGTGAGAAGTATGATGGGAAGACGATGTATTTGTCGAGTTCGCCCGATGGTGCGAAAACTTTGCAGGAGATCGCTGAATTGGTGGGAAAGGAGAGGGGAGCGGAATTGACAGTCAAGGTTGTGAGCAGAGAAGAGCATGTGAGGTATTATGTTGAACAGAAAGGAATGGAGGAGCCGTCTGTAGAGTGGTGGTCAAGTACTTATCCAGCGTTGGAGAAGGGGGAGTGTATCATTCATGATACGACTCTGACTGATCTGTTGAGTACGAAGGGCGTGAAGCCACAGAAAGTAGAGGAGACGGTTAAGGAAATGTTGGCTGCATAGAATAGACGACATTTGAGAACTTGAGTAACATAACCAGTCCGCAGAAATGCGTGAGGCAGCAGATGAAATAAAGCGGCATTACGAGTCATACCATAGAGTCGTGTTGAAATCTTGACGGCCTATTAGCCCAAAATCAATTACTTCCTTGTAAATCTTGAACATTGTTAGATCTTGTATTTCACTACAGCCCCAACTCTCACTTGAGGTTACTGGGTATTCAGTACTTGGGAAAATGCCCATGCGGAAATGAGTGAAGGGCAAGACAGTGCTTGATACAGGACATTACGGAAAATCGCGATCGACGCCTTCTGCTAGGTGTAGCCTCGCTTTCAATAAGCCCATCTAGAAAGTTTCAATATTGAATCTTGATTTGAGTAAAACCCCTTTGCATTTCGAGTGTGGGCACTGCTGAAATGGAATGGTTAAGGGAACCCTAGTGTGACGATACCAAGCTTCGTCCTCGCCTGGCTAATATGGAATATCGTGTGGCGTTTCATTTGACCCTGAGGCATATAAAAGAGTTCAAATCTGTATCTGATTTCATTTCTTGTAGACGAGCTTATTTGGGTATCAATATAATTTCAAACCGCGGACGACCGTCAACTCCAGATCTTCTATCATCAGTTGATATGTGTGTCAAAAAGACCAAACATTCGCTCCCATCTCCGACCTTCTCCAGCGTTGGCTTTCGATGGATCGTCCTCGGGCACTTTAACACCATATTGTCTGATACAACAAGTAAACGGCTTATTCCTCGGGACAAGTTCTGACTCGTCATTTTGATTCGACTTGGGAAGAATTATTTCGTGGGGCAGTTCATCTTCAGCGTCGCTGTCGTCTGCATCTGGCTGGTCACCCGCCCTGGGTCTTCGTAATGATTCTGAGGTTGAACTTTGGAAAGATGATGGGGGCAGATCTGCCTTCTTCGCTAATTGGAGCTTCGCAGACTTCTGTTCCTCTAGGTCACCCCATAATTTGAAAAGCTGCTCCCGGAGAGCGTTTAGAAGTTGTCGGTCTCCTCGAAGACTGCTCTGCATTAGAAATAAAACGAGGAAGAGCCAACAGGACACTCACCTAGTGGCATCTTCATCTAAACCTAGCAGATATTGCGCAGAGAAATTATCGACTATTAGCCATATTCGATCCTTGCAGTGTGTTATACTAGCATCCTCCACCTGCAAAGCAAACCTCCATTCCCAAGCATTCTTAGCGAACCCTCTCCCACTTTTGAAGATGCGCCGTTCTTCCTCAAGATCTGTATCCTCGCCGCCGCTGTAGTCTGATAGGATGTCATACTCGGAAGCACGGTGCCCTACAGTAAAGTCCTCGAGGTTATCCGGAAAATAATCGACGACTCGGACATTAGCTTTATAGTTGCAGATTGTAAATGGAGAGGCGTATTCTCGGCCATTATCACCTATCATAAGTTTTCGAGGCTTCAAAATCTCAGCAAACGATACAATTGGTTGGTCCGGATGAGCGCATGTTACTGACTACTGCGTAAGTGAATATTCGATGAGCATAAAGAGGACTCACTGTTTTCATTCAGCCCTAACTTCTTCCCAAGCCTTGCATCAATTGCTGCTGCTTTCTGCTCTGCCGCTGCCCGCCTTTCCTTCCGGCGTTTCTTCGAATTCATTGCATCACCACCTGGCGCTTTCCGTTTATCCCCCGATGCATCTTCACTAAGGATCGCCTTCTTCTGCGTTTTGAATTTTTGCCACCACGCATGTTTACGAGCCACTGCTTCTTCCCATCTAGGATCATTCTGCTCATCCTCTGCTGACCATTTGATAACCTCCACCTGAACCTTGCCTTCGAAGCGGTCGCGGTCTCCACGTAGCTTGCCTTCAAGATAACCACTGGTATCTTTAATTTGCACGTTGCGAAGCAAAACCCAGTGGTTTTCCTTAACTTTCTCCCGGAAAAACTCGGCATTCTCATCGAACACTGTGAGTTGAATAGATAGCTTGCCGTAAGGGCCTGGCCATGCCTGATCAGTTTCGGAGCGGGGCTTCCGCTTGACATACCTATACTCGTCTTCATCGCGGTCGTTGGGTGGTGGATTTTCGCCCCAAGCGTAATTATAGAACTTATTATTGGGTGTATAGTCTGACATGTAGACTGTTATCCTTTCCGAGTTATTGTCATAGACTTTTATGACCTCGCCCAAGATGTTGTAGAAGCAGTCCGGTTTCAAATCTTTCATGAGGCTGAATTTGTCTTTCACGGTCGATGCTTGAGCGGCCTTCACTTGGAATTCGGTATCAGAAGGTAGATCTAGGTCACCGACATGCTTATTCGCCGATATGACATATTTTGTCTCCGTAACGTTAGGACGCTTAGTTTTCGACGGTGATGCTGATGACCAAGGGGCATCCAGAGCCAGGGAGAGGTCACGTGGCACCCTCGAATGTTGGAGGATGTGAAATTCCGAAACTTTGTTAGCTAGAAGCGTTATGGCCCCACCGTACATTTGAACCTGTCGAATAGTAAGACAAAAAATCCCCCTAGGATATTGTAGAATAACTAACTTTAGCATTGCGAACTAGAACTACGTCAGACGGACCAAATATGCTGGGCAAGTGTTTCAAGGGCCAGAAAATGTTAATCTTCATTCCAAATGCTTCAAACTTGACAGAGAGGTCTATTATTTCCAACGTGCATTTGTAGTCTAGTAATCGTTAGATAAATTAATGTTTAATGAGTCAAGAACTTACCTGTACCCCTGGTTTGAATGGGCGATTGGTAGTCTTTAAGAAAGCCAATAACACCCACAAAAGTGCCCTTCTTGACCTGATCATTTGGCATATCCTTGATTTCTCGAATACTTTTAAATCCAGGGGGTAGGGGAAGTGGTAGTTCAGATTGACCAGACGTACAGTCTTGGTCTTGGTTGCTATCCATCTTGGCGGTGCATTTTATTCTGTAGTGGCATGGAAAATGTTGGTGACGTGTACCTAGGAGACTTTGATGGGTGGATCTGGAGGATAGCAGCTGCCTATCTATCACAGGCATGTAGCATATTGCTTCAATTAGAGGGAGATCTGGGTGGATGGTTGGCAACCCTTCCTAGATATATTATTCAAAATCGACGCGTACGAGCAGCTTGACGCGTCGGTTACGTCAGCAGGCACGTGAATCACGGCTAAGGCTGAGGGGAACAAACTTTAGCACTCTTAAGCGAGATCACGTGCTGTCTAATGCTGAAAGCGCCTCAGAGCTTCCTCAAAGTTCATATTCAATCCCACTTCTTTCTCCCACAACCACCCCCCCTCAACACCACGAGCTGGATTCGATCCCATCATATCGATCAGTCCATAGCAACAGCAACATTTCAGATCAACAGCAACAAAACCACCCATTCTGACATCGCAACCATGGCGGATCGTTACATCCCGGAACATCGTCGGACTCAGTTCAAGGCCAAGAACACCTTCAAGCCTGAAGAGTTGAGACGCCGTCGCGAGGAGCAGCAAGTCGAGATTCGCAAGGCCAAGAGAGAAGAGAATCTAGCAAAGAGAAGAGGCATCACTGGTGCGGATGGTTCTCGACCTGGCGCTGCTCTAGGCGCAGAGCCGGACAGTGATGACGATACCGCGCCCACCGAGAGTCAGGTGAGTAGAGTCGATCGCACCTCTCGTTGTTCTTTACATACAGGCCAATCCAAAGCATTCCGACCTAGAAAATGTTTTATCAATAGCACGAACGAGTTTCTATCCAGTGATTTGTTTACTCTGTGCTTTGTTTACTCTGCCTGGTGGGGTACTGCCTAGCGAAGTTTTTCGCTTGCGCAGACTGACCGCCGTTGACAGCTCCACTATGAGGAGCGCCCAGATGAGATGCACAAGCATCTGTTCGGCGCGGCGCCTCTCCTCTGTTTCTGTAGATGCTTATGCTAACTTTATGCCTACCCATGTAGTTGAACGAAGACCTCCCACAAATGGTGGCAGGTGTTTTCTCGGACCAAATCGATCTCCAAATCCAAGCTACCACGAAATTCCGAAAGCTACTTTCTAAAGAACGAAACCCCCCTATTGAAGAAGTAATCAAGACTGGAGTCGTTTCTCGTTTTGTTATTTTCCTCCGCTCCCCTCACACTCTCGTCCAATTTGAAGCCGCATGGGCCCTTACAAATATTGCTTCCGGATCCGCACAACAAACACAAGTTGTCATTGAGGCCGGTGCCGTACCGATATTTGTTGAGTTACTGGGCAGCCATGAACCCGATGTTAGGGAGCAGGCTGTTTGGGCTTTGGGAAATATTGCTGGCGATAGTCCATCATGCCGGGATTACGTTTTGAGCTGTGGTGCTCTCAAGCCACTTTTGAACCTTCTAGGTGATAGCCGCAAGCTGAGCATGCTCCGCAATGCAACATGGACCCTCAGTAACTTTTGCCGCGGCAAGACCCCGCAACCCGATTGGAATACCGTAAGAACACAACCCCTCTTAAATTGATGACGACAAGCTCACACAGTCAGCAGATCTTGCCTGCCCTACCAGTTTTGGCAAAGCTCGTCTACTCCTTGGATGATGAAGTCTTGATCGATGCTTGCTGGGCAATCTCCTATCTTTCTGATGGAGCTAATGATAAGATCCAAGCTGTTATTGAAGCCGGAATTCCCCGTCGTCTTGTAGAATTGCTCATGCATGCATCTACATCCGTCCAAACCCCGGCCCTTCGCTCCGTTGGCAACATTGTCACAGGTGATGATGTTCAAACCCAAGTCATCATCAACTGCGGTGCCCTCCCTGCCCTGTTATCCCTTCTAAGCTCTGGCAAGGATGGTATCCGCAAGGAGGCTTGCTGGACCATCTCCAATATCACCGCTGGAAACTCTACTCAGATCCAAGCTGTCATCGACGCCAATATTATCCCACCTTTGATCCATCTTCTCTCCAACGGTGACTTGAAGACCCGGAAAGAAGCCTGCTGGGCCATTTCAAACGCTACTTCTGGTGGTCTTCAAAAGCCTGACCAAATCCGCTATCTGGTTAACCAGGGCTGCATCAAGCCATTGTGTGATCTTCTTGCCTGCCCCGATAACAAGATTATTCAGGTTGCACTTGATGGTCTGGAGAATATTTTGAAGGTCGGAGAGATGGACAAGGATGCCGCTGGTGAAGGCCAGGAGAGCATCAATCGATATGCTCTGTTTATCGAGGAGTGCCAAGGGATGGAGAAGATTCACGAGTGCCAGACCAATGCCAACGAGGAGATCTACATGAAGGCGTACAACATGATCGAGAAGTACTTCTCTGATGAAGAAGAGGCCGAAGATAATCTTCAGGCAGCCGCCGGCGGAGAAGATGGCCGATTTGGTTTTGGCAAAAATCCCGCACCCGGCGGTGCTGGTTTTAATTTTGCCAGCGCTAATGGTGGCGATTCCATGGATATGTAGATCGCCATAGAGCGTCGACATTTCGTTTTACCTATTTCGAGCTTCCACCCTTGGCCCCCGCACCACATACACCATTCTAATTCATATTAACGAGTACATTACCCTGGATTCAGCAACGCCACTAAACACGACTACACGCACCCTCCCAGCACCCGGCACCTCCCCTGCAAAAAGCCACTTTCCTATTTCTGATCCTGAATGTGACCGACTAGCGAAAGATTCACCGTCATGTATTTTCCTTTTATTGTCACCCCGGCACATTAACAGGAGGCGTTACTGTCTTTTTTGCTACTTGGCTTCTTTATATGCGTGGGATATGGTAGCTTGAAAGCTCCTGATCTCTGGTTGGAAGATAAATGAGTTTATGGAGGGGCTTACCTGGTATGAGCATGGTAGCTTGAAAGCTCCTGCTCCGTGTGGTTGATGCGAATGCTGGTGCGCACGAGTGGTGGGGAGGGATACTAAGCACATAAAATAACCATGTGAATAGATACGCCTATCTCCAATGTCAATGAAAAAGATCATTAATCAATCCTGTGCTATTTTTGTTATCTGTGGTGATTTATTCTCGCCTACCTAGGTAAGCTGGAATGAAGCCAGAAGGCATTATCCCCCAACTAATGCGGAAAGCTAAAAGAGAACGGGAGCTTGTCTTGCTAGGGCGGGTCTTCTAGCGGGTTGACAATAACTCCCAACCTAAACGCAAAAGGAAAGTGAGTTGCCCTAATGTTACTCAAGCATATCTATTCCAAAAAGTGGATTGATGCTAATGTTGAGTTGCAACCTAATATCTGCATTGTTCAAGAGAACAATGATATATGTGCAATACCAAGCATATCTATCGATGGAGGGATTATCGATAATTACAGCGCTGAAGTTACTCTAAGTTCCCAGTATGACTTTAGGGTAATAATTACTTCTTGCTTGGGAAGTCTTTCGTTAGTTACGGCGCTCTAGCTACGCTTGCCTAGCAGTCCGGTCTTGGCTGCAGCACCAAGTGGTGCGAATGCCTTCCAAAATTCTTGTTTTGCTGGTATCAATGCATGTGATTGATAACGTTATTTTTGTTCATAGTGTGATGTTGAAGCCCCCTGCATCTACCCATTATATTATTTTATTATACTTTTAATTAATTTACGATGATCGCTGCATCATCCTTTCATAATGGATGAAAGGACCCTGCTATTAACCTCGGATTTCCCCAAGGTATATACTGTTGGAGGCTGGGATGAAGTTTGCCATAGCAGAGACGAGAAGAAATGGTCAGACTGTAAGAGAAAAGGAGAAACTGGAAAATAAACTGCGACGGATGCTACACAACACATCTATTTGACTCGATAATCTTTATAATTTACGAAGTAGAAACCTTTTCGGCCTCCTTGTCGCCTTCGTCATCTTTATACATCCCCAAATATGTCGCCTTTAATCTACTCATCAAATGCTCATCTGCTGTCATCGCCTTCACACCACTGCCATTGACATTTTCTCCGCCTAGTGCCAACACCCTAACCATCTCGCTCGGCACCGGCTCTAATATTGTTGAGCTGATCGGATGACCGAAGTATGCAATACTATACCGATCCTCTCCTCCATCCTTCCCACCCTTCGGGAACACAACTCTATGAACAGTACTCTTCAGCAAGTTGTTGGTCCAGTGCGACAATAAGTCTCCGATATTTACTAGAATAGGTGGGCTTGGATCATTCTCTGTTCCAGGTGGGTTAACAGGTACCGGCGTCCATGCGGCCGTTGGACCGTAGTTCTTTTCTGCCGTGCGTGTCTCCGGCGGGATTATTTCCAGACCTGGTTGGCCTGGTCGTTGGAATAGCAATGTGATTGACCCGTAGTCGGAATGTGCTCCAGCGCGAATATCAACAGATGGCTGATAATCACTTCCCGAGGAGATCTGGGGGTAGTGGAGGAGTCGGAGGGTACAGCCACTGGGCCCTCCTCCGCGATGCCTCGAGGCAAACCAGTCTGAGCCACCAGCTTCCTCATCAATCTGTCATGTGGTTTCGTCAGCAAATATGTTCTGACTTGGCAAGAGAAGCGCCGGTGATATTACCTTCAGCCCGATTGCGAACAGCTTCAATAACTTCAACATCATCGTATGACAATATTTCTGAAACTGATTAAGATTTGATTCGTTGGCCCGAAAACAAGGTGGAAGAGGTTGTTGAGCTTTGCCCTCAACAAACTCCCCGAAATTCATTGCTCTGAAACCCTTAGCTAAATTTGCTAATTAGGTAGCTGGTTGTCTTACTCTTTGAAGTCTCCGACCTATACATATTCATCAGCGTTGAATAACATGTTTAGGCTTAGCAAGGAGTAAAGTACCCTTTGATTCTTTGCGTCTAATGTCTCGGTATGCATCCCCGACCAGCCTCTATTCTTCAGGACTATTAGCAAAGAGAAGTCTGGATAGTTCCCACACTAGTGACACAAACATTTTCAGTGATCTTGCATGACGCTTTTTCGTCGGCGGGCGAAGAGAAGAACGTTCGGGACTATAATCGGCCATTAGCTATGGTACAATATTGATATATCCATGCATATCATACCAAATCAAACATATTTTCAATTGCTTCGATAGGTATATCCTTTCCTTGGTTCCTCACGTAAACGAACCCATATCGTGCCGCGGCATCGACAAGCTTCTCCGCAACTTCGGATTCCTGGGCTGCTCCCGATATGTCTATATCAATGATCGGGATTTGGCCAATACCGTTCTTTTCACTCTGAGCGGCCATTAGATTATCCCTAAACAAAAAGCCCAGACTTGGACTTCTTATATTGTTCGTGGATGGAAAGGGGAGAGCGAGGAGGAGGGGTTGATTGTTGTCAGCACGATAAGCTTATCTATTACTGTAGTCACGTGTACCATCACAGCTAGTTCTAAATCCTTGTGGCACCCGCCCGGGTGCGCCACGGCGCTAGTCCCTATCGGGGGCTATACTTGTCCCTCGTACCTGGCGCTATATTTCTTGTTGATCTGGACCGTTAAGCTTTCGCTGGAGCTTCAATCCGCAACAACGAGGCTTCGATCTACAACAACTCTCCGAATTCCAATTGACTGTATACCGATCGAGCCGCGGGCTGCCTCATATTATCACCTCCGAACAGTCCCCCCTCTTCTTACCATCTCCTCTCACTTAGATCAGCTCTCCTTCGCACCCGCTGCGAATCCCACCAGTCCCTCATACCACAAAACACGACAGCCTCCCCGTCCTGTTCCCCCACCGCAACTTCCCCCCTCTTTTCCCCCCACCGCCACGCGAAATAAAATATACTGCTCTCCTCTGGTGGTTGAGAAGGAGTCCCGCCTTTTCCACCGCGCGCTCTACCGCGACCCTGTTTCGAATTGGAAAGAGCGTTAGAATAACACAGAATCTCTCTTGAGCCTCGCTCACATCCCGCAAACATGGCTCGTAAGTCACCTTCACCACTTTTCTTTCTCACCCCTCACTACCATCGTCTTGACCTCACATTCCCTACCCTTTACCGTGCTACAAAAAAAGCTATAATACTCTACTATGGAGGACACTGGCGGCGATCTCACGCCGGAGCGATCTCTGGACGATGAGGCCACCATGGAGCTGCCCCCAGGATCCTGGCAATACCTCCAGAATCTTGCTTCCTTTGGACTTCCGGTCATGGACTACTTTGGCGATGTCTACTATAGCACTGCCAACGATTGCCCCATCCCAGAGCTGCCGCTCGGAGTCCAGCAATACCTCCAGGGTCCCGCTTTCTTCGGTTTTCCCGTCACGCACTATTTTGGGAATACCTACTATAGTGGCAACGACAGGATCGCTATCCTTCCCAATGCAACAGTAGCAACTTTTTACCCGGCTGCAGCCCATGATACTGCGAATGCGACGGAAAATGCTAACGATAATTGTACAGCTCCATTCGAAGGCAAGGCCTACACATCACAGGATCTGTCGTAAGTATCCACTACCCTACTGGTAGCTACTCTCCCTGCTAACCATATACCACTAGCTCCATGGGATTTCCTGAGTTGGAAAATGCTCACATCGGCGTCGAGGCCACGAGCTACCTGCAAAACATGATCGACAAGCCACCTGCACACGAGCCCTTGTTGGCGGCCTTAGGGGGCGATCCAATGACCTTCAAACAGCATATCGAAGATGAATTGGACTTATGGAAGCAGCATAACATGACACCAATATTTGTATTCGACGGACAAGCAAGTGTTGGAAAGGATGAAATAGCTTTGGCCAAGGCTAAGGCTGCTCTGGTTCAGACACAGCGCGCGTGGGAACTTTACGGAAACAATCATCCTGATGAAGCAGTCAAGGCCTTTGGGGCATCTGGTAAAATATGGATGATCGCCTGGCAAAATTTACCCGGCTAACATCAATAGGTGCTGTACGCCCCCAAGACCTATACAGGATCCTTCAAGAGGTTCTTGCGGAACGAGGCTTGGATTTTGTTATTGCTCCCTTCAGCGCTTGTTCTCAGGTAAGCTTTCAGTAGAGTTGACCAGAAGATTAGTTAACGTCCATTAGCTTGCGTACCTCGAGTCACTAGAAACACAGTACATCGATGGTATTATGGGATCTCAAGAGCTGCTCCTGTACGACATTTACGACTGTGTCATACTGCCTCCTTCAGCCTCTGACTGGGAGAACCAGAAGTTCACTGGGATCTCCAAATCAGCCATCACCAAAAAGCTGAACGTCACGCCTGAGACGCTGTCTGATGCCCTTCTGATGATTGGTACATCGTTCCTCCCTGCCTTCCCTCCCCTCCAAGACCGTGAAATCATCACTCAACAACCATTTACTATTAAAGATGCTGCCAACCTCCTGAGAACGTCTGAGAAGTCCGTCACCACTACTTGCGCTGCTTTCAATGACATCCTTCAACTCCGGGACCCCAATTGGCTTGACAAGTTCCGGAAAGCAAAGATGGGCGTCAAGCATTGTGTAGCCGTACAAGAAGATGGGATTATCCGTATCAGGGATTTCGACCATCTCACCTCCGATAACGTTGAATACCTTGGCCTTCAATTGCCGCCCGAATTATACCACTACCTCTCCAAAGCTTTGATTGGACCTAGAGTCATGAATAGCCTGATCTCCCTCAAAGCTTTGGTGTTGCCATCCCTCGATGGCACTATTTCGGATGAGTACCGCCGTCTGGTGACCCGTTCGCTCGTTCCGTTGAAGGAAACTGCAGCCGCCTTGGTTGTCTCCAGAATTCACCGAGCCTTCCTACACAAGGATATTATACTAAAGTTCTGGTTCGATGACAGCTTGAAAGAAACCCTGATACCTCGCAACCTTCAACCGCAAACAAACCAACAGGCAGATACTTGGGGTGTGAAGGATGCAGATATCAAAGCGCTCGAGGCTGCCGTAGGATCTTCACCCGGAACGCTTTCATTTGCTGTGCTTTCACTCCAGCAGAAAGACTTTCCCCCCAAAACTATCTCCAAGGATAAAGTTGCCGATCTCAACTCCAAGTCAGAAATTTTGTCCAATGTCCTATGGCGCCTTCTCCATCTTCGAGGCTACGTCAACGATAAGCACGAATTAACAAGCTGGGGCAGGGCCCTTGGCACTGCGCTGAAGTCTGTCAATTCCGCGACGAAAGCTCACAAAGATATTCATCACGTTGAAGAGGCCGCATTTCTGGCCTTTGAACTCCTTCGGCTTGACAATCTCAACTCCCGAAACCGCCATCCTGAGCTAATTGGCGGGGCCTTGCGAGGGTCCGAGGAGGACAAAGAAAGCTGCATGCTTATTGGACGAGCATCATGCCTTCTCAAGCTTCGGCATCGCAATGTTGGTTATACGGGGCCCCTGAGCAAAAACCTACTCGCGTTCCATTCAATCATTAAAGCTGTGAGAGAAACCGATCGAGATCTGGTTGAAGCTGCAGCCGCGTCGATGTTCTTGAACAGCCAAGCCATCCGTGCCCGGGATGATTATGGAGAGCTGGGTCGAAGGTATGTGATCTACAAGTCATGCTCGTACTAAACGCTAACCCCGTCTAGTCTTCCATTTTCAGCGGATGTTGATATCGCGCTTGGAATCGCTGTGAAAACCTATCTGGATGATTTTGTCAAACTCGACCTCTCACCAGAGGAGAGAAATGCCGACAAAGCTAAATATTCTGAAAAGTTCCTGCCTCATGGTGTGGACTTTGCAGAAGATCTAGAGGTCGCATTCCGCTTCTTTGATGCCCTCTATGAAGGAGTCAAAACATTGGGCGATGAAATTGGCGAGGCAGATAGGAAAGCATGGGATGATGCCAGCGCCTATTTGGCCCTGAGAAGATAGGTGATATGAAGGGTTGGGCGGCACCGGTTTAGCTGTCTATACTGCATTGTTCTCCTATCCTCTGTATCTGTTTATGAACCAACTTTGTCTGCGGAGGATTTGGCCGCAGTGTTATGGATCGCATCTGCTAAGCATGCTCAAACACGTTTTAAGCTAATAGGCAGTAGAGTAGGGGAAACAGTACCTACTTATTAGTTTACTAGAAAAAATGCATGTCGTCAACCTATTTGGTATCGTGTGGCCTTTATTTTGGCTGCTATTATACAATGGCCTTTTACTTGGCTGCTATTATACAATTGTTCAGTGACTCGGAGCATTGTTCTAATGCCGGGGAGCGAGAGATGAACCAACCAGGGTTGCCATCATCCTCCCCTTTCTGTCAAATACTGTTGCTCCGGCAGCTCGGGCATTACTCCTGTTTTTCTTCGCTCTTGGGAGCATCCGTTTGTTCACCTTCCACTACCTTGGCTTCAGCTTCCGTTGCCTTAGTTTCAGCTTCCGTTGCCTTTGCTTCACCCTCCATTGCCTTTGCTTCACCCTCCGTTGCCTTCGCTTCACCCTCTGTTGCCTTTGCTTCGCCCTCTGTTGCCTTGGCTTCACCCATACTTACGTCCTCCTCCGTTATCTCAGTTTTCGCTATCTGGCCATACTTCCCGGTCTCCCACGCCTCGAGTAACCCACCAATCTTCGGGCCCCATACATCCTCCCCTTTCTGTAGATCATCGTACTCAAATACATTGTCTTTACCCACCTCAAACTCTCCTTGTCTTGTGCGCTCCAGTTCAGCCATCATGGCGGCGGAGCCCACCGCAGCGCCAAGATCGTGACATAGGGAGCGGACGTAGAAGCCGGATGTTACGGTCATGCGGATGCGTGCTGCAGGTGGTCCTTTAGATTCGTTCTCGGCTTGTGGAGTGGGCTCTGTTGCGGCCGGTACTTGCTCGGGGGAGGAGGATTCATGGACAGCTTCGGGTTGAGGTTCAGTCTCGGCAGCTTCTGGTAGAGGAGTTGAAGATGCAGGATCCAGGGCTCCAGACATAGTAGCTTGTTGTTCCTCAGTCGATTTCTGCTGTTTAGAAGCCGGCCGCTCAACAACAAGCTCATCCTGACTCTCACTCAGCTTCCTTTTCTCGGCCTTCTTAGGTTTGCCTCCAGCAGGCACGACATTCTCCTGCTCCCACAGCATATCCGCGAGTTTAACCTCCGCATGACCGGCGGTCTCCGTCGGGGCTTTATGATTATGTGTGCCTCCCTCCATCCACTCCAACAATTCCAATTCCAAAACGTCAACCGGTCTACGTTCGATTTCTCGCGGAATTGGCTTCCCCTCCCTGGCATACTCATAGAGCGGTTTCCCATTCATCTTCAACGCACTATATAGCGGTGGCAATTGCATGAATTTCCCCCTAAACTGCCCTAGCGCTTTCTCCACCTTCTCCTGTGTGAGATGCTCATAAGGCGCGCGGCGTAAAACCCTGCCAACCCGATCATACGTATCTGTGCTTGCGCCGAATAAGATCACGGCTTCGTATGTCTTCGTGCATAATAAGAAGTCTTGCAGGGATTTTGTGCCTTTCCCTATGCCGGTTATGAGGACGCCTGTTGCGAGGGGATCGAGGGTGCCGCCATGGCCAATCTTTACTCGTATTTCTTTGTTGCGCCGTCTTTTATTTTGGTTAGCAGAGACGCGCTCCCGCTGGGCAGCTTCGAAGGAGAGGTAGGGCTCGAAGAGTTTGGAGTGCTGGAAGTGCTTTTGGAGGTCGCGGATGACTTGAGCAGAGCTGAGGCCACAGGGCTTATTGATTGCTAGAACGATTAGTTTAGTTAATTAGGAATAAGGGGGAAGCTATGTACCAAAGACACCTTCTACCATCTTTCCCATGTTCACGCTTCTCCAGATAAATTTCATAATATCAATGACCGGCGTGTTCGCTCGAAGCAAGCATCTTAGGTTGAGTTTTTGCCAAACCGAAGTTTTGCCAAAGGCGGCGAAGCATGCGGCCGCATTTCGGTTGCCGCCCTAAGAAAGCTTAACCAGACTCGTATCAAGCACTGGATTTCCCTTCCCAATCCCACAGACAGAAGCTGCTCCATTTCCATTTATAAATCTAGTATTACTATTACAACAAACAGTAAGAACTATAATTCCAATACTTTCTTTATCTAAGTTTTAATTAAGCATCAAGCCGCCAGCAAGCATTGGGCCATCGGACAAGGCTACGTACTGCCTGAGGCCCTGATCGCCAGCCAACACCGCCCATCTGGAGATCAGACGCGTTGCCGAATTGCCATTCCGTCCTAACTTATCATAACTCACGTCGTCTGAAAATCAAGTTATTCATAACCATAATACTAATAGATAACGGCCTGTTTCTACAGCCACAATAACAACGACCCTCTTCCTCAATGACCGCCGTAATTCCTTCTGGGCAAAGGAAAGGAAAGGAAAACCGCCATCACCATTTACGCTTATAATGCCTCCTCGGACTCGAGGCGGTACGGCCTCGGAGCCCAGCACGCCCCAGCCCAATCCTCAAAGATCGAGGCCGGCCTACGTACCCATTCAGTCCGTCTTGAAGACTATCGACCCGGAGGATGACTGGCCTGAATTTGACGCTACTAATGCTGAGATATGGACTCTCGATGGGACGGAATGCGTTGATCTCCTTGAATCCAACCTTCGCGGACCGTTCCAAATCGTTGGCACCTTGCAGGTGGATAAAAACCAATCTCAATTCCGTAAGCCTCACAACAAACACATGTTATAGGGCTATGTACTTATTATTCACAGTTTCTAAGGGATCTTTGAGGAAGCCCCAAGATTTTGAGTCGCCCATTACGGCCTATGCTATTGATGCCACCCCAGATGCAGAGATCTGGGTTGGTACGGCATGTGGTTGGATCAGAATGCATCCCTCACCGCAATATCTTCCTATATTTGCAAAAATGACCGAGGCTGTCGAGATCATGTATAGATGTCTTGACATTGAAGAGGATATGAAGGATGCTAGGCGTATCCTAAAAGTTGATGGTCTTCCATCCGAGGTACACCGCCCCCGTGAAACCTTTACCTCCCTCCGTCCCTACTAACAACTCATAGTACGCGTTCCAAGATGGAACGGGCCTGACAGAGGAATCTACCGTTGGACTCTTTAACTTCCATGCAAAATTCATCTTGGCACACATGCATATCCTCCCAGATATGAGAAAGTCGAAACTTTTTATGTGGTTGAAGCAAAGATTTCCCGTATGTATTCAATTTTGAGCTCAATCGATCTTAGCTGACATCTCAGGATATCCTTCGCTCCGTAGTTGAGCAGACGAAGTCCCACGTTAACCGACAAAAATTGCAAACTATGCAGCAGGTCCTAGCTATACGACAACCACCACCCCCGCGTGAGCCATCACCATCACCATCGTCACCACCTACTCCAGAGTCAGAAGCTTCGCCTGAAAGAACCATCCTCTCATCGCATTCTCCTAAGCCGTCCAAAATTACCATCGCAATGCGGCCCGGCACCGAAAATGAACCTTTTAGAATTCCTCCGACCCAGATGATGCTTGAACATATCTCGTCACAAGATCCCGCCCGCTCCAACCTTACAGCGCCAGGTCTCTCTAACGCAATGTATCAAGATTTCAGCATCTGGTATCCACGGCTCGCAGCTGCCATCGTTCGCTTACATGCGCCCGCAGTCCTAGAGCAACTCCCGAAGGCGTGGAAGAAAACAAGACTTGCTGAATCGTTACAGGAGATGGCCAAATTATTAACTCCTGCAAGGCGTGCCAAAGAATTAGCAGCTGGTAAAACAAGAGTCCAGCGTCCCGCCCGCTCATCTATGAGCTGCAATGCTAAGGCTATCTCCGATGATGAGTGGCTACTCGAGGCCGCAGAATATCAAACTATTCTCCGCAGAAATAAGAAATCCAAGGCAAAACCAACTGCCAGTAGCGGCATGGAGGTCGGACGAGCTCCCACCGATAGAAATGATATGGATAATGGTAGCAAATATGGAGAGAGCGCGGCCGAAGTAGAGCAGAACGCAAGTTCAAGAGCCGAGAGCAAAGCTACGTTTCACGCCTTTATGGAAAGCATCACCTCACGATCGCGCACGACAACCCCAGATATCTCCTACGTGAAAAAGTTACCGCTGAAAACACCCCATTCCCAAAAGGCCCTCCCACCAACCTTGGAAGCCAAACCCAGCGGGAAAGTCACAAAACTCAAACCAAAAACTATCAAACGGCGCAGTGACGATTTGGACGACACCCCTCCCCACAAGCGGTCCCGACAACTATATTCCCCGACCCCAGACTCCGATATCGAAATGCCACCCCCCTCAATATCCTCAACACCTGAACGGCCCTCTACATCTGAGTCGGAATCTGCCTCCGAAACCAAGGGATCTGAAGAGATCGATCCAGACTCGCCCGTCTTCGTCCCCAAAGAACTCAACATGGCACGCGGCCCACTCGGCAGTCTCCGCTGCACAAACCCGTCTTGCTTCTTCCTAGAGCGTCAGCCGAATTCGAAAGAAGGACGAGAGCGCATGCTGAACCACTTCATCGACCATGAGAAGGAGGATCCGACTGTGGTGCTTGCGAGACGGGAGGCGGAGTTGAACCACAGGCCGGTTTCTTACCTCATGCAGAAGTTGATGGAGAGGGGAGAACAGGCCGATACCAAAGGAAGCATTATCCCACTGCCGATTGTTAGGAGCGGTGTTTGACTTTGATAGTCATTGAATGATGAAATTCAGGGCCCGGAGTTATAGATATAAGGGATGGGTAACGTGATTTGGATGGCGTTTTGAGGTAGCGGCGGGACGGCGGGATGGTGGGATACGTAAATATTTTACTTTTGACAGGTTGCATGCATGGATTAGTAGCTAGCTGCATGGATAGAACTATTTTGATACCCGTACTTAACACCCCATCGTACTCCTTGTGAACTAGAAAACTAGATTCATTATTTCATGAAATAAAATATAACCTTTATTTAAGGATTACATCACTCGTTCATTAAATCACGTACAAGGAAGCCATTTCCAATACCACAGGACAGAACAACCCCGTCTACTATTCCCTCCTTATCCTTCCTTTAGCAAGCTACGTTTCGTTTCGTAGTAATCTCCCTTATTGAACTTAATAGTAATAGACTTCACAATTATTAGTTCAACGCTAATTTTTAGTTACGCTGTATTTATATTAGTTTATGAAGTGAGATAGGTGGTCAGTTAGTAGCTGGGCAAAGAACGGAATAGAGGGCCAGGCAGTGTAGTATAATACTGTACCACCAGCAGACGGACAAGAGGAATAGGATAGCCCAGTTAACAAACTATTTGTGTCTTCGATTTTGTTCACCTCTACGGATGGTATTTATTCAGCGGGTAGGGTTTATTTAGTCCTGCTGTACCATGTGATTCATTGGCTGGCAGCATACATACAGCAATCGCGTTCTCCAAGCCTTGACCGATTAAGTGAGTAAATGATTGTAATTCATTAAGTATTCAATAGGTAATTCGAACTCATTGAGTGAGTTGAGTAGGATTTATGATTTTCCACGAGTGACTTTGATTCAATGAGTGATTCCATAGCCATACATACGTAAAATGATCCCGACCATCAACACCCCTTAGACCCTTTCGCCCGTTACTTTCTCCAGCTCTCCCCGTTCAGCAGGCTAATTCAAACAACAAAGAGAAAGTGACCCACGCGACATCATCCCATCTCACGATAATCTAACATTAATCCGCCAGACCTCGTAGTATCCAAAATTCGGGATGATGAGCAGACCAGAGCATCTCCTGAAGGAAAACGGCCGCCGTCTTATACAACGAATGCCGCCAACAAATAAAATTCAAACAGTCAAAACAACACATGGATTAGTAACACCAACAACAAACTAACAAAGAAGATTATGGAAATGGAAGGCTAGGTTTGATTCAGGGGCGTGATGAGCTTGGTATCTCGACCGAGGACCCGGAAAAATAGGTATTGAGGTGAACAGAGAAGCATTTGCGTTGCCCGGTTGGTGGGTTGACAGAAACAGACAGGGGTCCATCGTCCGCATATCCTTCACTTTGGTTCGTTTGCCTTAGCATTACCTCCGCTTCTTCGTATTCATGGGTATATGGTTCGTTGGTTTCTTTAGACCTCAAGTTCGTATGGGGGTGGGTTCGAGTAATAGTAGTAGTGGTCGACGTAAGGAAAATGCAGTTTCGTTGTCGTTGACGAATGGCTGATGGTATGGTTCGTTCGCAAATGTGGTATCGATCGTAGGTAGAACGCAGTAAAATGGAAGGCTGACTTTGGACTTCATGGAACGCAACGGAAACGCCTGAAATGCATGTGGTATTTGATATATGACGTTGGATGGGATCGATTGACCGAATGATGAATTTGGAATGTGCCCGCTTGCGTGCCTCGTATGAATGACATACTTCATTATGATAATAGGAAACTCGTGCTTTGCTTCGTTTGCTTGCTTTCTGCTTCCTTTTCGCCCTTTCTTCACTTGGCTCAAAATAAGAATATAACCAAATTCCGCAAATCAAATTAAACATTCCATTTTAAGAACTTAGAGTTGGGGCATAAGAGTATGTTACTGTGTAGCAGCCACACACCAATGCCTGTGGAATACCCACGCGCTCTTCTGGCACTCTTTGCTACAGTACTTCGTTCTTCTGCACCGCCGGCACTTAGCGAATTGGCGTGTGTATTCCTCCCACTTGCCACATTGATAATAGGCACATTGTCTGATCCCGCCCCGACTATCATCCTTGCGGCATAGATTCCGCATCACAACTCCAGCCCAGTATTGCATATCCTGGCTATGATGCCTCACAGTGAATTTCTCCACGAGAGGGAAGATGTTAAAGTCGTCTGGAAGGAGGTATTCCTCCTCTTCGGAGTCGCAGGCGGAGTGGGAGGATGTCGGTGACGAGGACGATGAGGAGAAGGCTTGGCTTTCGCTGCCGTCGAGGAAGTTCAATTCAGAACCGATCTTCAGTTTCGGAACGAGATGTGACCGCTGGAAGTAAGAACGCAAGTTGCAGTATTTGGAAACATATGCGAGTAGTTGGAGTGACATAAGGACGTCTTCGTCTCTGGGCATTGCAGCTAGGACTTGACCATTAGTTGGGGTGGGGCGGTCAAGGAGATATCGGGGAATCGTAGCATTAGGCATCGCAGGAGGTGTTGTTGCAGTTGTAGGTTGGGCAGGGGAGAGACCCATCGTTGGGCCCGTTGGGGTGGTGGAGCCATCCATCGCCGAGCGGTGGGTGATATTAAATGTCCCGGCATCTGGAGCTTCGGAAACGGTAGGGGTCGTTAACCCAAGCGGTGTCTCAACGGCTGTGAGCATGCTATCTCCTTCGTCCATGCTAATGTCTTGAATATTAACGGGCGACTGCATATCAGTTGCCCGCTCGGCTGAGATCTCGGCCTCTCCAGACTCATCGGAGGCCATGCTATCAGCATTGGGGTCTTCTGCCTCCCCAACCATGGATGCTTGGTGGCGAATCGATGGCCTTCTCCGAGAGCGAGCTGTGTGCGCTGACATTGACGTCGGGCGGACGCTTGGCGACCTTAACTGATTTGGAGGGAGTGGTGTGGTTGGAGATTCGGGCTGAGACGTGAGGCCACCATGAAATCCAGGGACCATTGACGGCAGACGATCCACATCACGGACGGGTCTGAGATTAAACCCATCGGTGGTATCCATTGACGGGACTGCTGTTGCGAGAGGCTGAATATTATGGCGGGATGGAGGTAAGAAATGTTGTCGGGCATCTTGCCCTCTGTGATGATGGTGGTGGTGGTGGTGATGTCGGTGAGCGGCGAACGTAGTTCTTTCAGGAGGGGAAGTAAGAGCGAATTGAGGTCCGGTTGGAGTCGTGTCCATGGCATCTGAACGTGCGGTCAAGGGAGCATCCCCAAGATTTGCTGGGATATCAATCGATGGCGGGGGAGCTTGTCGGCGTGACGCACGAAATTCTGATTCGAATCGTGAAGCACGGTTTCCGAACGAGGCGCCTTTGTGAGAGCTTCTCTGCTCGCCTCGGGAGCCGCTAGCACGCGATTCCTGAAGTGCCTTGCTTTTCGCCTCCTCCGCTTTCTCGCGGCATCTATCTACGACCTTGATGTAATTATCGAGTATTGTTGCAATCACTGGGACCATATCTGCCTCTACGACTCTGGTGCGGACGTTCTCGGACCCTCTGACCCCGATATTGACAACGCATTGGAAGGCCAAATTCCATTTCCAAATGTCCATCATATCCTTGCTTCTGCCCGCCTTGAGAAGGCATACCAATCGTTCGACACCTCCATCGACGGTTAGGATATCCCTTATGCGGGCGGAGGAGGTGGTGAGGTAAGCGAGGTGGTTGAGCGAATTGATAAGCGGGAGGGTCGATGTGCAATCGAGAGCTCGTCGGTCATACAAGGCGGTGGTGATGCCCACCGATGCCTTGTTGACATTTGGGATGCTGAAATTAACTTCTCTCATCGTGAAGTGGCGATGCGCTGCCGAGAGTGGCGAGCGAAGGATTGAGGTTTCAACGATGGGGTGTTTCGGGTGGCTGTCAGCACTCGGCTTGTGAAAATGGCTCTGGTCGAGCAAGCAAACGCCGCGTTCTTCAGCGTTCGAGATGTATGTATGTGTATATTAAGCTACCGGCGTGCGCGAGGGGGGATGGGGATGATGTTGATGCAGGCTGGCTGGACGAGGTGGTCGGGATGTCGCTCGCGGTTGGGAGGAGATTTCAGGTGAGTCTGGGCATCCACAGGGGAATGATTGATGGGTGCAGAGAGCCGCCCGGTATCAAGTTCCTAGGTACGATGCATATGCGTAATAGACCCAGCCGAGTCGATATCAAGCTCGATGCGGTGGAGAGCGATAGAGTTGAGCACGGCGAAGGATGCTTCGAATCGTCGGTGTTGAGCTGGGAGGGAGGGAGTTGGTGACCGGTTCTCGCAATCAGTCTGGTCGTGTGGCGGTGGGCAATGCAGGAATTAAAGTCGACAAATCGGTGTATGCGGAGGAGGAGGAGGGATAGGGGAATGAGGGCTGCCGGCAAGGAGATGGGATGAAGAGGAGGCTGGAAGGGTGACGGAGGGCAGAGGGGAGAAGAAAAGGACGTTTCTGGAGGAGTTGGCGATGGATGGGTTGATGGAGGCGACGGGGCGCTGGGTGGATGTGGATGTGTGGATGTGGATGAGGATGGGCCGAGTGTTGCAAGTCGCAACGCTAACCCGCCAGCGGAGTTGGCACTCGAGCACCGGAGCCTCGCCTAAATCACAATTTCTCTGCTTTGCGTTGTGTTGCTTTGCTTTGAATTGCCAGAGTGTTGCACCAAGACAAAGAAAAAGAGACAGCTGTACTCGAGTAGAGTAGAGTAGAGTAGAGTATACATTCGGGAATCGGGAATAGAAATCCACAGTAGCATTCTACACATACAGAAGATGCTGCTTACTAGGTATCTTATGTTACATAAGCATTTTTTTTCAGATTCTTGGTTTTGTACTATTTATAGTATAAATAATGAGACATCGACTTGTTGCAGAACCAGTACCTGGGTAGTTAATTAAGCAGAACATGTATTAAGTGAAAGAGACCCAAAATAATATTAAAGTAAATGCCTAGGTAGCAGCACCCTTTTGTTTTCGATATTATAGAATTGCATAGGAGGGCATTAAAAGCTAGTGGCGAGTAGAAATTGGGCCCTGGGGTAATTAATTGTACAATGCGCAGTGATACAAAGTGATGCGTGATGTGATGCATAATAATACGAGTAATTGGTCACGTAAAGAGAAGTCTCTATTTTATTTTCCCGAGGTCTATGCATGTCAAGTATGTCTGCTTTGGAAAAGGATATGAAATAGTATAATTGTATTTTTCGGCATAAATTGGATGTTAGATTAGTGCTTGCCATCGTTGGCCACGAGACAACATAGGTCGCTGTACTGTACCTAAGGTAGTTAAGGGAGCTCATCCGACTGATTGACGTTTGCCTAACAAATTGCCTGTCCTCACACCGGTGCTTTAATTCTTCCTTTACCGACAGTCTTTTCATGATGAGATCCCTAGCTAAGTCTCGTCATAGTCTACTCAGTAGGTCCTCGAGGAGGATAATAGTAGGGTAGGTGGGCCCAGGGGCTATCGACAAGGCCCCATAACTATAACTATAACCATAACCATAACTATAACTCATAACTATGGGCCCCAGGCTGTACTTGTACTCCGGGGATAAGATAGGCGTTTAAAGTATGGTACGAAATATGGAAACAGGACATAAGAACGCAAAAGAGATGTAAGAAATACTTGAGGTACTTGATTTCACCATAGTTTTATCTGCAATTCTCCAACTATTTTTGGAGGTCCGAGGTTAAAGAAGATGCCTACGAAATATGATGCCCCATACGGAGTACTACGTAGTTAGGTACCTACCTAGATACAGACACAGGAGCGATATGATGATACAGGTATGCAAAGTACCTTGGTAGCTGTCAAAATGGAACCCAAAACTCTATGACCCTTTTCCCTTTTCCCATTTCCCGTTTTCCTATTTCCATTTTCGGTTTTCGGTTTTCGGTTTTCCGGTGTCCCAATTCCATTTCCCATTCATTTCCAGTTTCTGTTCCCATTTCCCTTTTCCGGGTTTCCTATGTCCCTTTTCCATTTTTCGGTTTTCCAGTATCCTAATTCCAGTTCCTATTTCCCATTTCCCAGTTCCCAGTTCCCAGTTTCCGGTCTTCCGCCCTAGTGCTATCTTGAGCCCGGGTTACAGGAGCCTAGCAGTGGCGCATCTCCAGCACACACCGCTCTACTCTGGCGCCCCAACCTTGTTGCTGTACAGAATACAGACCCAAAGACACCCGCCGCCGCTTATCGCGCATCGCCCCAATCAGCCCCAACCCGCCGCCAAAATACAGCGCCCCCCAGGCCGCGGGAGGACCGGCCAGGCGTTAAAGTTTAAACCCAGCGCTTCCAGATCCCCCATCCAGCCATTCAAATCTCAAATCCATCAACCTCACCCTCAACCTCAATCCTAACCGCGAGCTCGGCCTTGGGTGCTCTGTATGCCGCGAGTGGGCCAACGAACGGACGCGGTACTGCCCAAACAAAATACACGCCTGCCGAGCCCCCTTACGGAGAATTCCCTTGCCGCAGATGGCGCGGCGGTTGCGCAAACAGGACAACATTTCAGTGGTACAGAGTAGTTCTCTTCGCATCGCATCGCATCGCGCGGTACACGGGGAAAGGGGGGGCGAGAACAGAGCAGCAGCAGCACCAGAGCTCAGTACGAAAGTCGATCATGTGGTGTCTGCTGCACCACCGCATCACCCACTAGTACTACTGCACACTGCGCTGCGCTGCGCTGCACAGCACAGATGTGATGCATGAACCGGTTGAACCACTTATACTGCAACACTCTACAAAGTCATGCATCGGATGGGGATTCCACTGCTTTGTACGTAGTGTCAGTGCTTGTCTGTGCCAGTGCCAGTGCCAGTGCCACCGTGGGCGGAGGGTGTCCGTCATATATCACGTGTGGTTTCCGATACCCCAAGCCCTTCCTCTTCTCATATCATATCCCCGATTCTTTCTTTGCTCAAGTATCTATTGCTGTTCCGTCGATAGATCTCATTTTCCTCATCCTATACCTTTCTTTCACTTGGCAATGTGTCGAAGTTACGTCGTTTCTCGTTGCGTAGATCAAAAGAGTACACGAGTCAAAGGTCCTCCATATCCCTACCGTTTTTGATTCCCTCTCCGAAGAACTTCCGAGACTGCTTTCATATATAATAAGCAAACAGCTTTATCAATTTTCACCCTTCATCAAGCATTGGAAATCATCAAGCATGGATTTAAACCGATAATCAGATGGCCACCGAGATCCCACCGCCCACCATGAAACAGAGAATGTTTAGGGACATGCTGGGTTGGGATTCAATGGCCATGCATCTTGTTGGGTTATCTAATGTGGCTTGGGATATTTATTATAGGGCTGATACATTATGTAGAAATGACCCTAGAATCCGGGTCTTTCTGTCTTTTTGATCGAAATGATCGATGATAGTTCTATAGGCTTGATTTAGTCCCTCAATGCCTTTAAAGGTTTATAGGCATTGTTCTCCTTTCCCTGCGCTCCTATTTTCTCTCGAGATTCAATTTGAATATATCCTGTCAAATCGCCTTTTCAAATCTCCACACCCGTCCTTTGTAAAATTCCTTAACTATTCATAGAACGAGACAAAACGGATAAACTTCGCTCATTATAATAAGCAACGCAAAATGGCAAATCTACACGAGACTAGCCAACGTTAAGATAATGAACGGACCATTCAATAGCACTAGGTCACAAGACAGAGAGTCAATATAGGATCCAAGTCAACAGCCACGTGAAATCCGTTCTCAGCCCAGATTGGGATTTATGAATTTCGATGAAATTGTCTTTCCCAACTGCTTTGCTCGAAAAGCCCCCCCGGCCGCTGAGTTCGCATCGTCCTAGGAGGAGAAGGTGGTGAGGACGATTTCTCAGACTGAAAACCCATAGCCTCGCTCAACTAGTCAAACATTCCGAGTTTTTGATGCTCAAAAGCAGGGACCTATTCGACATACAGTATTTTCTCTACGAAAGTCCGATGCTACAAGACCCAAGGCAAGTTTGTTTTAGTTTATTGTCAGATTGAGGAGGAATGGTAATAAAGGGGGTTAACGTCAAAGCTTGTTGAACTGTGGGGTTATGGCAGAGTAGGCGGGGATTACTAGGGATAGTAGATAAGGAGAGATTAAGTATCAAAGAATTGCAAGCGCAGAAAGTGGCAACTAGAGAGGTGGCAAACCAGTCGCGCACGGGAGCATGTAACTTTATCAGTCAGTCATATCTGTGTGTATACAAATCTGAAAAACCCGCCTGAACGCCACACAATGCCTTTTTTTCCCAAGCTCGAAGATACCACACTACTTATTGCTAGCTCTCCTCGCCTTCCCCGGTCTCTTTGCAGCCCCGCCCTTCATCTTCTTAGAAGAGAATCCCTTCAGGTCACCACTAGACATGGCATCCCCGCTCTTCTTGAACTTCTTCTTACCGCCGAAGCCGAACTTTTCGTCTTTCTTTTGGCGCTTGTTCGGGCCCACACGGTCTTTTCGGGATGGTTTGGCGGATTCCTCATCCAGTGCTACGTCAAAGATATCTGCCTCGTTCGTAGTCTCGTTGTCTGCGCCTTGGCGTTCTGGGGTTATGTTGTTAGAATGGGATTCTCATAGCAAATGTGATGGATGAGGAGGAACATACTTCTCTTCATCACCTTAATCTTCTCCAAGGTCTGCGTGCGCTCTTTCTGCCTCTCCTGCAGTTTTGCGACCTGCACCTGCTTCCCGAATTTCTTCAGGTCCCTTTGTTTCCTCGCTTCGGCCGAGGCCTTCTTCCCTGCCGCCTCATCAATCAACTTCGCCTTGATCTTCGCCATATGCTCATCGGCCTTGACCATCTCCGCAAAGTAATCCGTAGGGCGGGTGAAGGGCACGCCTTCGGCCTTTAAGAGCTTGCGCGCTGCTTGTGCTGCGGAGAGGGATTGTGCGTAGAAGGCGAGCTCGCGGTTGAGATCATCTGAGACATCGGGGATGGTGACTGGTTCGGAGGTGGTAATGGAATGGTGTTCGGAGAAGGGGAGCTTGGCTATTGGGAACGCGATGCGTTTTAGCGCTGCTGTGAGGGCGACGGTGTTGTTTATTGTGAGGCGTTGGTAGGGAATTATGTCTTCTTTATCTTCTTCGTCGAGGTCTTCGAGGTCGGAGATGGGGATCCCTTCCTCGTCTTCGTCATTTTCCAAGTCGTTATCTTGGTCATTGTCGCCTACGGAGGAATCGCTATCGCTCTCGTCGATGCCTGCGAAATCAATCTGTGGGAGTTAGAGAATTGTCCTGAAAAGCTAGAGAAGACTCGGAGCTTACATGATTGAGGCCATCAACACTCTCCTCCTCACTTCCACTATCCTCATCGCCCAATTCCCCTTCTACCTCACTAGCCTCATCAATTTCGCTCGTTTCATCTAGATCTTCCCATTCCTCGTCGCCTTGTTTCTTCTCAGACCCTGGTAGCTCCCCGCCTTTCTTGCTCTTCGATTTTTTTGCAGCCTTTTCCTTCTTCTTCAATTTTAACTTGTTGAAGTCTATGCTTTTCTCTGCCGCTAGGGCCATCTTCAGCTTGCTTTTCGTAACCATAATGCCGGTGTATGTGGTTCTTTACCAATGCGTGCAATTCGTGAGGTTTGGATTAAGCTCAACTCTGAATAATTTTTGATGCGCGGGAACTTTTTACTGGCGGGAACTAGCCGGATTGGTTCACCGCCTTTGCCTTACTAGCTGTGTCTCCATAGCTCCCGACCCATTGCTTTTCAAAACCAGCAATCATTTATTTTTTAAAGTCCTATCAAGCTCTCCAATGCCTTTAATAATTTTTTCCAAAGGTAATAAGTCTCCATCCCGAATTCCCTGCCTAGTTAAAGCTGCTGCCATTCTCTCGGCCTGAAACACACCCCAAGCTGCCCATCTCAGGAACAGTCTCCATCCTCTTATTGACTTTCTTCCCACGAGCACGATATCTTCAACAGAGTATCTTACCGCTTGATAAATGGCTTCTCCAAAGTTGGAAGGTTGCTTGTCCCAGCGGGGTTTCTTTTATTAGCTTAAACACGCTTTTGGTTTTGGGAGAATTTCACCACTACTGTGAGTGGACTTTAAAACCCTCTTGGATTTAAGAAACGTAAAGGGAGACAGATCGGAGGCGTCTCCACACTCATAGTGTATGTATATTTATCGCCCGATTTGCTGCTATACTACAACCATTTATGATTTATCTATTTATGATTATGTTTCTGCAATCCTATCGTCATCCATTATTTCATCCCCCCCCCCCTCCCCACCACAACCACCTAGAAACCCTTCGGGAACCCATCCGCCCGCTTTTCATTGCTCGCTTCAGGGTGCGGAGGGAAAAGACTAAACCCTCCATTATTCGCACCCAACCCATTAACCCCCGTATCTGACAAAGGTGGAAGAGGGCTCAAAGGTGCAGGGGCAATATTGTTCCCCCCAAATCCAGACCCGTATTCATTCTCGCGCGGCATGCCTCCCATATCCCTGTCTCTCGTTATATCCATTGGCATGGGGGTTTTATCACTGAACCTCTCGACGTCCGAGGTCATAACAGCGCCCTGTCCACTGGCCCAAAAATTGCCATTGCCCATACCACTACTGGCGGCGCTTCGCTGTGACATGGCGCGTGCGATTCCAGCTGGGAGAGGCGAATTAAGCGCCTGGAGGAGGGGGGATGCGGGCGGCGTATCGGCCTTGCGTCCTAGACGTCTGTTGCGGAAGACGCGGTGGATAATGAACCAGATAATGACGCCTAGGGCGATGGCTCCCACTATGATCCAAGTAAACGTTAGTGGCAGTTTGGATATAAAACGGGAAATGGGGGTTGGGGGAAGAACGCACCTATACTGCCGACGACTACACCAGCAATGCCTGCACCGCTAGATAATGGGCCACTTGTCTGCTCCAGTGTGCTTGCTCCTCCTGTCACACCTGTGGCATCGGGATCGTTCCCTGTTCTGACACCGCTGCTTAGGACCACGCCGGCGTTCGGGCCAGTCCCCACATTTTCGGATTGAAGGGCGGCAGCAGCAGATACGACTTGGACCGGAGTCTGTACAGAGACAGCACTAGTCTTGGCAAGGGCCGAGATAGGGACCAGAGTTTGAGACCCGGCTGCCAGCGTGCCAGAGAGTAATGGGTTGGACACCGAGCTAGGGCGGTTGGTGACAGATCCGGGGCTATCGGAAACGGGGGTGGGTCTGTCAGAGAAGGATGCAGCAGCAGCATCAGGTCTAGAGGCGGAGGGCGCTGTAGTAGACAATGATGCCCTGGCGGGCTCAGCGGTCGTAGCAGCAGCTTGGGAATCAGCGGAGGATGCTCGGTCACCCACATTGCTTGTCGCTGATACAACTGCGCCGTTTGGAGCGGCGGAGTTGGACTCTGTTGTAACCGCCGGAGCTGCGACGACAACCGAACTCCCTTCATTAGTCGACGATGAGGTTGTGGCAGATGGCAATTCTGCATCTGATGTCTGTACTGCTGCAGGAATCGGGGCCACACTTGTAGCAGCATTCAGTATAGTCGAAGAAGTCGCTTCCGTGGCGATGGCATCTGCAACCGTTGTCTCAGGGCTCGGGAGGATCGGTGTTGGCTCACCCGTGCTTTGTGCTTCAGGAACCGCGATGGATGTCGAAGGCGCCGCGATGGATGTCGAAGGCGCCGCGATTGGTAATTCGGAAGTCTCATCGAGGGCCTTAGTCGGTACGACTGTTGCCACGGGGCTTGCCGCAGTTTCAATGGGAGCGGCGCTTGTAATTTCTGGTACCGTTTCTGAAGTGACAACTGGTTTGACGGTTGGAACTGCAGCCACGGCTGTATCGGAGACCACGATCGGGGCATCTGGAGTAGGCGTTGGCACCACAACAGCGGGACTAGAAGGTTCATCGGGTATTTTAGAAGGTGCGGCGATGACTGGAGCTGCCTCCGATATCTCTGGTGCTGGGGCACGAGTTGGAGACGCCTCTGGCTTCTCGGATATCTGTGGAAGAGCAGGTGGTGTTGCCTCTTCAACCGGAGAACGTTGTTCTGGGATTGGCTGTGGTATTTTTGAGGCGACTGGGAGGGCTTCAGTTGGTGCCGGATCCGCTGCTACCTTCGAGGCTGATATGGGTGCCTTGGAGGGCGCTGCTTTGACTGCAGAAGTTACCAAAGTTTTTGGCTATTGAGTTGTCAATAACTGCTACTATTAAATGGAAGGGGCACCGACATCTGGAGATTTTTTCGGCAGGGCGCCCGATGGAGAAGCAACATTTTGAGTGGGTTTAGATGGGGAGTCGGCAGCAGACGATGACCCAACTGCCTCTGCTTTTGATGGACTGCTCTCTCCGTCTTTCCTCTTCTCAACCGGCAGTGCCTGTGGATTTGGGCCTTTACCATTAGCACCACCAGCAACCATCTGGCTCCTCCTCACACGAACGCTAAGTCTCATTTTGAAAAGAAGGTAGAACGAAATAAACAATTAAAAAGAGTGGTCCAGCCCGATGAATGGAAAAGAATGGTCCAGCCCGGCTGATATCGTGAGATTCCAGAAGAAATTAACGAACTTGGTTGAAAGGAGAATGAAAGGAAAAAAACTCTTGGAGAGTTGGAGAAAGACATGAAGCTTTCACTACTTCGTGGCCCGACCTGAAACTCTCGGATCTTGGCATGATAGACTTCCGCTGCCATCCGACCTTCGTGAACGTGCCGGCAAAGGCTGCACATGGGCTGCTTGGCCTGGCATTGTACTTGCGAGCGAGAGCCGGCTGATAAGGTCGCTATTGAAGCATAGGACTAGTGAAACTGGAGATCGAGTTTCGGGAAGAGACAGAAAAAGGCTGAAGGGCCATGAATTTGAGTGTTGAAGCAATGAGCGTCGCTCGCTAAATAGTCTGCGACAGCGCGTGGTAAGGGGCGTGTCTGATAGTCTGTGCGAGCCATGAAGTACAGGGCGGGCATCAGGTATGACGCCGTTCCCTCGGGTTGTCCGGAGCATGACGAGGCCATAGTTGGGTTGGTTGCATACGGGGTAGAGATGGAAGAAGTGGTCAGTTGCCTGATTGCAGTCTCGAAAGTTGTGGGCCGACTTTGTTGTTGTTGTTGTTGTTGTTGCTAGGAGAGTAAAGACTCAGGGCGCTGCGACGAAGCGGACGGAGGTACGGAGGTACTTTACCAGTTCCTGCACAGCACGGGCAAAATACACTGTACCATACCCCAACTTGCGTCCAAGGGCATGCATCGTCCATTTTCATTAATTTATCTTGGCTTCTCGGCCTGGTCAACAAGAACAATGTTGTGGTGCAAGTAACCCTTAATGGCATCAACGTTGTGCAAGTACCTATGTACTGTACGTTAAACATACCAGGTAGGGGCAAAATATCACGTGAGCTGGCCTTGAGTTTTCAGGGGTTCCTGGTCCCAGTTCTCCAGTACCCGGCTTCCCGTTTCTTCGGGAGCCCCTTATCCCCTTATCCATGGTTCCACGCCCCCCAAAATCCACCATGTATTTTCGTTGTGGTCTCACAACAACAAACCCGACGCGTCGATTTTCGATTCTCCAATGCCGAAGATCCAGCCACACAATGCCGCGGCATCGGAATAAATATGACATGCTGGTTTGACAAAAAGATTATGGGGGCCAATGATTGACAGAACGTGGGTTTCATCTTCTGCTCTGCGTCTATGCAAGCGCTTGCGCCCGGAGAACAACTATAGTACCACTGCCTATCAATAATAACGAACAACTTAGCGAGGTGTGCTTCTTGACGGCTGTGGTATCCGCCGCCTCTCATCTGATCTCCACCTAACAACCTTGCTGTAGCACATGTCGGGCAGTGGGATGTATCAGTGCAATCAGCCAATGCTTGTTATTATAGTTCTTATTTGTGTTCAACAGATATTCTTTTGCTAATATTACTTTTCTTATACGGTTTATTTTTGGGTCATAGAGGGCCGTTTCATATCAAAATGCATAGAGCTATAATGGTTGAGTATTTAGCGATGCTTCGTACATATTCTCTAGATCCGCCGAGGTCGAAGAATTCCGCCCCTAGTCAAGCAAAACTCCCCTACAAAATTTGAACGGCTATTTACAAATTAATCCCATTTAGAGATCTGCGCGGCTGAAAAACTTTTGCCCCTTAAAAAAGAGCCAGGGGACGACACCTTCCCCTTGCTGCTTCTGAAGTTTGTTCTTGCCCGTTTGGTGTTTCCCCTTGAATTCATGGATCAAGATATCTGGCTTGACAATAGATGTATCGACCAGTACCCCGCCTTCAGCATCCAAAGCCTCGGCCTGGACGGTCTTCACTCCAACGTGCGGAAGCTCAAGCACTGTCTCAAAGCTCTTGCGCTTCGACTCTCCCAGATACGATCGTCGGCCGTTATCCTCGACCTCATAGAAACGCCACGATTTTGTTTCCGTGTCGCCGTTCCATGAGACGTAGATGCTGGTGGTTTCCTTTGCCTCATCTTTGAGGGCAACGATCGCGGGTGCTTCGTTTGGAATACCGGTCCAGTTGTAGCGGAATCCACGATAATTCTCAACGGCCTCGCCTAACAAACCGGAGTCCATATAAAAGTGGAAGATGGGGGTGCCGTCGGATTTGAACTCGGTGATGGCGCCTTCAGATCCCCAGTTCACCAGTACGTTTCCGTTAGGTAGAACTTGGGTTGACCCTTGAGATTTGGAAAGGAGGTTATCAGGAGGATGGAAGGCCTGCACGATAGTTGAGGTCCAGGTTTCGGTATCAACTTGGATGATCTTCCCTCGGGAGTACTCATATAAGTGCACCTCATGGCCATGGCCGTTTTCGGTGCCGTGGGCAGAGTTGTCGTAGAGGGAAAATATTTCCTGCTTACCATCGGCGGACCGGGAGAGGAAACGAGCATGATGTTGGAATGAGAACTCGACTTGGTCACCGAGTGTGAAGTTGCTAGATTTGCCGCCGAGCTGCCAGATGATCTCACTGGTCTTGCCGTTGATCTTGTAGACAGCGTTAGCGTCACGAGCCGAGATCAAGTAGTTGCCATCTTGATCCTTGTCCACGCTATTGATGTGGAAGTAATCCCATGCGTCGGAGGAGTTGTAGCCGGAACCAGCTTGTCCTGGGTTCAACGGAAGATATCCCTCTTTTGAGTGTCAGCGGGTTAATCCTTGAACTAAGTAATTGGTACTTACCGGATGGATCAACATGCTCTAAACTGCTCCACTCAAATAAGACTTTGCCGGTCTCGATATCGAGTTCTGGTATTATTAGCCGATGTCCATAATACAAAGTTTATTGGAAGCATACCTTGGAATCTGGCATCAACAATCCACTGCTGCTCACTAGATCCCCCATGTGGTGTAAGGTCATAGGGAACAGGATGGTAGATCTGAATCAGGGCAGTTTCGTCATTGGTGATATGGAACTCGTGCTTATCTGTTAGTCGATGATTTCCAGCCCGGAGCTCTTTGATCGTCTCGTAATTCTGATCCAGAAACGTCGTGTGGCCGTGGCCATGACCATATGCAGCATTATGGCTTCCTTCAAAGCTAAACAGAATGTCTTGACCCTTATAACGGCCCTTCTGGAAGTTGGTGGCCCAAATCGAAAAGTAAGTGAACCCTGACCAGACAAGGTCACCGGTATCAGTAAAGATATATGGTGCTGCCTGAGCTGGTCCGTGGTGTGTACCCTCTGGATATCCTGAAAAGGGTGCAATAAATATGTATCCGGACTCCACTTCCTTGGTAGCTGGGATGGTGATGTTAAGCCTTGGGGGTGCTAGGTCAGGACGAGATTTGTATTGCCAATCACCAGCAACTAGAGGGATGGAAGAGAGCCCCAAGGTAAGTGCCGCGAGGCAACCCAATCGCCCACCGCGTGAAATTTTGGAATGCATACTGTTTTAACGGTTAGCTCCAACTGGATCATGAGTAGCAGATACGAGTAATACATTACGTTGACTCCAAATCCTGTAGTAATAGCGGAAAGTATGAGATAAAAACTCAAATACTGAAGAGAACAATTTCTGGGGGCCCCAGAACCTCACGATGAAATGGCGGGGTTAGAGACAGAGTGAAAGACTTTAGGGATTCTGAACGGTTGGGACGACCAACTTGGACTCTTAATATAAGAAATAGTACTTCCTGAACGGAAGCATCTATTGATTGCACCATTATCATCTTTACACACCTTCTCGAGGATTATCCACATGAAGGCGTATATTCTGGGGATATTTGCGTCGAATGGAGGGGTTCTGGCATGATTGTTCGCTAGCGGACTTGCTCTCCGTCTTGGTGTTGATCAACCTTGGCCCCTGCATCAACCGCAATCAAAAAGTCGACAACACGCTGTTGACGGACATGCACTCCGTTCTCCCCACCTACCATGGTGCTCAACCTACCCATCTTCGAGGCGGGCTTCGTCTCCATTAGCAAATCTCGCTCCGCCGCTTTTTGAAGTGTATAGCATCTCGGCCCCGCAAGCCACTCGCGAGAGTCACAGGGACACACGAGCAACTTGGAAACTCGATGCTTGGTCCACAGTGTGTAGACAGTACCATGGTGGAGACTTGGCCACGATGGACGGTAGGTTACTGAGGATCTGTCTGAATAATTTGATGCTGTCAGGAGAAAGGGTTCTCGGTCCGGTGGGCGATTCCCGGTTCTGCAGTAAAGGTAGGAGTGCCGAGTCGCGTCAAAGATTTTTTTCGCTATCGTCTTCAGTCCTTTCTTCCTCTTGCGTACATTTCCCTCCTTTGCTCATTCTCTCCTTATGCCTGCGATTTCTAACGATGGGTTTCTTCCGATCGACTCCCGGAGAGGAGTATACATTTCCTGTGGACGATGAGGATTCAGACCAAGAGCGATCGCCTCTCATTGGCGATATTACAGCCACCAAATCAGTAACGACGAAATGGAAACCTCCACCAGGTTTTCTATGGATTGAAATAGGTAATTGGACACTTTGTAAAAAATTCTCTGGCGAGCGCAACTGACGCTTTATAGCAATTTTTGCCAACGTCTTTCTCTCAGGCTTCGACGGAACTATCACCGCATCCACATATGCGGTAATCGGGTCCGAATTCAACGCTGCCAACACCGTCTCCTGGCTCACAACATCATACCTCATTACCTCGACTGCGTTCCAGCCTCTCTACGGGCGTTTCAGCGACATTCTTGGGCGTCGAGCATGCTTCTTTACTGCGACCTTGACATTTCTTGTTGGCTGTTTGGGGTGTGGTCTTGCGCCAGATGTGGTCTCCCTGAATCTTATGCGTGGTTTGACGGGACTCGGTGGCGGCGGACTTATGACGATGGCGACTATAATAAACTCGGATATGATCCCTTTTAAAGAGCGTGGGATGTACCAGGCCTGCCAGAACGTCCTCCATGGCTTTGGTTCGATCTGTGGTGCCAGTCTTGGCGGGGCGATTGCGGACACAATTGGCTGGCGATGGTGTTTTCTCTGCCAAGTCCCTGTTTCAATCTTTGCCTTCGTCGTTGGTCATTATGTGATTAAGGATACTTCGACACCATTACTGGTGCCCGAAGATGCAGAAGAAGAGGACTTGGTCAAATCTAGACCTTCAAAATGGAAACAAATCGACCTCAGTGGTGCTGTGTTGCTGGTTTTAGGGCTGTCTGCTCAATTGACTGCGATGAGCATGGGCGGGAATAATTACCCATGGTCGGATATACGAGTAATCGCGTCGCTCATCGTGAGTGTTATACTTCTTGCAGTATTTATACTTGTTGAACTGCGCACGGAGGCAATTCCAGTTATGCCAATGACTATGCTTCATGGTACGCTTGCCATCTCCAACCTGATCAGCAATGTATGCGTTGGAATGGCAGCATATGCAGTAAGTTTGGCATTACCACCACTAATTAATGACAGCTAATAATTTCCTCAGTTCCTATTTTTAATCCCGCTCTTCTTCCAAGTTGTTTTGCTAGACTCTGCATCCCAGGCTGGTATGCGTCTTGTAATTCCGTCTTTGGCAACCCCAATTGGCGGGATCATCGCTGGCCTCGTTATGTCACGCCATGGCCGACTCAGTGAATTGGTGAGAACCGGCTGCTTCATCATGATGGTCGGCAACGGCCTGGTGGCGTCCTTAGATTATCGCGATTCTAATTGGAAGTACTTGGTCTATCTATTTCCTGCCAATCTTGGCCAGGGAATAGCATATCCTAGCATTCTATTTACATTCCTAGCTGCATTTGACCACAGCCGTAAGTATCTCCTCGATCTTTGTCGAATCATTTATTGACCTAATTTCTAGAACAAGCTGTGTCGACCTCTATGGTGTATCTCTTCCGATCGCTCGGCACTGTTTGGGGTGTTGCCGCCTCTTCGACTATTATTCAGAATGTCCTCTCAACCAGACTACCCGTGTTATTGGATGGGATACCGGAAAAGGACAAGGTAATTTCCATTCTACAATTTTTGACGACTCGCAGCTGACTCACCTTCTGCTAGATTATAGATGAGATCCGACACTCTGTCACGATATTGAAGGACCTACCGCCCGAAATACAAGCCATCGCAAGACAGGTATACTTTGAAGCGTTGAGATATGGTTTTATTGGTAGCACTGCAGTCTGTATGATTGCGTTTATCTCAGCGTTATTTGCTCGAGGACGAAGCCTCAATCGAGATTGATTGCAGCTTAAATGTCAACCAGAGCACATCACCGTTCGTGGAGGCGAAAGGTACATTAGTGGTACTCGTTCTCACTGCGACAAAGCAGTCTAAGGAACCTCGTAGCTAGAGTTTCTAAACTGCCGAGAGCTAGGCTGAGGAATCCGAACCGGCCACAATTACATAGAGCATAAAGTAGTATCTTGAAACCTATTTCACTGGATATCTCTATCACATCTATGTTTTCACTATACTATAAGAAACCCTCTTTTAGCTTTAGGTTATGTCTTCCTACGAAGTATGCACATCTCGCTAGTCTTGGTAGAATGGGGGATTTTGTGAAGCAACAGGCCTGGGGCGCACGCAAAACTGTGCCCCATTTTGCACGAGTCGTACGGAGTACAACCCCGTTAGCATTCCAGAAACCCGGGCGAAATGCACAGGTCACTCACTACCACTACCTACATATCATGCCCTTATCGGAGAATTTATTAACTATCTTGGCTCCCTAGGTATGAAATGCGCTGGGGTCTCAGATGGTACTGAACGCTAACGATCAATCTCTCGGCAGTGCTTAACGACGGATTCCAACTCCGGCTCCAATAATACTGTAGGAGAGCAACTCCGTCGATATTGGAGGCCAGACTCCACTTGTTCCTGGCACAATACATGGATTGCTCCGCTTGCTGATGCGCGTACAGGCGCTACCGGTGACGCTTTTCTATTCTATGAGCATAGAGCTACCACGGATCCGTATTGCGTATTTGGAGCGTTGATGGCGATAAGTCATTGTTCCATAATGGATGCAAAAGATACATCGTTCTAGCTATCTAGGAGAGAGGAAATTCCTGGTGGGAATGGCTCGTAGCACGTCATGTCTATGCACCGCCGCAAGCCCTTGTGGTGGTGGAGAGATATGATTTTGCTTGGAACCGCCGGCGGCTGATAAGCACTACAGTAGCATTCAAAGACAATGTCCTTGAACCATAAAGCTGGGAAAGTCTCCAGGAGATGTCCAGTTGTTGAGACTTTTGTATTTTGGTTTCGCTGTCTGCAAACCTTATCATGGCCCACATCACATCTGAGAAAGAAAAGCACGCCGATATATCCAACTCCCCATCCGAGAAGTCTAATCCTTCGGTCAAGGCTAGTACCTTTCCATTGGAGCTAGATGAGAACAATGATGGCAAGGTCAAGAATGCCTATTTTGGCTCAAACCAGCACCACGTATTCTCTACGCCGAAGTCCTTGAGCCACTGGACAGATGTTTACGAGAAGTCAAAATATGAAGGCCGCCATCGATTCGACCCACAACTGCAGTGGTCACCAAGTGAAGAAAAGCGCCTTCTCCGAAAGGTAATAAATGCCTAGATGGTGATCTGAACTTTTGGCTGATCTATCACATAGCTCGACCTCCGTATTATGCTCTGGGTTTGGATTATGTTCTCAAGTCTTGATTTGATAAGAAATATTAATCGTGCTGTTTCTGACAAGTTGGTATGTGAAACCAAACAAGTATAGATATAATGAATTTGTTCTCATTCAATGATAGCTGCCGGAGCTTGGTATGAACACAAATGACTTCAACAATGGTGAGTAGCTATTTCAATAGTCCGCTGTGCTCTTCAGCTAAGTTGTTAATTAGGCCAAACAATTTACTTCTTTACATTTCTGGCAGCGGAACTCCCTGGAGGTCTTATATCGAAGAAGATTGGGCCAGATGTCATGACTCCCATCGCCATCGTCTGCTGGGGAACTATTTGCGCTTGCCAAAGCCTTATCACGAGTCGAACTGGATACTATGTCACTCGTGCTATTCTCGGTCTCGCGCAAGGTGGTTTCATTCCCGAAATGGTTCTGTACCTATCCTATTTCTACAAAGCAAACGAGCTCCCCATACGTCTCTCCGTATTCTATACGGTAATTCCATTGACGCAGATCATTGGTTCTCTCCTGGCTGCGGGTTTCTTGGAAATGAGAGGCATCTCAGACTGGTCGGGGTGGCGATGGCTCTTCCTACTCGAAGGTGTCATGAGCATTGTCGTCGGCATTTTATCTTTCTTTTTTATGCCTGCCAGTGTGACTCAGACCTCCGAGATCCTCCGAGGGAAAGCACAATGGTTGCATGGGAAAACTGGCTGGTTCACACCTCGTGAGGAAGGTATTCTCGTGAATCGGATATTGCGAGATGATCCGTCGAAGGGAGATATGAATAATAGACAGCATGTCGATTTACGGGGCCTTTGGAATGCCCTGAAGGATATCGACCTCTGGCCTATCTATATGGTAAGAACCCATCCCCAAACGGGAGTAGATCTCTGAGATGCTGATATTTTCAGCTTGGAGTACTTGCCTTCCTACCCTACCAGCCCACTGCAAACTATTTATCTCTAACCTTATCGACCTTGGGATATACTACTTTCGAGTCTAACATGCTTGCAATTCCGGGCTTCATCCTCTTCTTTTTGAATGTAAGGATACCTCCTACCTTGACAACGTTATTCCCAAATATCTTCCTTGCTTACATTCTGTAGATTTTGTTCATTGTCTGGTTAAGTGAGAAAGTCAACGAGAGACTGATTCTCGCCGCTTGGAGCAACATCTGGATGCTTCCCTTTTTCATCGGCATTGTTGCTATTCCCAAAAGCACCAGCTATTGGGTTCGGTACGCTCTTCTTACGTGCATCAACGGAATACCTTACAGTAGGTTTGCAGCGCTCAGAATAACTATGAGATGCATGCTAATGACTTGATAGCACATGCAATTCTCGTGGCAATGATCTCCCGAAATGCAAATAGCGTTGGTACCCGAGCTGTCGGCACTGCGATTTACAATATGTCCTACCAGTTTGGCTCCATTGCAGCAGCGAACATATACAGAAACGATGATAAACCATACTGTATGATGCTCTATTACCATGTTCTCTCGAGGGATGCTGACACTGATGTAGACTACAACGGCAATAAAATTCTTTTGGGCATTTGCTGCGCCAATATCGGCCTTTTTGGTCTTACCAAACTATACTATGTAAAGCGTAACCAGAGAAAGGCGAAGGCTTGGAACAAGTTGACTGAAGATGAGAAAGTGAATTACATTGCTACAACGAAGGATACGGGCATGCAAAAGCTGAATGTTGTTTTTGCTCATTAGATCAAATGAGACAAGGTCGATAGAAGGCGTACTTGGATATAGCTGATCCCGAATTAATTATTGGTTAACGAGTTAAATTATTGTCCGTACTGCAAAAGTGCTTTCACTTGGATTTCTTGAAAGATAAGGCGTGCGTGGGACGAATACGATGCTATATGATTTGTCGATAAGCAGCTCACCGCGATTAGGTGTGCGGAGTTGATGTCCGTCAATATCAGAGACCTTCCCCAGCCCTGCCGGTGTTCTACTATCGAGTCCAGTATCCCACATGGTGTACGTAGAGTACACTCCCTATAGATATGTATAAACAAAAGCTCAAAATAGCGGATTGCTTATCTGATGAAGTCTCTATCTACCTAGATAAAAGAGCATTCTCATATGCAGATCATTAACTGTCTATTTATTGTTCATTATTTTATAATATCACACCTCAATGTTTATTCCTACCACACCCCATCGTCAGCGGATTTATTGCTAAGGTGGGGATGGAATTGCGTGCTGTGCGCTGAGCATTGAACATTGCTAAACACATCTTACGGCAGTGTATTTCTACCTTTTCTCTTCTCAATTGATTTAACTTGTATTTCTTAACTTGCCTACAGCCAGCTATCATCTTATATATCCCACTAAACATGTCTCAGAGACAAGCAGACCCCAAGAAACGCATCTCGTAGGCTCCCACTTTCTCCACCACCAAGTAATTGAACCGTGGATTGCTAACAACGGTGAAGTTGCAAGAGATGTCAAGACCGCAAGGTATGCCTTTTACACCCCCGTGGAAGAAAGTCTTCATCGTCTGATTTTGCTTTCTCCAGATCAAGTGCTCGCGAACCTCTCCGTGCCAACGCTGCACAGCTGCGGGCGTCCGATGCGAATTCCGAGGCGATGGGATGAAGCGTGCACCCATATCCCGAGAATACGTGACGGCGTTAGAAAGCAGGATAGGGGCATTGGAGAGCTTTTTGTCTGATCTCAAGGCTGCGCCAAGTTGTCAACAGGAGCGGATGATCAACGTCATCGAGTTTGGCGGGCAACTGCAAACAACTTCAGCATGGTCGGGAATGGAATTTTTTGATTCCCAGAGCCCAGATGCGAGTTACCACAGCGGGCTAACGACTCGCCTGGATGATGGTACAGTTTCCCATATATCAATTTCATTTATACCCTGGCTAATATTAACTATTTAGAAGCGATGATCTATCCTGGGCCGAGCAGTCTTTACAGCTCAATGCTTCTGAAGTCCGCAGGTCAAGCGCCTTCCATGTCCCAAGCACCTCCAATCTCGTCGACTTTCGTTGATGTTAATAACAACTTCCCTCGGCATATCGTAAATGAATGTCTGGCACTCTTCTTCCGCTGGCAATACCTTCACTCCATGTTGATTGATCGCGATGAGTTCTTTCTCGATTACTCGAATACTTCGTATACTGGAAAACACATTTCAACGGCTTTGGAACATTCGATTTGCGCACTCGGTGCTTTGATGTCTTCGGACATGAGGATCAGAGGGCTTGCAGACAGTTTTTCTGCACAAGCTACTAGAATCCTGGAATTAGAAAGTTTACTAAATCCGAAAGAGACCTCAATCCAGGCTTTGATACTTTGCTCACTCTACCAAATCGGCAAGTGTGAATTTTCCAAGGCACGGATGCTATCAGGTAGTTCAACACCGTTTGCCGCAGTGAACGCATAACACTGACTGGCCAAAGGTATTGCATTTCGTATGTCTGAAGATATCACAGAGTGTGACCAGTCTCAAAGATATCTCGATCGACAACCGAGTACGCAGCGAGAAGTCGATTCTCGGCGGCGTACGTTTGCAAACTATTCTAAATCCGATAAGTCCCCCCTGATGCCACTTGATGATAAATATTTTTCTGACTTTGTGTCAGAGTGATCAGTCTACTTTTGGGGAGGCCGGCTGTAGTAGCTGAGAATGCCTCACCCCTATGTCAGAGTGAAGCCGGAGAGTAATTAATCCTGTCCCTTGGTACACTTCGAACGAGCACTGATTCCGTTTCAGCCCTTCCCCCATCTCGAACAATTTGCTGGAGCAGTGTGACCGATATAGTCTGCCAGAACCAGAGATATCACCGAATCTATCTACAGTATCTAAAAGACACGCCGAACTCTGTCATATCATAAACGACATTCTCGAAACATATTCCTCAAGCCGAAAACCGACAAGGCAGCAGACATCCCAGCGTTGGATTGAGGTCATTGTCAATGAGCTCAACGCAAGGCTCTGGAAGTGGCTTAATTCGCTGCCGGCGAGCTTTCGGTGGAATCGATGGGGGTCTAGTTTCAACACTGTTCATCCTAGTATTGCAGCACTTCAGTATGAACCTCCCCCTTTTTTATCATACTATGCTGATGCCTTTTAGTATGCTCTACAACACTGCCCACATCTCCTTGAACCTCCCATTTCTCACTTCCGAAAAAAGCGAAACATTGCCAACCTCACCTGCAAAACTGATCGCAGACGCCATCCATATCTGCAGAATATCAATCGACACCATAATTTCCATTCTCCGACGCTTTAGATCCCAACATAGTCTGAAAAACGCGCCGCTGGAATTTGTCCACGGCGCTATTACCGCTGCTGACGCAGCAATTGCTACTGCTGCCTTTGATACTAGCGCGGGTCCCTTGTCTCAAAATGCAAATTTGCGAGTATTGGACGAAGCACTTCTAGATTTGTCATACTCTTGGAAGATCGCTGGTGATGCAAGGGCTGGGTTGTGGCAAGTGTTTGCGGAGCGAGGAGTGTCGGAAAGGTCCGCTATATCGAGCCCTTCTCTGGGCTATATGGAGCAGGAGAGCCCTGTATCTTCGGCACCTGGGTCTGTTTATGACTATGCTGCATCATCTGTGACGAGTGGGCACATCTTGGAGGGCTCGGAACCCAATGCCCCAAACATATTTTCTTTCGAGCCTGTTGATGCGACGAATCTGTACGCGTGGGATCAGAATCTTTTAGCTGGAGACGTTACAAAGCTTGCTGGTGGCTGCTTGCGGAGCAATAAGGTCGCACTTTTTGGAGATGCAGTCGATGAAGGTATTCTGATGTCACTGGGATCGAATAATTATGATACGTCTTTCGACTTGTGAGTTAAAATGAGGCAAGAAATCGAATATAGAGATTTGTACCTGGGTATCAGCCTAGAATATCCACGAAAAATTAATAAGCTTTTGAGCTTAATTACCCTATTATTACGACGTCGAACTCATGGGTGAAACCGTATCATTGACATGGATCCTGTCAGCAATGCTCACCCGAGGAAACAGGAAGGCGCGATTATGCGAAGTGCCCTCCCGTGAGCATCACACTTCAACTTCTCGCAACAATCATGATCTGAGATTATCATCATCATCAGACTCCTAAGTCCCTATCATCCCGCGCACACTTGACTTCATCCGCTCGTGTCATAATAGGGTCTAGCCCAGAATTCCACGTCAATTTATACGTACATTCCACTGGAGGACCGCTGCTGAGCCGCGCCTGGAGTCAACATCGGTCGAAAGCGAAATATCACCAACAAGGAGCTTGTCCTGGTGTAAAGGGTCAGTGATCATCCTCATTTTATCCTGTCCTGTTTTAGTATGTGGTACTGGGTAAATAGCGAATCAAGAACCTGACGACTTCCTATGACCAGTTCAAGCAGGCGGCCAATTCCTGGACCTTAACCCCCGGCCCCTCATCTCCCATCGTCATGGGGGACATCGTCAAGACCTTATATGGGCGGGAATTGCAGGTCGTCATGACCAGCAACAATACTGCCCCGTTGAATCCAAGCCTCGAAGCTATTTCCCCTCTTCATTTAGGTTTGATGCATTACCTCAAATTTATGTTCGTGGGCCTTTTGAGTGCTTTCTCACTCGGCATGCCTTCTGACGTCGTTGCTATTGCGGCGAACCGCACCATGCAACCCCTCCCCCTTTCGCGCAGTGGTCGCTGGATTATAGATGCGAAAAACCACACCGTACCGTTCGTAGGCGTCAACTGGCCTGGAGCGGGAGAGACTATGCTTCCTGAAGGCTTGGGTCATCAGTCGGTAGCAAGCATCGTGCAGAAGATATCGGAGTTTGGGTTCAATGCTGTTCGACTTACTTTTGCCATTGAGATGGTGGATGATATTCTTGACAACGGTGGCGATGTGACGCTCAATGATACGCTGACAAGGTCTATGGGAGTAGAAAATGGAACCAGCTTGATGATGGACATTCTTTGGAATAATCCGCAGTTCACGGAGCAGACTACAAGATTAGAGGTTCGTCTGCTCCATTTTATCATTTAACGCGGATGATATTTTGATCGTGTAATTACTAACACTGTTCTAGATATTTGACGCCGTAGCTGCAGAACTGGCTGCTCAGAATATATATCTGCACCTCGACAACCACGTTTCAAAAGCAATGTGGTGCTGCGCTCTTGATGACGGAAACTCGTGGTTTGGAGACCAATATTTCAATACAACAACATGGATTCGTGGGCTTACTTACATGGCAGACCACGTTAGTAGACCTTTTACCTATACCCCACCCTTTTTGTATTTCCGGCACTGACAGCTTGAAATACAGGGGAAAAGAAATTGGCCGTCATTTAGTAGCATCGGCCTCCGCAATGAACTCCGCCCATCATCCCTCTCTACCCCGGGTATTGAACCCTATAGCTGGAGCACATGGAAAACCTATATGACAGCCGCCGCCACCGCCGTATATAATGCTAACCCAGACATCCTCATATTCTTCTCCGGCCTCGAGTCTGATTTCAATATTGAGCCTGCAGTCGGGGGGTCCACACTTCTGGATCGTGACTTCTCCTTCAAAGTTTGCTCATACCCATGGGCTCACAAACTCGTGTTTGAAATGCATGAATATGATGAGCATATCTCGGGTATCTGCGAACTTTATAAAAAAGCGCTACTTCTTTTCGGAGCTGATGCCACTACCAAGAAGACAGGAAATGGGCCGGCGCCGCTGGTTATTACCGAGTGGGGCCATAGCCAACGAAATGACAGTGATAGTTATAAGAGTTCTTATAGTACGTGTTTGGCGGAATTCATGGTTGAAAGGCAGCTTGGCTGGATGGTTTGGGTGTTGGCGGGGAGCTACTATATCAGGTCCGGGGTCCAGGGCTATGATGAGCCGTATGGTAAGCTGCACCCTCAACATCGTTCCAAGTTTCGGATGCTCGATATTAACTTATTGGTAGGGCTTTTGGACCACAATTGGGATGAATCCCGTGGTGAAGACTCTATTGCTGCTATTAAAAAGCTAATTCAGGACACATATGCCGCGTATGGCCAGTGAAGGTATTTGAGCTAGCGCTGGACGGTAATTCTTGAGGTCCCTGGGGGCCCCTATTTCCGGAGCTGGGTTGCACCGATTAGTATTGTTTTTTTACGCAGCAGCTATGAGCATTGTGCAATTGCAGAGGAGGATTATATAAAATAGGGCTAGTACTTGGGGGGAGTATTCCAAACACACCTTGCCATAGCAGAATTCTTTTATGAGAAACGATTTTACAAAGCTCTCCTTGCACAACCTTTTAAACTCCGCATAGAACTGATATAGGAAGTGAAGTGTTAAAGTTTCCAATTAATTCGACACATTTGATGCTGCCTTAGCATGTCTTCAACTACTTCCTCTGGCCTTAGCTGACTCTATCACCATCGCTAGGTCCTTCCATTGCGGTTGCAGTGTTTTCGGCGGCTATCCATGGTTGTTATATACGTTAAATGTTTCATTTACTCTAGTTTTACTTTGGTATTATTGACTTCTAATATGAAGTAGGTGATTGAAAGCGTTAGATTCGACGTCGGAATATAAGATCAACAGCTTCGAAATCAACACTCTACTTCATACTACGATCCCCGACGATTTTGGTATCCTTGCCTATTGAGGTTGACCACTAGTGTGATTCATAAACCAGGGAATCCTTGCCAACCTTCCCTTAATTCTACGCGAGAAACGTATATAGGGATATTCCCGTATACGGCCAAAAGCTGGGCAATGATGCCAACAGCTCATGCCGCTACTTCTGCTCATTCTTCCACTTCTCATGCGCCGCATTCTGCGCCTTCCAGTCCTTCTCTAGCTTCTTCTTCCGACTCTTCGGCAAATCATCTCCGCCCTTCAACTTCGTCGGTACCCCATTCGCATCCCACTCAGAAAATTCATCCGTCTTGAACATATCCTGTGGCGGGACCTTAGCCTTTTCAGCTGCCGCAGCCTTCTTCGTCGCCTCCTCCGCCAAACGCTGCTCCTTAGCCAAGCGCTTCTCCTCCACCGCACGTTCTTTAGCCGCGCGCGCCGCCTTCATGCTGGCATCGAGCGGTCGCACCAGCGCTGGCAGCGGCGCGTCTCTGTCCTCCAGGTAAATGTCCTGGTCCCATAGCACTGTGTCGCGCAATGAGTCGCAGAGGCGGAGGAGTTCGGTTTCGATGCCGGCGGGTTGGGCGAGCGCGGTCTTGACTTGCGATTGAAATGTCTGGTATGCTGTTACATATGGTAGGTTCTCCGGGTTGGGAGTGGCTGGTAGCGACTGCGAGGCCAATTTCTCTAGCACTTCTGGCACAATGGCCTTGGCGCGGGCTTGCCGGCGGACCTCGTCGCGTATCTGGCTGAGGCTGTAGATGACGGGTTGTGCAGGGATAGGGATAGAGACGCCTTCCCAGCCGATGGTGGTGGTATTGGGGCTGGCGCTGCCGTTGATGCCGAATATAGTGATGATACGCGTGATCCAGTGGGCTATGGAGAGGAGGGTGGCAGTGTCGGTGTTGGCGTCAGTAGAAATGGCGGAGTTAGCTTCGGTAACGAGGTTAGAGATGAATTGCATAACTAAGGGGGTGTTGAAGGAGTCGCAGAGGGCGGCGTCGGTTTCCTTCTTAGCCTTTTCAAGGGCAGCGGAAAGGGGGCTAGAGGACGAGGGTTGGTTGTTAGTGGTGTCCTTGGTGGAAAGTTCAATATCAACGGCCTTGAGGAAGAAATTTGTGATTTTTTCTTCCCAGCCTTTGGCGATGTTGACGAGGCCTTCGGTAATCTCTACGCCGTCCTTCCATGAGCCAAGAAGCAGCACGATGCGCACCAATCTCGATGTCCACGCCGGTATGCCGTCCTCGCCCAGTGTCAAGGCCTCGCGAATCGAGGTGAAGTTTTTTAGACTCTTGCTCATCTTTTGGCCCTGGATGGACAAGTGCCCCATATGAAGGAAATATCTGTGAAGTGTATCAGCCGTTGATCATGGAACCAAAGTTGCCTTGCCCCTACCTAACCCAGGTATGATTACTTGCAGCGCAGCCTTCCTCGCCCAGCCAATACGCCTCACTCTGTGCTAGCTCATTACTATACGCGGAGCAATACGTCAGTATTTTATTATAACGAGGGATATATAGTTCTTACTCATGATGTGGAAATTTGAGATCCACACCTAAAAATTACAATTATTTTCAAGTTTTAGAATAAGAAGAAAAGGATTCGAACCTCCACTACTTCAAGTTAGCGCTTTAAACTATACATATTTTTGTAGTCATTTGGTTCACCTGTGAATGTCCATGGTCGGCCCTAGGACCGCTGAGGCCATGACACTGCACTTATTATTTTTAGAGGCTCCCAAAGTATAACGGTTCTCAAGAGAAATACCTCAATATGCCAACCCGGCCTTGATGGCCCCCATCTTTTTGACGGCCATGCGGGCTCGCCGGGCATACTCTTCTTGATGAGCGCAAAGTCATTTTTCGAGCGCTTGTCGCTACGTTTCTTAGATAGACCGCCCTCGCCGTCGGCGAGTAGCTCTTGATTGCCACGATTCTGGGGCTCCAGTCGGCAGTAGGCGTTACCAACCTTTTCAAAAGAATCAATGTCAAAGTATACATTCCCTTGTTCGGTCTGGTAGGCAAAACCCTTTTCGATGATCTTCTCCACGAATTCGTTGATTTGCGGGACAAACTCGGTGACGCGAGTGATTTCGTCTGGGTCGAGAACGTTGAGCGCGTGCATGTCTTCGAAAAATAGTTTCTCGTAGTGCTGCGTTAATTGAACAAACATGGCTTTGGTAGTTAGCATAATCATGCCCACGGCTTATACAGGGGTTACTTGCTGTGATCCGTGGCGTCAATTTGAGAGCCGTAGAGATCGTCTAAATATGAGAGTAAGACATCGTCGACCTTTGTATACAGTCCATCTTGTGGTGTGGACTTGGAAGCGCTGAATGCTTCGAGCCCGTCAGCAGCAGCTTGAGCAGTGCGTAGGTGCATTTTGATCTTAGCCTCCGTTTCGCTAGGGGCGGCTGTGCCATCAAGGGATTTCCCCTCGATCACATTTTTGTACGCAAGCTCAGAGGCTGTTTTGAAATCGTGAGTCGTGGTTTGCGCCGGCACAAGGCCCAGATTCTTGATAACATAAGCCTTCCACGCAGCATGGGTCTCCTGAAATGTGGCGTCGTCAAATATGGAATGTTTCGATTTGAATTGAGCGAGTAAGTAGCGCTGCCTAGCACGGGTTATGATTTTGTCATCTACGTCGGTCTGTATTCTTTCATGTTAGCTCCATTGATGTCGCGCAAGGTACGAGTGCAGCTTGACGAGACCAGAGAGGGTACTTACAATGTTCATTACAAATTTGACATTGAAGGCAAAGTAATCCCTCAAAATGCGCCTAATAATATCGGTCGAAACATAATTCCGGGCGTGGCCTACCAGCAGTTAACACCTTATGCTGTATATATGAACCGGAAGTAATTTCCCCTTACCAAGATGTGCAATATCGTATACCGTTGGGCCGCACGCATACCAAGTGACATTCTTTCCTTCCGGGTCAAGCGGAACAAAATCATTCTTCCTCCTGGTCAGCGAATTGTAAATCTGTAGCGGTGGCAGCTCAACGCCCGGCGGCTTCTTGGGCTGCTCCCATGCAGGCTGCCTCGAGGCCATGGAGTGTCGCTGGCGCCGAAGATGAACGGGTGGAGAAAGGGAACGAGGAAGTGATCGGTGTACGCCCGCGGGGGATTCTAAGGGCAGTGGACAGTGGTACTGGAGTAGTGTTCGGCGTAGAGCGAGTGGGCACAAAGAGAGTATGCACATGCACATCGATAGAAAGCGGAGGGGTAGGCAACGTGGGAAAGAATTCAATGTTGGAGGGGCACGCGTTTAACGCGTTTAACGCGTTTCAAATTCAAGCAGGCTGAGTCATCCATCGGTCACCAACTGCCACGTGCTTCTGCCAGGCCCCGGAGGCGCTTATTGGGACGTGCGTACGCTAATCCGTATTGTGACAAGCGCCAGGTACGTTAGGGTATAGGCTTGGCCCTGTCTTGAATTGCCCCAGGGTGTGGAAATGGATATATCTGCCCCGTCTCAATGGTGTTTAACGATTCCTCCCACTAAGATTGTTTGGATTGTACAGTATACTGTAGCTTCTTCTACTGCCATGGTGTTTGGTTTTTAAATGCCTGTAGCACTGAGTCCACAAGGTATAAGTTCCTGGATCTCCACAACTTTGGAAATTGGAACCGTCATCGTACAGCCTAAGCATCTGTGAACGGGGTCGAAGTTTGCCGTCCTCCGGAAGCAATTGTGAGTGGGGGTTGGTCGGCCGTCGATATCCAGGTAGAGACAAAATTTTCTGTACGCCAAAATCTTGACTTCCTGTCCATCCTAGAATTCCGAAAGACATTTCCTTCAGATTTAGCACGCCTATCGTATTGTTAACTATTGTAAAAACAATTGGTCATGGTCGTTGACTTACAAAATCAACATACTTTGTCTAGCTCTGTTACTGAGTTTGACTACAAGCGACTCTCCACGAGCTAATATTTCCAAAGAATTTGCATTTTAAATAGTTCTGTGCCCAAGCTAAAAAGCCGGCATCGTAATCACTATTCACCAGTATCTTCTGCGCTTGCATTTCCGTGTCTTGGTAAAAGTACATCACCTTGAGAAGACTATGTTCAAAGATATTGAGCCTTTGCACAGCTTCCAAAAATGACAAAGTGGTAAACGTAGGATCTGCAACAGTTCAACAAACATCTAATCGTGCAAAGCGCGGAATAAAGTACTCCAGCCCACTCAGCATTTTTCTTAGGTGTCTTTATACTCCGCACGCCAATGCTAGTCGAAAGCATATATGAAACTCAGGTTAACACCTTTAGCAGCTAAACTTGGATGCTTCGATTTTCCGTATCCCAAGGCTTGTTGATCGCCCTGTCTTCAGTCTGGCGGGGCATTATAACTGCCAATCGAGCATCTTCTTGGCCAGATGGTGCAGAGAGTCTGTCTCCTGGCTGTTTTGATTCTTGAACCTTGTTCGCATAACATGCCTCATGTCGCTGAATAATGGTACCTGGACGCAGGGATGACGTTTTGTCCACAAATGGATCTTTCATGAACTTTGTTAATTGTACAAGCTCGGTCTGCGATAAAGTTTCTTTATCTTCTTCATTGAAAATTGGTGAACGGAAATCTCCATGCAAGAAAATGTAATGGGGTCATCTTGAGCAAAACTAGTGTTGTCCCCGTTACCACCATCGTCCTCAGATCCGTGTGTGAAGGTACAAAGTACGGGGCCCCAGTTAGCAAAGCTGACTGGTAAGAGTGGGCTGTGTGAGCCGGATGGAAATCGAACCTGACTTTGTACCTGGCTAAGCGACAAAAATTCAAGTGCTCCTTGCTTCGCCGGTTAAACGCTTAAACTAAAGGTGTGCGGCGGAATAACAGGGAAAAAAAACTAATTAAAAAGCTCTTAACTATTATTATTATTGATACTATAATTAAAAGAAGAAAAAAAAATGTGTTCGCCCGACGAGGGTCTCGAACCCTCAACCTTGGGCTTAAAAGGCCCACGCGCTAACCAATTGTGCCAGCCGGGCTGTTGTGACTGAAATTGCCACGTTATTGTTCAATTTTCGCTTATTCCTCCTTATACAACCCAAAATTCTGCGCACCACTCTCCGGGGGCCGAGACTGCTCACGTGACCTGACACAACTAAGTCAGCTTATATTACAGTTAAAAGAGCCATACAATAAGTAATAAGAAAATATTATAATCGTTCCTCAGGATACAAAATGTATTCTATTTAAGATATAGATAAACGTAGTTTTTATCGCTGATACACCAGCTAGCGTGTGGAGTCCCAATCCTGCTGCCCTTTTAATGCCAGTGTGTAAGAAAAGAGGTATTATTACTTATCCAGTATCAATTAGACAGAAGAGGCCAGTTCTAAACTCAGAATTAGAGGCACGCTTGCAGCCTTACAAGTACACCTCAACACAACTATAAAACGAGAGGATCAAGTCTTACTATGGACGGGAATTAGTTCTTGGCGGCCCGAGGATTTGCCGGGAGCTGTGACTTGCTGTTTGCGTTCGTCGGGCACGTTACAGTTTGCTTATAATTTATATCTCGATTGACATCGAACGAAATACTGCGGAAACCTGAGGCTTTTGGACCTCTATTTCTTGCAGGTGCGATTCTCTAGAGTGTATCACTTTTGATAAGGAGGCTCCCTCGACAGCAGCTCGTTCTCCCTGCCATCCCGCCATCACGACCCTCACGGCGACGGCCCTCTACCCACTCGTCCGCCCAGCAGGAACTCCAGACGGGCGTGGGAGTCTGCAATATGTACCTTATATATTGTACGGAGTAGGGGATCAATTGTCTATTGGATATAGGTAAGGTAGGTAGGATTGCCACATCACATCCTGTCAATCGGCATCCACCGAGGCTCTAGCTCTGCTCCCAGCTGAACATAGATTGTAATTTGCACGGCTGTAAAATGCTACAAACTCGACACGTTCGCTAGCTCACGATCTGAAGACTGCTAAGCAAGTCCAACTGCCCTGCTCAATTACTCTGTTGAAGTGAGTACATCTACCACGTACCGATCGTTGACGGCGTCCAGAAGGTTGCTGTTCTGCATAGGAATGACGATAGGGATCTAGAATGTCGTATGTCAGCCATTCATCAATACCTGTTAACAACTAACTATTTTTGAGCTCTGACGAGTTATGTACTCTCCAAGCGATTTTGTGTAAGCTGGTTGACAATTTAGATGACCTAAGCCTTGAATCTCACCGCATCCGATGGCGTCACATGAAACAGAAGTATAAGTGCTAGGAGTCAACGAACCTTTCAACCGATATGCTTAAAGGGAGCAGGGCACTAGCAATGAGGCCGATTTTGATGCAGGCCATGGCAAGGCAAAATCTCATCGATAGCAAGTTGTGCTCACCAAAGTGCGTTGCAGGATCGCCAGCAGCAAGGTGTACTAGTGGTAGTTTCACTATCCAATTTACTCCATACGTTCAGTTGAATGTAAATCAATATGATCAAAGATATTTGCTTATTGGAATGGGGATTTGAAATCGTTTTCGCTTCTTATGGCTAACTCACTCTCGTGGACAATGCCTCCGTGGTCGCGATCAGGATTGCGATACAATGAGGTTACCAATTCCAGTGAGGATGAGAGTTAAGTTTGGGTTTTCGACAGCCTCTTTCTTTCATACTTGTTCAGATCAAGTCACGTACAGTAGAAGATGTGAAAATCTACATTCTGGTTGCTTGTTCCGCCTAGCATTATCACCTGCAGCCATACAGGCATGGCCACGTTGCTGCCTTGTGAAGTTGTGGCTGTGGTAATCACGTCTCAAATATACGTCGTTTCGCAATGAATACCCTGCTCGCATTATCGTTCTTCCAAATTTCGTGAAGTATTTGATAGTGATGGCATTGGTAACTTATCAGCGCCTTGATTTATTATATGACGAGCTTCGTGTTCTTGTTCTTCAGCCGGGTGAAGGCGATGCGCCCATTAGTGCCTACTTGACACCGACGACATTACATAGCAATCTACCATATGAAGCACTTTCATACGTCTGGGGTGACCCTTGCGTCACGAGGTCAATTCAGCTAAGAGCTATGGACAACATGAATTTCTTAGGAGTGGAAGTTGAAGTCCAAATCACGACAAACCTAGAGTCTGCCTTGCGACACCTCCGACTCAAAGACCGAAGCCGGACCCTTTGGGTAGATGCGTTATGTATAAATCAAAATGATCCTGACGAGAAAGTACACCAAATCCGGAACATGGGCGATATCTACCGGAAGGCTTCGAGTGTGTGCATGTGGCTGGGAGAAGAGGCGAATGATAGCGATGCCGCAATGGAGCTGATACATCTTTATCGCGATGATGACCCCGACTGGAGACGATTACCCCAGACGAAAAATTGGTCTAGACACTGCAAGGCATTGACATACTTAGTTTGCCGACCATGGTTCACTCGCCGCTGGATTGTGCAAGAAATCGCGCTGGCCCCATGCAGTGTTATCTATTGTGGCACAAGGTGAACAACATGGTGTGCACTTTACAGGGCTACATATTCTCTCAGTGCTGAGACGCACAAGTCAAGGGTTGGCTTTGCTCTAATGAACATCTTCAATCCTGGCTCACAGGGGTTGGACACATCGTCAGCATTCAAACCGCACTAAATGCCATCGCTCGAGACCGATTTCCAGCTCTATCAATGCTGCTGAAAATATTCCAATCGAAATATGTTACTAATCCACGAGATGCTGTTTATGCTCTTCTCTCTCTATCAAAAGAACGTCAGCTTGGTCAGCCGAACATCGATTACACGGCCGGAATTCTAGATGTCTTCCGGAATACGGTCGAACTCAGTGTCCGGGTGAATGAGACTTTAGATATCATTTGCCAGAGCTTCGGACTTGGGCCTTGCGAACACGAATTATCCTGGGTTCCCCGCTTCTACACTAAATTTCGGGATTGTGCTTGTCGAAAGGAAAACGACCTCCCGGGCGAAGGCTATCCGTACCGGAGCGAGTCACCGTACAGCACTTCAGGCTCATCTAAGCCCGAAGCAAACTTCAACGGTCATAAGCTGGTTGCAAAAGGATTTCTGATAGATAGGGTCCGAAATATACTGGAACCTGAAATAAGGACCGCGCTGAGCTTGGAAATTCCATTGTCCTGGAAAGAAGCAGTGTTATCACTAGATGCAATATGCATTGATGGAGGTAACCGCGGGCATGAAGCCCTTGCAACTGATCATGCCTCAAAGTTCAGCGCTTTCTGGCGTACTCTGGTCACAGATAGGGTTCCAGGGAGCCCCAAAAACAATAAAGCGCCCAAAAATTGGCACAGAGCCTGCGAGAAATGGTGCAATGGGGACATGGTTGTTCCCCAGTACAGCAGTGCTTTTGAGGCGAGGAAACGCCGATCATGTCTCTCGTTGATTTTCGTCGCTATTTGGAGATCTACATATGACCGGCGCTTCATGGTCACGGGGATGAACCGCATAGGGCTTGGGCCTAAGATGCTGAAGGAGGGTGACCTTGTATGTGTCCTGCTTGGCTGCTCAGTCCCTGTCATACTCCGACCAGCTACTGACCCAGCACTGGCTGGCTGTTATTATTTTATTGGTGATGCTTATGTTCATGGGATTATGGATGGCGAGGTGGTAACAAGATTGGAGGCTGGAGATTATACCCCAGAGGATTTGGTAATTATATGAAGCCGCACCTTGTTTATACCTTAAACCGTGTACAACAGTGGTTCTAGGATCAAGCCATTCTACTACTCGATTTGCCCGCTACTCGCCTGATTTGAACCCCATTGAGTAAATCTAGTGGCACCATAAAAACAAGGTTATTTTGTTTTACCCCAAGCTTGAAACTATGGGAAACGGCGAGGCAGCTATTACGCTCTTTCCTAGGCCTTATATAAAGCCTAGGAGGCGTTGCCGGATAAGTTGTTTTGGAGTTGAATTAATAGTATGTGTAGAGCTGCGAAAGCAAAAATAATTACGGCAACTCTGAGTGCAACTAGACGAGCAACCACAGGACGCTCAACCAAGGAAACGACGACAGGTAGAGGTGATCTAGAGGATGAGTAAGGGACGAAGAGCACCAAAGGAAACGGCACTGGTTAGAAGATCGCTAGTGGGAACAACTTATGAAAGCTGAGGATCTATACGCAGAGCACCAACCAGGGCATCAAACCAGAAGATGGACTCGCAACAGCAAGTTGTGCCGAGAGCCGAAGAACAGCCTGAACTAAGTGTAGAGCGACGGGCCGAGTTGAAAGAACTAAGTTCCCAACAATAGAGATTTAGAAACCGATAGAAAGAAGGATTTACGGGAACTCGACAATTGAAATTGGGCAATTGAGAAGGAACACAATGACTGAAAAGTGAGAATATATTGCCTGTAGTGGAATAAGCAACAAAATCGGTTGGAAAGAAAAGACGAGCTGGTAGATATATATTTTATTGTTATGAGATGAAATTACGAAATTGTGAAAATACTTTGAATTATACGACTAACTACTCCGTTTCTTTCTTTCTTTGTCAAATCGTGCCACAGTTTATACAACATAGCGATAGTCGTGTGACTTATACTATCTGATAATAGCAAAACACTAAAGGATAAGGAGGTGATTATGAAGTGCGTACGTTCCTTAACTTTCTCTGTATTTCTTCGAACTCTTGTTATAATTTGTAGGAGTAGTGTATTAGTCGGCCCCGCCTTTAATTATTTTTCTATTCCAACCTTCAAGTAAAACCTTAGCTCAACATGCTGCCGCCCCATCATCCGTAACTCCAACACAAGCCACTTCCAGCAAATTTCAACTTGTAGAAAAATTACACCAAAGGCTGCTTACTTTAAGTATACTCACCCTCTAAAAGTCCCTCCGCGCCATAAAATGATCACAAAGCATGCTTGTTTCGCTACTAAAAGCTTTGCCTCCATTAATCCTCCTGCAAGAACCCCATGATTGCTTTAATACCTCCCGGGCCTAGCCCTCCACGTGGATAACACACAAAGACAGGCTCATTCCAACAGCCCATCTTCTCTCTAAATTCGCTCTTATTTGTAAGTTTAAACTGTTTATTAAGCGTCGCATATGCCTTCTTAAGCGCCTTCACCTTGTAGGCATTTAGATTCCGGCCACCCTCGAGATGTGGAAGTGCGCCTGTACCGAAGGTCACCTGTTTTAGATCCGGGTTGGCGATGGCGATGGACTTGAGGGAGAAGAGAATGAGTGATTCGATAGTACCGGAAGGAGCGCCAGGGAATTCCAGGGAGAATTTAACTTGGTAGCCGTTCTTGGGGGAGAGTTGATGGAGAACAACGACGGCGTGCATATGTTCGTCGGGACCTTTGGCGTAGTAATAGCGACGATGCTCCTGGTCTACCCACGGTCGGATCTGGGTAAGGTGGACTTGGCTCCCCTTGCGGTTGAAGTGCCACCGCTGAATACCTTCGTCGATTTTGGCTTTGATGTCTTCGGGGACAGGCTTGTTGACAGGTAGTTCGATGTTCTTGACGCCTTCTTTCTCCGCGTGACGTACTTTGCGCCCAAGATCACTATCCTTGATTGCGGGATTATCTCGAGGATTGGCGCGCTCTTCGGCGATACATGCGAGGGTCCGCCAGTCAAATTTCTCGCCCAAGTACTCCTCTACGTCTTTGCAGGCAATCATCCATAGGGGCTTGATACCTCTATATGCCTCTTTCAGAAATTGTAAAAAGCCGGAGATGATCTGAGGGTATTGCCTTTTATCGCATAAAGGGTCCCCAATGGCGATGAGGTAGTTGTTGTAAACGATGTATCCTTGTGCCGCTCCGGTAGACGGGTGCCGCCATACCTGGTATCGCTTGTCCAACCAAGATGTGTTGGCAGCATCGCCGTAATTTGCAATGAGCTTTTCGAGTGGTTGAAGCTGGGACTTCATATCAATGGGAGCAACTAGTCCCGTTCCTGTCGTCTCAAGCCCATCCCTGTCCCATGGTGGGTTTGTGGTGCTGGCTTCTTCATGCCGGAGTTTCAGTATGGGAGGTTTGGCTGGAAAAGACTTGGGATCTCTGGGGAACAGAGATGCAAGACGTATATTACCAAGGCTCAAAAAGAGATAGGTTAGTCGCTCAAGACCGATGCCACAGCCTGCATGTGGTGGAGCACCCCAGCGGAATCCTTCCAAGTATTCTGTCATGGTATCCGGCCTCAGACCCTTCTGCTTCATCCTCTTTTCCAAGAATTTCGCGTCGTGGATACGTTGACCACCAGTCAAGATCTCCTGCCCTCGCATAAAAATGTCGAACGAGTTGGTGAATCGGTCGTCCGATGGGTCAGGCATGGTGTAGAATGGTCGAACGGAAGCAGGGAATTTATCAAGAATGTAGTAATCGGTGTGGTACTTATCTTTTACCAACTGCCCTAATCGAATCTCTGCTCTGGTTGGGAGATCTTCTGTCTCTTCTACCGATTTCCCACTGTCATCGACCCACCCATCATCTTTGAGCATTTGGACACCCTCCTTGAACGGAATGCGAGGCGTTTCTTCCAACCATTGGACTCTCTCATGAGGATAATATTGCGAGATTATGTCGATTTCTCGCTGATATCGCTGATAAATCCCTTGCCATAAGTTCTTGAACATGTCATCAATAAGGTCCAGAGCCTCGTGGTAATGCTCTTCCAATGCCATTTCTAGATCTAGACCAGTGTATTCGGTCAAATGCCGCGGCGTATTGCTATCTTCGGCACGGAAGACGGCACCTATCTCATAAACCTTCTCAAAATCCGCCGCGATACACATCTGTTTTGAGAGCTGGGGCGATTGGGCGAGAAAAGCCGGACGTCCAAAGTAGTTCACCTCAAAAACAGTGGCCCCTGATTCGGTCGCACCGCCCTGAAGCTTTGGCGTATGGATTTCAATAAACCCTTGCGAATCAAGATACGAGCGAAATATGTTGCAAATACCTGATTGGATGCGGAATATTGACTGCGCTGAGCCGGTTCGAAGATCAACAACTCGGTTGTTCAAGCGGACTCGTTGGGGAAGCGATCGGTTTTGCCTGCTGGCATCGGACCTGCCTGCTTCTGATTAGCGATAGACACTTGAGCCTCGGCGATAGTACATACTGCGACTGACTGGCCTTGCCTTGTCTAAAGAAGCCCTAACAACATCCTGAAACGGACGTGGTGTGCCAATCTTAGATACCTCCTCAGCGGGCAGCAGGCTGTCATCTTCATCCTCAGTGTCCTCCTTCTCGCGATTGATGTTCTCCGCATCATAGACTGTGAATGGGACATTCTCTGTCAAGTTCACTAGCTTGTGGACCTCGTACACATCGAGCTCGTAGTCATGTATTGTCGCATTCTTGACTCGCTGTACTGCCTTTCGTAACTTGGCGCGGACGACCACAATCGTTTCGTTGGGGTAGCGCTCCACACTTCGAACCATCTTCTCAGAAACGGTGCCTTTATCTTCTGAATCTGAACGACAATTAATCAATCAGATATCCAAGGTGCCGTGAGCCAAATTCATACCTTCGTCTTCTCGCGTGGATTTGGTGGTTTCCAACACTCCCTGAATGGTCATAGTCTGCTGGCGGAAAACGATAAATACCAGTTTCGCACTCATTGGGCGGAGGGTATGGATACGGGCACGAAATGTGATGACTTTGCCTTCAGATTCTGCGAGAGAGTCAGAATAGGGGTCGTTATATTATCTGCAAGCTTGCAAATCCACCTACCCCTGAAATCCAATTCCTTGAGGTTGATTCGGTTTTCATGGTTCCATCGCTTGCTCATGTTCATACTATAGGGCCGATACAATTTGGTCAGGTCGGCGGGCCCTTCTTGCAAGAACTTCTCATCCTCTATTTTGGCCAAGCTCTCCCGCTTCTTATTCTCGGCCTTCGCTCGTGACTTGTCTAAACTCCGCTTCTGTCTCTGGGCTAGGATAAACTCCTGGCTCTGGCGCTTATTAGGGGTGGAGGTGCCGCTATTTGAGACCCGATCGATAGCACTGTCAACATTGCCGCTGTCGTTCAACGATATTGAGGATGGGGTAACAATCCTGCTGGACACCGAGTCGTTGGAAGTGTCACTTGAACTAAAACCAGATTTGAACTTCCGCAGAGGCTTCTTGAGGAACGACATGCTGGCGATATCTTGTGAGTTTGAAAGCCCGCCAGATACCTGGCGACGTTGAGCAATTAATAACAAGGCTGGTGTTGCCGTTGCCGTTGCAATGCAGCCAGCTGATTAATGAATGAGCCCTATCAATTGGTCTTGCGACCAGACCAGGGCTAAGGGTAGACGGGAGACCAACTGGCGGTAGCTGATTAATTCTATCTGTCAGGTCGGAACATCCGGGCTGACGGCGAAATGGTTGCTCGTGCTTATTTCCGTTTCCCTGAATTTTGCCCCACGATGTATGTGTATCATAGGTGAGGGCGGGGGGCTCCGGCGCAAACCGGAGGCAAAGCTTACGGAGGTGGTATAATAATAGGATAGATGGGTAGATAGGATTTTAAAGGACCAGCTTCTATAAAGGAAGGATGGGAGGAAGCCGCCGAGTTAAAACACGGGAGTTTTTAGGTGTTATTGGGGTTTAGCTGGTTCAGCTCCATCAGTGATGTCACTGTACTGCAACTTCAACTACGTCGTTGATCATCCCAAGGAATGCGGGTCTCCGGGCCCGGCCGCAACCTTGGCATACGACAGTGCAAAGTGATCTTGCTAATAACCCACCCGGTGTGTTATTAAGGACCACTCCACCTCCAAGTTATGCTGATAATGGCACGCCTGTGATTCTCCGAGGACAAGTACTCTCCGCGCCCTGACTACATCAGAACTTAGAAGCAACTCCTGCTCCGTACGCCACTCATCACACATCACACATCATACCTAGGTATATTATACAACAGACAACACTCGCGAGCTATGCCCCGATTGTTGCTGGGTCTCTTTCTTTTCGTCTATAAGATAGGATAGGATAGGATAGGTAGGGTCTCGGCGCCGCCGGCCGCTGTTACCTTTGCTTTCTACTCTCTATCTCCTTGGGATCATCCGGATCCTCATGTGTTTCTGGTTCCCTCGCCTCGATTCATTTCGCTGGCTGCTCATGGTCAAAGCAGTGATATGGCGGGCCCTCATGGCCGTAGGGATGAAAATTCACAATTTCGCAGACCCCAAACCACCCTCGCCGACTTTCACACTGGTCATCCCTTCGCGACTGAGTCCACGCGGAGGATCCTTCAAATTAGTCTTCTACGTCCCAGACGGATACTTTGATGCTCCTGATGACTATCGATTTCCCGTCGTGGTCAATTATCATGGAGGAGGCTTCACCTTGGGCACCGCCACTGATGACGCGAGGTGGGCGGCTTGTATAGTGAGGCATGTCTATGCCGTATTCGTCTCCGTGGAGTACCGGCTCGCACCTGAATATCCTTTCAGCGTAGGAGTTGAGGATGGCACCGATGCAGTGATATATCTGGCCTCGCATGCCGAAGAGCTACAAATTAATCCGCACCAAATGGCACTATCCGGTTTCTCTGCTGGCGGGAACTTCGCTCTCACTGTGCCCCTTATGCTCCATGATTTGCGGAACCACTCGGGGAGGCGCATGCTAGGAAAGACCAACACTAATCCCACTACAAATCCACTTAACAAGCGGCGGCGCCTAGGGGAAGGAGAGGGAGACACATTGTTACCCATCCCATCTGCACCGGCTTCGCCCCCCACCGCCGCCTTCACGCCATCCTCTTCAACACTCTCCCTCCCCGTTCCTAGCCCAGTATCCAGCCGTTCACCAACAGGTTCGGTCTACAAATTAACGGACCTCCAACCTACCGCCCTCGAAGTGGAGCAAGCGATCCCTGACTTGACGCTCAAAGCACTCGTGTCCTTCTACCCTCCAACAGACTTTCGAATATCGCGCGAGGAGAAGCGTATTACAAATCCTCAGCCCGGAAAGAATCTCCCGCTCATGCTGACGAGCCTCTTTGACGCATCATACATGCACCAAGATGGCGATATTGCTCTTGACGACCCGTACCTGTCCCCCGCCGCGGCATCGGACGCCCTCCTAACAGAGGCATATCCGGATGAGATAATTCTATATACCTGCGAATACGACATGTTAAACGCAGAAGGCACCGCATTTGGCGAGAGGCTAGCCGCGCCGCCGATAGCGAAGACAGTACATGGCGGACTCATCAAATCAGTCGTCCATGGGTTCGACAAGAAACCGAACCCGATCAGCTTCCCAGCGTCGGCAGACCGATGTTATGCGGAAGCCTGCGCAGAATTGAAGAGGATATTTGGCGGACCGACCAGTTTTGAGGAGAGGAGGCAGCTAGAGAAGAGTAAACCGGTTTACAGGTTTTCGGATGAGAATGAAAGGGGAGAGGATGAGCCAGGAGAGGATGGAGATGGACACTTAATTGATAGGAGTGTGAATGCTCCAGGTGAGAGTAGTAGAGCTGGCTTGGGCGCGCTGATATGAGAACTTTTGTGAGCAGATCGGTTACATTCAATGTCCCTAGAGAGTGGTGGTTAGTGGCCCCATGATTAGACGGCGGAGCTCATTATTTGGGAGACGAGGCAACGGTGAATGGTTTTCGGATGAGTTTATGTATTAAATGCTGATTGATGATGCGATATATGGCTTTTGTTCGCATGTGTAGTAACACGATAACTAAAAGTTATTTCTTTTCCCTTGACCTGCTTGCTCGCCCTTGCGATACCTCCATCACCTTGACTAATACTATTCCCGTCCTCGTTACTAACAAATCGAAAACCAGGGAAGCCAGGACCTAGATATAATCCGCGAAAAACATATACCCCCCACCTCATACATTCCCAGTCCGTAAAAATAAGTCTTTCGGGGCGGTAAATGTCACGCATTGGTTAGGGTAAAGACACTCATTAAATGTGTAGAAGCACGCTTCGTAGACTCCACTAGTATCCACTAATACAATCACTAGCGATGTTCAACATAGCTCAAACTAGAATTCATCAAGTCATATCCCATTGTCGCAGAGAGCTAAATTCATACACCTCCCACCCCGTTACACTAATCTGCCTATGTATCCTGCCGAAATGGTCGTGCCTGCGTCCCGGGGCTTTTCACAAGTACCCGTCAGCAAGGCCACCTAGTCCTATGCAATGCCTCATGCGCGGAACTTTGCACCGATTGGGGCCCTGGCGTTCTTATCAGCTTTGGCAGCCTTAGCAGTCTTAGCAGTGCTGGCCGAGTTGGCAGTCTTAGCAGTGTTGGCTGTGTTGGCTGTGTTGGCGCCCGCGGCAGCAGTGGAATTTGATGCTGTGGATGCACCACCAGCACCAGTCATCTGGAAGGCAACCACTCCGCCGAATGGACCGGCGTTGGAAGGGTTGACGATCTTGGCGAGGCAGACGTTATTCTGGCCACCAACAGTGCCCGTGCATGTGGTGCCCGCTGGAATGGTTGCGGCGAACGGAAAGTCCTCGTTGACATTGGAAGCACGCTTCATGATTCCCATCTTAACGAGAGTGCGGGCAATAAGGCTCCGTTGCTTGGGAGCGGCAATGTTGCCCTTCTTGCCAGGGACTTGTTGGGTAACTGTGGCTTCTGTGCCAGATGCGAAGGCGCCAGTTCCAGTCGGGTCAATGACGGCAGTGTATGGGCCAGCGCCATCTGTGGTGACAATGTGGACGGTACCGGAGAGAGATCCGCCAGGGGAAACCTGGGGGAGGGTGTCGCCGGACTGGGCCATTACGGATGTCATATCGGCGAGTGTGTTGGGACCAGCTGAGGTCTTTCCAAGGCCATCAGACGCGGCTTTATTGGACTTGAAGACCGTTGTGTCGACTTCAGTCACCTTATTTTTTCCAGGACCTGGGACAACACCGCCTTGAATACCGAGAGCGGTAGTATTTCCACCGGCATCGCCTGTCTGCAAGCCTATCAGCATCTATCTATTGGCATAGCATCTGAGTAATACTCACCATAACTGCAACTTTGCCATGGGCGGCAACGAGTGGAGATGCTACCAGAGCGGCGAGGATGAACTTGCTGAGCATTTTGACGATGTTGATTTGAAGTCCGAATATATATTGAAATAATACAGATGTAATAAAGATCGTAAGCCGGTTACAGATCAATCCTAAGTAGCTGAAGAAGGGAAAAGAATATAAATTGAACAGAGCTGGGAATGGGGAGATGAGAAGATGAGAAGAGGATCGCTGATAGTTTGAAAGTGGAGAGGGGCATTGGGAGGCTTTAATAGTTTTTCGTTCTAATAGACTTCACGATGGTTCACCCTTCGAGCTAACTCTCAACCGGAAATGCGGCAAAGAGGCGCCTAGAAGATCGTCTGGTTGGTTGTGTTCTGCAACCAACAGCCATGTACAAAACATAATTGAAGCAGATCAAAGCTTAGGGCACTGTTGAAGATGTGGCCGTGAGGCTGTACAAAGTGAGGGTGCACAGCGCCCTTCCCCACAGAGCCGGCCATATTTGGCTAAATATTCTAGGATCTTGCTAGAGTCCATGGCGGCATTTGAACTAGTATTCTGACAGAAACGGCATGTATTATCGAGGTGCAACGAGAGCAGGGTTGGACAGGAACCAGTTTTGAAACAAAATAGCGGAACAGTACCTGAACTCGCACAGGGTAGGGTTGACATGCATAATGCTAGGGGATGATGCGCCAATCAAATATACGCTCGGGTAATTGAAGACGATCAATTATGTTTGAAGAAGATCCTCCACAAATCTCACTAAGCTTTTCGAGCCAGACTTGGCAAATATGAAGCGCTGAACATGCCGTTTTTAGGTCTGTGCATGTTTTCAAGCAGGGTCCAATCAAGTGACCTAGTAGAGATGGATTGAATGATCGTACAACTTTTAGCTGTTTGTAGATTTGTGACGTGAATTGTGCCCACAAGTGCTAAACTTTTACGTTTAAAGAAGCAGTTGAGGGGTTGTAGCTTTCATTTGCGTTTTGCCAATAGACCAATTTCCTATTCAAAAGGCATGGAATATAAATAAATAGGCTCGATACAAGACTGAGAAGCCCTTTTGCTGCTTATATTTTTTTGACTAGCGACAATACGAAGTAGAACTCCACTCGGCGTTTCGAGCGTTTCACGAGAATAAGCTTTGCCTATATGTCGCCAACAGGTCTTGCCCGGCTGGGCCACTTGGCGGGCTGCCGCTTGGGTCTTGTTTCGGGTAATAGAGCGCTAGAAATGCGATTTGATGGCAGGGTTTCGCAGATCATACACATGTATGATACCAGGAGCCCTAATATCAATTGCCGGGCCCTGCTTTCGGCCAACGACATGGCAAGAGACAAAGTAAGTTCGACTTGTTTTGTTTTTCCGGGGTGTACCGAGTAGCGCCTCTAACGGCGTTTCCGGCTGGGTCGCCTTTGACCGAGTTCGGTCGGATCCTTCGTAGTGATTTAACATGTCTCGGCCATCATATGATCCGGAGGCCGTGAAGGCTGCCTCGCTGAGAATGACTTGATTTTCTTTTGCATCGATGCCGCTGGAAGTGAGCAGAGGTAAGATATGGGTGTCGGAATGGTCATGAAATGGACGAGGTGCTCCGTTACGAGTTGCTCGGAACAGAAGCGGTTTCAAAAGCGAACTCGGCTAGTCGAAGGTCACGTGCATATATACTTGGGCAACGACCCCTTATTCATATTCACAGAAACAATCCAAATGTATCTTACCGACCGAGGAAGCTTGAGATTTCTTGGCAAACTATCAACCATCTGCTTAGCTAGCTAAGTACCGGCAATGGTTCGCATATAATGATCAAATCAAAGGTGTTCCATCGACTATAAACAGGAGCCTAATCCAGTCTCTCACTTCGGTTATTAGACTTCCATTACCTGGATCGATGGCAACATATATCAGCCCACAGACCCTCCATACCTAAGCCTTGTATAACCTGAGTTATCGAGCAGATGAAAGGCTCATGTGCCATGTGCCAGCTGCCCTATCCGTCTGCGTCCTCCTGAGTTTTAGGTAGGTTTCTTGACATTTTGCAAGGAAAGCCGTAGAGTTCGTAAGCTCCCACTTTGATTTCGCTAATTTAGTCGTTAGAAACTCTAACCGATCCTCTTTCACAAGCCCTTTCGCTAGCAACTCCCCCACACTGCCGATAATAACTCGAGAGCTAACGATCCGGTGTAGGGCGGTTTCCTCATTCATGGCAATGCTCTCGTCGAGGGATAACAGCGAACAGCTAAGGCAGATTTTCAAGATTCCATTTGGCGGAGTCCCGATAAATGCTTCGACCGGTGCAATAATATGACCGCAGCCAAATCTTAGGTCGCTTCGGCACAAGGGGCAAGTCGATTTGGTCTGTAGCCACTCCATAGTGCAGGATTCTCCGAAATAGTGGCCACAAGGCATCACAACTGGCGATTCTGAGCTGCCATCGTCGTTTAGTGAGAAATACGGCGACAGACAGATGGTGCAGGTGACTCGGGAATCGTAGTGACGGGCCGACGGGTCGATTGTGGAAAGAATTGTTCGATGCTCCTTGGTTCCATGCTTGAGAATGCTTTCGAACAGATCGGGTGGTGTGACAGTGCTACCAGCTGGCAAGCCTTGTTCAGCCATATCGACCGTGAATTTGAATGATATAAAGGCTAAGGATCGAGAGAATCTAGCAAAGCGCCATAATCAGCACCAGTATGGAACAAATAGAGTTCAAGAGCTCGATCTAGGGTAACTTACATCGTTACGAACGGAAGTCGCGACGGTGTGACAACGTAGCGTAGGGGTTGGGCTATAGCGAGGTATTGATCGTGAGATTTTGTTCGAGATTCTACACAAAGGCCTTATTAGGGCAAGTCGAAGAGCTCCTCTGAGCAAGGAAGCTTAGTTGTGTACCATTGTTGTCAAGGTCGCGTGCATGCTTTGTGCGGGAAAAGCGTGTTCGGATCCATCAGTCTATGTATTCCAACTCTAGCCAGGGTAGATAAGGATATCATTCTGGCTTCGAGGTCACGGGCGATATGGCCGATTAGAGAACAACACCAAGTTGAATCGCGAGACTTCCATCGTGAGACTAGCATCAGCACAGGTTCTGCTTAATCCATATTGCACAACATTGCACAAAATGCCCAAAATGGGATCCGCAAACAAAGGTAGGATCCAGTTAGAGGATCTTGGCCGCCAGCTAACCCGCTCTCCGAGGCAGATTTGAACGGTTTTGATCCCCCTCGGAGGAGCAGTCCAACGAGATGCATCCTTCTGAAGCACCGACCCAAACATGCCTCATTTCCAAGACCACAGAAGGCTTGAAGTGTGTCAACTGCAAAGTTGCCGAACATGAAAGACACTTCGACCTTCAACAATTTCTGTTAAAACTAGCCACATTCAAGTACTTGCATAAGCTGACGTCCGCCAGAATCGACCAGGTACTCACCCTTATAAGGGACATAGAGATAGGGCTATGGTCGCTCCAGGAGCTACTTGTCTTTATTCAAAAAGATGCAGAAGAGATAGTTAGGCGTACGGCAGCTACTGGACATACCAATTCTTCGTTTCCAGCAGTACGAATTCAATCTCCCTAGACATTCAATCTCGACGATCCATATGGTTCCAGCCAACAAAATGGATGGCAAAGATGTAACGGTCATTCTCCTTATATGTGTGGCGGGCGAGACACGGGATCAGACCCAGGTCGAAGATGGATGAGATAGAAGGAAATAAGGTATCAGAAGCAGACAGAGAGTATTCGAAAAGGGTGAGTGATGCAGCTCTCCACTGTCTGGTGTTAACAAATGGTGAGGCTAATCTGTTAGAGATGTCAAACCAATCGCCTGAACTGCAGGACGTGGAAAACATGACAATAACAGCTTTTTGGGGATGAAGCGCTCCTGATCTGCAAATCCAAGCTTCGAATTCAACAAGATCAACGTAGACACATAGTAGCATCCTCTCCAAAACATCGTGAGACAGAACCTTCCTCCCGAATGATATCTCCAATCCACAACCGACCAGATTCAACTGAGCGGGCTCCAAATTTTATAATAGTACAGCCGCGGACTTTTGCAGCTGACCATAGCACTCCATCAGAAACTTCTTGCTGGAGCCTATCTCTCCTCCAAACCTCTTGAGAGGATAAAACAAGCGTATTATCCTTGTCTTTCATATCCTGGGATCGGAAATCCCGACCACCAATTCGAGGCAAGGCCGAGAATTCTTTCAAGAAGAACGCGGCTAGGGGTTCCAGAAGTGGTCCCTTGAGCACCAGTGTACCAAATATCTGCAAGCCATGCATCTCTCTCTTCAGTGTCTTTTCTTGCCCATTCACGGATTTTGCACCCAATACCACTTTATCTCGCACCAAAAGCCTTGACTTTTTGCCTAGCTGTGATGATGACCACACCTCGTTGCGTCCACTCCAGCTCCAAAGATCCCAGCTTTCCCCCCTGGCAGTTCGTCCCTCAGACACCCAGTCTAGTAGACAGAGAGATCCACTCTCAGCCACGACGAACACTTGCGACTGCTCATAGATACTGCTTCCGAAAGGCTGTACCGGATCGGGAAGTAGACACAAAGCCGCCTCTTCAGCAATTGACACGTGAAGCTTTTGTCGGGTGATGACCTCTGGAGATGGGCATTTGAAGATTTTTGTATGGCCTTGCGTGACTATACTCAATTTTGCAGATTTTTTAACGATGATGGTCAGATGAATTTGGTCCCCTGCAACCAAACCCCCACCGTAGGATAGCAGGAACACAAGAACGCTTTTCTGATTGGGAGATATCGATGGGGAGATAAGTTTCAGAGGATACTGGAAAGCTACGGTTGATAGAGTGGAGGTCTTTTGTGGCGATAGTTCCGCAACCAAGCGGCCTTCCCCTGCTTCGGAGGTGGATGGGGGGAATGGGGATACCATCGGCCAGGTCCGGTATGGCAACAACGATAGGAGGTCGTTCTAGCTGAAGCTCGAGGGATTGGAGACAGTTTAGGGGCTAAAAAGCATTCCTAAGGCTGGATACCGATTGTCGGGCTGTGCAGAGCACCTGGTGCATGAGGATCTTTGTGATGAGAAGCAGCAGACAGGACGGTGTGTTTATTTGTGTTGTTCAGATCGGAGTCAAAGAAGGTTGAGGTAATGCCAACGGACGGCATTACATTTCTCCGAAGTGATATCGATAAGGTCACGTTACTATAATTCATTCCATAATGTGATCTATCAATTGCAAACAAACCAACCGCCGGCCAACATTTCTTACTTCGTAGGAAGAACACAAGGCCAAATAAGGAGGACGAGGGAGGACAAAAGGGAGAGGGGAAGGAACGCGAGGTCACAAGGTGAAAGGGCAACGAGAGGGAAAGGAGGGCAGTCGTGCATGGTTGTTACCTAGATGAACTCCTACCAGACACCAGCTGTATCTACCTAATAATAAAGTAGTGGAATACCTGCCTACTAGGTACGTATATAGGATATACGTAGTACGATTACGGAGTAGTAAGTCGACTGGCGGGGAAGCCCCTATTGACAAGCGAGAGGCAACTTTGGCTCTTGGGGCCTCAGGCTTCGATACTCGACGTAAGCCTACCGTACTCGCCTATTACGCTTGCTATCTATCGCGACTTGCCCTCCTCGCGACTCTCTCTATCAACAGTGTCAACACGCGCCGCGACGCCGAAACCCAACCCTCGGTGATCCTCCACCGAACAACCCAATTTACCACTTCTAATGCATCAATGACTACGCGCAGACCGCCGCTAATGGACATTTCCAACAACGACGTTGCAAGCTCTCCCGCCGAAACTGGCGGCCGGCGCAAATCTGGACGCGCCGTGAGAGCTCCCGAGAAGTTCGTACCTAATGCGCCTTCACAAGTTGGACGCGCAAAGCGCAAGAGAGGAGGAGACGATGTCGAGAACGATGCGTCGGATATTGAAGACGAAGAAGATACCAGCAGCGATGATACTGTCGAGAGTTCCGGAGAGGAGGAGGTGAGGGAAGTTCGGAGAAAGGCAAAGCAGAGCAGGACAACAAAAAAGCCGGCAGCGAAAAAGCCAAAAGTTAATGGGACGGTTGAGCATGAAGCGGCACCTATTGTGAAGCTACCAAATCGACCGAAGAAGGCCAAGAAGGTGTTGATTACGGACGACGATGCAGAAGGACTCTATGGTGAGCGCATACCCGCACAGCCCAGAGCGGGAAATGCTAACTAGTTACTATAGTCGAAGTCTTTGCCAGCGGAGATTCTCTTGAGGATGTTTCCTTGACTTGGCTGAATAGATACCAGACCAACAAGGTAGCTACACTAACTGAGCTAATTAATTTCGTGTTGAAATGCACTGGTTGCAATGTACCGATCACAGAAGACGACATTGAGGACCCAGATAATGTTGAAGGAAGACTCGCCGATGTACAACAAGAATATCAAGCGGTAAATGAAACCTGCCAACTGGGCTAAAATATATACTGATGGCTCCCAGCAAAATATCACCGACTATCCATTGATATCCAAAGGCAAATACACACACACCTTTCGCACATCTCTTACGGGATTTTTTGAGGAGCTGATAAAGGCAATGCACGAGTCTGGCGTCCTCTATGAGGAGCCTACCCTTATAGAGATGATTCATCTTTGGCTTGCCAGCATGTCTTCCTCTACTTCTCGCCCGTTTCGTCATACCTCTACACTGGCAGCATTGACTGTAGCCAGCGCACTGTGTGCTGTCGCAAGTAAAGAAATTGAACATGCCGCAAATACCCTACGTCAGCTCGAAGGCGAGCAGAAAAAGAAAGGCGCAAACAAAGCTCGGCTTGCAGACTTCCAAAATAAAGTTGCAATTAATGAGCAGCATAAGGAATTCGTCGAGAACTTGATCAAGGATTATTTCGATACTGTATATGTACATCGATACCGGGATGTTGACCCCAAAATTCGAACAGAATGCGTCGAGGCCCTTGGAAACTGGATACTGACGCTGCCGAGCTTCTTCTTAGAAGGACAATACCTACGTTATATGGGTTGGATGCTCTCCGATACGCATGCAGCTATGCGTCACGAAGTCCTCAAACAACTCGAGAAGATCATGAAAGACCCAAACAGTATTGGGGGGATGCATCACTTTATTGAACGGTTCCGGCCGCGCATGGTCGAAATGGCATCCCGCGACTCCGAGCCTTCAGTTCGAGCAGCGGCAGTGGCTCTGTTAGATCTCATACGGGAAGCAGGAATGCTGGAACCTGATGATATTGACGTGATCGGCAAGCTCATATTCGACTCGGAACCAAAAGTCCGCAAAGCCCTCGTTGGATTCTTCGCTGAGAATATCAATGACTTGTATGAGTCGAAGGTGGACGAACTGGGTGCTGAAGAAGTCATTGAAGAATACTTGACAGTAGAGGATGAGGATAATTTTGATACACCTCGTGAAGATTGGATTCGTCTCAAGTGCCTTTCAGAAATTCTGCTTAGCTATGATGATCAGGATCAGGAAGATATGCCCAGCCAAATTGACGCAGCCGGATTCTTGAACGTTTCGGGTTCAGAATCCAGATTTACTCTAGCTGCGCAAGCACTTCACGACAAAGTCCCACTTCTCAGAGAATGGGAGGTGCTTGCTGGGTATTTGCTTTTCGACCACTCTTCAAAGTCGAGTGCGGATGAAACCGAGCGTGCACTGAAGGACTCATTCAAACCAAATGAAAAGGAGGAACTAGTTCTACTGGAAATTCTGAACGCCATTGTCAAATTAAGTCTTACGCAAACGGACGACTCTGATAGAAACCGGGACAAGGGTAAAAAGAAGCATGCCAGAATGGAGACCTCGGAAGCTAGAGAGACTACCGCGCGTCGATTGGCAGAGGTGATACCAAGACTGCTCAAGAAATTTGGAGCAGACCCAAAGACAGCAACAGCTGTGTTGCGGCTAGAGCACGTCCTAAATCTCGGCGTTTTCCAGGATTTGCGTCAGGGCTCTACGGCCTATGCAACACTTCTAGATGAGATCAGCAGACAATTCAGTGGCCACGCGGATAAAGCTGTCCTCAGTGAAGCAGGAGCCGCATTGCTTCATGCCCGTAGCTTCGAGGAATTAGAGGAAGTTACTGAGTCAAGGATTCAAGCTCTCTGGGAGAACACGATAAATATGCTTCGGAAGATCGCCAAAACTGGAGAAGTTTCTATTCGAGGTGGTCTCCGGCCTAAGATTCTGACAGACCACTCACATAATCTTGCAAGACTAAAGCAGCTGTCAAGCATATCCAGCTGTGTGGAGCCTTTAGAAATAGCGTCTCGCGGGTCTGACCCTCTTCCGATCCAAACCCTCCTGGATATTGTTGCAAGGGGTACTTTTGAGGAAGGCGCTGACGAAAATCTTGATGCTTTGGAAGATGAAGTTGTAATATCCGCCATACATTCGTCATTATTCTATTTTATGTGGAAAATTCGGGCCGTAATGGAATGTGTCTCATCTCAGGAGGAAATCAATGAACTAGAGGTCGACAACATTAAGGAACGGCAGAGTACGTTCACCACCAACCTGATCGCGTCGTTTTCTTCCCGCTCGACGCTCGACCCTGTGCGCCTTCTTGGTGCGGAGGCTCTTCTCGACACCTATGTCCTCTTTGCCACCTTGAAACCTATGACCTCGAATCAGGGAAGCGCGTACCTCCAAACACTCGCCAACGAGATTGCTCCTGAAGTCCAGCAAGAACTGACATCGATATTTGATGGCCTAGAGAAACAGTACGCCAAGCGGTCCAAAAAGAAACTTGCAGAACCTACTGAGGATGAGGAGCCAGAGGACCTAGACTCGGAACCAGAAGATGAAGATAACGAAGACGCAACAGATAATGAGCGGCAGAGTGATGCACTCAAAGCTGAAAAGCAACTCTGTGATTTCACTGGCAAACTTATACTTGCCATTCTTGCCGGGGTAATTGATATGTCTGGTCCTTTCAAGGGGAAACTTCGCTCACGCATCTTGAGAAATCGTCTAAAGCTTGGCCCAAATTTCAGAGAAGTTTTGGCATGTTTAGATGATCAGAAACTAAAGGGCAAGAAGAGCCATAAGAGTAAGGCCGAGCAAGCTGCTGTTGCTGCCAAGAAACCGGAGAAGAGCGCGGAACGTGTTGTGGAGGATGACGAGGATGAAGACGATCCCTTTTCCGATGTTGAGCCTGAGGAGGGTACGGCAGAAGACCTAAGGAGAAGGGAGCTCTTGGACGACGAACCTCCAGATAGCGGTGAAGAGAATGAGGATGCAGTAGCGGAGCCCGAAGAAGACGACGATATCATGGGCGAATGAAGGGATGGACCACGGCGGAGTGGAGGTTTGGCTTTTTGTAGGAATATTTGCGGATCTGGATACCAGGGTTGGCCATCTTGCCTCAGCATTTGGCGCAGGCAATTTCGTATCTTGTCCTGTGGCACACTTCGCTTCCTGTGGCAGAGGGCTGTTGTCTCCCAGATAGACACTACTTGTAGGGTATTTGCTTTGTTTTATTTAGCATCCGGAAGATATGAATGAGTTATGATATTACACACTCTCTAGGCCTTGACTTGCAATCGGCTTGACTGCAGTGTGATACTTCTAAATAGGTACGTGGTCGCTTTGAGGGATAAAACAAGACCATCCACCCAATGCATCTAGTGCCGATCGAATTGGGGGACAAACAGTGGCACAGGAGCCCGGATCGGATCACGCTAAATGCCGGGTTCCATCCCGGAAACGGACTCTTCACAAGGCCGAAGCCTCTCCTACAGCTCAGGTCTGTAAGCTTAGGTTTGATGAGCTTAGATTTTAATCAGCTTAGATTTGATGCTTAGAAACCACCTCGATTCAGAGCCCTCTTGAGGCAGTTGGGATTGACATAATTTGTAAAGGTTTAGTAAGCCCTCGGGTACGCTGGCACAGTAGCATTCCTGTTGCAGTACTTTCACCTGTGCTGATATTGTGGGGCACTCAACCACCCCTCAACATACCCAATTTGAACTACTCAAAACAATAATCGTGGTATACAGGCTACGAAACACCTACCGGACAACTGACAGAGTCTACGTTGACTGACTAATATTATTACTTGCAGTCTGGATTCGCCCTATCCCAAGTTTATGGCCACGTAACCAATTCGTGAGCGTCAGGCCGCCTGGAGCAAACAAGCAACATTTAGTGGGAAATTGTCTGGCTTAATCCGCGAGGCTGGGCTATGAGTGGTTCGCTGCTCTTCTTGGCCTATATTATTCGTATGCCGAATACTATTTTGGGTTATTCAAACTTTAATGCCACTGCTTTCGGCTTGCACGGTTATGTACCGAGGTAGGTGCCAATTGTCAGACGGTGTAATAGATGGAGAATTCTAGAAAGCCTCCAAGACCAGACACCCAGAGATAAAGTATAAGAAAACGAGCCTCCCATCAATTTCCGTTCCACTTTTCCAACCCATCCTCCCTTAACATCGAAATCACAATCTAGTCGGCACTCTTTTGAAGGCATCTTGGCAAGCTCGTCCCACCAGTGGGCCACTTTTGCTATTATAACCCCACTACTCGGTACCCCAACTGCAAACATTCGAACATCGCACCACTTCAAACAACAATAGCTACAACAACCCCACAATTCCACTCAACTCGCAATCATGGTCATTAAAGTCCACAGCGCAGGAGCCTCTACCTGTGGCCAACGCGTACTCACTACCCTCCACGAAAAGGGAGTTCCCTTCGAATTGGTACCTGTCGACTTCAGCTCTGGAGCGCACAAGAAGCCACCCCACATCAACCTCCAGCCTTTCGGCAAAGTCCCCGTTCTCGAGGATGACGGTTTCTTCGTATACGAGAGCCGTGCTATTTGCAAGTACATTGCGAAGAAGTATGCTGGACAGGGCACCAAGTTGATTCCTGAGGATGGTGACTTGAAGGGCTATGCTTTGTTTGAGCAGGTGTGTTTCACTTTCTACCCGGGTGGGCCGGGACATCACTAATGTGGATACAGGCCTGTTCAATTGAACAATGTTACTTCACCCCTCCTGCCGAGGCGATCGCGTTTGAGAAGGTCTTCAAGACGTAAGGCTCCTGTATCCATTTTGACTATGTATCTATATCATGCTGACGGACGCAGTTATTACCCTGGCCTTGGTCCCACGGACGAAGCCGAGGTCCAAAAGCGTGCCGCTGAACTCGAGAAAAATATGGCCGTGTATGAGACCATTCTTTCAAAACAGTCCTATCTCTCGGGAGAAGAGCTGTCTTTGGCGGATTTGTTCGTTTTGCCTTACGTTAAGATTCTCAAATCAGTCGGCTTCAAGGAGATTTTTGATAAGTTTCCTCATGTTGCCAAGTGGCTTGAGGGACTTGAAGCAAGAGACAGCTGGGTTAAGGTTATTTCTTGATTGAATCACTGGATCAACCTCAAACCATACCAAAACATCATAAATGGCGCTTAGAACGAATGGATGATATCACCATATGACCCCCTTCTTGTGCATTTACAAACAAGGATGGTGATTATATATCTCTAATAACTGATAGTGTTATTGCCTGCCGTCTGTAAATGCACCAAGGTAGCCCACTAGTGGTGCACACCCTGCTTGTTATACTTATTTCTGCCTTCTTCTCAATAGCATACATCCATTCCCAGATATACTTTCTCTGAGCTTCTAGAATGAATTTCTCCGCCTCTGCTTAAGAAAGCGTTTGTGTGGTTTGCGAATTCGTCGGGAGTCTGCGTGGCTGACCAGAAACAATATCTGGAAGCCTTTGACAAACTAGTAGGAAGAAGCCTGTGGGTTGTTGTGCTCTGGGTTTGAGCTCAGACTGTATGCCGGTCGGAAACATTTAATTTTTTGAATTACGTGTTTTACTTTATCTCAGGGTCGATGTGGAGTCTGTTCAGGTTTTGTCTTTTGCCATGCATATCCCACCACAAGTCGACACACATATGCAGAACTTCAATGAAAGGGCCTAGATGAAGGGAGTAAACCATCACAGCTTCTCTCTAGAAGGTTCTAGGCACCAATCTAGAACACTTGAATGAGGTCTCATTCTATCTCATGCCTTCTTGCACTATTCCATGCTCGTTGTCGTCTACATACAAGAACGGTCTATATAAACCCTCCATCTCATTCCTCATCCCCAAATATTCTCTTCGATTTACAAGCCCATATCTTCTCCCCTTAAACGATACCCCACAATACACTAGTGCAACCGCCAAAGTATCAATTCATCAGAGCATGTCAACCAGTAGTGGAAATATGGATCAGCCTAACTCCATCACGGGACCTCGCACCCCAAGTCACCAGTTGCCATCCTCGCATCGTATTCAAAGACCGGTACAACATGATACGCTTTATCGCCCAACGGGCGGGCGGTTCTCCAGCTTCATCGATGCGATCAAGCGCCTGGCAGATGTCGTGCATATGATGGATCAATATATCTTACCCAAGGAGGAAATTTCCGCTCCTGGGCAGGAAGTATCTATTTACACAGAGAAAATAAACGTACTCAACCAGATCACGGCAAATCTTTACTCCGCCATTGATAGCTTGAACCAGGAGAAAGATGCACTGAACGAAATCATTCGTGAGCCTCACAGAGACCAGGCTCAAGAATTCCAGACATCTCAGGCACAGGAGCCGCGAGGAGACCAACCTCATGAGTTGCAGGCAGCCCAGGTTCAGGAGCTGGAGGGAAAGCAAATTCAAAAACTCCGGCAGACGGGGAAGACGTGATTCTGAGCACTGGAGGAGGTCATCGGCGCGGATGGAGGCCAGTGAACCTGTCCGACAGCGCCGGGGTGCAATGACGGGTGCAGATTACTCGGGATCGGAGGACTCCGGGGTGGTGGCTGTCGGATTAGGGAAAGAAAGGCGGTGGAAAAATCGAGTGGGGATTGCAAGGGATACTCGGTTGAGATATGGATGTTTGGCTAAGAAGCTGACTACGAAGGTGGTTAAGAAAGAGGTTATAGGGATAGCTCAGTAGAGGTATTTGTTTTGTGTGTCGAACCATGGATTTCTTATGCTTTGTATTGCGGGGAGAATGTCGGTATGGCGCATTCTTGGGCGACTTTGGTGCAAAACTCCTTTCGCCCGTATTATAAGGCCCAACGGCTATTACCTAGGTAGATGTAAATCTGATATTGTATAAATATCTCACTAGAATTGAGGTATTCAAGTTGTCTGAATATCTCACTAGAATTGAGATATTTATACTATCTAGATTAGTGTATAGAAATAGTGTAGAAGCTCGATACGGAGATATTTCCCTTTTCGCGTTCACTCTCACTTTCAAGAATACAAAAGCCTTCAACTTTCTCCCATCCCCGACTTCCTCCACAACCACCAACCTTCATCGCGTTTTCCTTTTCGCGTTCACCCTCACCTTCAAGGATATAAAGCCTTCAGCTTTCTCCTACTTACTTCTCCCCGACTTCCTCCACAACTACCAACCCTTATCGCGTCCACTCTCACCGCAATAGACGAAACTAAGAAGCTCGGAGCACCCACCCCTATATTATCAGGATCAGACGGCGTCTGTAAGCTAGCAGCATCCAAGTTCCCTCGTACTAAGAAAAGGTAGGAGGCCTATATAGCGATCCCCTGTACTAAGGAAGAATAGGAAGAATATACGTCTTTGTTTCGTGATATCTATACTGAAGGAAAGACTTGGAATAAGAGTTTGGCGAAGCTTGAGTATTTTGCTCTAAACGATCAGTAGGTAAGGTCCTTAATATCTATTAGATCTTGGCTTATATATATTTATAAGTATATATAATTAGTAGTAATAGTAATTCGGATTCGGAATATAAATAGAGCAGGGAGAAAAAGGAAATAGTACCGGAAAAGGATATAAGCGAAGCAGTATACGAAGGACCCGAAGAGGACGAGACTACCTAGGAGAAGTACGATATCTAGAGATACGACTTCGGTATTCCGCCTACTATTAATATAGAGGTTTGGGATTCGGCCGAAGATATATCTAACTATAACGACGACGATTACAAGCAATATTCGGAGGTATCTGAATCTCCTGCTAATAATTCCGACAACGATAAGATACACCTCGGCCTTTCCGAATTTTCTTCTTCTTCTAGTAACGAGGAAAGCGAGGATAGCGATGAGGAGACAGGTTTGGATATATCTGCTCTTAGCTACTCTAATTCTGAGGGAACTGGAGATAACGATAATAATAACGATAAAAATAACGATGAGGATATTAAGATAGACGACGAGGATATTGAAATAGATAACGTCGTTGAATAATAAATAGTCGGATACTATATTCTAATAATATATATAGTTTTACTATAAAATAACTGTCCAACTTATAATTGTAATTCGAGTACGGTGTTTATTTCTACTCGTAGGCGTAAAGGAAGGAGAGGATATAGTACCACGCCTATTCAGCACCCTCCAAAATCGGTAATAGGTATAGGTGCCTAGTATTTCTCGTGAAAGGAGTTTTACACCAAATTCACCAAAGAATGTACTATATATCGGAACTATATCAGAATAAATCCCTTAATAACTCTAGCTATTTGCGTAGATTTACTACGTGAAGATCCACCGAATAAGTAATCTGCTCAGTTTATGCGGGTTTATGGCCATGGTTCTTGGGGAAGTTGTTCCGTGGTATCTTGGGAGTACACAGAGCAAGTCTCCTTTCATAACAATTTGAAGGACTTATATTTTGCTGAGTTCAATTAGTTTGCCAGCAAGTACAAACAATAAAGGATTTTGGATAAGTCAAATAGAAATTAGAACAGACTTAAGGTAAGGTTCGCGGATATTTAATATATTTACTCCGCTACTCTCGCAGTACTCAGCTGCTTAAAGATCGAGTTAAGCTGAGTAAACTAGACGGTCCCACTGCTGAGTTGAGTATAATATAACCCACTTGTCAACTTATTACCATGAGTTAAACACACAGAGTAAAAAGGAATTCCGAAAAAATGTAGAATGCTCTGCTAAGCTACCTTGGTGGACGTTGATGGTGTACTTTATGGGAAATTTCATATTGATAGTTAAGCTCGTTGAAACATCAACGCCTAGACAATGGTATATCGTAATGGGATCTACAATATCGTTGGTCTATTAGAGAACCTGGCCCATAACCCGGTTTCCGTTGCTATTGCCGCCGTCCAACACGTTTAACAGAGGGTCTCGACCTCGCTCTTCGTCGGATCCAGAGAAATATCGTCTTCTTTCCTTCAGTGGTTATGCTTTCCATTGTCTTTATCATTCCTGTTCTTCTGTCCATACGTCGCTTCCTCCCTTGCTGGATCCCTACTGCGAACTGCCACTGGCGATATCGGTTCCTATTCATAGTCCCAGTCCAGAAAGCTACTTCTCCAGACACTGTTTGGTATCTAATCCTATCGGGAAGGAAAATACCCCATCTCTCAATGATCCTCGGCAAGTTACGGGCCTGCCAATCCACATTGCCTCTTAAAGATTTGTTCCCCGAGTTAAGGAGACGCCTCACCCACGTCTTAATATACTGCCGATTCCGCCGGACTCGTAAATGCATCAAGGCTATATCGCGGGCTAATTGATCCGATTCGGGGTTGTTGCGCGCGGCGGATGTGGAATTGGAGCGGTCCAGCAGGCCAGAGAGTCTCCTTACAGCCGCCTTGTGGTGGACCCGAGCTAGTTCCATGAGAGTTTGTGCGTGGCCGAAACACTGTCTAGAAAGCAGGTTCGAGATGATAAGGTCGAACATTTCCATATCAGGGCGTACGCTGTAGGGCTTAGATGTCACTGTTACCCAAACATTGAGGACGGCTTCTGGGGGAAGTTGCCCTGTAGCAAAACTGTCATCGATGGTGCCGTCTTCCAAACGTTCTGGCGTACGTCTCTTCGAGAGAACATAGGTCCAATTTAAAAGTTCCTTCCAGACATGCTTCTCGATAGGCACAGAATACCGCCTAGAAACATAGTCGACGAGTCGTAACGCAGTTGGAATGGCGTTGTTGATACCATAGGCATGGGCGAGTGTGTGGAGTAGACGGTTAGAAGGGTAAAATGGAGAGTCCACACCATAGCTCTTCGCTGGGGGGTCAAAGTTGCTCGATCTCATGAGATCAACAACATTAAACCCCCAAACGCGACTGAGAATAGATTCAATACCGGCAAGATCGCCTTCACGACCAAATGCAATTATCATATGACAAAACGTCTCTTCATTACCAGCAATTCCTGCTTGAATCATAGTCCAAAATATATCAGAGACTTCGGCTTTAATGCCATTTGAGCCGACTCGATATCCTTGAAGCCTCAGAGGTGGGGAAGGCGTTGCACGCAGGGTAAAATTGTAAGGGATCACTCTGAAGCTGTGTCTCATGAGGGGGTGATATGTGCCCAACCAGCACTTAACTCCGAGATAGTAGTTGTAACACATCAGATCTGGCTCCAGGTGGCCTCCATATTTCGAGGTAAGAGATTCCCATATCTCCTTCGCAAGGGTGCTATTTCCAGTGGCCATAGCGCACTTAAGAAGATATCTGAGGTCTGCTTGGCAGAGGGGCGCTGCACGACGACGAGCAGCCAGGATGGCCCTGATTCGGGAGAGGAAAATGTCACAAAATTTGTAATAATTACTTGAATCAGCGCGAGGAAGACGCATGGTTTTGGCAGTATGCGGACTGATCTCCATGTGCAACCTTTGGGCTTTGCCAACAAAGTGCACCGGGTCTAGGCAACGCAAGATCTCCGAGAAAGTGGTGGCGGGAATTGTTCCAAGGATCTCGCCAACACCGTCTGCCCCATTACTTGTTGTAAATTGTATCAGGGCCCAAACCACAGAATGCGGATCACCTGTACGTAGCGCATGGAACACGGCAGACCGGCTATCTGCGTAGGAGGCATCTACCAACTCCCTTGTGGGCGTCTCCAGAAAGTCTTCACGTAACCCAGGGTCGGCTCTCTGGACCCCATAGCGCTTTTCCTTCCGATGCGACGAATAGCGATTCCTTAAGTCTAACTTCGTCGGTAAGGCCGAGTTTCGATCGATTACGGGCTTGAATAGTCGAAACTGGTAGGCTGGGTTGGCAAGTTTCGCAGGGGAGTTGTAGTTAAGAGCATTAGACAGGTCGGCATCAGGCTCGCACTCAACAGGTTGTCTCTCAAGACATTCTTGCTCTGCAAGCGCTGCAGATGATCGGCGGCGGTGGTTGTTGTGGAAGCATCGTCGAAGTCGCAATGATTGCACACAGCCGCGTGTGCCTCTGGGACAGGAGTATGAGGCGATTCGAGACTCAATTGCCTCAGCTAGGAAGAGAAGACTACCCATTTCATTACATGGTCATGTCGTTATAGGATAGCCCATGATCATCTGAGGCGACTGCGATGTAGATATAGATGTGGGAGTAGGAAACGAGGGGAGCTGTGGACCGCGGAGCGTGTGGAGATGGTCCAGCTTGGCTCTGGGGAGATTTCCTGGGGAAGAAATGGCGGGAGCGGAGCGGAGCGGAATTTCCTCCCTTCCGCCTGTGTTGCAAATCCCTGCAGCTCGACGAAGTCGAAATCGAAATCAATTCGTTGTCGCGAGAGCATCATAAACGCAGCTGGGGCCAACAACGTCGCTCTTTTACCAACGCCCACGCATATCAGCATCAGCAGCGCTATGGCGGATGTCGAAGATGGAGCTGCCGCTCCCGTATCAGAGCCTCTTGATCTCGTTCGGCTCTGCCTCGATGAAGTCGTGTTTGTGAAGCTACGAGGCGACCGGGAACTGAAGGGCAGGTTACATGTCCGTCCTCTTCGCTATTGATGCGATGCTTCGTACATTGGGCTATGCTAATGGATCTACAGGCCTATGATAGCCATTGCAATCTAGTTCTTGGAGATGTTCAAGAGACAGTTTATGTGGTCGAGGAGGATGATGATGGGGATGAGACAGTGAAGGTAAGTTGGGCCTCAGATCAAAGCGCTGCTGCCCTGCGACGTCCAAATGGTTGCTAAGATATAGAAGACTATACAGAAAAAGTCCGAGATGTTGTTTGTTCGAGGTAAGCCTGCCCGCCTTCTCGATCTACTGTTTGGTATTATATCGGCTGACCATCCAAAGGCGACAGTGTTGTCCTCATATCTCCTCAAGGGCTTTCTTGAATTCGAAATGAATCGCGCTATCCGAACACTTTGCAATGGCGATTATATATTGGAGTTACTGAGGCAGGCCAGCGCTGTGAAAGCGGAATACAAGGACCTTCTTGAAGATGGAGGCTATCGACACGGCCTCCTCCGTAAAAGGGAACAACTCGACTTAGCAAAAGATCCAGACCCAGATCCAACAACCAATAATGCGACTAATTTACAAGGCAGACTTGAAACCATGGCAGTGAGTGATATGATGCGTAGAGTCAGCCCAGAGCTCCCTCTGAGTCGAAATATGCTGGTTGGTGATTCACAATGGTCCGGCCCCTCATGACGCTTATCGACGATAGAGCTCCATTCCTAGACCGGAGGAGTCATCAACACCAACAAATAAACACATCGACCCTCGCCCCCCATCAGACAACAACCACAACCCAACTTGACACACATTGCGCCACTCATGATAGTTATTTATATAGTATAGTTCCAAAGACTGCGTCTTCCCACAGCCACAACCCATCCCAATGATCCTGCGAATATATTACCACCGAGATCATCCTCAAACGTAGTCCTTTCTATCACTCTACACACACGCAACTCCACCATGGCCACAAAGGGCAAACAGCTCCCGCACGAGCGCCGCAAAGGCGAATCGGTACACTGTAATTCTGCAAATGCTTGTTTACACTTACTGATGGCCTCGTTTCTAGGCGTTGAGCGAATTCGCGGATTATGTCGAGAAACAGCAAGCACTCCGCTACCCATCCACAGCTGGCTCATCCACTACAGCCGTCGAAGACCATGACGAGCTTGACATCCTGAACTCCCTAGACCTTGCAGATACTTCTCCAGCTGTCCGATTAAAAGAGCTCCTCCTCAGCCAAGATGATGACACGTTGGCCATACTAGTGGACTTGTTGGAGCTAAGGACCGAAGAAGGCCATGGCGAAACCATTTTCGAGATCGGATTCGAGAACAATGGCGATTGTATGCAGCTAAGCAAAGAGGAATGGGAAGTGGCTATGAATAGGTTAAATCAGGCCGCGAAAAGGATCCGAGCAGATTGCCAAGTTCTATTAACGAAGAACGTGGGCGGTGAAGCTGAAGCAGAGAGCGCCGCCAGCGGGAAAGAAATGGCCTGCAGTGGAAAAATATTAATAAGACAGCACCCTGCTACCGTTGAGGATGTTATCGAGACCCGGATCGCGGTAGTGGGTAATGTGGATGCCGGGAAAAGCACCATGCTGGGTGTACTGGTTAAGGGAGGTCTTGACGATGGACGAGGAAAGGCTCGAGTCAATCTTTTTCGACATAAACACGAAATTGAAAGTGGACGGACTAGTTCCGTTGGCATGGAAATTATGGGTTATGACACCATGGGCAAAGTTGTCGCATCGGATGTCCCAGGGCGAAAACTGTCTTGGGAGGAGATTGGTAAACGCTCCGCTAAAGTTATATCCTTCACTGATCTTGCTGGTCACGAGCGATATCTTCGAACTACGGTCTTTGGGCTTCTTTCCTCGAGCCCGAACTATTGCCTCCTGATGGTGGCTGCGAACAATGGCCTCATTGGGATGAGTAAAGAGCATCTGGGGATTGCGTTGGCCCTCAATGTCCCAGTGATGGTAGTCATCACCAAAATTGACATTTGTCCACCAAACATCCTGGAGCAAACCATTCAGCAAATCACTCGTATCCTCAAGAGTCCAGGCGCTAGAAAGATTCCAATTTTCATTAAGAACCGGGAGGAGTGTATCAATACGGCAACTCAATTCGTCAGTCAGAGAATCTGCCCGATCTTCCAGGTCTCTAACGTGACTGGGGAGTCCCTCGACCTAGTTCGGTCATTCCTTAATATCCTTCCACACCACGGCCATTACGATGCCGATGCCCCCTTTGAATTTCACATCAACGACACTTTCTCCGTTCCATTCGTAGGGACAGTTGTCTCTGGTATTGTGAAAAGCGGTGTCATCCATACTGGCGACACAATACTTATTGGACCCGATTCGCTCGGCCAATTTACAACGACAACCATCAGATCCATCGAGCGAAAACGCATACCAGTCCCAGCTGCTTCTGCTGGACAATCTGCATCTTTTGCATTGAAACGTGTCAGACGAAAAGATGTTCGAAAAGGGATGGTTGTTCTCCCTAAATTAGAACACAATGCTCCAAAAGTCTACCGCGAGTTTGTTGCAGAAGGTACACAGTACCACCCCTTAATAACAGTAGCCCGTCTAAATTATTCTAGTACTCATTTTATCCCATGCCACCACTATTAAAACGAAATACCAAGCCATGCTTCACGTTGGCCCGATCTCCCAAACCTGCGCCATCATAGACATTGACCGGTCCTATATTAGAACCGGGGATCGAGCTACAGTAGCATTCAGGTTTGTTCAGAGACCGGAGTATCTAGCACCCGGCGATCGGCTGCTGTTCAGGGAAGGTCGCACCAAAGGATTAGGTATTGTTAAGAGTGTTGGGTATGATCCTAAAAAGCCCTTGAATCCTGATGTGGCAAAGGAGGAAGGAAGTACTACTACTAATAGTACAATTGGGAGCACCACGGAAAATTCCCTAGGCGCAGCGGCGCCTGCTCCTACCACTTAAGATCCTTGATTTGTGGTATATATCTTTGGTCTTTTCTTAATTCTCTTAATTCTCATTTTTCTTTCTTTCAAGTACATTTGCCGGGTATATTTGATATTTTTGGAGGTCAGTAATACATATTTCTTGGTCTACATTGTATATGGAGTACATGGCATTCATTATTAACAGGGTTGGGCACTTGGGAATCCGCTAGTTTAGACTAAGGAGCCACCATCAAAATAGAAACTAAAACAACGTAATACTACACCTTAAGTGACTCTATAGAGGCTATGACAGCTTTTATTTGTTTACTCACATGGTCCTTGACTTTTCGCTCAACGCGATAGGAGCCATCTACGAGCATGACTCATCCCGTATCACCTATTACCGATTCCCTAAGCAACATGCACACTAGACGTTCGGACTCGATAATTTAAGCTAACTATACGTACCGTGTAAATTTATATATGCTCCATAAAGTACAGCTCTCAACCACAACTTCGTGGGAGAATTAAGAGGCATATGTACGATAGACATTATGTGCATACTGTACAAGCCATCGGTTACACATGGCTACAAGACTTTCCCCTATATACCCACGCATAATGCTCCCCTGTACCCGATATAAAAGATCAAAGACTAAGAAAAGGTATGCAATTATTACCATACTCCCAAGCTCCAGAAAACACCAGCAACCTCATTCTGCGACTTTATGAGTTACTTAGTTACCTTCTCCAGCTTCAAATCATTAATAACCATATATCGACTCAATGCGATCCAGCCCCAGCGGAACCACCTCATCTGGCTCTTATGCGCATTTGTCATCGACTTCTGCGCAACCCGGACGTCCTTTGGCCCGCTCAAGAATAAGAGCGGGGTAGGATGCGCGCCCATTTGCTTCTTCCGCACCACCATGATGAATAGACTCAAGGCGCTATCAAAGAAACTCGTATATTTCCGTAACAACGAGATCGATGTCAACGTATATAGGTCGACGGGACATTGCCATCCTGGTCGGTTATGAACTAGGGAGGTTATAAAGTGTCGTGCCCCGTGGAAAAGGGAGATATGGTTTGGGTGTGAGGAGACGCCCGAACGGTCGAAAGTTATGAGGACGTCGATTGTGGCGGTGGGGGCATCGGGGGATTTGTTCTTCATGGGGTTGGAAAGGTTGGGTGCGAAGGCTGAGGAGAGGAGGGCCGCAATCTTGGTTTTGTCCCAGGGTACCGTCATGCTATCTGGGAATTCGCTGGATTGAACATGATAATCAGTATCGTGCTGCAAAAGAAAATGGGGGAGGGGAGAAGAGGAGGGGAGAAGAGGGGGATAATCACGGGCTCTCCACAACAAACACGTCGTCCTCTTTGCGCAACCCCAGCGATATGCCACTCTTGACCAATTCCTTTTTTCTGGTCTCTCCCAGCCCATCGGCGTCCCCTAAATCCCACCAAGGCTGTTAGTCCAATTTCATCTTGTGCGACGCGCGCATTCCCACTTGACAGAACAATAAACCCTATGCCAGGTTATGGCTCTAGAGCGAAGGCAAGGCCACTAACCACTACTCAGACACAAGATCTTGACATGGTTTCCCAAACTTGGCTCCGTCAATGCTAACACCGTCGGCGCAAAAAACATAGCCTCGTCATCCGGATGCGCAATAAGCAAGCAGATGCGCTTGTTGCGCAACTTGTGGAATCGCCCGCGCGCAAGGTTCACGGTGTAAAGCCAGCATGTGATTGCCAGGAGAGGGATGGCGAAGATTGTAACCCATTGCATGACTGGGAATTCGAGGGAGAGTCGCGGTTGTGAATGTCAATGTTGGATGTGGACTCAAGGAGGAGGGAGACAGAGTCGCGTACGGATAAGGGGGGGAAAGACAATCCAACTTCCAAGATAGGGGGCTTTGCTGGTGAAGCCACCTGGCGACGTCTCTTTGGTGGTCAGTGGGGGTTGTCGCGGGGGTTCAGGCGCTCGGGTCGACCTCGGCAGCCCCAGAAGCTTCAAGAGGCTCTCACGCGTGCCGTAGGGCTGCACCGCATTGCAGGACAAGCAAGCATCCTCTGGGACATCCACCTGGTACCGCAAACTCCTGATTCCAGCTTCAATTTTTTGACAAATTGGCTGACTCGAGATGAATTGAACACCAGTCGGCCGTGCCTAGAAGCAGAACGACGAACCTAGCAGAGATCTACTCAACGTAGCTCAACATACGAATTTCGAAGCACGACCCGTATCTCGAAGCTCAAGGAACGACAGCAAAATGGCACGGAACCGCAAGGAGAAGGATGTGAAGCTGAAGCTTAAGCAGCCCGATCGATCGGGGCCAGATCCCTCCCAAGAGACTCTACTAGACATGGCGCAGAAGCGCGGCCTTTTGGACATTCCGCAAGGCAATGTTAAAGGGGGATCAGGTGCTGGAGAAGCGAATGAGGAGCCGTTGATCGGAAGACTGGGAGAATCGATGCTCTGGAGTACTAGTCTCACGATGGTACATTTCACACTCGATGTCATGGTCGCCCATCAATACGCTGTTGAGATATCCTGGTTGGATATAATAAAAAGGACGACGATGCAGGCATTTCCCGGTAAGTTGTCCAGCCCCCCCCAGATAGTAAGACGTCTGCTAATATTATACAGTCATTCTCCTGCTCTTCTATACGTTCCATCCTCATCCAACGCCTTCAATGCTCCTCCCCAACCTACCTCCTCGAATACAGCCCTTGGCACACCAAATTTTCTTCTTCATAAGCAGCGTAGCTGCTGGGACCTATCTGATTCACATCACAAATGTGTATAGTTTCTATGCTGTCTTGAAGCGCGCCCCTCCATTGGGCTCCCTTTGGATTTGGTCCGTGATTGAGCTGAATGCATGGTGGGGGCTGGCGAGTCTGATATGCTGCGGTATCTTTCTAAAATATGGCGGATATTCAATATTGTAGATTCATATCGTTGGGATTCGATGAGTCGGCGGCGGGAGCTCCAGCATGCGCCCAGGGTCAGGTAATAGCGAAGTTATCGCAACCTCAGCGGATCTTCGTCTTGTGTTCCCAACCTGCACTTCAGGGTTGTGTTGTTGGGGGACCTCATGACGCGGATATTCCTCATATCGAGGACTTTCCGGGTTCCCGTTGGACACAACGGTTGATCGGTGCATTGCCCTATACACTAGATCCTCCAGTCTATCCAATTTCTCATGCTGGGCATAGACCATAGTTTCCAAGCTATCGAGCCTTTCCCTCTGACTCTCGTCTCTCTTTCTGGACCGGGCCTCCTGATCCCTCACAGCCCTTTCATGTCAATGTCAGCAAACAGAACAAAGCGGCCCATCACGTGAGACACATAAAACTTGAGCATGCAAGTAGGAGGATAGGAAAACATAAACATACGAACTAATCATTGACATTTGCGCGAACAGCACCCGGCTTCCAAGGGCATCCCTCTGCCTCACCAACTCCAGCGCCTTGGCTCGAACGGGTAACCAACTCATGGCGATATCAGTCCTCCCTTTCATCCTTCTTGGCACAATCGTCCAACCTTCCTCCTTTTCACTCTCCTTGGTAGCCGAAACTTCAGCCTCGGTCAATAATCCCAGCAGTCGCTCCTCTAACTTTCCTATTTGATCCATGACAAAGGAGTACATCTCGTGCTCCACTCTGCTTCTTCCCTTTGCTCCATCACTGGCAGGGCCGGATTGGATCAAATCGTTCATCCACGTAGATTCAGTCTTGTACCAGGAGAGGGACGCCTTTACTTGGAAATACTCGGAATCGGCGTTTCGAAGGTAGGTGAAGCGTGCATAGAGAGCGGCAGCAATAGCGACAACGAAGGTTAGGATTCCCGCAATAGAGGCTGTAATATCGAGGGGAGAGTCATTAGACATAGTTTATGGCCGAGAATGAGGGGGGCGCGAGATTGATATCTGAGGCACGAAGATTTGGATTGTGATGGATATATAGGACTTGGGGTTGGATGTAAAATCGGCATAGATCGTGGCTGGCCCTTTGAGTGTCTCAATGGTTCCGGCTATGGGACTATCGAGGCCGGAGAGATTGGATTCATTACTCTACCTCTGGCATTGCAAAGCTGGCCATGAGGAAATCAAACGGAGAGTAAGCATCGAGTTTGAGGATTCACATCTCGGCTGAAGAACAGGAGTATACAACGCTAATCCCAAAGTAGGGGTACTCCCACCCCCAAGATCCTGAGCCCCTGAGCATGCCGCTGAGTCAGCTGGAGTTTGTGCAGGGGATCCTCCTCCGACCCCTAAGAATCGGGTTATCGTTTCTACGAAGGATGTCCGTCTCTACATAAATCTTACAACAAATTCCTGCTATCTAGACACAGCCACCTCGTTGAATCTATTAAGGTATCGTGATAGTATCCATTCCTACCCCCCTATCAACCTTATTGGTAGCTCCTGCCGAGCCAATTTAGACCCCCTAATCGCACTTAACTAAATTATCTAGCCTAACATGTTAGTCTTAAGTCCCGATGTTATGGCATACGTAGCATCTCTCATTTAGGTAGGCAAGATAGTCACATCAGCCAGCACCTCCGCTGAGGTGCCAGAAATGCCGTCGTGGACAATTCGACTTCTCATACCCAGGTCCCATTCGCGCCACCTTTCCTCGTCGGCTGACCGTCATGGCCTGTCAATATCGTAAAGACCAAATATCATAAGCTTTCAGAGTAGCTTTGTCGGCAGCAAGCTCTTGGGGGTACGTCGTGGGCCGTGTCCATTTCGTGGTAAAAATCTTCTCGATATGGTCGCCATCCAAAGCACATCTTCGTGTATTCCCAATCCTCTGGGAACCATCCGCCGAATTCCCAGTCAATTATACCTGTATCTTCCCATTATTTACCAGGATGTTCTCAGGTGACATGTCTGCATGAGTAAAATTCGTGACATAGGAATTGGATTTGTTGTGAACATTTGTAACGTCCTTGTCGAAAGTTCATAAATCCATAGCATCGCCTCGTCGCACAAAATTTATAGAAGTCGGCTAAGCTCTCGAAGGGACCGAAGCGTCTACCGCCTAAGCCGTGATCATAGCCGGATCCTAGCATCAATGATCCAACAAATCCTTCTTTAGACGCTTGAAGACCTCGTAGCTGTAATAGATATCCTGCAAGCTCTGTAACTAAGCTTGTTTTTTGCTCTGGTGTCAAGGTTTGCCAGGTCGCGTTTAGGGTATTGCCCGGAACTAACTCCATAACCAAGTCCTGAGATCCATCTGCACGACTTTGTACAGTACATAACGAAGACTTTGGGAATTGGAATTGTAGTATTTTGACGAGCAAAACTCTATCGTCTCAAACTCAGTCGGATGACATTGGAACTTAATTAGTTGGTTGTGACTGATATACCTCACCTTCGCTCCTGATTCATTAAGTCTCTCGTATTTCTTGTTCCCTTTCCATAGAGGGTCCCATGTTCAAGCATCCATAGAGGGAGATGTTTGTTGTTCATCTTTATATATATGTCGTGGTGTTTCTCGTCGTAATGTCGATGTAGGAAGAAGAAGCTGGCAAGGTCGCGGTTGGACAACGATTGTCGTTGGAGACACTGATGGGAATCGAGGCCAGAGCGCCTTGTTACGTTACACCCAGCCCGTGATCGTGCCGAGGGCGCTCCCGCGAGCTGCAGCCGTCTTGGTATGCCAAAACGCCACAACGGCCTAGCCAACGGGTCCATCAATCTAGGTTGTTACTAGTGAACCCCTAGGTCTAACCACCGCGTTGAATTTGTTTGTATCTACGAAGTACTATCTAGACCATAAAAGGACCGCCATCTCAGATATTTCCTTTCGGTGCAGCTATTCCCGACCAATATCAATGGCAATCTGCGCCGAATCTGACTTATTTCGCTTCCAACACAGTTGGCCAGCATCGTCGTAAGCGAGCAGCCCAGCCCACAGTAAATCACGAGTACTTGGGCTAGAAACTTCCAATTTCTTCTTCCCAACTTCCCAACTTCCCAACTTCCCAACTTCCCAACTTCCCAACTTCCCAACTTCCCAACTTCCCAACTTCCCTCCTCGCTCCGTTCTTGCACCACGACATCGACTTGGGCTTCGTCCTAAGTTCTTGCTAATTGTTACAAGACACACCAGGTAAGGCTTCTCGCCATTTCTTACAAGCCTTCCCGATCTTCGCATGATTCAAAATACCACAAACATTCGCGGTTTCCACGCTAGCCGTTCGCCGAAGAACCTTTTATAGACGTGCGATGAGCGCAACTTATCCCTTCCTTGGATGTATGAGCGAATTTGAAACCATCACTCTGCGAGTCCCTATTAAGTCGAACTCGGATACTTGCTGACGTGCTTGAGTCTATATACCTAGGTAGTTGCTCGATGTCGATCCCGAAGTGACTCCTCCGCGATACGTACCTTCTCGACAGCAATAACATCAGCCAGATTGGACCATATCCGGCACTCGCTGAACGTAAGTAGCTTTGTAGGACCATACTGTATTGTAAGGCGCGCGCAAGCGGTGCTTTTTCCGACCTACTTGTCGTCGAGTCCTATGCACTACTACCATGGATGGGAGTTGTGTAATAAAGATGGGCATGTTAGTAATTACACAGTACTCTCTTGTTGAATACAATTTATAATACGTGTCCGGTTTATTCGTCCCTTATTGTCTCGTGATATTGCTCCATCGTCTCCATCTAGCTAACGCCTGCGGCCTGTAGTAAGTTAGGAAGCGCGAGAAAATGTCGCACGCTTCAGGGGCTATTGGATAGCTTGCCTCCGCTGACATTTCGAACCCATGCTTTGGGCCGAGATATACGAAGCTCTTCGACTCCGTGCATTGAACTTCGACCGATACGCCGAGTCCTTACTACAGATGGTGACAGCTCAATCTCAAATTGCCGGTGGGCGACAAGGGCCATGGGACATCGAAGAATGATTGTGCCTGGGAAGGGCTTCCTTTGCGTCTAAAAAGGTATGTGCAGCAAAGTGCGTCAGACTCAAGGTGATAAGGGCAAGACTCTGCATATCTATCGACCCTGTAGCTTGCCAGGCGTTCGGGCCCATGCTCGCGTGGTTGCACTAATTCCCGAATGGCTAAGAGACACTATAGCTACCTAGTATGAACAACCTTCAAGACGTCCTCTCTAACATGGAATCTACGCTAGTCGTCCCCATGGGGTCAATGATGTCCGAGTAAGGCTAGGTGGCATTCGAGTCTCCAATTCGCTAGATGCCTCAATCAGCTGAGCGGGCGCTCCAGGCCCTTTGCTCCGCCGCTGGGCTACCACGCCCTGTTGTTACGGGGCGAACCGAGCAACACCGTGAAAGTCAATTTATATGCAAAGCAGCTCTTCCGACTTACTACGAAAGCTCTGTTATTCTTAAGGCCATTTTGGCACCTGTGGGGCTCTAGCAAAGTCGGTGGATGGTGACTGGATGTATGATGTCGAGTTTGTGTGGTGTTCAACGGATAATTATCCTACTATACGGCATCTCGCCCAAGCTTGGTTACTGCTCGACTGTCCACCTGAGGCGAGGCGAGGGATATTCAGTTATTCTGGAGGAATCATGCGAATAGTCGAATTCTTCACCGATGGGAATCTCGTCTTACGATAGAGCCGGCACCGGAACTTATTTCCTTCTTCCCGGCGTGTGTCGGTTTGTCTATAAGGAGCGCCACCGTTCTAGAGCCACGATATCATATTTGAGAATATCTTAGCACTAGTCGTCCTCTCTTCTTAGGTCCGAAGGATAGCGCAGCCAGCACCTCACTTCGTCGTCGCGTTGGCAAACGCGTTGAAAATACGGTTTGTAACTAGATGTTGTATGACGATGAATGAGTATCCGACACCTTGCCTTAAATGCAGATGCTAAAATGAATATAAAATCTCCTTCCACCCTTAGCAGCCGAAATACGTAAACTCGACCTTTCCCTCCTCTCCGAAGCAAGTGGATTCAACGTTTCGTAATTTGGAGTTCGAAGATTTCAGGGAAACGCCAGTGGTGGGTATATTAAGACGATTGGTAAGGTCACTGAGGAAACTATAACCAGGTCACAAGGGAGCTAAAACAGACCACCAAGGGGCCAAAATGGATGCCTATTTACCTATGGTGCTCAGTGCTCAGGAATACTCTCCATCGGCTCAGGTTAGGGCAGCGACTACTCCGACCCAAAGACGAAAGTGGACCTGGGTAAGATCAGCTTCGTTGTAGACATAAGTGGAAATCTTACCGTGCCACGCCCCACAGCTCAGGGGCCCCTGTAGTGAACAATCCAGAAAAACAAGCGGGGTAAAAATATCGTGAGCTACGGTGTGCTTAATTATTTCCTACTTATTGCCGTTGGTAGATTCCTGAAGATCCAATCTTATTGTATCATCTGTACCTTTCTTTCGACTTTGCGAAGTTTGCGTTGCTATCGGCTTGTCCAGCATCAGTCAGACGCCTAAGACATCGCGGAACCGGGAACTAACTTTGGCATGGAGGAGACGAAAATTAAGGGGGTAAGTAGGTTGACATCCCATTTTTGAAAATCCTTTCTTACGATTCATCTCAGGCCACACTCCAAGAATCGGACATCGTAGAGGATGATCCCGTTAAGGACAGAGCGCTGGTATGGAAGCAGGATCTACGGATCGTTCCGCTATCCGCAGCAATTTACCTACTTTGCTATCTTGACCGGTCAAATATTGGTATGTACATTGGTTTAATCTTGCCTTAAACTTCATACCCACAGAGAAGCCGTACGATTGCCGTGCTCACATGCCACTTTAGGAAATGCTAAGACTCTCAACTCTTCAACCCATCATGATCTCCTCTCGGATACTCACATGTCAAATTATCAATATATGTAAATTACATGCACCCTCATCACCGCTTCTAGGATCGTAAGCTAATATAAATAGTATCGCGCTTATGGTATTTCTCATCGCATACGCCATCTTTGAAGTCCCGTCCAATTATTTCTTGAAGAAACTTCGGCCAAGCAGATGGATCGCTTTCCTCATGTTTTCCTGGGGTGCAGTGACTATAGGTCTAGGGGGAACTACAAATTTCGCCGGTGTCACGGCAGTACGGTTTATTCTAGGAACGTTTGAAGCAGGCATGTTAAGAAAATTTAAACATCAGCTGCCAAATTTTGAACCATTGAGCTAACCTACAATGACAGGCCTTTTCCCAGGTCTGGTATACTACCTGACTTTCTGGTATCGCACAGAAGAGCGTTCTATCCGTGTAGCATTCATCCTAGCCTCTGCCACCCTGGCAGGTGCATTTGGTGGCGCCATTGCGTACGGTGTTGGCCATATGAACGGAACTCATGGACTTTCAGCCTGGAGGTGGCTTTTCATTCTTGAGGGCATTCCTTCATGTATTTCATCAATTTTTGTGCTGTTTTATTTGCCTGATTATCCCGAGACTTCCAATTGGCTGACTGTGGAGGAAAAAGCGCTTGCCACTCGTAGATTGGCAACTGAGGGGTCACATGGCCATGGGCAGAACTTGACCTGGGCCCAGGCCAAAGAGACGCTGATGGATTGGAGATTGTTGGCTCATTATGCTGTAAGTGTCCCTCCTTCGAATTTCCACCTCATCATTAGAGTAATTGACAATGTGGGAATAGATTTACTTTGGGATCTCGACCCCATTCTCCAGCCTCTCATTGTTCACACCTAGTATTACAGGCGGTTTAGGGTATAAAGATCTCACAGCACAGCTTATGACTGTCCCTCCATATGCGGTTGCTTGTAAGCTTCCTTGCCAGTTATATTTTCTTCTAAACTAATACTTTCAAACAAGACGTTGTTACGATCCTCGCCTCCTATTCGTCCGACCATTTCAACGCGTAAGAATCACCTCAACGTGGCTGATATATAAATATAATTAACAGCTCAAACAGACGAGCCCTCCACTCCGCCATTTTTGCTACAATTGGTGCCGCAGGGTTTATGGCGTCGGCACTTCTGCCGGCCGATTCATATCAAGTAAGGTCCTATTCTCAACACCAACCACCTTAACACTCATTCCCCTCTCCTCAGTTGCCTATTGTCCTATCACCATTTTCATAAACCCCAGTTTCGTTCACAAGCATCGCCTTTTGGCCCTTTTAAAACTAAGAGTTGCGATATAATAGTCACGCTACGGTTGCTTAATTGTCGCTGCCTCTGGCGCATTCTCCTGCATCCCACCGCTCCTCGGCTTTCTATCATCCAACCTCTTCACCACCGCATCAGCTGGTCTAGCCATTGCGCTCAACGTCTCGGTGGGTGCCCCGGGGCAAATTGCCGGAGTGTGGATTTATAAGGCCAATGAGGCGAAAATCGGATATCCTACTGGACATGTAAGTTCTGCAATTCACGGCTCTCTTTTTTGCTTCTTACCCTTCTCTGTTATCCTTATATTCTGTTGGATTCGACTCTCGGGGAAATTTTGTTCCTTTTGGTGGGCCGTTGGTAAAACCTGGCTAGCATAGTGATGAAATTGTATATTTTGATTGCTAATAACTCCTTCCCATCTACAGTGGGTAAATGCAGGACTCCTCTTCTTCGTCGCAGTGGGATGCATAGGACTAAGACTATATTATGGGATGATGAATAGGCGGATATTAAATAGAACCACTGAAGGTGAAAGGGAAAGGAGACTTTTTAGATACTAGGCTTGCCGTTGTAACCGGTAAAATCTCTCAGTATAGAAGGACCTAAAGGATTATTTCGTGGCGATAGATTACTAGATTCCACATTAACTATGTGTTATGGTTAGATGATATGAGCATGAATTATCCAGAGGCTGTAATATACGTTATATCCTAGCATACGAAAGTGTTTAAAGCCGCTGAATACGTTGAGGGTGATTGCAAGCTCCGTAAGGAGGGGTATGAATAGCTGTTTAATATCATAAGTTACTATTGACATATTGGCTAGCCAAGGCAGGCATACTTGAAAGCAACTCAACCATGCAACTTGGACGTAGAAATGGCAAAGTATTGGCGATGCAACTATAACTATATGCTTCCTTAAGGCTACGCTATGCTACGCAGAATGATCTAATCGTCCTTTATATGTTTGCAATTATTGCCAATATCATGAATACCTCAGATTCCGCATACTAACTTTCACTTCTGGAAAGCCATAACGGCATAGCGAAAAGTTCCGTTAGCAAACCCTCTTCGCATTGCCCGGAATGCTTGCATGAACGCAAGTCCATCTCTACCTTGCGCGACAGCGAATGCCCAGAGGGATGGGTTTTGAATGAGTGACCAAGAGATGTCCCTTCATAGTTAGTGAGTGTCAATAATAAACTGGGAAGAGCAATACGGGAAAGAGGGAGGGAGTTAGAAACTTACCAGGTCTTCGAAACTTGTTTACTGATATCGAATGGCTCAGCAAAACCTTTCAGGCCTGCTTGTTCGGCCATACGGACATAATCCGCTTGAGTGCAAAGTGGTGGAAGTAACATGCCATCTGTGTTTGGGTTAGGTCTTGCCAACTCTTTACACAGGTATCGGTTTTAGGGCATGCAAATACCTTCAATGAGTGATGTCGTCTTTGAACTGCTTCTCACTCAACCCCTCGTCCTTAAACCAATCAGCGACAACCAGCTTCCCTCCGGGATTCAACAACTTCTCCGCATTTCGGAAGAAGAGGTCCTTATTAGGCAGATGGCTCATGGCCTCAGAGATCCACACGCAATCAAATTTCTTCTCATTTGGAGATTCCGTGAAAAACTCCCCCATATTCTCTGCGTCCGGCTCGATGAAGCGCACTGAACCGATACCTTCAAATTTCATCACCCCATCGGTGCCAGCTGAGGGATTCACAGATCCAGATTCAGGTGCCTGGATATCATCTAGGGTTAATTTCCGTGCGATCTCGACTTGACGACCACTAATCGTCACGCCAGTGACTTCACAGTCATAGTTCTTGGCCAGATAACGCGACGTGCCGCCAATGCCACACCCCACATCCAAGACTTGGCTTCCTTTAGGTAAAGCAGAGCGTTCAAGCAAGAGTTCTATCAATTGCAGTTGTGCCTTCTCTTTAGTATCGCTGGGTGTCAAGAAGTACCCGTGATGGATGTGCTCGCCCCTGTCCCGTGATTCCGTCAGTATACTAGACGGGAGGGGAGGGGAATTGCAAATTATTTACCAGAGGGAGTAGTAATAATCGGATGCTAATTCATAGTGATGTCTAATGCGGTCTTTTAAGGCCGAAAAAGAGCTAAATGGTTCTGGTTCAGGGATCTCATATTTCTCGATGTCCTGTTCTGTGGTTTTGGAGGGGTCGTTGATAGAATCCGAGGTGATGGCTTGGGAGTGTGGGACAGTAGCCATTATGTTTTCGACGCAGGGATGATCGAATTGCTTCCACAGCTGCCTTTCCTGGTATACTGGTTGATTGAAAAGATATTGGGAACTGCATTTTGAACGTCTTAAAAGAAAGCGTTAGATATGTCCGTGTGCTAGGACATAACATGAACGTTTGAAGTCTTGATGTACCGAATCCGGTTAGGTGTACTTCTGAGCTCGGCCCCTAAGTTTCATCGTCGCACCTCCATATCTTCTCCAACCTAAAACTCCAACTCCCTGGGCTCATCTGTTGCGAAATGTTCAAGTCGGCATGTGCACTACTGTATCCAACTTAAACCAGACACAGACCATACCTACCTTAGGTAGAGAACACTAGAGAATTCTCTGTCAGCCGAATCCTTCGCGTCCCAAACCTAGAAAAGAGTCCGCGACACGAGGCGGGGTCCTTTCGGACACATATTTGGGGTTTGCAGTGCGATTATTATGAGTTATCAACCCCCACGATTGATGACTATGCACAGAGTTACGAATGGGTTTGATAAATTTGCAAAAAAGAAATCCCCAAGAATATAATGTTACAGGCAAGTTTTGAAATATAACAAGTGTTACAAGTATATAAAGCATGTTAAAAGCGCATCACTATTAGCAAACTCAAAAACATAGCCAAAGGAGTATAATCCCGTGGAAATATGTTTGAGCAAGTGCTGAAGCAGGTAGCTCGATTTCCGAATCTCGATGTGAGCATTTTTCATTTCCGTCTTTGGACCTAAGCTCGTTCTCTACTGTTTTGGGATCTCCATACCCGCAATCTGGCCTTCTTCAAGTGCAACGTGTACTGGTAGATAGCTACAAGGCGTAAAGAAGTGGGATATGTGGCATTGATCAAGAAATGCATAGTCTTACAAAAAGGTTCTTAAGCTCCACAGCTTTGCCTATATGGACTGTTGATGTGGGACGTTGAAGCTTGACACCTGACATTTGCAAGCAACTACAATCAATTAGCTGATAATTAGTGCTAGATCTTGTTATCCAAGCAAAGACACGCGTTGATTTGTTCAGGTTCCACGATCTTTGCGTTAGAATTGGCTAATAAGGTTAACAGTTAGCCCTCCCAAGCATCATAATCGTTTCTCCCGGGGATCCCGTCCAGTGCCTTTAGTGAATGCAATAACGCTTCTAAGGTAATGTATTATACTTAGTGGTTTTATGTGGTCCTAATCTCTATATACAAATACTCACAAACCATAATAGGACAACCCGCAGACACACAACAGAATATGCCGTCATACATCTTCGAAACGCACATTCCATCCTACCAGTTAATCTCCATCTTTTCAAATATCTATTTCCTAGACCGGTTAAACCACTTCCCCGCGCATCATCTATTACTCCGTAAGGTAGTATAGATAAGGTGGGGTTTTGTACATACGGCAGTCCTCTTTCTCACTGTGGCCCCACACGTTTATATTCCCTGCATTCTTCCAAACAGGCAATTTCCAACGGCACCTCGCCTTACCATCATCTCTTTGGTGTCTCACGGTTTTAAACAGCACAATTGATGGCCGATACTCTGACTTTCGGCTGGTTATAATTGTGATATCTCTTCTTTTCGTTCCCCAAATTCTCCAGCCACCTCATCCACCATCCATCATGCTCTCCTCACTCATCCTCCTCTCACTCGCCACAGCAATCTCAGCGGAGTGCCATCGGGAATTCCTCAAAAATTCAACAGACACCTACATCAACGCGCAGACCCTCGGCCAATATGAGAATGTCAAATCCCTCATCTTCGACTTCGCCCCCTACAACGAAAACAACATCCCCACTGCCCTCGAAGGCGGCATACTCGCCACCCCAATCAAAATTGACTTCGCCCGTAGCGTCCACGACACCGTGCAATGTGCCACTTTCACGGAACTCATCGCCGCCTCGAACCCGCATCCGTATGTAATTCATACACGTATGGAGTTCGATGCCAATAAGATGAAGGCAAGTAGGATTGAAAGCATTGTTACGGATAAGGGGGATTGGCTTTTTAATGCTACAGGGACGTTGGCGCTTAATGAACCAGAGAAATGGGATGCTATACCTAAAGCTCAACAGGATTCTCGCGCAGTTATCCAATCAATCGGCGACGCATACTTTGACCGCTTCGGCAACGTGTCTGTAGTCGTCCCCTGGGGCCCGCCCTGCTACCGCGTTGAAGGCGGGTTACCTGCTAAGGGGACTCTGACGGCGAGTGGGGACTGCGTGATGGAGTGGCCGAGCACGATTCATGTCCCGTATAGACGGTATGTGGTCGATGAGCAGTATGGGGTTGTGAGTCTATTTGTGGGTTTCCCCGGGCTAGATCGTACGCAAGGGGAGGACCCGATGCCGGACAGTCATGTTTTTAGGGTGGAGGGCGGGAAATTGAAGTACCTGCATACCGCTAGTGCCTGTGTGGTGGAAGGGTGTGGGTTGAATTCGACGTTTGGTGGTGGGCTTTAGGGATCAAAAGAGAGTGAGAAGTTCACTTGAAGTTTTTGAGCGAACGGAGAGGACGAAGCTACTTTAAAGTCCTATAACTTCAAAGCTGGCAACCTCTAGCCTCCAATAGATAATTGAACATCGAACATGAGCGATGCTGATGAAAATGGAGTTTAACGTCTGAACGTTTCAGTAGAATACTTACTGCCTTTCGTATGAGTCCGGGCTTACATATTACCCTTTATGCCTAGGACATATCAGTCTATCGATCCTAGATCTGTCCTTAGAGAGCTCATTCTTTAGTCATGCCTCTATCTGCTCGTCTAGATTTAGTACTCTCTAGCATTATTTGCCCACTTGGCGTTTATGTCGTGCAGTGTTCTGCATGCGCTAGTATAAATATCTCAAGTAGACACGAGAAAGAAAGATCTTGTTTGATGAGCGAGAAGATAGATGAGGAGCATGAGGACTATAGGAGAAGTGCTGAGCAAGAGGGGAACGGTCATACACATACGGGAATACAAAGTACTCTAAAATATGATGCAGAAAACGTCCATGCGATTGTGTATTTTGTATTTTGCACAAACACAAGAAGACGGGAATAGCTGTCTAGGTATGAGTTCTATATAGAGGAGGTTGTGAAGGTACCTAGGTATATTCCCCCCTGGCTAGGCGAAGGGAGGACCAATCTCGGTTGTACGTTGGCACTTGTGTATATTAAGGGGTAACCCATATGCTTGACTCTATCATCACTCTTCCAATTTGATCTAACAGCTAACGATTTCTGATGGGATGTATCCACAGGGTGAGCAGGCCTGGGCCGTGCCTGAGGTGGAATATGATGCCCATATAAAATGCACCGAACGGGTACTAAGGCACTTTAGTGCCACAGCACCATGTCAGGATATCGATGGAGGGCGACGGGAAGGCTTTCACATTTTCCGACGACGCGGGCACTTTGCGTTTTGAAAATCATAGACAGAAATAATCCCGAGTCATTGGAACGAAGATTCGTTGCCCGTTGATACAGAAATGAAGTCATACAAGTTAATTGACATCATTTCGAGTAGTTCCCCGATCTACCCGATTGCAACTCTATTTCCTTTTAGCATATATTGTTCGCTTTCCCATTGTCACTTGCCATTGAGATTTAAGAAAATCATCAACTATCGAACCATATTATCTCAGATCAGCTTAAGTAACTGCCCAAACACAAAAATGTATCGCCGGCCCGACGAATTCCAGAGAACGGACATTTCAGCCGCCGGATCCGAGTGGAAGGCGAATGCTTCTCTTCACAGTATCATTCATGACGCTGACCATCCGGTAAATTTCATCCTTTTGTCAAAATATATTGCGGGCAATGTTCTGTCCATGCAATGCTGATGGACAAATCAAGGGATCCGATGTAGATCGTTCCAGCAAAGCGACGCCTCTTCCAAATGTCAATTTCGACGATTCCGGGAGGGTTGTTCGCAGTCGAGGAGGCCGAGGAGAAAAGGGCCGAAAGGGCAGCGGCAAGGGGCCTTTGAATCCGGAGGGCATGCCGCGGAGGAAAGGCAGTTAAGAGTTGGTTGAGACTGTGAATTGGGTAACATTCGTATAACACTCCGAATTTTTCCTTTCTGGTATCAAGAAGTATTCAGATGGTGAAACCAACCGTATTGAATCATGTTTGTTATCCTTTAAAGATAGCCCGCATACGCATGGAATTTAAAACGCTTGGAAGCCTATTGTATCCATGCGTCTCTCAGTATATGAATTGAAATATCAAGCATGGAAATTTCCTAGGCCGTAGTGTGTCGCCTAAGAAGCTCTCCGATAACTATTGGCGACTCTCATGTTTCAATCATATTCTCCTTGAAGCTATGTGCAACAGCTACGCTGTCATTCTAACTCTATTATATGTCACCACATTTACGTTCTAGAATTTATCGAATCCCACAAGTTCCGCAAAGCAACCAACTTACTCATATTTAGATCTCGTATCGACCGAGATTTACTTTATTACAATAAAAAGCAATTGAATATTTAGTTCATGTGGGAGAGTCGGGGGGACCAAAAGCATGCGGTAGATTAAATGTTGGTTAGACTCTACTACCCAACAATCCTTATAGCGCGTCTCCGTGTCCCATCCGACCTGCTTTGTGTAACATTTACCACCTTGCTAAAGTCATGTGCCTAAATCTATGACAAATTTTTCGTGTAGAGCGAATATAATCCTTAGTAGGGATTAAGTGCCATCTGGTGTTGGACTTGATTTACAGTACAACCCTTACCGATTTGCGGTACAAATTTGATCCAACTACCTGGTTGAGGAAAATGTCGCTCTTATGTAAGACTAACCTTAAAATGTAGGGTCTGTTCGTTCAGGTAATGGTATTAGCATTACGCCCAGCCACTTAACCTAAATAGGGGCACTTCTCCATTCTGTTAGACTTCGTATCAGGGGCTTCCACTACCGGTATGTATACTTCATATGAACGAACAGTCAGGTACTTGTGGGTCAAGTGGCCACCCAATTTCGATGCGTACTTACCCCACAAGTACCTAATCCCTGCTTGGAGTTTATTTTGTAAAGGAGAATCGTACAACTGCACTAGAGCAATTGTACGCCGCCCAATTAGGTAGCCGAGTATCTCCTTGACTACTAGACACGCCACGGCGGGATATAAGGCCCTGAAGGGAGGCCCTGTAACAGGATGCTACAGTAGATTCTAGACTCTAGCTATAAGACGTTAAAGCCTAGAGTAAGGCCCTAAAATAAACCTCGACAGTAGGTTACAGGCTCTGGCTACAGTATTCCTAGGAATTAGAAGGTGGTAATATACCCTGCATATCAAATATACTCGTTTCTAGAATACTTATCTACTGGTTAATCGTACTAATATACGACCATAATAGTAGGCAAGTACGATAGTTTGCGACGGATAACATGCACGAATATTCAGTAGACAGCAAAGGCAGATTACTAGGTAAAATACTAGGCAGGGACCCCTATAGTACCACGCTTGATTTGGTGGACTTTTGGAAGGTAATTACTTGGCAAGTACGGTGCTGTGGGTCAATTACCTCTGTATAGGGTAAGGTGCCTTGGCGTAATGCCACTGCCATTACCTGAACCAACAGACCCTAATTCTAGTGTAAGGCATAGAAGGGTTCATAATACTTAACCGCTTTATACTCTATATGATTAATTCTCTTAGGAGACTGCGATGTAACTCTCCTATTAGCACTACGAAAACCCCCCCCCCTCCGACTGTAAGGTACTACAGTAACAGACACGTAAAACACACCCCTAGGCCGAGGAGTACTTGAATTTAGTGTTCTCGACTTATCGCTTGCCTAGCCTTCAATGTAAAACGGACTTAAACCCGACCTGACCAAGTAGGTAGCAGCGCTACCAAGTAGAAGGAGCTTAATCCTAGTGATTTGATGGCGGAACCCCAACAATCGTGCATAACAAAATGAATGATGGGCAGCCGGCTAGTCGCAAATTGCAATACTATTGTGGCGTAGCATGTTGATCCTCTGGGGCTGGGCGCCTGGAACCTTGGGTGAAGGTACTTTAGGAAGTAGTATATCCATATCTTACAGCAGTAGAGTTTCCACACTTAACACCCACAATCAACCCTCTCTACATCTTTAATCCACCTTCCAAGATGAAATCACCATACCTCCTCCTCCCCCTCTTCGCAACCTTTGCCCTCACCAACGCAGACGCAAATGGCACAGTACCAGAAACCGGCTCAGAGCCCGGCCCAACTCTAAACGCAACAGGATCAGTCTATCTCCACGCAACAAACATGAGCGTCGACCCTAACACAGGCGTTCCTACTCTCTGGCGCGCAAACCTAAATATCACCGAATTTACAGTCTCTCCAGCTATAGGCGTGATCACCAACTCAGCAATCGGCATCGACTCCCTCGGAGGCTGGGTAGAAAACTCAACTTGGGATAGTACTGTTATTTTTTTCTTAAATGTCGCACGGAATGCAACAGTTGATGGACAGAAGGATAGCGGAGACTGCTATGCCACGTTAGGAGAGGCGTGTGTAAGACAGTATACACTAGATATTAGTGCTGCGATACACGCTGCAAAGATATCAACTAGGCCTGGTTCGAATACAACTAGTATGCCAACTATCCCGCCGCCGCCTGAGAGCTGCGAGTATAGACTTTCGAGCGCGAGTATTGTAATTCGTATGTCCTATCTCTAACCTTTGCCTATTCAAACTACTCCCTCTAGGCTCCACCTTTAACATTATAATAGATTTGGGTTCTAAATTCGTCGATGGAGCCGCATATGTCAATAATCGGTCCCCAGTACACGACGCGAGTAATACGACATCTTACCAGGAGGCAACTACACAGATCTGGCCTATTGTTCTCGTGCAGAGTGGAAAGTCTGGTATTAACAATGCTACCGGGATTTCGACGTCTCGGATGAGTTGTTTAAGAGCTAATGCGACAACGGAGGGGAGTAAGGCTATTGGGGGAGTGCCTGGTGCTGCGGTACATATCAAGGTATATACATGGGCAGTTATAGGTGTTACGTGTTTAGTTGGGGGATTGTTGCTATAAAACTTAGGAGGGACGAGATTTGCTTATAAAACAATCAAAACTATTCTACAGTTGCAATTAACAATTTAACGTACACTTGTTGTATAATTATACTCTTATCGCTGGTTTCTTTTTTACGTCTAGGTAATCCTAAAAGATAGTCCGCTACTGGAGTTTCCATATTTCAGGGTAGGTATTGAAGTCCTGCCTGCCTTAGTATACGATCGTCGCCGTCGATAATATACAATACTTTCGCTACCTGGAATATTCCTTACTATGTTAGTGAGCCCAAATCTTCCCTTCTTTCTTTTATGTAGTTGAGCACGAGGCAGACTCTTGCAGAAGTTTTATATATAAGACCAGGGACTACTTCCTGCGCTAGGCAAGCCATTCCTTCGTTCTTGAAGGGAATCTCAAGTCCCAGTGTTCCCGGTCCTTGATGGTCAGACTTCCACCTGATCCTGATCGAGACGGGTCCCGGCAGCGCTGGTAGTATGTTGAAATTATGAGGAAATTGTGAATTCTAAAGGCGTAGTCCCTGGGGCAGATGCTCCCTTGTGTGGGGTCCACGAGCCCCAGCTTGTTCTAGTGCTGGCAGGAATCTGCTTGTCCTCTCCTACTCGTGAGAAGGAGAACAGCACCTGGAACCTGTGTCAGGGCCACGTCGCCTCGTTCGGCTGAAGATGCTCACTACGTGCTCTCGTAAGAGCAAGAAAGAGGCCAGACGTTGGGGTTCTGCGTGGTGTGATTGGAGCTGCGACCGCTCAAAAGGGGTTACGAGTTAGGAGACGCTGCGGTACGATTCGATGGCCCTGAGTCGAGTGTGTGTTGTAGAAAGAAGGAAAAGAGAGTCGAGGATGGAGGTCGAAAGCGGCGTGTAGTCGCGAGCGAAGCGCGCCTTGTAGTCGACGAGATTACTATTTCCGCGACTTCGTTCTGCAATAATCAACCTGGGTATAAGAGCAGAGGGTATCTAGGCGAGATTATTAATACTGTCTGTGTTACCGTGGAGACCAAAGGACCTTTCTAGCCAGAAAAGTATTATGGAGAATCGATAGTCCGCAAGAAATGTCTTCCTCCTTGTGTTTGAAACGGTCAATTCCCTCCGTGGGTCTTGTATTGTAGAGTACCTGTCCCGGCGAGCTAATCGACGATTACGACCTTAGTAAATGACCTGTGCCCTACCAGCAATCCACTTTCGAGGCTTAGATTAGGTGGCTCAGATATATGACGAATTATCTGGGTAGGCAAGAGCGAGCCACGCTTGATACTTAGAGCTAAAGTGGCTAAACTCTGGATCTGACGCGAAAGTGACGCGAAATTCTTGCTTCGCCCTACTAGACTATAGTTAGTAGGGAAGTTGGTTTGGGGGCATAAGAAGGGGAAGGGAGTCACGTGTTCTTAATGTAGTCATAGGATGGGAATATATATACGTGTAGGTACTTGGTTTACTTCTTCATGTGGACACGGGTTGAATCAGTTATTAAATCTGCAAAATCACATCCAGTAAGAGTATGAGGATGCGTTAACAAAATGTTGGAGACTACCAATCATAGCATAATACGAAAATGCTGAGGCTTGCTTGGTGGGATTCTGTAGTCCACCAACATCTGATAGTCCACTGGTATTGCGTATTCTAATAGAGAGAAGAGTCTGGGGCATTGATTTGGTACCCGTTGGAGTGGTATTGATTGCACAGGATATAAAATGTCAGAAGACATTATGCTTTTCTAAACTGCAATGAAAGTAAGAGGGGCCATTGTCGGAGATTTGGAATTCGTGCTTCGAGGCTAAAGGCATGCCAACGATAAGTCTCGGGTCCGAGGCAACAAGCAAGCATATGTAAGTATCAGCAATTAGCAAGAACTACTTTCGGGGTGAGCAAGTTGAGCGAATTATAAAATATGCATCATAAAGACTTCTCGGTACTTGATAATGACATGCATACTTCCGGAGCGACTGGTTTCCGGCTCATGTGGATATTGCGTGCGAGGTACATCTGACAAGGATGTAGCAGAAGTTGAGAATAGAATTTTCTCCGGAAAAACGCCACTGTTGAAGACTATCTAACATGTGTATAGCCCTCGAAGCTCGCAATCTCATTCCTGAGCCGAGGCTTTTGGGAAAGTAGGGCAAGTGTTACGAGGATAAACCCCCAATTGGCTGGCCCACTGGGTGAGTGGAAACAGCCTGCACTTGATATCTGGGAGCGATTTCTATCGGATTTCAAATAAGACCGCGTATGTCCATCGGCATGTCGCTTGCAGCAATATGCTATGCTCGAAGGAGCAGTTCAGAAGGGTGTGACCAGGAGCCAAACTATACTGGATAAAGGGGCAAGACTCTTTTCTGTGTGAGACTGCGGCAGGTTTTGGAGGAAGCTTCCTGTAACACAATGTAGTAGTGGATGAAAGGGATGGCAATCTGCCAAGCTACCGGACAAATAAAAATAGAATCCATAATGGGAAGTCTGTCAGTTGCATGGAGCCAGTCCAAATGTGATTTGCATAGGTCAAAAGAGACATGCAACGAGAAAAGCTGGCCGACCTTAGAACCCAGCTTTCCCTGTCCTTCAACTTCGTTTCCGCTTATGTGCCTGCCAGATTTGACTAAATCCCCAAAAGAAGCAGTGGGGAGTTCAATAGAAAGAGCCACAAGTATGCAGGTTTTGACGTATACGCACACCTTTTCCTCTCTACTAGTGGGATGCATGAAGCTTGCAGGTAGCAGTGTCCCAGGGCCTCGCAACAGACTATCCTGGCTCTTGTTCTGTACTCCAATACTGATTAAGATGCCTATCTTCATTCCTGGCTTGCTTACCACTTACCACTTGGCGGCCAGGCAGACCACTACCTAGGTATGCTGCCCGAGTCAGGAGAACGGATCCAGCCCGGCAAGTCGCGGAAAATCATTGAGGATCACAGATTGATTGTCTATTAAGCCCGAGACCGCACCCGGGGATTGTAGAGTATTGGCATATGACGCTCTTACCAGCGCTTGCGTAGCACCAAGGATGGTTAGGTCTCTTGGCCCCGGATTGTGCAACCCACTCGGCAATATTCCACTTTCCAGGCGCGTCGATCATCTCGCCCTTTCACAGCGCCCAGCGCCCCGTCGTCCGTGGCGTGGTGCGCTAACCACCCCCGCGCAAGTGTCATAACGTGCGAGCGGTGCCAAAGCAACCAATACAACAGGCCAGAAATGACGTGGACCGCCATCGCCGCCACATTGCCCTATGAGACTCGCAAGAGCTGGCGCAAGATGCATCGCGGGGGCTTTGGTTGCAGGATGGAGGAGGCCACCATGACGACCCGGGGAATCAAGAACGTTTCGATCTGAGGAACCTTGATCGAGCTTCCATGTTTTCACGAGGCTAGTGGTGTTGGGATGCCGCCTCTTCACTGGACGCGGGCATGGGCTGCTCGAGGCTGAGCGAGGACCGCGAGCTGCAAGGCTGCGGTGTGGTGTTGCTCCCGTGGTTTTCGCGGGACCGATGACATCGCGGTGGGAGCTCTCCGGCGGCGATGGGATTGGCAGCCTCCGGACTCGCGGCGTAGGGGCGTAAGGGCTTGGGGAAGGGGAACCAGCGATGGATTCTCGAATGGACCCGAATGCAGAATGTGGCGGGCGTTGCCCAAGTGCCCAAGGGATCACGGGAGCACCAGGTGGTCAGACGTGGCCGCGTCCTTGGGCGCAAGAGTCGTAGTGTCGCAGTGGCAACAGCGATGTGCGCAGAGGGCCGAGGGCGGCGCGGTGGGGCCCTGCGCGGATGCCTGGTGTGCAGGATCTTTTGGCCCGAAGCGGACAACATGAGGCTATTCGGAAGTCGACGATCGCAACAACGGCTGCCACCTCCGCCACAAATTTTGAACTCGACTTAGATGGCATATAAATAAGGGTCGAGTGCAGAGATGGCGCGGTTTGGGGGAGCGGGCGCCGAGGAACAGCGACCAGATTGCCGGCGACGCTCACCTCAGCCTGCTGGATGCCTGGCGCGGGTGCCTGGTGGTAGCACAGGTCATAACCACAGGAAAAATTACGGCGAATTGGTCGAAATTTGTCACCGCGCCGACGGCCAACGCTCAGCACCACGCCGATAAGAAGAGGTAATAGCAAAGCAATAGCAGCTAATAGCATCAATAGCAGCCCAGCAGGACAATACATCCCCTCTTTGGCCCCTGGTTAGCTGGTGAGCTGGTTCCCCCCTCCCCGGGTTTCGGACGTGCCAGAAGGTAAGCGCAAGGAGCCGGCCTGCTGCTCGCCGGCTACACATAAAAGGGAGCAGAGTCGCCGGATTGCGAATTTCGACAGAGAATCACAACATCTCACTCACTTGGACTTTTTGCCTCCGGAATCCCAGAACCCCAGAATATCTCCCCTTCTCCGCCAACGCTCTCCCTCGGACGCCCGCTAGACCGCCTTTCTCTTTGTCTTGCTTAAGCAGAACTGCCCTGGACTGAATTGAACTGAACTGAACCATATCTCTTTCTGTTCTTCCTTCATCCACCCCACACTCTGCTTCTGCTTCTGCTTCTGCTCCCCATTCACACACATAACCACATATACACATCCACACGCATATACAAATACAGTACACACAGTACTTACCTACCTACCTTAGGTACACTTACAAATACACATCCACATCCACATCCACATCCACATCCTCGCGTGCGGGTTGTACGGTGTCTTCGGACCGTGCTGTACAATCCAATTCACTACCAAGCCACCACCTCATATCTTCTTCGATCCCGTTCTTGCCGCGTTTCCCTCTTGTGTCTTCCTCTCCCCTCGCGCTGCTACTGTCACTGCCACCGTCACCTGCCACTTTTACAGGACAAAGAATAAGTTACCTTATTTTCTTGGGGCACTTCGCACTTCAGTCTTGACAGGCACGGAGGCACAATCAATACAATACCATATTAACGCACAATCCGCTTCCTCCAACTAAACTCCGCCTACCGTTCGGCGACACGGCGGCACAGACAAGCCAAAGAAAGGTCAATAGCATCTTCACCATGGCTCCCGATCTAAACTCCGTTCCGCTCTCCCCTCGGCAACAACCCTCGACCACCCAGCCAGCCACCACCTCCGCTGCTGTGCCAGAGCTCCCGCAATATGTTGCCTCCCAAGGGAAGCAGCCCAATATCCTATACATCATGGCAGACCAGCTTGCGGCCCCCCTCCTCAAGATGCACAACCCCAAGTCACAAATCAAGACTCCCAACTTGGATGCTCTTGCGGAGGGCTCCGTCATCTTTGATTCCGCCTACTGCCCTTCGCCACTCTGCGCACCCTCACGCATGTCCATGGTCTCGGGCCAACTCCCCACCAGGATCGGCTCCTATGACAATGCATCCTCCATCGACCCAAGCATCCCTACCTATGCTCACTATCTCCGTGCGGCCGGGTATGAGACAACATTGGCAGGCAAGATGCACTTCATTGGCGAGCAATTGCATGGCTACGAGAGCAGGTTGACCAGTGACATCTACCCAGGCGACTATGGCTGGTCGGTCAACTGGGAGGAGCCGGATCGCAGACTGGAATGGTATCACAATGCCAGCTCCATTCTGCAGGCAGGCCCATGTGTCCGAAGCAACCAGCTGGACTATGACGAGGAAGTGATGTACAAGTATGTTAATTCGCATTCGTACCAGATATACACGCTAACATGCTCTAGGTCCAAGCAATTCCTCTATGATCATGTCAGAAAGGGTGCAAATGCCCGCCCATTCTGTATGACTGTCTCTCTAACCCACCCTCATGACCCCTACACTATCGAGAAGAAGTATTGGGACCTCTATGAGGATGTTGATATTGATCTTCCAGAAGTCAATATCCCACAGGAAGAGCACGACTCGCACAGCCAACGCCTCCTGAAGGTCTGTGATCTGTGGGACCGAGAATTCACTCCTGACCAAGTTAAGCGAGCCAGACGCGCATACTACGGTGCGGTCTCCTATGTCGATGATTGCATTGGAAAGCTGTTGCAAGTCTTGAAAGACTGCCGACTAGATGAGGATACCATTATCATTTTCAGTGGTGATCACGGAGATATGCTTGGCGAGCGAGGCTTGTGGTACAAGATGTCCTACTTTGAGTCCTCTGTCCGGGTCCCACTTCTCATCCACCACCCTGCAGCCTTCAAACCACATCGTGTCTCCGCAAACGTCTCCACGCTTGACCTACTCCCAACCCTCGTTGATATTGTTGACACCAAGCTCTGGCCTGGACTACCAATGGATGGCATTTCACTGCTTCCCCACCTTCAAGATCGATCCGGCGGCTCCGACACGGTCTTTGCGGAATACTGCGGCGAAGGCACCGTTGCCCCAATGATGATGATCCGTCGTGGTGACTGGAAGTACATCACGTGCCCTGCCGATCCGGACCAACTATACAACCTGGCAACTGACCCAAAGGAGTTGATCAACCTCGCCTCTCTGCCACCCAAACATCCAGCAATGAGCCCTGAATCCATTCAAGCCCTTGCTGACTTTGTTGCCGAAGCAAAGGCAAAGTGGGATATGGATAAGATCACGAATGATGTGCTCATCTCTCAACGTCAACGACGTTTGGTCTGGTCTGCACTCAAGCAAGGTCAGTTCACAAGCTGGGACCACAATCCACAGGACGACGGCAGAGAGAAATACATTCGCTCCCACATTCCGCTTGACGACTTAGAATTGAAGGCCCGCTATCCCCTCGTTGACGCGAAGGGTAGAGATCTATTCACTGGTCTTGGTGGTGTCGGCGCTGGTGGCATGGGAGGTGTCATCGTCGAGCAGGCTGGAGCATATGGCCAGTAACTTAGCTCAACCACCACCTATATTTCGACCAGTCTGATTTTTCCATCAAAGACATCGAGTTCTGGATATGCCACAGGAAGGAGCATCTGCTTAACTCAAGTTCGCCCACTTGTCGAACTGATATCTCTCATATCAAAATTGTTCACCGAGACCTACTGTTTATTTCAATCAACCGCCTCCTGCATTCTCTGGTTATTTTAGCCGGCCTGGTTTTTTGCGTTGGGCGCACTTAATTGCGTTTACTACCTACGTTTAATACCATAGATGCGTTTGATTTCCTTTTCTTCTTTACATTTTTGCTAGCGCGGGGCTTCAACGATTTTCACGACCTCATGGTTTTTACCAATACACCCACCTGCTAAGAATTTGCTTTTTTCTTTTGGGTTCTCAGAAACCTGAGACTTGTCTGTTATGGGGAATGCGCAAAACATCCTTTGTTTTCAAAAGTTAGATCCAGCTTATGGATGGGGATGATAATGCGGTGGCGTGTGGTTGGGATGGATTATGGAGACGCAGACTGCAAAATTAGATAGAAGAAATTCATCGAGATACCACCTACCTACCTTTGCTAGAACTACCTGATCATACTGTTGTGACTGCTCGAGGGCCAAACGTAATCTGGTTTCCCAAGTGCTAGAACAAGCATGCCCCATAGCGAAAATCAATACGCGGTCATGATAATTTCAATAATCATGTTGTCATATTGCTATAATATTTTCCTCTCAAGCCTTGAAACAAACAGTAGAGTCATTCATTACCCACCATAACGCCGCCTATCCCAAGTACCTACAATATGCCTCATTGTCCTACCCAGTGTACCTATGCTATGACAAAGCAGTCGAAAAAATAACCAAAAGCCTACCTAACCATTGATCCACAGACCCAACTCACCAGGCTGCAGCATCTCTATCAAACCGCACCAACTCCTTCCCAGCATCCTCGACATCCTTCTTAGCCTTCATGCGCATATAAAAAATGGGGCAATCTTTACTACTACAGATAACCTCGTTATGCATACTCTCCTGACACCTCTGACACTGGGTCCACAGCCGCGCAAACCGGACTTCCAAGTCTGACACTTTGTTCAAGGTCTTGGTATACAGTTCGCCGATGCGAGGCGCGCAGTTGGAGCACACGGCACCGCCGCTTTCGTCTTTGCCCACAAGAGGCTTCTTGCAGCCCATGCAGGTGAAGGTTTTCTTGGCGAACTTCATAAGGCCGCCCAGAGACGGCGCAGCGACCGATATAGAGCGTGTGTGATCTCCTGCGAGGAGGGAATTGGCTTTTGTCTCGCCGAGGATGGGTTCGAAGATCCTTCCTAGGGGTTTGGCGAGCTGGTTATCTAGGTAGTATTTGGTGTCGATGGGGATGTTGTTCTCCAGGACGAAGATTGGGTCTTCGGAACGCTCGAAATTTTTAGCTCCTGCGGTGCCCTTGATGATCACGTAGGCTACGCGGTCGCCGAGTGTTGGTGCTGAGCCCGCGTCGCGTTTCTTCATGCGTTCGGCGAGCTCGACGTGTGCTTGTTTAGCTGTGTAATCTTTTTTCGAGAGGGCTTTAGTAATGACGAGTTTGGACATATCGATCTTGTTTTGAAGGAGGTCGGAAATGGTATCTTTGACATAGCTGGTTGCAGTTAGTGGCTGCCCAATGATCTAGAGTAATAAACTTACTCTTGCGCGCCCTGGACATCCTGGTCAATCAAGATCATCCTCAGGACTGTCTCAATGACATTTTGAACTAGGCGACAATTATCTCTTCGGACTGTCTCGATACCCTTTGTGTCCATTTTGTCGTATTTATCGGGATTCGTCCAGTATAAACCAGCGTACCGCTTCTTGTTGATCAGCAGATAGGGGAAATAGACCTTTTCAAACTCCAATTTAATAGGCTTGATGAATTTCGAAGACACGTAATGTGCAGCTTCCTCGCCCAGCTTCATAGAGGTTTGCAGGTCTTTCAAACCAAATTTTACCATGACTGAATCGGTATCGCCATATATGACTTGAGCATCGTGGCTGTAACCATTTGCAATGGTATACTTGGCTTCAACCTCTGCCTTGGTCTTCTCAATCATTTGCCGACCGTAACTTGTGGTACTACTTGCAATCGGCAAACAAGGGAGTTTCCCAACAGTTGCACCAGTAAGACCGTAAACACTATTAGCGCTGATCTTCAGAGCCAATTGTCGGCCGTTCAGTACGGCCTTTTTGAATGGATCTGTCTCAACCGCTAGCTCTCGTTTTGCTTGTTTTCTGGCACCGAGCAATTCTTCGAGAATCTGAGACAAGAGACCCTTTCTTCGTTTCGCTGTGCAGAACAAATCTCCGTTAGGCGTGACGATATAATCTTCATCTTTCACTAAATTCAAGGTTTTGGCAGCGTCTCTGGTAAGAAGCGTCGTATAGCAGAGGTTATGAGCTTGAATGATACTAGGATAAAGGGATGCGAAATCAAGCGTGGCGATTGGAACATCATAAAAACCTCTTGTGGGCTCGATAACCGTCGCTCCCTCGTATTGTTCGTCGGAATGCTCGGTTTTGATATTGGGAATGACAAGCTTTTGTTCCCGTGCTTTTCGGAACAGTTGGCTGACAAACTTGACTTGTTGGCCACGAGCTAGTAGATAGTTGAACGGAACACCTGTGACTCTTGCCATCTCAGTGTAATTTTCGAGGCAAGACAGTTTGTCCATCAATCGTTGTGGTAAATACGCATCTTTCAAGCAATAGACAGCCAATCTCCGCCTTGATTCTGGCGTTCCATTGAAAAGTTCAGTGATCATAGTATGATGCACATCTTCCTTCTGCTCCCCGAGAAATTGTGAACAGACGGAGTTGAGGGTATAACTTCTTAGTTGGTGGTCTCTTTGAACCAACTGAAGTAAGTCTAGCTGTAATCGACCATTTGTGTTGGTAGCCTTGGTATCTCGATTGCCCATCTGCTTACTGGAGAAATTGCTCTCCTTTGAAACGGATCTAGTATTAGGCAAACGGGTCCAATGGTCGAAGTCACGGACTTTTAGGTGCTTGGCTCGGTCGAGAAGATAGGGGAAATCGAAATTAGCGATATTGTAACCGATGATGATGTCTGGGTCGACCTCTTCCAAGAAATCTCTCCATTTTGTGAGCATCTTTTCTTCCCGCTCAAATTCAAAGATTTGGGTATTAACAATTAGACTTGTTGTGTCAAGACAGAAGACATTGCGAACAAAAGGTTTCTTCTCTCCATATCGCGTAACAACATTGGCGATCTGGATAACTGGGTCCACATCAGGTTCTGGGAAGATGCCTTTGCGGCCAGCACATTCAATGTCGAAGGACAATATTCGGAGGGGTGCCATTTTCGCCCACTCTGCTATAGGCTTGTGTGCTATCAAATCTCGATAGGAGACCTCGGCTTCTATCTGACAATTCGATTGCCGTTCGTGCTGTGGGATAAGTTTATATGATTTTTGGGGAACCTCTACCCAAGACATTCCAGATATCTGTGGCGGATTAGCAAAGCCACCTCGGGATATTCCTTCGATAAAGGGGACAAACCTCGCAATCAATCATAAATCGAAGCACATACTGAATGCTGTCGAACGATTGAATATGAGCCCTGTCACCAATCATAGTAGGTTTCCACATCCCCTTCCAATTCGCTTGGCCGCTTTCGATGGTCCCTCGGACTTTATTAATATATTTGGGGTCTGTCACAGTAATTTTGACATATGCAAACTGCTGATTGCCTTTGAAGTAATATAAGCTTTCCCGGTTGACTACTTGTACGGAGTGTATGGCCGGTTGATGTTGAGCAATTTGAGCCTCGAGGTACGTCTTGAAAGGTTCGCAGTCTTGTACGCCAAAACCAATAGGAGCCTCGACATAGAGGTAGTGGAGGAAATCGCAGACATGAAGCATGACAGAATTGCCAGTCTGTAACGGGCGGATTAGAAATGTGGTAAGAGCAGGAATCAGTCAGGTTCTTACTTCGGTAACGCCGAACAACTTTACAGTTGCTTTACCCCCGTGCAGTGTGCCCTCCTCCGCTTCAATTTGTTGGAAGCAAAGCTTGTCTGTATTTCCGTTGAAATCACCCAAAGGCGGTCGTGCCCAGTGCTGATCCTTCTCTGAGTTGCTCTTCCTCAAACCGGCCATGTCCTGGGTCATCTTCTCCAGCACCTCGGACTCGAAATGACTCGGTTGGCTTGAGCCCAACTTTCCCTTTGGTCCATTTTGAGAACTCTTGAATCTATTTGCCGGTGACGAAAAGGGCTCGAGCTTCCTCTTTTTGGCTGCCGCAGGCGACGAGGGAATATTTTGTCGAGTGTTTGTAGCATCACCAAGGATTCGCTTTTGTGGAATTCTCGAAGGCGCCATGATGGATAGGTGTGTCTGGCAGCTCCTGCTACTGCGCTACAAAACTGGAGTTGGTTGGGGTGTAAATGGCTTTGGGATCAAGATGCCGAATATTTTCCACATCGAGCACCTTGGGGATTTCTGGCGTTGTATTCGCGTCATTGCTTGAACGCGACGCGATCAATTTACAGGGGTAGCAGTTTAGTGTCACGTGTAAATTCTTAGTTTCCCCTGCTAGAACAAGCGACCCAAGTGCCATCGAACTACCGAGATCTATTTACATTCAGTTTAAAAGTTACAAAAAACGTCAATGTCCAAGAACCCATCGGTGCGTGCAGATGCCCTGCACTCAATGCTCCTCCTTATGCTGTCGAGATTTAAGTCCAGTAGCCAAGAGGTTCCGCCATGCCGAGTTAGCCTGTCAACGCTTAGGTGGTCTTTTACTGTTCCATTCCGAACGTTCCGAGCAATATTGAGCGCATCGTGGCCAACCACCTGGTTCTTTTTACTAACTTATTAACTGCCATCACCATGTCAAATAAATCCCGAGCTTACTCCGTACTCAGAAACCCCAGGTTGGTCAACGAGATGTGATCTTGGCTCTCTCGAGGCATTTTATTACCTTGAGCTTCCGAGCAAAAGTTGATCACAGGGCCGAACCCATCAAAGGTGGCTCTACTGGTCCGAGTACAAATACAACTCTCCTTCTCGATTTTCTCTCGTTCACTGCGCGCCCTTATGTGATATCTCTCAACGACCTTGCCAGGTCCAGTTCACCATTCTCTCACACTCTTACCTGGTAGAGCCTTTAGCTTCGAAACCTTCTCATTATGTCGTTCGAATTCTCCGTTCGTCAGCGGTGGAAACAAGGCTCGCTCCTAGCTAGTTGCCTTGACCAAATCCAATTGATGTATTACCGTTATGAGGTTACCTTTCCGCCCTACCTCCTCACACCTGGGGAGAAAATTGCTTTCAACTCTATTATCATCATCATATCCCTCCTCTTACTTGGCGCTGTTTCCTACTTGCCACCATTTGTTATGCGCGTTGCGGTGAGGATTATTCTATGCACGCGAGGTAATGACTATATCGGGGTCGGGAATAATACGTCGTGGAACGAGCAAATAATGCCTATACCCTACTAGGAGGTAAGTCCAGCGCAGCTTCAGCTTTGACGTTGCGATTCCTATCTAGGGTTTGAACTTCTTGATCAATTCAGACCATAGCGGTCACCTATAAGCACCATCACCAGGCGCGGACACAAAATCGACATCCGCTGGGGCCGGACTTTGACACGAGCAATACTCCACATCATAAATATTGGCTGATCTAGCTCTCCCTTTAGTAACTCTCAATGTGCTCTCCATACAATCCCGCAAACTAGCACTCATATCCTTAACTTCTCGATTATTCTTTTCTTCGAATGGACCTTCTATTTATCGACGATCTCCACTCAGCAGGGGGGTTATTATTGGTGGTTTCTTCTAGGTTGTGGAGTCTGGGATCGTGGATTATTCACTCGTTCTAGACAGGTATGTTCGTTCTCAAGGCTGAAACTTAATCTGACTGTTTTTCAAGATTTTCGTTGCTCTCGGAGGGACGGGTACTTTCCCATGGACAAGACGTTTGATGGTCATTGCATCGCAAGTCAGACTTCGATTGAATCCGGGCGCAACCCTAAGCAGGAAACTAGATGATTTCCAAGATATCACTGACCAGATAGGATGGAACCAGCTTTGAGATATTGATTGGACAAGGGATATCGCTTTACTGAAGCAGGATAAACTCGAGGACTGTAGCACAGGTCAGGTAGAATGGAAAATGATAACGATTGAATAGTTTCGTAGCCGTATTCCGTTCCATGACCCAAAACCCAACAGGTTTACAATCGAACTTGCTCACTGGTGATGAACGAGTGTGTAGCATGCAACGCAAAGCCTTCTTCCCTTTCAACAACCCTCGAGCACCTGCGGCGAATGATTGACTAAAGGGGCATTCACGTGATCCGAGGCACCAATCTGGGGCGCCGGGAGGACGGGAAGCATACCTTAATATAACAATAAGCTACTTACTCGTGCCCCTTAACCAGGTACCCGGATAGCGTGTATATTATTAGCTCTTGAGCGAGCAAATGTACATGTATAACTTGTAGCTTGGGATAACAGTTCTGAGATGCCGTGCTTCAGGTACTGATACAGATTCGCCAAGTCTCTATCCGGCAATTCAATTCGTCTTCTTTTCAGTTCGAGTTCAGCTGGACACCACGTCGCGAGGGTGGCATTAGCCGCACTACGACAGTACCTAATAAGGTACCTGGGCACCTGATGTACTCCGTACGCCTAACGACTCATAGCCGGACCCTGAAACCTGATCGCTCTAGAATAGACGACGATCAGCCTCAGGGCAGTGCACAACCACAGCCCAGAGCATTACGAACACAGCGCATTCATTCACACCCCCCTGCCTGCAACTGTCCGATGGTACATGTTACGCATTCATTATTATTATTAGACGTCCTGCCACTCCTACAAAGCCCTTCTCCTGCTGGCTACCAAAGTGAGTTCGCACTATCAGCAGGACCGCGGCGCAGGATCAAGCTACAACACCATCACCGTCAGCATGGCAGCAAACCACTATCATGACGCCTCCCAACCAGAGCATTCACAGACTCCTCAACCATACTATCAACCCTACAATGCCGCACCACCACAATACCGGGCGTCGCCAGCTCCCCCCGACTCATCGCAACCTCACTCACGAGCTCCATCGGCAAGACCATCAGACCTGTCCCCAGTTTCGCCCTTCGAGGCACCCTTCGATGACCACGTTTATCCGATGGAAAGGCCAGCATACCGATACGATAGTTCGAGCACATTAGGCCAAGATTCAGGACGGTATGCGCAGGGAGGTGGAGGACGACAGGACCCAGCGGACACTTTCCGAGACGATATCCCCATGCGCGATCGTCCTAGTGTGCCACCGAAAGATACTGGCACAGATCATGTTTATGATGCAGGGGATCCAAGAGCGCCAACTCCTTTGCAAACCAATCCCTCTCTTGAGGACGGAAGAAGAAGTCGGAAGAGTGGCATGGGCTTCTTTAAAACCTCCAAGAGAATACCATGGGTCGTATACACACTCACACTTATCCAGGTGGCGGTGTTTATTGCAGAGGTAGTGAAGAATGGTATGTCCTAAAAGCTTGATTGTGAAGTAGTATTAACAGCTCCCAGTGAAACTCACCGGATCACCTATTCAGATTCATCCGCAATTCAACCCCATGATTGGCCCATCTCCCTACGTCCTAATCAATATGGGAGCACTCTACATGCCCTGTATGCACAACGTTAAAGAAGTGCAAGGTAGCAATGTGACTGTACAATGGCCTTGCCCGAATACGGTCTCGAATGATGGACCTAGTTGTACCCTGGGCAAGCTTTGTGGATTCAACTTTCCGGACTCTTGGGAACCAAAATATAATGGAGATGTAGATCAAACACCAGAGCCCAATCAATGGTATCGATTTATCCTCCCTATATTTCTTCACGCTGGAATTATTCATATTGGGTTCAATATGCTATTACAGATGACGATTGGCCGCGAGATGGAAGTTATTATTGGGCCGATTCGATTCTTTTTGGTCTATATGGCTAGTGGGATATTTGGCTTCGTCCTAGGTGGCAATTTCGCCGTTACGGGAATAGCAGCAACAGGAGCATCTGGATCTCTCTTTGGGGTTCTCGCGTTGACTATTCTGGATCTTCTTTACAATTGGCGGGAGAGAAAATCGCCATGGATACAGTTCACCTTCATCATGTTCGCCGTTGTTATCTCTTTCGTCCTAGGCCTATTACCAGGCCTCGACAACTTCTCTCACATCGGCGGCTTCCTCATGGGTCTCGTACTTGGTATCTGCATTCTCCATTCTCCGACCTCGTTACAAAAACGCATTGGCCAAGATCCCCCTTATACGCCAATAAACCACATCACTTCTGATGATACAAATACCAATACGGGCATAACTAATTTTGCCAAGGCTCCTCTTGGATTTTTCAAGGGCCGAAAACCAGCATGGTGGGCTTGGTGGCTCGTCCGAGCTGCATCATTAGTGTTCGTGTTTATTGTCTTCATTCTACTGCTCAACAACTTCTACAAATACAAGAAGACATGCAGCTGGTGCCGGTATCTGAGTTGCATCGTAAGCGTCCCCTCTTCCATGTAAATTTCGACTTATTAACATCCGACAGAATATTCATAACTGGTGCGACACGGGTAACTTGCAATTCACACCAACGAATTCTACCACGAACACTACAAGTAAGAGGAGCGTATTTGATACCTGGGATTCGATGGCAAAGCTGTATTAGCTGCCATAATAGCAATAACTTTTGTTTTTTCTGATCGGTGATTAATGCCAGATAAGGCGGGCATATGCATAGCGACGGAGTCAAATTGACAGAAACATGAAGGATAATAATGGTTCTAGGCATCTGCCATCACAGGGTTTATGGTCACATGGACATTTGGTCCGACATAATGTTGCTCCTTTACTGGGGGTTAAGAGACTAAAAAGTTTCATGTTAATGCTTTGCTTATCCTGTAAATAAGTGTGTTTATATGTATCTAAAGGACTTGCAATCCGCCAGCTTTGCAGTATGAGGTGAATTTAAGAGACGCACTTATCGGAGCATAGCCAAGTGAAGAAATTTTGGCCATAGACTCCGCGATATAAATAGAAGAAATATGAACTCTTATTAAATCGTCAGGCTAAGCTCTTACATTATTCGATTCACCGCTTCCCTCTGGCCAAAGTTCACGATTTGCCCTGCAGCGCCGTCATATCTTCCATCTCCCTATTTAAACCAAGACTTTCTAGAACTATTATCTTTAGAGCCCGTTAACGCTGTAGTTCTATGATCGATTTCCTAGACTGCGTAAGCACTTGTCACACCCCTCCGGCTCGGCTGCCCAGCCTTCCTCCCCCCCCCCCTGCTAAAAATATCACCAGCCTCGCGCTAGCGGCCCCAAATAATTTTCTCGAACTCAATCGAGCTTTCATTCTCGTCCGCCTCTTTTTCAACTATCCATCTCGCAGTATTCGGCCATCATGGGTAAAGGCAAAGGCAAAGTCGCCAAGCGCGCTGAAAAGTCGGCCAAAAAAGTCGCAAAGAAGGCAGCAAAGCGGGCAGCGCGCGAAGCCGCAGGAACCCTCCCAAAGCCAAGGTCGGCCGACGATGGTCCTAGACCAATGAAGAAGGCGAAAGTCCGAAGACCTCTTCTATCTGGAATGAATCTGGACGATCTTCCAGAATTACCCACCCCGGCTGTGAAAGCGACTGAAGCTTTGAAGCATGTCAAGTGGACGGCACTGTTTAAGAAACATCTGGGGATTCTTGAAGCGCATGTCAAGGCTTTGGATCGGGTGATGCAGAGCTTGAAGTCTTATATGGCGAGTTTAGAGCCACAGGAGAGGGAGTTGTGGGAGTGTGGAGAGAAGGGAAATTGGAAGAATATATGTGGGTTGATGGATAGGGCGAGGGAGACGGTTGTTAGTGGAAGGATTGCGGCAACTGGCATGGTGAGTTATTCTTCTGCGATTGAAGTCATGGATAATAAGGGCAGTTGTTAACTGGTTGTTCGTCTAAATAGCTACCAGAGGAGGCATTGAGGGATAAGAAAGGTCTTGGAATTAAGGGCTTCACTTTTGAACCACTATTACCGAAGATTGAGCAGCGAGCTAGGGAACTTGGGAAAGATCCAAATGCCAAATACACATTGCCGAATGGGATGGAAAATACGGGTCATGGTGGCAATCGCAAGTTGGAGGACTCATCAAGTTCCGCCGACGACTCGGATTCTAGTTCTAGTTCAAGCGATGAAAGCGACTCGGACACTGACCCCGCCTCCGAGAAATCTAGCGAACTCCAAGAAGATGCTACGGCTAAGCAAGCTGCCGGAGATAAAGACACAGAGGGAAGTGGTTCCGAGGAAGTCGAAAGCAACCAGTATTTTGTCATTGATACCAACCCAACCCCTGTGAATCTTAATGGCAATGTACTCGAATCCAAGAAGAAGAGCAAAAAGCGGGCGAACGATGAGGGAGAAGGAGAGTCGACAAAGAAAGCCAAAAAATCGAAAAAGGAGCAGCAGATCATTGTTCCGACCGAGCCAGCTCCGGAGCCAGAGACGTCTACAATCAAAGTTCCTTCACTCAAAGACGATGATCCAGCCCAGGACGCCGATACCAAAACTGATAAGAAGTCCAAGAAAAGGCAAGCCAAGGATGAAGAGAGTGAAGGCAAAAAGTCAAAGAAAACCAAGAAAGACAAGGCCCTAGCTGTAAACCCCGAGACAACTGAGCAAGCGACTTCTACGGTAGATTTTACCGCCATTCAGGCCCAATTACAAGCAGAAGTCGACGAAGGCGTAAAGGCCAAGGAGGCACAACATGCGGAAGCGGTGGAGAAGAAGGATAAGAAGCGGCGACGAAGCTCTGATGGCGAGGAGAAGCTGGGGAAGAAGGCCAAGAAAACGAAAGAGGATACTGAAGATAAGAATGATAAGGGGACGAAGGAGAAAATAGAGAAGAAGGATAAGAAGCGGAAGGCAGACGGGGAAGAGGTGGAGGTAGTGGAAAAGAAAAAGAAGCGGAAGGAAGCTTGAGGTGGGAGTTGATGTATGACGGATGTGGCCCCCCATTGCCTTGAGAATTATGATTTCATATGATATCAATGCTTTTGCTCTTGTTTCCTGTTTATATGGGCGGGAAGGATGGCTGGCGTTGCATTGCTGGTGTCCAAAATAAAAATAAAATGAGAATGAGAATGAGAATGAGTGCTTTACTATATGTGCTGTCCCCGCTTATGCAACTTGGCCGTAGGCAGAGGTACATGCTTGGCTAATAATGTCTCTTTCCCACTTTTTCAGTAAAGGAGAGTATCACACGGAACAGTCCCGTAATTTGTAGAACGGTGTGAAGAGGCTATTGGATAAGCTGTTCATAAAGACTACCCATACCCAACCCAACGCTTCCCAAAGCACAACGGCTATTGTGAACTCAGTTTATCAACAAGGGACATGAGTATGTGTGAGTCCCAGTTTTAGATTGTGCATTTGTACATATAAAGCCTAGGCATGTAGCAGTAGTCTGGCATAGGTCATTTCCTTCTCATTAGTACTACATGTTCACCCCACTTAACGAAATGTATAACTGCTAATGCCATAAGCAACTGGCAACTCACCTCATCCACCGCCCTATCGACCGCCTTCTATGTTCCGCCGACGTTTATCCATTACTTCGCCTTAATCGTATAATGCAAAATAACAAAAGTATCTGTAAAATCAAGCCAGCTGCCAGTTATCCTCGGTAGCGCAATAAGACTCATCCTCATCTCTCTTAACTTTAACTCTTAACTATTCGCTTAATACTAACAATCAATCAGGACCGGACTAAGTCTCCTTGCGTTTCGGAGGGCTGGGACGAAAAGCCCTTCCGAGCATTCACATAGCAATTTGCATTCACCTTGCGTTACTTGCGTTACTTGCATCACTTGCGTTATTTGCATTACTTACTTCACAGAAAATCAAAAACTCCAAAAAAAAAAGTTGAAGTTCCTTTGCATTACACTTGTCTTTGTTCGCAACACACTTTGCAGAAAATGAGATGTTAGGTAAGCATATATTTCAATTCAGAGATGAGGGTGAGTAGAAAGCAAAGAGGATGCTGGCAAATACAATTTTTTTGGTTTTTGTTTGCTCTTTTGCACTCCTCTTGTGACTAGTGGCACGCTTTACAACGACATACATACCAGGCAGGTCGCTAAAGCCGATATTAGATATATGTCAATCTCGAAACTTGAACCAGGAACCTTTAAGAAACGAGCCGATGCACTTGCAGTAATTTGATTTTATCAGTAGCATGGAAATACAGCCAAGGTTCTGCCTCTAGGGCTACAATGAATTCACTGAATTATACAATACTTATGTTACCAAGCTTCTGGGTCTATATGTACAACTATGTGCCCGAATACGCCGCGACATCCAACTCCTTGCAGGCCAGGCGACGAACTAACGCATAGCAATTGCAAAGTTCAAGCCTGACTTCCAGTCGGCGCCGATATTTAACATGTCCAAAATTGTTATACAGTGATACCCCACCAGGTTGGAGATCCGAGCACAGCAATTTATCATCTGTTCCCTTCTCATTTACCTTCCCTAGTTGTCGTAGGTTTCTCATCCTTCGTCTTCACACCCTCCCCCGCTTGTTTCCCCCAGCTCCATACCTCCCAGATCTGATCCATGATCAGATCACCATATCCCTTCCCTTCCTCGAAGGCGTCTTGCTCTCTCTTATCCCGTTCTTTTTTCCAGTCTGGTTTCTCGGCTCTTGGATCACTATTTTCTAGCACGGCTCTTGAATTCGCTCCTTCTTCAGCTTCTTTCTTCCTTCGAAGCTCTTCTAGTATTCTCGTATTCGTTGTTGGGGCCTCAGTATTCATCCGTCCGGCTAGCCCATCCCTTGAATCAACACGACGTTCAAATGCTTTTTGTCCCAAAGTTCCCTTTTCCTTCGCTATTGCCGTATCATAAGCCAATTGTGGGAGCGTTTGTTTGCCCATAGATGCTTCTTGTATCCGCGCAACTATGCTGCGACCCGTATACGTTTGTGCTAGCTGGTTGCCACCGGTAAATGTTCCAGTAAGGAGTGCTAGGGTGTATATATCCAATTTTCGAGGAGGCAGCGCGAGGATTAGAGGGCAGATAATTACGGAGACAACAGAAACTGCGTGTATTACTTGTGCGCGCGAGGCATCGTTCCGGGAGATAAGGTTTGGAGATGATTCCTGAGACGAGGTCGGCGGAGCTTGTGAAGTGGGCGACATTTTCGCAGTCTGTTGAGGAGATTGTTAGATAGAGGGGTGGCGGGAAAGGAAAGGCTATCGTAGGAGCAGATTTAAAGATTGGCGATCCAAACTCTGGTGTAAAACGCGCGATTGAGCTCTCATTGCCGCTGAGTTGATTTGAGGTTTGCGACTTTTTCAACCCGAAGTTGTTCCGACAGGATCCTTGACACGTGCAATCCTTATTTCAACCTCGTGTGAGCCTTTGTCTCGGACGTTTTCCTACTGGGAGCTATTTGAATCAACTAATTACTTGAATGGGGCCTGTCTTGGTTATTATTGCCTACTGAGCCCACAACGTATTGCTAAGTCAACTGTTTTATTTGTGAGCGTTCCTCATCAACCTCGAGCACTTGATTGAGATGGCCTTTTCCCCCCTTCCTCTGAGCTCGTCAACGCTCTCTCTCTCAGTGTCTGGCTTCCGTTTCTCGCAGTGGCAGCCCCTTCAAGCTATTTTTGGGGTGACAATGGTGACATCCAGCGCAGAGTCTACGTGGTGGCATCAAACACTGTGGCGCACCTCCAATCCTTAAACTTTGATTGAAAAGTACTCTCGAAGTCCCTTCCCCTGCTATCTCTAAGCTCTTCGTCCCTCCGATTCGTATTATGTTATTTCTAATTCCAGAGATTTTGGAAGATGTAATGGGCGTAGAGTACCTACGTACAACTTGATGATATGTACCCCCACCACGCCTGCAGTAAGATGACCGAGATATCTAGAACGAACATGCGACTCTGAAGCGAATTTCGGTTTATATAGCCTCAGTATCCTACTTGGTATATATTTCTAGCTCTTTGCGACATCCTTGGCATGTAGCTACGTACCCACATCAAGACACCTATGATTCTTCCATAGAGCTAGCACAGCCCTTGGAATTTCAACGCTCATGTTCAGGGGAATGGTGTTCGTCAACGGAAACTGTCCAGGGAGTGGAAATCAACTCTAGAGTCTTAATAATATTGCTCAATTTGGTTGACGCCGGCCGCCTCGTACAAACACTTGATTCGAGATCGATAGAGGCAATATTTGCTTGTTCAGTATCTCACGCTGAACGAACGATAAACCCCGGGCCGGGATGATCGAAATGGAAGGTCTAAATATGAGCTGAGGGTGAGGCGGCTCGCACAAACTAGACTATGATGATGGAATGAGCCGGAAATCCATCCAGAACCACGGCCTAGGGCTGATGTTCAGCAGTGGCAGCCACACTAGAGCTATTGTGGTATGGTTAAGGTAACTTGATTTCCTATTCCCATCCTTCCCTAATGGCTCACATAGGAAAATTATTGATACAACTAAAAATACATGAACTTAAACGGAAGAGTTCGAAAGTCGTAATCGTGTCTGCCCTTTTCTTGGTATGGTTCATCGCCATCCATGTCAACATAGAAACTGGAGACACTGCAGAGGCAAATATAGAAAGAGGCATTCAGTGCTTGTGCAGCTTCGTCTTAATCTTCTCGCCGAGTCCGCGCTTGTGCGGCTTTGTCTCGCCACTAGGAATAGCATCGTCGGAGGCGTGTTTAGCCTCAACCTCTCTGTGGACACCCTTCTCTTCCAGAAGGCCTATTATGTAGAAGTCAGTCTTTGGCTCTCAAAGTGGCGGGAAGGAGGACGGAACGAGTCACATACGGTCAGCCTCTTTCCCTGCACCGGGATTTGCAGCATCAAAATCTCCACCCTCAGCCTTCATCCCTGAACTCTTAACATACTTCTCGCCCGTTCCCTCGCCGGTACTCTTCTGCTGATGTCCATCCACTTCGTCACCTCCACTAGCAGCATTCCCACCGTTACGACCCTTCTCTTCCAAAGACATCGGTCCTGGCCCGTCTACACTCTTGCTAGTAGCAGCAGCATCTTCCGCTTCTTGCTTCGTGTCCTGGATCTTTTTCCTCTCCACCGAGTCTGGCTGATCATGCGGCTTATCAGCGCCTTGCTGCTTTACCTTTGGTCTAGCACCGCTAGAAGCATCAGCGCCTACGGAGGGGGCAGCTCCAGGGCCGCTGTTGTCGTTGGCGTTTGTGGGCCCTACAGTAGAGGTTGGGGATGCTAGGTTGCTGAAGGATGATTTCGCCGTTTTTCCGGTTTCGCTCTCGGCGTGACGGGGGCCTGTAGGGCCGTTCTCTGAATGAGGAGTATATCCTGAAACAGCTACGTTGCTTGCGGAAGTAGAAGGGTTGTTCCCCGAATAGCCGGCAGAGGACTCAGAGAATGAATTGTAGGTTTCAGCGGGGCGGGACTCGGAGTACGGATTGGTGGTGGTGGAGGTTGGGTTGCGGGAGGATGGGGTTGAGCTTGAACCTGTAGCATATGGGGTAGCGACTGGATCTACGGAAGATGAAGTGGTATCCAGTTTTGTTGTAGATGGGTCTATGGTAGAAGGGAATTGGGTTAGCGCTTCGAGATCCCAACCATTGGGACTGGCCTGCCCCAGTCACTATGTGAAGCTTTGCGGCAACTCACCAAGGTTTCCCTTATCGTAGGGCTCTCCACGGGCTACATTTCCCATCTCGCCAGAAATCGGTTCCTTGCCACCGGTTTCATTCGTCTTCGTGGTATGTGCATCATTATAGCTTCCCACGGTATCTTGGTGCTGTCCTTGCTCTCCCCATATCGCTCGCGAGGCAGCGGAAGCGATGTTGCTAATACTTTCCATTATGCCTATTAGTTTGGCTTTTGATTTCTTGTTGGTTGCTTTTTTCAGTGCTGTGCTGTGTTGATTTGTGTTGTTGAATGAAGATAGATGGATATATATGAAGATAAATAGGAGGGAGTGATAAGTGGTTGATATGGCCCTCTCTTGCCCCCCTAGATCTGACGTCGCCGGTTCCCTCACTTTCCAGACCAAGACTTGTCACTGGATGATACGCTCTATGTGGCCCCGCAGTCCCTGAATCTTGATCCTGCTCCAAAAATGATCGAGCCAATTGCGAACTGGACTGCCTGGGGCTTTGTTCTTTACCAACTTCCAAACATCAACGACAAACTAGGCATTCGTACACTAATCATATTGCCGTTTTCAATTCTTTGTTTCCTAGTAAACATTTCAACCGCTTTCTAAACTTGCGTTCTTATCTACTTCGTACACAAATAGAAAAGCTAGATTACAGTTCCTCTTTGAAATATCCAAACGAGGGGATACTTCTTCGTCGTTCTTGTCCTTCGAGACGTAATACAAATACCTACTTAGGTAACCCAGTAGGTATAACAAGCATATTCCGAGTTGAATATTGTACATGTGGTCAAGTGAACTGCAAATCACGACCAACGTTGTCATTGAAGTCGCTATGACGTCGTATGCAGTCAGCATGTCCCCTGTCAATAACGTCATACCCCACGCCAAGCAAAACCACTAAGTTGCGAAAGCTTAAACATGTTGCTTGGTCCATCGATTAGTCCGGGTTGGTGCAATCTGCGCATGGAGAAACTCAAGACGCAAATCCACGAACCTGACGTACCCGGCGCCACCGCCGAAGAGTTTGGTAACCAGTGGAATATCCCAAGTAGACCAATGAATCTCGGATGTATCAGCTACAGCCCATTGCCTGCTATTTGGTCCATGAAAATCCCATAGTCCAGGCTCCAAATGCGGAAATCTTCCAGGTTCAAAGACGGCGCCCACCTGCCCGCGAACCATTATCTCAGTCATCCATTTGCCGTGAGCACTTCGCACGAGAAAAAGGTGTTGGTTGTCTCTCCGCATTTGATATTATCAGCCCTTTCCTTCTAATAGAACCATACTCTTATCTCGATAAAATTTAGACAGGATGTTGTAAAATTCGGCAGCAACCCTCTTAAGCGGAGTATAAGGAGTATCGCAAGGGGGAGCAAATAAACCCCTGCCGAATAGCAGCCGGCGCTGCTGGATGGGGTGCAATTGGACGTTCAGCCAAACACGAAGTAAACAGGAGCAGCGCTTCAACTTCTTTTGGACGTCGCCTCTTTACTTAGCCTCGACTTCCGACTCCTGGAAATACCTCTCCTTTGCATAACCTTAATAAACCACCATCGCAGAATATCCCGCATCAAAAATATTGTAAGTGAAAATGTAACCGGCAACGCAATACTCCAGAAGTAGGTCGGTGTGTTTTCGATCGCAACGAAGTCTGTGAAATTCATGCCAAAGTACCCAGTCAAGAATGTCAACGGCAGGAAAATGATCGTCACGACGGTCAGTTGTTTCATGGATTCGTTCTGGAAGGCTGAAATGGTGTTAAAGATAAGATCGATCATGTTGTCGCACGCCCGTCGCATTTGTTCCAGAGATTCAGAGATCAATATTAAATTATCTTCGGTATCGCTGAGGTACGTTTGTGCCATAGGACTAACCTTCACCCCACCAGAATTGTTGATGGGATGAGTCCTGTAGCCGATCTGAGGAGCAACCCCGACGGTTCTGTGATCGCGGAGGGAGGCAATAAGATTGACGATTGGACTAACAAGATTGCGCATCATCGTGATCTCGCTAATGATGACATACAAGGTTTTGGATTGCTTTATGTTTGGGGCAGTTAATACATCGAGTTCTAATTCACTGATAACAGCTTGATAGGCGTTTGTTGCCGGGATGGCTAGATCGATAATAGCATCTATAATGGCTTGAGTGACCATGGAAGCATCACATGACTGTCGAAGGACTGTATCCGGGGTGTCTAGTCGCTGAAGAATTGGAATTTCTATATCGTCTGCAGATGACTCAAAAAACGAAATGACAGTATTATCTAGAATATGGTTAATTCTTGTAGCACTAAATAGAAAAGATGATATCTACCAGCTGTAAGGAATATTGACACCTGCTCAACGCTCACAGCCAATTTCTTTGCGGTCAGCGGTGAATGTGCCTCCATAAATGTCATCCGCTCTTGGTGTGGTCCACCATGATATCTCTGGAGCGTCCGGTGTTTCTTTACTGCGCCTTTGGTATGCGCAGCAATAAACCCATTCGTCGTATCATAGATGCCGGAAGCCATGCTCGCTTTTCTTTGTTCCTCGTCATACTTCTGCCTCGATTTCGAACTGGAGAATAACTTGCGGAGGCCTTTCCAAAATCTGCCATGTTTCGGTCTTTTCTCCCCGGGGGAGTGATGATCGTCGTCGGAATCAGAGTCGCTATCGTCAGGATGCAGATGGACCAATTTTTGCAAGGTGAGCACCATGTAAGTATGGTCGCGGTACCTGGATATCCGTTAGACTTAGAGCAAACAGAAATCGTTTCAACTTACCAATCAACTTTCGTCCGATTGTTCGTATTAATCAGATCTTCAATTGCTAATCTATGTAGTTTCTTATACGTCCCCAGCGCCTGAATGACATCCCAACTAAGGCCGTTAACATTGATCCACCGACAGGTAACCCAGCTCTCTTGTTCCTTTTCGAGGAAGTCTATAAACCTGACGTTCCCGAAGTCTGTCATAACCATATTATCTTCGCTGAAGTCGACGACCGTGATTTGACATTCCTCATGGAGGGTTGGCAGCTGCGATCGCCCACCATTCGGTTTGGAGGGGTCAAGCCCAGGTTCTTGACCAGGCTGCCAATCCGGCTGTGGTGAAGTGGCATCGATGCCTGGGAACTCTTGAATGGTGTTGGATCGCGTGATTCGGCGCTTCAAGGTCGGAGAGACCTGAGGGATTTCGGTGCCATTTGCTTCGCACTGAATCGACGGTAATTTTGGCGTCTTGCCGTCGAGGTTGTCGGTGGCGGATTGTCCTGCTTCCAGGTCACAGTGGGCGTGGCTAGAAGGTGACGACATTGCTGTAGATGCTGAGGAGGAATCTATCACATCTGTCATGATTTAGGGCTACTGATCGAGCCGTTGAGTAGGATTGCTATCCCATCGCGTTGTTGACTTCGTTGCGGTAGTAAAACAGGGCTCGCTAGGGTGATTGTAGCAATACAGAGAGCTGGTTATTAAAAGTCAAAAGTCACAAGAAAGAAATCAGAAATCAGAAATACGAATATGCGAAAGGAGTACTAGGGAGGAGTGTGCGAAAGTCGCATTTCGGCACAGCAATTTAGGATTGTTAGTCGGGTGAGTTCCAACGCAAGTCAAGGATCAAGGCTGCGTTTCGGAGTGCAAAGTGATACAGGCACTTCGTCACTGATCTGGATCTGGACTGCGATCAGTCAGCACTTTCCCACGTGCCCAACTCCGTGGTGCCATGATGTACCGCACTAACCCTGCGACAAGTACAAAGCAATCTTAACAAGGCCAAAATTGCTTGGATTTGTTTATCTTATCTACGTAAAAGAGCATTGAAACCTTTTATTTCTTCAAATTCAATTATCCCATCACAATAAATATAAACCCGCACTTGTAAAGGTTGATGTACAGTACAACCCTGAGTCGGAGTATCGCTGCGCCCGGATAAGTGCGAGATACTTAGAACGACTTTGACTGCTCTTCTCTTCCTCCTCGTCTTCCATTTTATAGTGTGGTAAAAATGAAGTTGCAGATATTGGTTATGTCTTTTGGGAAGAAGAGACAAACGTTGGGGTATAGCAGGTATTTATAAGAAAAGTGTCGAGGAAATGGTCAGATATGGCTATGGAATGGAGGGCTGAATTGATTGACTTCTAGCTAGTCCAAGGATTAGAAGCCCAGGCAAGTGCGGACTAGATAAGGTAATGGACATGAATGAAATTCGGGAATTTGGTCAACTCTTGGAATGCACCGCTTTAAACGGGGGCTGCCGGTTTGGTGCCTCGATCCTAATAGTACGTAACGTAGTCCGGATTGGAGATAGTGTAGCGAGTCTTTGATACAGGTAGCCAATTCCTTTATTAATCCCGAGTAGCAGAGTATTAGTATGAGGCAATTCACAGCTGGTGAAGGAGATGGAAGAGGAATACAGAAAGAAGTATGGTGGGACTGACCCACCACCGCATCTCACTTGCCACATCAGGCACTTAGTCCACTTCTCCCTAAATGTTCCAGCTTTTCTACCTCGTAATGTGATACCTGAAGCTATTCACACTATGCTGTCGCCCTGTATCGTCGCATTCGCGCTGTGCCCTGCCTGTGTGCCTAGTCTGCCGTTGTTCAATCCGAAGAGCAAGGCTGCGACAAGAGCAAGAGCAAGAGCAAGAGCAAGAGCAAGAGCAAGAGCAAGAGCAAGAGCAAGAGCAAGAGCAAGAGCAAGAGCAAGAGCAAGAGCAAGA